TTCTTCCATTTAGACCTTTCCTTCTTGGCGCCTTGCGCCAAGACACTCACCTAGACAAAAGGCTTATTGTTTTCAGACACGAGTTATATCCCGAAGTCCCGGACTTTCCGTTACGGTACTTCTTATTGTTTCCGAGAACAATTAGGCTTCTATGTATTTAAACCGGACTGGATTGTACTAGCTACTCAGTTCGGATATCTCGTTCACTTATCCAATTCCCTCCTACCCTCGAACCTCCGAACCTCCGACTTCCGACCTCCGAACCTCCGAACCTCCGACCCCCGAACTACGTTCCTAAGCTTGTCTTCTATTCCGCTCTCGACCTCTCCCCTCTCCTGTCCCCCCGACTCTCTAGTCTCGTTCCGGAACTTCGTTAAGTTCCGGTACTTGTACTCCCGACCCCCGAGTCGGTACTTCTCGTAAACCAAGGACACCCGACAAGTGTGCCCGGCGCGTTACTAATAGTTTCGCGAAGTCCTCCTTTCCGGTGCTCGGTACTTCGGGACTTCGTCAACCCCCGAACTTCCGCGCACGGTCCTAACACACGGCCGCTTCCTCCACGGCACCGTGAATTTAGAAATACACTCACAATTTCTGCGACGTGTGCTGCTGTCCCCCAACGAGTTGGGAACAGGTCTGAGTCGATCCGCTCGTTCACCGATAATTCGCCTGGGTTCGCGAAAGATAGGTCTTGAACGAGACGGAGCTTCCCCGGCTTCCTGGCCTTCTCGACGACCGAAAGCGGGGAGGATATGAAAGGAGAGCCGAGGATCTCCTCGATCTGGTCTTTCCGGTAAGGACCGGTCATCCGTCCGAGAGCCACCTGCTTGTCGACGTATGCTTGGATGAAATCTAGGTTTTCGACGCCACCCGGATGGTTGGGTGCGATGCTCGTGTGCGTGATGGGGGTCATGTCGCCCAAGGGGAAACCGTATCTGAGGTTCGATATGAGATCTGGGTATTTGTGGAGTAGGTTGTGTTTTCGTAGGACGCGTTCCCACTCGTCCGCTCGGTAGGGCGTGATCACGAGATCACGCTCTGAAGCACCGCTTCGTACTAGCGGTATGATCGGTGGCACCACAGAAGGCGCACACGTGGCAACCGTCCGTGCCGGGGCAATGCTTTCCCTTGCAGGGCAAAACACCCCCGAGGTTCCAGCCGGCGCAGATCTCGGTCCGCGCGCGACGAGCGAGGAGCTTTCCGCCGTGGTGGACGGCGAATGTCTCTCGCCCGCTGCCGTCGGCAAGCTGCATCCTGCTGCACGTCTTTCCCATGTGCCCCACCTCTCCGCAGACAAGGCAGAGAGGCCCCGTGGAGTCGGACCCCCTGCCGCCTTGAAAGGACCGGCCGCCGCCGTGACCGCCGCCCCTCCCGCCGCGAGGAGTCCCTCCTCCGCCGTTCCCGCCGAAGCCGCCGCCCTCGCCCCCGCCCTCGCGACTCTCGCGCCGGTACGGGTGGAAGTGCTCGCTGCTCCGTGACATGCGCACCTCTGCCTTGAGGCGCGCGTGCTCGATGTTGCGCACATCGTTCTGCTTGTTGGCGAGGCCCCAGAGGTAGTCCTGGTCGGCGACGACGAAGATGGGCTTCGCGTTGCGAGGGGCGGTGATCCACTCGCCCCGCATCTCGATGTCGAACGCCACGAGGGCGTTGAACCCCGAACGAACGGTGTGGTGACTTGACAAATAGTCGAAGTGGCGCTGGAATCGTTCGACGATCTCCGCCTTGACGATGCGGGGAAGCACCGCCCTGAGCAGGTTCCCCCACGCCTCGCGCCAATCGGCCTCCGAGATCGCAGCCTCGTCCCCGAAATCGGAGAAATCCAGCACGCGTTGAGACGCGCCGGACCCCGTGATCGCCTTGACGGTCTTCAACTTCGACGCGTCTTGGGACAACGAACGCAGGGCTGAGTTCGTGATGGATGTGAGGGGCACATACCAGTTGTTCTTGATCATGTCGATGATCATCGGGTGGATCGGAGGTGCAGTCTTGGCCTGGGAGAAAAGCGAGGGAGCGTTAGGCGAGTCTCCGATAAGATCGTCGTCATCCGATAAGGTCCCTCCGCTCGACTGTCCCCCCGACGCCCCAGGTCCCCCGGCGTCGCGCCTCTTCTCGACAAAGTCGAAGGCGCGCTGCGCGAAGGCGGGGCTGTCTTTGGCGGCCTTCAAGGCCTCAGTGATGATCGCCCCGTCGTTGCTCAACGACAGGTCGACCGTCTCCTCGGCTTCATCGTCCCCAGCCTGGGAACCCGCAGGGTTCCTCCCGGCGGGTGCCACGGTCTCCCATTCGTCAATATTCTCGGTCTCGCTGCTGCGGTTGATAGGAACAAGCGGGGAGGTAGAAGTCCCTTCCGGGATGCTGGCGCCACGAGGCGTCTCGGCTAATTGGCCGCTAGCGCCAACTCCCGCGCTTCCCAAAGAGCCCAAGCTCTTTCCGCTAGCACCAATAGGTCTTCCAGCCATATTTAAAAAGTGAAACGAAAAACTTCTCGGTGTTTTGGATGGCTATATGCGCGAATTTGCTGTTGCGAGTGCGCGACGACGAAGTGGGGAGAGGACAAGGAGGAGTGACGCGTCCGGGACGCGTTCCTTCCCAATTCGTCTGTCGCGCTTACTAAGCATCCGTTTTGGCCCAGCGTTCGTTCCTCACGCTGGGCAAAACATCACATCCCCCACCTCCGCCGCGATCACCACAGGCGGGCTAGCGCCCGTCTCTGAGCAGCCGCAGGTCGCGCTCGTAGGGGCGACGGCGGTGCAGCGCATCGGGCAGCGCAACCTCATCGGCATCATCGTCGCCGCCGTGCTCGTCTTCCTCGGGCTCGTGCTCTGGCTCTCGTTCGGCCGCTGGCCGCGCGCGGGCATGCGGCGGATCCGGGCGCGGCTCGCGCGCGGGGATAAGCGCGCCGCCAAGAGCGCTGCGAGCGGGGCAGGCGGAGGCGGAGGCGGGGCTGGGGGAGACTCGGACGAGAGCTTCGGGTCGGCGCCGGGACATGAGCGGGACGACAAGCGAGGGGACGGCGCGGGCGAGGTGATACGGCAGTGTGAGTCGCCGCTGCCTGCGGCGATAGAAGAACTGGACAGTTTGGACAGGGACGGCGGGGGGACGGACTCGCGGCACGTACGGTTCGCATGATATCGTGCATCGGACCATGGACGTTTACACGGGAGGACGATGTATCATGTTATGCCCTGCGAACCGCGATACCCATCTATCATCCATAGCGCTCCGCGATATCTTAGTGACACGACGCGTCCCCGGAAGGACGCGCCCTCTTGACCTCTGGAGAAAAGCACAGCGTCGTGGTATCGGAGTATGTACACGTACCGTGCGAGAAAGCTGTCCGCTGCTGTCCGAGTCCATCCGTAAGCCAGGAAGGAAGTGGCGACTAGATAAATGGCGGGTGTAGGATAAATCCAGGTAGATGTGCGTGGTCTTGCTCTACGAACAAAGAGCAGCAGATGAGAACAAGATATGATACGTAGCAATAACACAACAGGGAGAATGAGTGAGCTGGCTAAGGATGGGCTGCGACTATCGTGAAGGTGGAGAAGTGAGAAACACGGAGGCGGCGACCTCGGTGGGTAGATGGGAACGGGGATGGGTGCGGAAAGTACAATGCAGGGTGGGTGCGTACGATCATGCGATGCGATGCGATGCGATGCTTCCAACGACAAACTGCGAACGTCCACTGCTCAGCGCGCTCCGCGTACAAGTACAAGCTGGATCGAGCGGCGACGAACCCATAGATAAGACCTTCCTTTCCTCTTCTATTGCGCGATGAGACTTGTTTGAGTCCCCCCCCTCTCATGAGCGCCGGTCCCGGCGGCTCCGGTGCCGCTCAGATCGCGACGGGTTTGCAGCACCGACGATGTGCGACGGGATCGTGCCCCGCTCTAATGCAGCGGCGATGACCTCCGCTGGAAGGTCGATCTGCGCTCCGTCCGGGTAGGCGTACGCATCCAGCGGGGAGTACGCAGGGGGCTCCACACTCAGCGCCTCCAAGTGCGCGGCGGAAGAACTATGAGAGACATGAGCACTGTCCCCGGGGGTGGGAGGATTTGAGGGAGCTAACGCCTGCAAGTGGATGTCGCGCGGGCCCGGAGTGGGGAGGTCCGCGGCAATGGGCGACTCCGGGGGCGGGTGTACCTGGATCGCGAGGTCGGCACCTGAAACCGATGAACGCGAGCCCGTCCGCGCATGAGTGATGTTGAACGGCTGGGGTCGTGGCATATTGAATTGGCTCGCACCTGCGCCCGCCGCGCCTCCGGGTGGTGGTGACCGAGATGCACGCGAGGAACTGGACGCAGACGAGGTGCGTCGTGGGCGGTCCCTTTGAGTCGGAGAGGAGGGAGAGGGAGGGATGTCAACATTATGAGGGGCATGGAATGGCATATCAGTGGGTGAGATGTACCTCCGCGAAGTGGACGGTCCCGCGGCGCCAGCAGAATCGGATTCCTCCTCGATGGGAGTGATGGGTGGAGGAGGCGTGTCGGGAGGAGAAGGCGAAGCCAGGGGACTGCCGCGCAAAGGTGATGACTCTATGGGGGCGGACGTCGCCTGCCCAACCCTGGGTCTCCGTGAACGATGTGAACGGCGTGACCTAGTAGAGGCTCCAGCAGGGCTTCCGGAGGAGATCACGTCGGCGTTCATGGGCGTCATATGCCCTCCCGACGCAAGCAAGATGCTCCCTGCCTCGCTGCCGTAGGCTGGAGGGGGTGCTAGTGTACCCTGGCTTGGTGCGAGACCCCATCGCTTGACATTCGCCTCGATGAACACGAACCCGGACTGACCAAGGTTGATGTGGATACTGCAGGGTCCGTCGGCGCCAACAGTAGGGAACAGATTCCAGTTGGTCAAACCAGTGTACGCATCTTCCATCTTGCGCCCGTTCTTCGTAAAGAAGACCGTTCCCGAGCGAGGCCGATAGCCAACACCGAGAACGTCACCCTCCTTCAGAGTGGTTCCGCACGCAGCCGCGGTGAACGGGAAGTTGTGGGATTTATCGCCGTTGGAGTGATACGCGACCGAGTACCGACAGAGTCCCGGAAGGCGGAACGTCGGGTACGGCTTTGTGGCAAGCCCGATTGCGACATTGGTTGTTGGGGGCAGGTCGAACATCTTGGCCTCCCAGTAGTACACTTCGTTCAGCTTGGGTAGAGGCAGATTAGACTGCACAGACGACGCGGAAAGTGGGTCCGGGAGGAAGGTCAACTCAGTACGAGCATGTACGAGCAGTGAAGACAGAGCCTCGAAATCGGGCTCGAACGACCACGCGGATACGCCTTTCTCCTGTATGGAGAGGAATTGAGAAAGTGTGATATCCGTAGGCATGGAGTTCGGTGGATGCTGAAGCTGGTATTCTAGTTTTGATTCGCATGGGCATCAGTGTACACGAAAACGCGTGAGATAGCACACGTACCCTTTGAACGCTGGTAAGCTCTGCGTTCCGATTCGCTCACTGTCTCGAGCCAGCGAGATTCGACACCCTCGAAGCCGCCTTCGCCCTCGATAAGATCCTCGCGACTCATGTCCACGGGGCCGTCGGTGTCGCGTAGCATAATGCCGCGTCGCTTGCGAAGGAGGATGACGCATACGAGAAATAGCAGCAGCAGGAAGAGGAAAGTGGACAGGACGATAAGCATCGGAAGGAGGATGTAGAAGGCATCGCGAGAGCTTGGCTGCTGAGGCCGTTCGTCGTGAACACTGTGTCCTGCTATTCGAACGTTTGGGAGGTTGTCCTGGATGGCTTTGACACTGGCTGACAGAGCCTCGTTTATGTCGTACGAGGAGGGCTGCGCGGTGTGCCCTTGGGATGGGCTCATGGCTGGGAGCTCTGAAGGAGCGACACGAGAAGAGAAGAGAGCGCAAGGAAGAGCAGCGAAAGACGAGGCGAGCGGGGCGAAAGAGGAAGAAGAGGAGAAGGAGCAGGAGGTGGTGGGAATCGGACACAGTCGGTCTACTCGTCGCTGTCCCGCGCGTCAGCCTCAGCCATCGGCGTCGCCGTCGGCCTGCACCGCCCGGGCTGCGGCCCTCACCTCCGTCAATGTCCCCAGCCTCCCGGCGCTACGCCGAGCGAGGCCGAGGGCGGCGCCGTCCCGGACCGAGTAATTACATAATCCCATGTGGGGAACGGGCGTCTATTTGGAATGCGGGCACGGTGGGTGTACCGCTCCTGGCAGAGCCGCTCACTGTCTCCCCACCGTCTGCGTGTGAGTCTAGTATACTGTTTCGGGCGGCCCTCTCTGCAGATCCTCCAATCCACCGCATGGCGCCGCGATCCTCATGAGTGCTACACTTTCCCCTACAAACTCCCCCAGAGTCCGCCGCAAAGGCTCGACTCGCAGACCCCGCGCGGCCTCCCATCTCCCCCCTTTCACCCCGGAGAGCCATGAAGCCGCACTCTATCAAATCAGACACTACCTCAAGGGCAGGACATCCTACGACACCTTCCCCGTCAGCTTCAGGTTGATTGTCCTCGACTCCAAGCTCGAGGTCAAGAAGGCCCTCCAATGTCTTCTCCTGAATGGTACGCGAGCGCGAAGCCTACTCAGTCCTATTCTTACCCACATCACTGTTCTATAGGTGTGGTCTCTGCGCCGTTATGGAATAGCGAAAAGTCTTGCTTCGCCGGCATGTTCACCGTCTCCGACATAATCCATCTCATCCAGTACTTCTACAAGTGCTCCTCGTACGACGCCGCGGCTGCTGATGTCGAGGTCTTCCGGCTCGAGTCTTTGCGAGGTGCGCATATTAGCCTCACTTTCCCAGGCAGTCATGCTCACATCGATACAGACATTGAGAGAACACTCGGCGTTGATCCTCCCCCATTACTGCGCGAACACCCCTCTGCATCTCTCTATGACGCCTCCAAACGACTCATCCAAACCCATGCTCGCCGCTTACCCCTGCTTGACAACGATACCGAGACCGGCCATGAAGTTATCGTCTCCATCCTCACCCAGTACCGTCTCCTCAAGTTCATTTCCATAAACGTCAGTCTCTGTGGTTGCGCGTCCCCCACGTTATACTGATGGCTCACTCTTCCTCCAGTGTGGCAAGGACATACAACAACTACACATGCCCCTACGCAAGCTCGGGATCGGTACATACGTGACGCCGCAGCCACTACCCCCTGACGGCGAGAAGCCTGAAGGCTACAACCCGTTCCACCCGATCGCGACCGCGACCATGGACACGCCTGTCTTCGACGTTGTGCACATGTTCTCCGAGCGCGGTATCTCCGCGGTCCCCATCGTAGACCAGGATGGCATCGTCGTCAACCTGTACGAGACCGTCGACGTTATCGTGAGTAGCGTCTCCTTGCTCTCCCCACGCGCGCAGAGCACTCGAACTAAGCACTTCTCCCGCTAGACTCTCGTGCGTCTGGGCGCGTACCAGTCATTGGACTTGACGATCTCGGAAGCTCTGAACCAGAGATCGCCCGATTTCCCCGGTGTCGTCATCTGCACCGCGTCCGACTCTTTGGGCACTCTGATGCAGCTCATCAAGAAGCGCCGAGTGCACAGGCTCGTGGTCGTAGAGGGCGAGGTCAGTCATAGCTCCTCCGTGAAGTGAGATATTACTGACGATTATGCACAGGAGGAAGAAAAACGAGGCGGAAAGAAGGGTCGTCTACTCGGTATCATCACTCTCAGCGACGTCTTGCGCTACATCATCGGAGACGTGACCATAGGCGAAAGCTACCCGGAGTCCTCTCTGCACACGACGATGTCCACTCCAGCGCCGCCCGAACCGGCCTCCTCAGAGTCTCCAGCTCCAGCAGAGCCCGCTGCCTCAGCCGACGCATCTCCTGCTGCAGATCCACCGCCCGAGGCCCCTCCCTCCGAGGAGGCTGCTGCCCCACAGGAGGACAACGCTGCTGCAGAGGAGGCACCCGCCGTCCCACCGGAGGAGCCCACCCCGGCGTCCGCAGAGTGAGGGGGAGACAGATATATGCGCGTGCGGCGACGGCGGCGCGCAGAATCAACCGTAGATGTAGCCTTACCGTTCCGTTCTGAATTTTGCTCTTGGCTTTGGATGCATCTGTACCTGGTACCTGTACACTCTTGTTGTTTCGCAGAAAACTCGGATGACTGATCGCGATGTGCGTGTGTGTTGAGACCCAGATATAGAAAACAAAAACAAAATGGGAGTGGTATACGAGGCCTGCGCCGCAACTCTACATACTAGGTGAAGTAGACGCCCGCGTCACGACGCTGCTTGAAGTGGCTCCCTGCCGCGCGCTCGTATGGCACACGCTGCTTACTCTGCTTTCTCTCTCACCACTGCTCTCCCGCCTCCCGCCCTCTCTAACGTCCTGACGACCCCCTCACGATGAGCACCGCGATCCAAGCGATCCACATTCCCGCGTGGGAGGAACGTAGCGAACCCAAGACGCACGTCGTCTTCCGCATCGAGATCCAGGCCTCGGTGCGCTCCTGGCAGATGTGGAGGCGTTACTCCGAGTTCGCCGACCTCCACCTCGAGCTCACGAAGAGTCCCAGCGGGGCCCCGCCAGCGCCCCTCCCACCCAAGCATGCACTCGCGCTCTTCAGGTCGAGCACCAATCCCGCGCTGCTCGAAGAGCGCCGAGCCGCGCTCGAGACGTACCTCCGCGCGATCCTCTCGGCACGCGACCCATCCTGGCGCGAGTCCTTCGCCTTCCGCGACTTCCTCGGTGTCCCCGTTGGAAAGCCGTCTGCGCACGACATGGGTGGTGGCGCACAGTTCACTTCAGCAGCGTGGCTGGACGAGCACCAGGACTTGCAGGCGCGCGTGCGAGATGTCCGCGCGGACATCAACCGCCGCGACGCGCTTTCCGATACCGGGGACGTGTCCGGCTCGCACACCGCCAATGTGCAGGCGAAGAAGAAGCTCGCAGGATTGCTCTCGCGCGTCGGTGTACTCGACGAGGGCCTGCAGACGCTCGCGCTCGCGGGGCTCAGCGAGGGCGAGCTCCGACGGCGCACGGACATGGTCGCGCGGTTGCGGGACGACTGCGAGAAGCTCGCGAAGATCGTGACGGTGTCGCGGATGACGGCGAGGGGGATCGGGTCCGCGGCAGAGCGTAATCCAGCGGCGGCGTCAGACCGCGATGCGCTCATGGGCTCGGGGAGTGGGGCGCAGGGCAGCGGATTCGTCAGGCCAGTCGCGCGCGTGTTTGGGCAGGCGGCGCAACCACGAGAAACGGAGCAGACGCGGCCGCTTGACGACCATGGGCTCTTTACGATGCAGAAGACACAGATGGAGCAGCAGGACGTGCAGCTATCACAGCTCTCCACCATCCTGCAGCGGCAGAAGCAGATCGGCCTCGCGATACACCAGGAGGTTGCGGAGCAGAACAACGAGCTGGATCATTTGACAGACGAGGTGGACAGAGTCGGGGGCAAGCTGACTGGTGCGAAGAGACAACTCAATAGACTGGGTGGTTAGTGCGTCGTGTTTGCTTGGATGGTTTAGATTGTGATATTACAGTCGCTGTATTGTTTCCCCCGGGGTAATAGATGGATCTACAAAGTAGTGTGCACATGCAATGGTATGGTACGGTCTATGGTGAGTCGTCATGTCTATGGTCTGGAGTCATCAACCGCCGCCCAACGCCCTGCAAGATGAGGTCAGACATTGAAATACACGAGCTATGGTTGATTGCTCACCTCGAAGCAAGCAATCATGATTCCGCACGCCGGCGCGATCTTTGTTATGCGAGGCACAATGCCGGCGTACAGCGTCGAGACCCCTTCTGTTCGGACAATCTCCAAGAGCAAGGGTATCGACGACGTAGTCTTGCTTGTGGCTGACATGAGCATCGCTTGTCTCCGCGTCTTCAGCACATCAAAAGGTGAGGTCAGCAGCGCAGCGGTAGTGCCGCTGATCGCGCCGCTCGCAAACGCAACCCCTGCGCCCGTGTGTCCGCGCGCTTCGAAGTTGCGTTTGCACGACTCGTAGCCCGCCCAATAAAGACCGCTGAACGGTACGTCTCGCCAGAGCGTAGGTCCCAAGCCGCGCCATAGGCAATGCCAACCGCGAGTTTGCGCTATGCTTCGTACGGAGGTCAGGACAGAGCGGAGGGTGTGGGGGTGGTCAGGTGAAGGTGGTGTTGACTGGAGGTTTGTGCGGACGAGCTCCAGAGGGGACATGAGGGACGTGATAGTTGTTCGCGCGAGGATGCCTGCGGAAAGAGGGACCATAGGTTGGGGGAGTAGTGGCGGGAGGACGACGTTCAGTAGATGGTCGTATGTGAGCATGTAGCATGTTGATGAAGGCACGCCAATGAGTCTACGTTGCACGAAATTGTGAGCACGAATTGGAGAGCAACAAAGAGACCAGGTACTCACAGAGACGTCCCAGCGCCCTTCCACAGGCCCGCAACGCCCTCCACTCGCCATACATGGCGGATGGCGTCGAAAAAGCCGTTCACCCGCTCTGTCCGGTACACACCGTGGTCCCATACGCACACCACCTCGCCTTCCACCGCCCTGACCAGCGAGGACATATTTCGCACGCACACGGTTGCTGACGGCTGACAACATGTGTTCGGCGGAGGATTTGGGAAGAGCGACCGTGGAGGAGCTGGTGGTTGTGTCTGTAGCCGTGTTTTTACAACGTCGAAGGGGGTCACTAGAGGTGCGTTCAGCATCCTGTGTGAATTTGCCAGATTGCGTGATTACTACTCACTTGTTAGGGCGGTCACGGTCGACCCCGTTGCGGCCGCAATGAGCTTCGCCTCGAACTCCTGCATTTTGATCGCGCAGATAGACACAAGACGAGAACGGTGACAGAGAGAGAAAACGGCGGCCCAGCAGCCTGTGGTGGATGTGTGGACGAGGGATGTGGTCGGCGGACTCGCACGGCCGTTGGGTCGAGTCGGGAGAGAACTTGGGCGACTCCCGCGCCGACTCGATGCGTCATTCGCCTGATCTCTCCCTGGCGCTGCTTATCTGATAAAATTGCATGCACGTGCATCCAGATCTAAGCGCTTGTGGGCGCAGGTTCCTGGCTCGAGTCAGTTTGAGTTCGGGGATCCTCGATTCTCATCTATCGCGGATGTATTCGGCCTTCGGAGAAGCTGAGGCATGAGCAGATGGATTATCGACAGTGCCGGCAGGTAAGTACAACCAGTCTAAAATAAAAAGATGCAGTGACAACCCATGATATGCAGATGATAGAGAGTAAGGAGCGAACGGCCGACAGTAGGAACACAGGTCTGCAACGGAGCGAGCGGCGAGAGATACAGTAGAAGGAGCGTGCGCATGGTGCGTAAGAGCAGGGCATGGGTGGTAGATCGAACGTAATAAGACAGTATCAACTTGGTTAGCGGCGAGTTCCAGAGCGAGAGATTAGCTTTTCAGACCGGACGCAGGGATGTTGAGGTTGATGGCTATACGCGGGAGTCTCAGCAAAAGTGGCGACGCATGCGAAACATATGTGGCACTTACCCCTGTACCATGTCAAGGCGTCCGATGTCGACGGGGCGTCAAAGTATAGTATCGCCTTGTTGTCAACCAAACGGAGAGCTATACCAATAATGTCAGCCGGTGAATGCAGCGGTGGACGGCCGGATGACACTTACTATTGCCGTGCACGATACTGGCCGGCTGGGGAAGCGTTTGCATCCGCAACACGGCCCAGAGGTCGACTGCACAGTTCGGGTCCTGCCCTTCAGAGGGGTCCCGGCAGAGCACCAGCAAGTCGTTGCATAGAATACCGACGAGGGCCCTGGGGGTCAACTCTGGCGATAGACATTCGACCTCGATAGAGGACGCATCGCCTTGCGCGTCGATCACTTCGAACGCCACCGTTGCTTTCCTCACGACGCGTGTCAGCTTCAGCGACCCGTCCATGATGAGACGACTGTGAAGGCGACATTAGATTGAATTTAAACTGGGCACGCATATATATGCTCACCGGTGGGGTTGTACGAGTGGGCTGGGGAACTTGCCCCGTATCCTCGCCTGCCACTGCACAAGCCTCCGGCGCGACTCTGCGTCCCGCTTGCCTTCGTTCATGTTGGTCGCGACTGAGGCGATCTCTTGGAGCGCGCGTTCGATCGGATCGTCCATGAACTCGTACAATGGAGGACTGGCGCGGGTGAGTTCCTCGAGCTACCAGAAGGTGAGTACAAGCCACATGGGAAGCACCGCGGAAGGCTCACCAATAGACGATAGCGAGGAACGCGCTGTACGGGCAGCAGCAGATAGCCCTCCAAGTTGAGTTGTGAATGTCTAGGGTTCATCCGGCAGCGCTTCAGGTACTGCTTAATGCGTTTCCGCTGGCTCGACGACAGAGAGACTGCGTTGTTGGAAGGCGCGCTGTCCAATGCGCCAGCGTTGCCGATACCGGCAGACATGGCGAGACCAAGCCCAACCAGCTGTGAGCTGCTGGCTGAAGGCGACAGCGTCTGTGCGGGCACAGCAGGGCTGGGCTTGTCAGTCGTCCACATCTTGATGCGCTGCACAGAGTTGTCGAAGTTGCTAGCGGACAGTTAGCATCTGACAGCGGCGCTCGACATGTGGGAGACTTACTTGATGTAGGTCGAGTACATCTTCATGAAGGCAGCATGCGAGACGAACGTGTTCGCTACGTCGCGCGCCACATACAAGGATAGCTGCCCGTCAAGGTCACCAGGCTGCGTAGGCGCCAAGAGAGGCGCTGATGCTCGCTCAAGCGCAGGAAGGAAGCTCTCTCTGTGGAAGTAGAACAGTGCCTCCAGGCCGCTGAACACGACCTTGCGCTCCTGTGCAGGCACGATGGTATCTTTGTTCTGGACACCGCTCAGCCCTGATAATGGGGCAGAAGCGGGCCGAATATAGATGTCGACGAGCTCCTGCAGACCCTTCACATACGTGCGCTCCGTCCTGTTCGCACGCAAAGATGAGCACAGCGTCCGCAGGACATATAAGATGAGACGCACTCTACGATCTCCCGGATGATCCTCGACCGCTTCGCCTTGTCATCCTTGTACTTCTTCTCCTCGGCGCCTCCCGAACCCGTGCTGTCCGTCGTCGCCACGCTGTTCGTCTGCGTGGTGCTCCCGATGCGCCCCTCCGTCGACCGCAAGTTGACAGAGTCGGGCCTCGATGAAGACCCGCCGGAGACGATCGATGCGACAGAGTTCTCACCGTTGAGCCGGCCGTTGTCTACCATGGTGGGTCGACGAGAGCGAGTGCCGGGCGACTGAGAGTCGAGCGAGGCGAGCCCATACAAGGACAGAGTCTGAGTCTGCGACCGAGTAAGGTCGTGCATATCTTTCAGATACGACATGACGGAGCGCAGCGCACGGATCCGGGCTTCCCTCGCTCGCTCCTCCTCGCGCCGCTGGATTTCCTCGTACGTGTTCTCCAGCTGCACAGGGCTACGTTGCACCGGGCTCGGCACTGGTGGCGCCGACTCTTCCTGCTCTTCGCTGTTCGTGGCGGTGACGCCGGGAACAAACTGCGAAGCCGCCGGAATGGGGATGGGCGAGACGTCGATGGGAAGGAAGCTTCTACGCTTGTTTGCACGTGATGTGGCCTGTAAACCCCCGGGAACAAGCAAGCTGTTCGACGAGCCTGGCGGAGCCTGTTTCGCAGCCTCGTTGGACATCTTCTTCAACTGATCGAGCGGTGACGCGGTGAGCTTCAAAAGGTCGTTCGAGTGTTTGCGTGATAGGCTAGGCACGATGGGTAGCTGGTCGGTAGACTCATGTTGTTGCAGGAGGGTGCCGGTCGTCGAGATGCGCACATCGAGGAGGGGGGTGGAGACCATTTGCCTAGGTGGCGGGGGTCGAGAGGGATAAGGCGATTGTTGCTGCGGTGGCACCTGGGACTGGTGCAATGAAGAGCGGGACGGCGGGGGAGGCTGGTCTGTCCGCATCTTCCCCATCGACATCTTCTTGAGGAAACCCCAGCGGCTGCTCTTGTCTTTATCCTCCTTCATGCGAGGCCGCGGAGGCAACGCATGGTCCATCGCGTAGGCACCCTCTTGCGGGAAGATGACCTTATTCGGCAGAGGAGGGACAGGCTCGACTAATGTTTCCTCTTCCGTTGGGCTATCCCAGATGCTGCTATCCACCGTCCTCCGCGAGCGACTGCTCATGGTAGGAGACATCGCCCCCGACGCAACGCCCAAGCTGGCGAACCGCCGAGGAACGGACTGGCTGTCTTGTGAGGAGGAGCTAGCGATGCTGAGGAGGTTGGAGCTAGACGCGGAGGCGGACCCTACATATTCGCCAAGTGCCCCGCGCTGGGGCGACGACGACGACGACGCCGGTGGGGTTCTCTGAGCGTTCCTCCGCAGTTCTCCCGCGCTCTTCATCCTGCGCACCTCTTTCTCCGTCTCCGCTGCGGCCCTAGAGAAGTCTGATGGTCCAGCCTCGCTGAACATAGACTTAGGCCCCTTGCTGCTGGTGCGGCTTTTGTCGTAGTATGCGCGGTTGGGAGTGGTCCTTGTGCGCGACAGACCGGGCGAGGGAAGCTGGCCAGGCTGGCCTGACGGTGGCGCAGTGATAGAGCGCGCAAGGGTGGGCGGGGCGCGGGGGGAAGTGACGGTCAGGTCCTCTTCTTCATGGCTAACATGGTCGATTCGGGGTGAGAGTTCATCGGAGTAGCCGTCGTCCGTTGTTGCCGTTGTGGTGCTCCGCATACTGGCGGAGTGGAGGGCAAACATCGGGGTAGAGGGGGGCATCCCCGGGGAAAGAGGTGAACGAGAAAGCAACGGCTCCATAAGGGCCTTCCAGGGACCTTGGAACGGGTTACCGTCGACGAGCAGCGTTTCCAACGCTGTCAACTCGCACAGCCAGCTGGGCAAAGAATGCATCTTGTTCCTCCGAATGCTCAGAGTGTGAAGCATCTCGAGGGAAGCAAGCGATTCAGGAAGTGTGCTAATGCCAGTAGAGTCTACGATGAGAACACGGAGGCTGCTGAGCGTTGCCAGGAAGGTTGGCAAGGCGCGCAAGGGGTTGTACGCAATGTTCAGCTCCTCCAGGTTGACACAACCCGACAGCGAAGGAGGCAAGGCACTGAGGAAATTCGCAGAGATGTCAAGCGCAAGCAGGCAGGAGCTAATTTGGGGAAGAGCGGTCGCCAGGAATGTTGGTACGTGATTCGGAGTGGACGAAGACCCAATCAACAGATGTGTCGTGTCTGCGGCGTTGACCCGCGCGGTCAAAATCGGTGTTCATGCGGAAGCGCAGGAGAAGGGGCGTACCTGAATGCACCTGTAGACGCATGATGGGCGCGTCACCTCCTCTTACGATAACGCCCCGACCTTCTTCGGCCATGAGCGCTGCGCTGGTGGGCTCATCGGGCACCTCTTCGTCGTCGACTTCCTCGTCGTCATCGAAGGAGGGGTCATCGTCCAATTCGTCTTCGCTACCAATGCCAGCTTCATCCCGCTCGTCCGGTCGTTGCCAGCCCATGTCGAAACTGGGCGTGGCGCGCAGCACAGGGAGGGGCTTGTCCTGCGAGGGCTCCACCTTGGAGTTCGCGAGGGACGAGGATCGCGAGCGCATGCCGTTCGCGTAATAATCTGACCACCGACCTTGATCGATTGGTGTCCTCCCTTGCGTCGCGGATGAGGGCGCGCCCGACTCCTGCGTCTTGAGCTGGACGATGTCGTCGGTGGTTATACCCACCCCGACGCCACGCGTGGCCTCGTCTTCGCCACCCAGAGCCACGTTCACGTGCCCGTAGTCGCCTGACTTCGCGGATCCCGTGTACGCAGATGAACGCGTAGAAGCAGAGGAAGAGTCTGCTGAAGATAATGCCGGCGTTGCGGAGCCGAGGTGCCAACGGGAAGGTCTATAAGGGTAGGGATCAGGGAATTGCGAAGGGTCGGGGAGAGTAGTAGTTGATGTAGAGGGGTGCGATGAATGCGAGTAGCCGGAGTCAGAGAGAGCACCGTCCTCGTCGTTGCCGGCACTGCTAAACGCAGTATAACCCAGAGCAGACAGAGACTGGGAGGAGATGACGGGGGGAGGGGTAAGCATAGAGGGAGGGGTGTTCACGACGTAGCCGCTGGAGGGGGACACGCCAGGGGACTGTGGGTCGTAATCGGAGTTCCAGTCGTCTGGGGTCGCAGATATGGTGGACGGTGTTGGCGCGCGAGGCCTGCTGAGCATTGCAGACCGGTCGGAGGTGGGCGAAAAGGGGGAGGACGGAGAGAGCGCAGAGAAGTGATACAAGGCGAGCTCTGCAAAGAAGCGAGAGTCAGATCAGCAACTGCTGCGAATCACGGCGGTACGGAGAGGCCAGGAAAGACCGTGGGTGCCCGCGAGATTATGAGGCGGGACGATGGAGGGGATGATGCAGGGGCGGGGAGAGGGGCAGAGAGGGACGGGAGGAAGGAATGGTGGGCGTGGACGAGCGTGCGCTGTGCGGTAACCGTGACAGGCCAGCCTTCGCAGACTTCTCCGCCTGGGCGCATTTTACGGCGGGCCCCAAACTCGCCCTCCTCCATCATTCCTCGCACAACTCGAATGCGCACTCACCAGACTTGCGTCGCTGCGTATACCGCTCCTCCTCGTCCGCCCACAACCCTAGCACCGGACTGTCCACGTCGTCGTGCTCCTCCACAAGTGGCCCGCGGTCGGTGTAAGACGAGTACAGGTCATCTTCCGTTTCAGAACTAGACATTCGGCCGGCCTTGCGTTCCGTCGTCGGGGTCGTCACAAACGTCCAAAGAGATGTACAAGGCGAAAAGGAACAGGCAGAGAGCCCGGCGGTCGTCTCGAGCGTGGGGTTGCCGTCGCGAACAGTAGTTACCACAACCGCCCTCGATCCCATGAGGCTCCTCCCATGCCGAGCCAGATCATCCATCTGTTCGGATTGATCTGTATCAGTTCGGTACAGCCTACAGCTCCCTTCACTAAATTAACGATTCGTAGCCGACTTTAGCTACTTGAATCCCAGCTACACAACATGCTAGTCTCGTGAGTAACACAGTAGCCTTCCTGCTCATGTCCATCACCACCTGGATTCAACCCAGTAAGCAACGCGACACCCCTTCCTGGACAAGCCAATCGCCATCAAGCTTGTGGGACCTGACACTGGACATCAGCACAAGCGAGTCGCTGCCTCATGTCGGGATGTAACCCTACGATTTAGGAAGTCTGCCAGGCTAGAAGGATCTTGCCCCACCGTGGCACCAGCGCGGAACCCCTCGTCGAACGTCCGGCAGTCGCAGCCACTTGTCGTCGTCTGCAAAAAGCTGCTCGATTGCCCGCGCGGACTGCGCTCGCTGCGGACAAACATCCGCAACATCGTACTGGCGCGCCCGAAATCGCGCGCAGGCGCAGAGGATATCAGCCCACACCGGTGATAGGACGACGACACCGACGCACTGCGCTGCTCAATGAAATCTGCGCACACGATCGGCGCGCCGCGCTGAGGCCACAGGCCTAGTCGGCGGCGGCCCGCCCGCCTATGTTTTCCCGCTCTGCCATAGGGGCTCCAGGGGAGCACCTTCGCGAAGAGTCTTTCTCGCCACTCTTCTCTGTCGTTCGTCGCAGTATCAGGAGGACGCATCATGATAATCAGTCAATGCCAGAGTCAGGCGACTCAGGCCGCCCCAGTCGTCGCGGTGCAGCCATCACGGAGAAGCGCTGTATGAGTAGTGCGACAGTTCACTTACGCATGTTTGAGACATTGCACCGGTGTACGCGACGATGACGCGTCTATAGGTTGCATGACACCGGACAATGTGAGCGACCTGCCGACGTCCCCGTTGCTCAAATACTGATCCGCTCTTTAGGATCGGTATGTACGTACGCGCAGAGAGCGATCGCGACCAGGGCAATGCGCCCCGCGGCCTCCACACAGCGACATACTTACTAGGGCCGGCTGTCCGGAGGTGGCGAGAGCAACATGCATCACGTCCCGCCCGACGCTTCAGACCTGCATCCTCTGAATCCCGATCCGACAAAGAGGCGGCGGCGCGGAACAGGTAACATGGGCCGCACTCCGACGTCGGCAGACTCCAATGCTGCTCCCCGAGGCTCACCGGAGGAGGCCTTGGACCCTGGCGCAAACCTCCTGTCAAACGTCGCACCCTTGATCTGAGCCCAAAATGTGAACTCGACATCTAGACAGTGACGGTCACTTGGTCAAGCAGCTGCGACGAAGGGTCTGTGGTGCACGGTCCGTGACCTGCCAGTGCATGTTTCAATCCTTCTGTCCGGCACTTGAAGCAAGCCCTCTCTATGGGCGCATTCTGGTACGCGTCAGCAGTTCAAGAGTACGCTTCCACGACTGAGACGGCTTCAGGTAGACTCGATTGCGATATACATACGCGTCATGGGACCCAGGCCTCTACTCGCAGATGGTGGCGACTTTGCAAGCGATCGCCAAGTCTCGAAAATCGTTTCCATGCATGACCGGTTCACCCGGCCGTTGCGTCCTCGGGTTCTCAAACTCGCTATCGACGTTTCTGTGATAACCGGGGTCGGCGTAAACCACAGACGTGCATTACGGTCGCTGAAGCACCGGCACCGGGCTCGCCTGCAGGCAAGTATGTACGTAAGTTCAAACAAGACTGGAAGCACACTGACATAGACCCGCATATACTCACTCATGAAACTCGAAATACAGCGCAGCCTGGCCCATGGATACCGGGGAAATCCGCACCCTCGATCGCGCGAACACGCTGTAAGCATTTAAACTTGGAAGTTCTGAAGGAAGCGCCACCGATCCGACGCTGCGCGGAGGCGTCCTGGAGGCGTCAACTCCGTCACTTCTGACCTACCGCTACGATCGCATGTGAACATGTGAATACACATTTAAACATGCGCATCGCCGGCGTACCTAGAGTCGGCTACCGACGTGTGCACGCGGCCAGGCGAACCCGTCCCTACCGTCGTCCATTGCAAATTGGATATTCAATATGAGTCGGTTGTAGGAGTATGTGGGTCACTTCCATCTGTTGTGGACGCCTCTCGTCGCCTCAAAATAGACTTCCAGCTGTTAACCGGGTTATCATTATACAATTCCGGATACTACATCTACAGTACAATAAGCAGCGTGCGCTGCAGCAAGGGGTTATACTCCACGGTGGCACATAGAAGTGGGGACCGCGCATTACAGAGTCGTAAGCATTACGCGGCGGGCAAGATACCGAACCGTTTTTTACATCTGCAAGATGGCAATCATTGAGCGACTGCGCGTAAGCGTTCGAAAGGCAGAGGGAACGCACCAGCCACTGCCACCACTTCTCGACCCAGTTGCGGGGAGGGGGCTCGTCGTAGGTCTCCGCCTCGATCTCCTTGAGGCCGGTGATGAAGTCCATGTCCTCGGGCCGGACCATGGGCGTGCGGAAATAGAGCTTCGCGCCGATGTAGAGGATGGGGAAGAGCGCGAGCGGGAGGTAGTTCGTGACGAACGTGTCCGTCGCCCACTTGCCCTTCAGGAACACTGCCCAGCCGGAGAACTGCACATCGCGCGCGTTAGCCGTGCGGTCTATGTGAAGGACAGGGTGTGGGGTACTCACGAAGCAGATGAAGAGGCACATGAAGATCGCGTACCAGGCAGCGTACGGCTGCAGCACGTGAGCGTACGGGAGCGTCGCACGGTCGAAGCCCTGGAGCTTGAAGCCCTTGTAGAAGCGGACGTACGTCACGCTGATACCGAACCACGTCATGAGTCCGGCGATGGAGGTCACTGGGAAGAAGAGCGTTAACACGCTGCTCCGCACGAGTCTTGGCAGGCGTATGCCGGCGACTTACTGTTAACGAACCACCCGAAGACCCGGCCGGATCCAGTCGACACACCCATGTATGCGAGCGTGGAGAACGCGGCGCAAGTGAGGAGAGAGACGATGGGGAGGCCGTTCTTGGTGACCTTCTTGAAGATCTTGGGCGCATTGCCGACAGTGGCAAGGCCGTCTGTAAGGTGTCATGCATAAGTATCGAGCGTCTTCGTGAGGATGCAGTAACGTACAGAGTGCACGGGAACTCGTGTACAAGTCACTAGACGCAGCGGACCACGCGGAGGTGAGGAGGGCGGCGTTGATGACCGATGGCAGTCCTGTGATACCGGCTTTGCGGATGGCAATGACGAAGGGCGACTTTCCAGCATCGGAAGTCGTAATGCCCAGACCCGGGTCCGAAGAAGGCACGAGAAGGCCAATGATGGTGACACCGCCGATGTAGAAGAGCAGGATACGGACGTAGACGCGCTTGATGGCCTTGGGCAAGTTGCGACGAGGGTTCTTCGCCTCACCTGCTGCAATCTGTGATTTCCGTCGCATAAGTGTCACGTAAGTTGGGGAGGAAGGGAGTACGTACAGCAACAATCTCCGTGCCGATGAAGGAGAACGCAGCCTGGGTCAAGACAGCGAAGAACCCGAGGAACTGGCCCTTGGCGCCCGCGATCCCGTCGTACTGCACAAACGGACCCGGGTTCTTCCAGTAGCGGAAACCAAGACGGTCGTGGTTGGGACCACCGCCGAGGTCGAGGACGATACCGAGAATGATCAGACCGGTGATAGTGATGACTTTGATGGACCTGCATCGACACGGTTAGGCGGGCGGAGATGCTGCGAGGGGGCGGGAATGACATACGCGAAGATGAACTCGCACTCTCCGTACACACCCGCACCGAACATGTTGATCGTGATGACCACGACCAAGCAAATCGTTATCCATACGGCGTTGTTGACCGATTGATTCCAAAAATTGATTAGGACGGCGGCCGCGCTCAGTTCCGCAGGAAGGATGATAGTCCAGTTATACCCTGAGTAAGCGGTCAGCTCGGTTGTACTCTCATCCGCACTGCTTGCAGCCGCGCCGCAGTGGGTACGCACAGTAATTCCAGCCCTGCGTGCGGTTTATCAGCAAAACGCCGCAGTATGCCATGTCATCACGACTTACCATAACGAAGGAGAATGCCGGGTCGACGAAGCGCTCTGCGAGCTTGATGTGACCGCCGGGTAGCGGGAGGTATGCGACCATCTCTCCGAGAGAAATCTGAGGTGATCCAGGTCGTGTGAGGGAATTGGACGATTTTCGCGGGACTAATTGTACGCACCATGACACTGTAGCAGACAGTTCCGACGACACCATAACCGAGAAGTAGACCGATGGGACCTCCTTGCTGCAGCGAGGTCGCGGTACCCAAGAACAGACCAGTACCGATGACACCACCGATACTATACGAGACGTGAGTTTAGCATAGGCGAATACCGAGAATGGTAAATTCAACGAACCTGATCATGGCAATGTGCCTGTTCTTGAGTTGACGCTTGAGGGTGTGCTCCGCGTGCACGGGCACCTGGTTCTCGGAATCATAGTCCAGGTGCTTCTCCGCGACGACCTCGTGAACGAGATGGGGGTCTGAGCCCTTGTCTTCGACGCCCATGATGGCTAGTGAGAGAGACAGAAGACTGCGGATGCGGGATGTGGAAGGGGGGATCCTCTCATTGGCAGCGGAGGGGAGCAGACAATTTATATACTGCGATCCATGTGCCGTCTGGCGCTTGCAGGAAAGGGCCGTGGATGTCTGTATTGGGAAGATAGGTACGGCAGAGAAATTTGCCCGCGATATGACTGGAGGATTTCAGCCTGAGCCAAGGCCCAAGCGATCCTCTCCAGCATCTCTCGCAGCTATCAATCTCCCGACCTTTCCGGCCTGCGCTGCCACTCCCGCCAGCTACCCACCTATAGCCGCGCTCACACACGCTGGAACCAGTGCACGCAGAGCTCGGATGAGTGCCGGGCAGGTGCCTGCAGCTGCCCGCAAAGGCAGGCGGGACGCGGGAGAACAGCCGCACTCTCCCCAGTCGGGCTCGATCGTGCAGGACGGGCACGGGCGTCTATCTGTGGAGGGTGAAAATCAATCTGCCGTGTGCAGTCGTCGTATCTCAAGATCGTTAGCCGATGCGGGGTAAGATCATGGGCCGAACCTTACCATATCTCGTCGCCCTCGTCGCTCGTAGCACACCGAGAGTTCGCTTACGATTCAAGGGCCCATGTGCTCTCTCAAGCCCCAAACGTCGCCTCGGCTGATGCGCGACACCGTCGTCCGCAGCTGAGTCAAGAAGTACTGGGACGCCGCCGTTCTCCCGCGCTCGTTCGGGGGAAATCGCGAGCGCACTGGTCCCGCAAAGATAGGAGGCGCGGTTGCCAGAGTCGGGATTTCGGAAGACGCCTCGAGAACGTCCACGTCTGTCCATACTCGATCGGGACATATGTTTCCCCCGCGATCATTGATCGCGGGGCCCACCGGCGCCTCAGCGCCACCGTTACGCGTACTTGTATCCACTGTCTCTCTCACCGCGCCCGACGGATCCTGGCACTGCGCGAGGCTGAGCATCCCAGTCTGCCAGCGGACGACAGCGTGTATCTGGCAGCCAAATACCCGCGTAGGAGCACAGCGGACCGCGGAGCTGACGAATTCAGCGGTCAGCGGAAATTATGCAGCTCACGCGACTCCACCTCCATCCCGGTCGGTTTCCACCACTGTCACGGGTAAGCGAGAGCTGCTCAGGCACCGTCTCCTCACTCCCGTCTCTTTAACAGCAGCTAAGCGAGCCCTATCTCTTGGAAGAGTGAAACGCCGGGCTGTGCAGGACGCCGCCCTGCAGATACGCTGAGGCACCCGATAAAAACGCACCCAGGTCGCCGGGACGCCGTCTCTCGAATCTTTGTGCTAATCCGGAGCGCGAAATGGATCCGTATTTTTGTCCAGTTCTGCCACCATCGCCGCCATCTGTCAACGGTAGACTGTGCGCACGGTGGCGGCGGCTCGTACAAACACACCGCAAGCTACGACTCCGAGTCCGATAACCTGAACAGGATCCCTTCCACCTCCGCCATCTCCATCTCGTCCTCCTCGGAGTCGTCTGGTAATGGCGCATGACCAGCGGACGACCCCGCCCCGCCTCTCGACTGCGGCTGGGTCCGACTCCGAGGCCGATACCATTCACCCGTCGCAGCGGACGCTTCGGTGCCGCGAACCATCGACGCCCCCGGTCCCTCCATAAAAGGGACAGTCCAGGGCGCAGGCGCGGAGGCGGCGAAGGCCTCGTCCGTGAGAGCAAGCGAAGGCACAGACGGAGGACCCGATAACGAGCCCGCTGCGCTGTCCGCGCCATCAGCGATAGACGCATCAGCATATCGCTCAGTCGAGCGTCCCACCCGCTCCCCCGCTACGCCAGTAAAGGGAAGTATTCGCCCAGACCCCTCGGGCGCGTCCGGGCCCGCCGGCGGTAGCGTAGATGGGCCAGCCACAGGCGCCGCGTCTGGAGGGGGACCAAGTACCAACGGCGTAGACTGAGAGTCCTCATCGGGGTCGTCGAAGGCGCCGTGGGACCTCATCGGCCAGAGGCTGAAGTCGTAGGTCACACCCTTCACAGGCGGTGTCGGTTTCAGGATGCTTCGTGGCATTTCGACCGCCGCAGGGACAGGTTGTGGGAGCTCTGCTGCGGGCGGCTCGTCCACGGCGGCAGGGACAGGTTCCGGGGGCCATCCCGCAGGCGGCCCGTCGACGATGATTCGTGCGTAATCCGGCACAACTGGTGGCGGCTCCAGGAAGGAGACCTCTTCCCTAAACTTCACCTTCCGGCGCTCCATCAACGACGCGACGCGGTCCTGTTCGAACCGCACCCTCTTCGCCGCCCGCATCCCCTCCGTGGTGTCGGGATGCTCCGCCGCAGCGCGCTGCCGCTTCAGCGCGCCGAGCGAGATGTGGCAGCCCGCCGGCAGGTTCCGCTTGAAGGACGGTGCGCGCACTGTTGGCTTGTCGAACCGGTAATAATGCAGCCCTTGCAGGGCTGCCTGGATGGCGTTCGTGTTGCGGATGTGTATGTTCCGCATAGTGCTCGCGAGGGACTCCATTGGCGGGGAGGGGACGTAGTACCCGCGAGGACCGTTGTATGGCTTGTCCGCGAAGTCGCGTACGAAGTCCGGCTTCTGCGGATACCTCTGGGTCGGCTGTGCCCGCAGAAGAGTATCTGAGGTGCCAGTGTCATATGTGGTAGATGAACCTGTGTGCCGATTAGCTCGGTGCACGAGTAATATATGGCATATACGCACGTTCATATGACGGTGGAGGCGATGCTGGCTCGTCCGTGCTTTCATTGCCTCGGGCCCGTTTGTGCGGAGACTCGCCATCCTCTACCGCCTGACGCGCCTTTCGTTTGCGAGACCTCGACGGTGGGGCTTCCGACTCCGACTCCGATTCTGGTGCGTCAGATGACGGAGTCGGCGGAGGCAAGCGGTCGATGAGCGGAGACAACATCTCTATCGTCTCACGCTGCTCCATATGCTCTATCGCAACCTCGAACGAATCAATACAACGCTGCAGCTCGTCCGGCGCCTGTCCAGGGACGACATGCCTCCGGTGCGCCACATCGGGCGCGTTCGTGAACCGTTTTTTCCACAGGTCGACCGGGATGAACGGCTCCTCGCGCTCCTCGAGCATCGGGCTCTCCGCAGGCCGCCCTCGCTCGCGCAGCCGCTTGTTGCGCTTCTCGAGCGCGACGAAGCGCGCCATCTTCGCGTTCTCGCGCGCGCGTGCGCCGTCGTAGTCGAGTTTGTACGCGACCTGCCGCAGCTCCAGCGCGAACTCGCGCCGGTCCGCCTGCTCGAGCCCGAGCTCGGGGATGGGGAAGCGCGCGCGGGCGGCGTGGAAGTTGACGAGCGTGACGTGCCCGTCGCCGCCGATGAGCATGTTGCGCAGCTCGGCCTCGCCGTGGAGGATGCCCCGCTGGTGCAGGATGATGTAGGTCTGGTAGACGACCTTCTTGAGCACGGCGGGCATGTCGGCGGAGGCTTCCATCCAGAAGGAGGTGTGTGGGAGCTCCATGAGGAGGGAGATGGAGTGAGCGCTCTCGTAGAGGTTGATGATGTTGGGCACGATGAAGCCCTGCAGCGCTCGCATGTAATATGGCGAGGAGTAGAGTTTGAGCTGTGGTATGGGGGTCACTATACTGAAAGGTCGTAGAGGTTTAAGAGGAATATACCTCAGAGTAAAATCCTCGCCACTGATCGCGCGAAGCACGAGACCAGCTAGATACGTTCATTTGAGCTTATGATATGGATTAGATGATGATAACATACCTCTTGCACAGATAAGTTACTTCGGTACCGTCGATCTTGGCCCTCATAATGCTGGTGGCGCATGTGGCGTCAACTGTGGCAAGTAAGAACTCGTCTCTCGATCCCGCTAGAGAGCTTGAGACAACGCACCAGAAATGTTACGCAATGTTACAGCGTCTGACAGAGGCTTGTTCTGTGTCCAAAGCCACTTGTTCACGGGGATATAGGCGGGTTGCTCGAGAAGACCGCCCGGGATCTTAGGTGCATTTATTTCGTCGTCTTCTTCGTCGCTGCTGGACGTGTCAAGGGCCGGCCTGACAGTCCAGTCGACACGGGCATTGCATCTCGACTGGAACGCTCTCGGAAGTCGAGGAGGACGGGGCTGTGGCGTATCGGCGTAGGGCGCGTACAACGCAGTGAAGAACGAGCTTCGTACTTCCCCGTCCACAGGTGCCGGCCCCATCGCCACAGGCTCAGGTTGTGGATATCCCAGTCTCGCAGACTGATGTGGCGCGACTCTAGGAGTAGCAGACCGATGTGGCGCTGCTATATGAGCGTCATGTTCTCTCCTCCGGCCTTGTCTAAGAGGGATGCGCTTTGGTGGCGGGGCCGGTGGTGCCGATGCCCAGGATGTGAGAAAGCCGAACATTGAGAGATAGGGAGGGCGTAGCAGATGGTGGTAAGAGTGAAGGTGCGCGCAAGGGGTGGTAAGGTTTATGAGCCATCCGTGTTATTTGTCTGGCGGGCGGTGATGTGCGTGCCAGTGTGCCACCGCCAGCTGCAGGCAACGCCTTGTGTCTGAATAGGTCATGCTCGTTTCGGCACAAGCACCCGTGCCGCCCTTGTTGTCTTTAGACGCTCGTCAGCTAGCCGTAGCACCGCCACCCACCGGCGTCTCCCGCTCAATCGCCCTCGTCGGTTGTGGCGCTCTCCTTGCACCTGCACCACACGCATCCTCGCTAAGCTCTTCCAAAACAAAACGCACTGCGACCGAGGTGCACACACATTCTCCCAGTAATATGACCACGCTTTCCCGGGAGAACAAGCACAGGGTCAGAACCGGTGTCAGTGAGTGGGACTGATTTCGAAGAGAGGGCTGCGCTCGTAGGGCATACGCCCCCCCGGCCCTCGTTGACGTCAAGCGTCAGTCACTCATCAAACCTATATATTGTGGGTCCCTGGTCAGGGTGGAGCGGGGGCAAAAAGAGCAGGTAAGATCAAAAGCTGTGCCGGACCACCATGTCGTCTGTCGCCCGCGCAATTGCGTGACTCGGAGTCTGCGAGTTAATTAACGTGTAGCCTCTGGCCCTATATTTCTCCGGACGAGCACCGCGCCCACTTCGAACCCAGGCACCCGCAGGTCTCATGGATCCCGGCCGTCCTCAGCTACAGTCAACTGACCACTGGAGCTATGCCTACACTGGAACTCACCTAACTCGAAATGGGCCATTGCCCACCACTAATTATATGGCGACGGGGAGAAGACCTGTTGAATGCACATGGACGGTGACCTTGCAAGCACCTGCTCGCTTCCGATCACAAGGTTCTTAGCATCCCTGCTTCACAAAAAGTCCGAAAGTCGGGGCCGCACGGGCGGTAGAGCATCGTGCTCCACCGCCAGCGAATGAGGCGACGCTGCGACTCACAAACAATCCCGGCAACTTATACCAGGTGGCGTCACTTGTGGTATAGATACCGGACCCGGTCTCTTATTTGGTTCTACCGTATCACCACTGCCAGTGTTTCACAGTGAGTGTGAGCAGTCTGCGTTGGCATCAAAACTCACCGTTCCTTCTTCATGCACGACCAGATCACGATGTACGGGAGCGGCCCGCGACTTACGGCTCAGTCTCGGACCTCGACCACCAGTGGATCCTCGGAGTATCAGTCGTCCCAAACATACCTGCCCAATGCATACCGCGGACTCACGCGTCGCTTCCCTTCGTGACCACTCTTCGCGCTTATTCTTCGGAAGGCATATGCTGTGTCGCTGCTTAGTCGGGGGCAATAAGCATGCGCCTTGTGCAACCGGTCATGTTCTTCGCTGCAGCGCATGCATATAATCGCCCTCATTGCGAGCGGTCCTCTAGGCATCTGGCCCATCCGACTCGCTATGCTCCGCTTGACTCTCCTGGCGGTCTTTACGCTGCCGGCCGTGGTGACATTCGTCGCCGCGGTGTCCTCGCAGTCGTACACCTGGAAGAACGTGAAGATCGGAGGCGGAGGCGGCTTTGTGCCTAACATTGTCTTCAACCCGTCTCAGAAGGGGCTTGCGTTCGCGCGTACTGACATTGGCGGCGCGTACAAGCTCAATGCTGACGACTCTTGGACACCCCTGCTTGACTTTGTAGACGATGCTCGCTGGAACTACTGGGGCGTTGATGCGATTGCTACTGACCCCGTAGACCCCAAGCGTCTCTACTTGGTACGTGTTCGCAGCTCATCTCGTACAACTCTCAAAGATCTGACACGAACACATTTCACCAGGCGACGGGAATGTACACCAACTCTTGGGACCCCAACAATGGACAAATCTTGATCTCTACTGACCAGGGCTCGACCTTCACTCCATCGGTCCTCCCGTTCAAGGTCGGCGGCAACATGCCCGGTCGCGGAATGGGCGAGGTATACAGCGCTGGCTTTCAGCAATTCAGCCAATCTGATGGGCATGATTACTTGACGTCCTATAGCGACTTGCGATCGACCCCAACAGCAACAACATCCTGTTCTTCGGCGCGCGCAGCGGAAACGGTCTCTGGAAGTCATCCGACTTTGGTGCGACTTGGACCCAGATCAAGAATTTCCCGAATGTCGGTATGCACTTTCAACTGGACCTGGTGCAAAGCGCGCTTGTTGACGCAGACCTCTGCAGGAACGTACGTTCCGGACCCTACGGACACCTCAGGATACAACAACGACATCATGGGACTGTCCTGGGTGACCTTCGACACCACCTCCGGCTCGTCCGGAAAGGCGACGCCCCGCATCTTCGTCGGCGTCGCGAACAAGGGTAGCGACAACATCTTCGTGTCGAGTGACGCGGGTGCGACCTGTAAGTGTTCTGCGACTACAGTTCGATTTCAGACCAGCACGAGCTGACTTCCATGGCAGGGAAGGCGGTCCCCGGACAAAACAACACCTTCATTCCTCACAAGGGTGTCCTGTCTCCCGCTGAGAAGGCTCTGTACATCTCGTACTCCGACGGCGCAGGACCTTACGATGGCACGATGGTAATCACTACGACTCGCGAAAGAGTGGACAGCTAGCTGATAGGTCGTATAGGGAAGCGTCTTCAAGTACGACTTGACTGCTGGAACTTTCACCGACATCACTCCCGTTTCTGGAGGCAAATCTTGCTATCTTACTGTTGGTAGCACGAGGCTAAGCTATGTTTATTAGGCGATCTGTACTTCGGCTTCGGTGGTGTCGCCGTCGACGCACAAAAACCCGGCACAATAATGGTCGCCGCGCTCAACTCCTGGTGGCCAGATGGGCAAATCTTCCGCTCTACAGACGGCGGAAAGACCTGGACCGGTCTCTGGGCATGGCAGTCGTACCCAACGCTGAACCGCTACTACACCTACGACGACACGCTCGCACCATGGATTGGCCCGGACCTGACTTCCTCGGACCTCGTCATGCAGATCGGCTGGATGATGGAGGGCCTCTCCATCGACCCCTTCGACTCGAACCACTGGCTCTACGGCACGGGCGAGACCATCTACGGCGGGCACGATCTGCTCAAATGGGACACCGCCTCGCGCAACATCACCCTCAAGTCGCTCGCCGACGGCATCGAGGAGACGTCCGTGCAGGGTCTGATCTCGCCGCCCGTGGGCGCCCATCTCATTTCCGCAATTGGTGACGTCGACGGTACGTCTATTGTGTTCTGCGGTCTATCATGATAGAAGCTGAGTGTCGTCACCAGGCTTCGTCCACACGAGCCTGGATTCGGCGCCGCTGGTCTCGTACACGAACCCGACCTATTCGAGCTCTTCCGACATCGACTACGCTGGCAACGTCCCGGCTACCATCGTTCGGATCGGAACGACCACGGACGGCTCGCAAGGGAAGCAGGTTGCCATCTCGACCGACTCTGGCGTGACTTGGTGAGTACGGCATGCACGAACCCAGGTAGACGTTTTCTATAGGCAGTGCTCATACGATGGAACAGGTCGCAGGACTACGGCGCACCCGACGACGTCGGTGGCGGCAAGGTCGCACTCTCGGCCAACGGCGACACCGTGCTGTGGAAGACCTCCAGCAACGGCATCATGGTCTCGCAGTACACGAACCCCTTCGCCGCAGTGGCGTCGCTTCCGTCCGACGCGGCCATCGCGTCCGACAAGAAGAACAACTCCATCTTCTACGGCGCGTCCGGCTCGAAGTTCTTCGTCTCCACCGACGGCGGCAAAACGTTCGCGGCGCAGGGCAGCCTCGGCTCGTCGACGTCGCCATTCAGGGTCATCGTCCACCCGAACGTGACCGGGGACGTCTGGGTGTCTACCGACAAGGGCCTCTTCCACTCGACGAACACCGGCGCGAGCTTCACCGCCATCTCCGGCGTCTCGCAGGCCTGGTCCATCGCCCTTGGTGCGCCGAAGACTGCGGGCGGGTACCCTGCCCTCTTCGCGGCGGCCAACATCGGCGGCGTGGGCTACTTCCGGTCGGACGATGCTGGGGTCAACTGGGTGAAGGTCAACGATGCTGCGCACGGCTTTGGATCGGCGAGCGCGAACGTGCTCGCTGCTGATCTCCGCGTCTACGGCCGGTAAGCTATCATTCGCGTCTGAGCAGTAGTGGGCTTGACTAATTCAATGATACAGGGTATTCGTTGGAACGAACGGACGCGGTATCTTCTACGGAGACGTAGCCGGTTCCGCCCCTGCCCCCACTGCAACTGCCCCCGCCTCGACAGTGTCCGCCCCCGCACCATCCTCCACGAAGCCTGTGTCAACCTCCGCACCTGCGTCTACTACGGCTTCCTCAGCCCCCGCCACTTCGGCTCCTGCCAGCTCCCACACTTCGGCGCCCGCCACCTCGCCAGCCTCAGCTCCAGCCTCGACACCGACCGCCCTGGCACCGGTCTACGGCCAATGCGGAGGGCAAAACTGGACGGGACCCACGGTCTGCGCCGGTACGTGAATCCCAGTGTGTGTCGCGAACACTCAGTGCTGACGCGCGAGGCTATAGCGGGTTCGACTTGTGTGACGCAGAACGCATGTGAGTATTGAGGATGGTCGTTCGAGCGCAGTTGCTGACGAAGGGTTCCACAGTCTACTTCCAGTGCGTCCCCTCCTAAACGCCCATTGGATCCTGGAAAAACATTTCAAGCATAAGTTGGGCGGCATGGGACTGCTGGTGCAGAGCGGGTTTACCGAAACCCTGGATCCACGTACAGATAATGAACTACATGCCACGGATTCGAGGGTATATCCAGGAAATGTTACGAGTTCTTCCACTCTTCCTCCCAGACCTGTGAACATGTCGCTTCAATTCGGTTACATGCCATGAAAAGCCGTGCTCGGGACGAACCTCAAAGAAGCGGCGTCGTTCGCCGACTCGCACACCCCTGCAGCTGGTTAGATCCAGTTTCTCAAGACGTTCACAGGCGTCGATGATCGGGAATAGCCCTGCGCCTGAAGCAGAGTGACAGGTTAAGTCGCATGATCCGTCCACCAATCAAACGTGTGAACAACATACTCGTAAACTTAGTACTAGCCAGTTCCAGCGTCTGCAGATGCACACAAGACGAGATGTATGGGGCCGCCGTATCATCCACAGAGGTGTTGTTTAGGTTCAGATGCACCAGCTGCGACGACCCCTCGCCAAGGTCATCAGGCTGGGCAAGGCCCTCTAGGTCCGACGACCGCAAGGACGCGATGTTAGCCAAGTTTAGTTGCTGCGAAATTCAATGGCTGTCAGCCCCGGCCGCCGTACACTCACTGAACCCTGAGCACAGCATCCCTCTCGTACCTTGCAACGGCGGCCCACCCTACGGACGAACTGCGCGAGAGCGGCGTCAGGCCCCCGCCTGCCTGTGAACCCCAGCTTGGTGTTCCCGACCAGGTTCACGCGCTCTATATCGGGGCACTCCGCCAGGACGTCCGTCAATGCACGCAGCGTGTCGTCCGTCAACGTCATGGCGGACGTGTTGGAAATCGCAGCGCTGGAGCCCTGGCTTCCTCCCATGGCCCCGATGGCGAGCACCCGCAGCCGGCGGAGTGGTGAGACCACTGCGAGAAGGTCCGCGCTCGAAATTTTCGTGGACGTCAGGACGAGCTTTTCCAGCATGTGGCCTGCGGGTAGGGCGGGGCGTTTGACGAGTGTGAAGGATAGATCCAGACGTTCCAAGTTAGGGCAGATGGTGAACACGGGATTCAGTACCGTGTCACTGAGGGGAGCCTGACGAAGCTTGAGGGAACGTAGGTTGGGCAGTTGGAAGCCTTCCGTGACCCCTAACGCGCTCCATAGCTTCGAAAATGTTGTATCAGTCTATACAGGAGGTCCGTTAGTACGCAAGCCTCGCACGAGGCTTCAATCGCCGGAGGACGCTGTATTCACCCAGTTAGGGATCCCTGCGACCTTCAAAACCTCCAAGTTTTTACAGTTGAGTAGAAGAGGCGCGAGAGAGGCTGGCGTGACGGCGGTATAATTCACGTTCACAACTTGTAGTTGTGGGCAATGCTTGGCCGCTGCATCTAGGGTATTCTGCGCCACTTTCGTGCATCCGCTATACGACTTGTAAGTCGGTTTGGTTCCGGCAGATGCTGTCGATTCCAACAACTTGATGTTGAACTTACCGTAGGTTCAACTTTTGGAGAGCCGGTAGCTTGGACACGGCCGTCGCAAACGTCGCATCCGGAATTTTAGAGAAGCCGGTAAGCTCCAGCTCCCGTAGTTGATCATGGGTGGGCATATCCCCGACTGCGTATATTGTTGGCCGGGTGACGCCGGGGAGGTCATCGGAGAGGACGATAGAAGTGCCTCGCAAGAAGTACTGCAAACAGCAGAAGTTGTGTGAGATTGATTTCAACTGCAGAAATATGTGGCCCATACTGATACAATAAGTCCATGGGCCAGGATCGTCGGACACGTGTGCCTCAGGGTCGTGAAGATCTTCTGGACGAGAGCATCCGGCAGCTCCTTCAGCCACAACCGCACGTTCTCCCACATGGCCTCTTTGGTGGAGAATCGTTGAAAGTTGTCCGCAAACACCTTCAGGCATATGGCCCCTAGTGAGGGTATATGATCCAGAGGGAGAATGCGCTGAGATAGGGCGGCGGCGGAAGGCGCGTTCGCTTGCGCCTGAGCGGTCGGTATGTCATCGTCCGAGTTGGCTTGGCCAATCTCTCTCTTGCGCCGTTTGGCAGGTGGTTGGCCGCTTCGTTGACCCGCTTTTCTTCGCGTACTCATCGCTGTGTGCGGATAGCGCAGAGCTGCAAGTTTGATGTGTGTGGCGCGCCAAGTTCGTGGCCCGACAAGGTTGACCTTATGGCCGCGCGGTAGCGCTCAGCCACATGACGTAGTAATATTGAGCGCCTATGAGGCTACACCGTACTCTTGGTGTACTCAGGCACATAGCACTAGTATAGGACGATAAGTAATTCGTATGGTACATTCCGCAATCACGAAGGTAGTACAGGAGCAGACACGAGTGTCAATAATCCTTAACCCAGCACGCCAGGTAATCTACGTAGCGAACACGAGATGAAGCATCCCATACTGCCGCCCAAAACTGAAAGAAAGCAACAGAAGAGCGCAGAGCCCGGGAACAATCAAAGCAAGGGACGCGACATCTGCTTCACGCCACACGATTCAGTTTCTAGGTCACGAGCACAATTCAAGGGTACACACCTAACATGCAATCAATATGCTCGCAGATGCCACAACCACAGCGCGGACAGCAAAAACGCGGCGGGTCCCACCGTAATCCGCCACAGCACCTTGTCGAAGGCTGCAATCCGCGCCGCCGCATCCTTCTTGCGTAGCAGTACGAGAGTCAGCTGCGGGATGCGCACGAAGACGACCTGCAGGAGGTTGAGCGGCGCGGGGATGTGATTGTCCAAGCCGTACAGCCGGACGGTGCGTATAAATGCACGCCGCGCTTCCATCCCGACGGATCGCGTGTACCGGTCCCAAGGGGAGGACTCGGGTCCTTGAGACGCCGCGAGGAAGGGGTTGACGATCATGGCGTAGATCAGGGAGAAGCACAGGAGGAGGAACATTGTGAGGAGCAAGTACAAGAATGTGATTTGGGTGTCGGTTGGCCCCCCGACAAGGCTGTTGACGGACCAAGTCCCGAGCAGCCAACGGTCCAACGTTTGTGAGAGGAGCATCAAGGAGAGGATGAGGCCGGGTAGGAAGAACAGTGGCGGGATGAAGAGGGCGCGTAGACCCCTCCACGCAAGTACCGCGAGGGGAAGAATCTGTTCCGGACGCAGCAGGAATAGCGGGCTAGTCGGCTGGACGGGAAGGTGGAGGTAGATGAATTCCAAGTACAGACCAAGCAGTACGTTGGATAGCGCGTGAGAGCCAAAATGTGGTGTGTCCGGGAACCAGGAGAGGAATGGCATCAACACTAGGAGAGACGCTATCGTGGAAAGCGGCCAGGGTTGGGCCACTTTCCCCAACGCATATAGCAGGACGAAAGCGTGGCGGACACAACCGAAGTCACCTGATTGGCCGTTCACAAAGACATAGAGGATCCATAAGTATGCGAGATGTGTCCCAACGTTCATGATGTACAGTACCCTAAAGAGCGAGTGAGAAATCATCTCTTGCATCAAAGCTACGCTTACTCACCGAGGAGTAGCACAGCGATCTATGAAGCGCAGCAGGGAGGAAACAACGCCATCTCCTTCGCGGACACTGGGGCGGCCGTACTTCCATGTATCCATTAGGCTAAGATGGATTAGAGGGTGGCTTGTGAGATCGTCTGGGGCGTGGCCGGCCGCTAAGAAATCAATCACTGCAAGTTGTCCTTAGCGCTATATCGATGAGCTGTATAGTAACAGCGTCCTCTTACCTCGTGTGGTGAACGGCGAGTACACATCAATGGGGTATGCCGTCCACAGCACCTCTGCTATCTCGTCTGCGGTCCCAGCGTCTTCAAGGTACTCGGACCACACGCGAAGAGCCAGGTAATCGAGGGTGCTAATCCCCAGAGAATGTTGGTTTTTTTCGTGCCACTGATTCCAAACGTCGCGTCCGCGCGATGCTGTGACTCCTGCAATTGATTTACGGTAATGCAAGAGGACGCATAGGGCGAAAGCAGTTTGCGCGGGTCGCGAGGAAAGCGTAGAAGGATACAGATCATTGGTGTTGTATGTGGCCAGGTCCACGAGGTTGATCTCCGAGGCATACGTTCCTACGTGGGGCACGACTGTCTCGCTAGAGTCGTGGTGAGCCTCTTGCGTTGGGCGGCGGCTAGGTAATAGAGGGGTTCGTTCGGACGGTCTGTTAGACCCGCTAGAGTCACCGTTTGCACTAGCCATAGTGTTCCCGGGTGTATAACCCTAGCGTACGACCTTGCTGAAAACTTGTAGACGGGAGTGCAGTGGTGGGGGAGCAGAGACAAGCTTGAAGGCAGCTCGGAGTTATTGCCAACATACAAATACAGGCAGTGATGACCGCAATCAGTCCGCAGTATATTCTGCCAGACCGTTCCCAGACGGATACAACAGACGTGGCAGCTAGAGCAGTATTCACTCAAGAGCGGACGACGTGGACGCAAAGAGAGTCGGAAGTTGGAACAGAGTCGGAAGTTGAAACAGCATGTAAGCTACAGTCATGGAGGTTGTGAACCACGTGGAAGCGCGTAGTGCGTATAATGGGCGCCTATATGTAGCATAGCAGTGACGCTGTACAACGCGCGAGACGCGCGCGGACCGTTCACTTCTCGTTTGCCACCATGAGCTCGTCAACACCTCTTTTCGAGACAATCGAAGCCGATGAGCCCTCGGAATACGAGCAGCGCACTTCTGCTCAGGGAACTATTAACCCACCACCTACCACCAATTCTGGGTCCAATGCCTCCCGCCCAGCACAGCAGATGGCTTCGAATCCGGGAGACGCAGAGTCAGGTGTGTTTCCGAGACTGTTGCACTAGAGGAGTACAGAGAGATCATACCCGTGTGTGCTCGAAGGTCTTGCTGGCATACTACGACAGGTGCGCTCCCTTGAATCACGTCGCGCGTCCATACAAGTCAGCTCAACGTTCCGTGCCAGTCTGCACACCCCCTAGTCCTCTTCTTCCTCTACTTTTTCCGAGTGGCCGCTATCACAGTCTACATCCTCTGTGGGTTTTTCATATCAAACTATGTCCTTTCCGTGAGTGTATCCCCCCGCGTGACCTCTCTGTTAACGTCCTAAACGTCTGCGCCATGACAGTCCGTGATTGTTGTCGTCCTGCTCGCAATGGACTTCTGGAACTGCAGGGTGCGTACCCTATCACTCGCTTACTCCATCTTAACTGACAGCCTGCCCGTAGAATGTAGCAGGTCGGCGCCTGGTCGGCCTGCGGTACTGGAACCAGGTACGCTCCTCAGCCACATGTCTATCAACCTGCCCGTCCAACCTGCCCGTCCCCCGGTCTCCAGGTCGATGATGACGGCTCAAGCTATTGGGTGTTCGAAAGCCGCGACGTGCGTGCCCTCCGGTTCTCGCGCATATCTCCAGCTCAACTCGCCATTTCACATTGCAGCCATCTCGACCTGCCAACCCCATTGATTCGAAGTACGTCCCCGTCTGTGTACCATGCGCTTCTTCTTCGAACCCTCGTGCTAACGCGCTCCGGCCGCTCCAGGATGTTCTGGGTCAGTCAGACTGCGGTCCACAGCACTGACGTCGCGCTGACGCGCAGATGGGCCCCAGATCGCGGTGTACACCTTCCCGCTGCTCTGGCTCGCGCTCCTGATCGTCTCCTTCCTCAAGTTCAACCTGTCGTACGTTCCCCATTATCCCCGCTGCACCCACTGCGCCTTCGGCCTGCGGTCTGCGCGTGCACGTGTGCTGACTCCCGCTGTCCGCTGTCAGCTTCGTGCCCATCGTCGTCCTGGCGCTCGTGTTCAACGTCACGAACGGCATTGGCTTCACCTACGCGTGCGTACCGCATTCTTTCATCGTACGACGCGACGCAGGGCTGACCGGTGACTGACGGCCTGTCAACGTCCGCGTTCTGCAGCGACCGCGATGCCAAGCAGAAGTGGGCGAACAACCTCGCGTCCTCCGGCTGGAACATGGGCATGGGCGGCCTCGGCGGGCAGATCCTGACGGGCGTGGTCAAGAACAGCGTCGGCCGCGTCTTCGGGTGAAGTACGCGGGGCCCTCGGGCGATTCGCACCGCTATTCTTGCACGCATATATTTTTCATTCACTCGCGCTCTCGGTCGTCATCCCATGCGTCACGACTGACTGGGAGATCTGCAGTATGGAGTGGGGAATGCATGGTGTATTCCTCCTGGATTTCTGTCCGCTCTGCGGAGCGGCATATGAGAGGGGGCGTACATGTGGATCTGAGCGGCCCTGAGCGACGACACGAAGAAGAGCGGTGATCAAACGATGAATGGAAGAGAGGAAAATGCGCAAGAGACAGGGAACATGTCAGAAATTGCGGCGGACGGGGTGTGATAATATACAGTCGGGAGACAGAATTGCAGTGCTGCGACGATGCGGGGTCCAATCTATTCACACAGAATGGGAGAGACCGATGAGAAAGGCGGGGAATATGAACAGCGAACGAGGAGCAGCCGTGATAATGATATATGCCAGATGTGCCCGAGACCTCGCATATAAAGAGAATGTGAACAAGGCGGTCGCAAGCGTGAAGAATAAGAAAAAAGGGAATAAAAGTGTCCAAGTGTGAGACGGGAAAGCAGAAAGCGAAAATGCGAGAGAACCGGGATGTGGCACGGTGAAAGTCGCTAGGCAGAACAGACGGGGCTCGAGCATAAGATGGCATAAACAGACATGTCACATGTCATGCAGTACATCCGATGCGTGGGCGAGAAATGGGACGGGTCATGACATCCAGCCACGCACATCGACGCGCGATGAAGCGACCGTGGGCGTGGCGGGGGCAGTGAGGCCGATAAAGGATCTGCGGCGTCCCTCCGACTTGAACGTCGACACGCGAGGCGTCGAGATCGACGGGAAGGGGTACGAGTTCGACGTAATGGTCAGCGTCGAAGGCGTCCGCGCCGTGAGGGTGGGAGACGGAGGGAAGACGAAGAGTGTCTGAGAGGGTGTCGCCAGAGCCGAGGAAGCTTGGCTTCTCGGCGGAGTAGTTTTGACAGGTCCGCCGCGCAGATGCGCGGGTGGGGTTTCCGGCTTGCGGGACTCTGTGCGTGTCCGGGGGTGCGCGATGGGGGCGTTGACGGGGACGATGGGTGATGCGGGTACTGCAGGAAGTATACCGAGCGGGGGCGGCCGGCGACGGGGTTTGGCCGTACGTGGTGCGCGAGGAGTCAAGTCGAAGGTCGACCTCACAGCTGTGGCCGGCACTGGGGGAAGTGAGAACTTGGTCTTGTGAGCAGGCGCGGACGGGGGCAGGAACAAGCCCGGAGGGCGAGCGGTCAATGTACCAGACATCGGAGGGCTGAAGACGCCAGGACGGCGGAACGGCTGACTCGACGACTCTGACGGCGAGTCGTCTTCTGTGGGCTCCGCACTCGAGCTCCTGGCACCCAGGCTGACGGCGTCGAAGTTGCGGCGCACGCCGAGAAGTTCCTCTTCCTCATCCTCCTCGACGAGATCTTCGCTGAGGATGCTGCCGTTGGTGAGAATGCTGGCTGCGGAACCCTTGCGTTTGCGCTGACTGCCGTACTTCGATCGCCAAGCCGGACCCATCCCGCGACCGTGACCCGTTGATTCAAGTGACGACGAAGACGATTTGCGGGCGATGATGCGGTCTTCCATGGCCTGGTCGAGCGCCTTCGCTTCACGCATCATCTCGATGCTTTCACGGTCATCCTCGGTATCGGTGTCCTCCATCGCTTGACGCCTGCGACCCCACTCCTCTTCCGCGGAGAGTTCAGACGGGGTCGGAGATGAATCTCCCGTTTTCAGTGTCCGTTCATAGTCCAGGAGCTGGTAAATGAGCCTGGGACACGAAGCTACCGTGAGACGGCAATTCGTAATCGATCATCTGGAGAAAGAAGACCTACGACATGTTGGGGCCAACCCACTTGCTCTTTTCTTTGACGAACGAGTACGCGCCTTGCATGCCTTTCAGCGCCCATACCTCAGAGGGGACGCTTGCAGAGCGCTGTGCGGCTGCACGCATAACCAGTGCGATGACCAACGTGGCTGAGCGAGAGACGCCGCATTGGCAGCTACAATTTCAAAGGGTCATGAGATTGGTTCGAAGCAACTTCGAAAGCACGATGTATACGCACTGTACGAGCACGCCGTCTCCACGTTCCAGTGCGCGATCGACGAACGCGAACGCTGCTGGGAACCCTGTGTGCACGAGATCGGACTGTCCGTGCGACCAGTGGAGTTTGAGATAGTGCATGGCGGGTCTGCCGCTGGGTAAGTGCGCGGGGTAGTACGAGGAGTCCCGACGTGTTGAGTCCGTATGTGAGTCGTTCAGGTCGGGGGTCGACATGAACGGGCGCAGAGCTTGTGTGCTCTGCTGGTCGAAATCGGTCTGAACCTCCTTGGCTACGTTCAGGACCGATTTGATGCCTCGCTCCATGAGACCTCTCCAATCTCGAACGTTATCCTCCGAACCGAGCCATATCCCAGGCAAGATCTGAGCGGGCCCATCGGCGTATGCCACGGTGGGGGAGCCATCTCCATCCTCGCCTTTCCTACGAAGGAGGTTCGTACTTGTATTGGGAAGGGAGATGACAGACGGGCGCCGTTTTGGCCCCAGCGAAGGAGTCGGAGGGACTATGTTGGTGGGGTCGACGGCGGGGAGAGTGAGGGAGTTGGATGAGGATTGGGCCGATGGGAGGGTTATGGACAGCTTCTTCATGTTACGGAGGGATCGAGGTTTGCTGGGGGAGGGGAGGATAAAAGAATCGGCGTCAGAAGTGGTGGAAGAGAGGGTGGACGCGGAAGCGGAGCTGTCGCTCGAGAAGAAGGCCACGCCGGGGTTGAAAAGAGGCGTGTCGATGCGAAGGGGCGCAGGGGGACCCTTCCTGCGTGGCGGAAGGGTTGACTGCGGGCGAGGGGTCGCGGCGTCCATGCTGCTGGTTGGTTCAACACGCCGGCGTGTAGATAGCTGTAGCTGCGGGGTGGCCGGGGGAGATGACCCAGAGAAGAAGAGAAAAAAGGGAGAAAAAAGTACAGGGGAGAAGGAGAAGGAAAAGAGGACGGAGGGGGAGGGGGACCCAGCAAGCACTCGGAGAGGGAGGAGGAGGAGGAGGACAAGGGGACGGCGCGACCGACCGCCGACCATAACTGAACTTGGGCGCTTCGCGCACTGTACCACGCTGTTTGTGCGACTTTGTTCCGCGTGGAGGATTGGCAGACGCCCGATCCGGCCCATCGCTGCACGAGGCTCCCACTTGCTCTCGACGCCCGTCCCCTGGTCGCCCGCCGTCCTGTGCTGCCACTCCCGCCTCCCACTCCACCCTCGCTCACCGAGTCCTGTCTCCTGCTCGCGCTCAGTCTGCTGCGGAACTCTCCCGCCTCCACCACTCCTACTGCGCGAGTCGGTGGCTTGGCGCCGCCTCCGCAGGCTGCCGATTTGCGCGGCCAGTCAAGGATGAGCCGACCTCACTTCAACGTCCACTTCAGCATGATGACCCTTTCTGTCCTCCCGCACTCTGCCCAATCCAGGCGCGCGATCAGCTGCAGGCGGGGTGCCATCACAGTCCTAATGTGATCTGCAATTAGGCGTATGGATCCATCGTGAGCAATCACGACAGATTTGCAGGCACTTCCTCTACCTTCAACGACAAGTCTGCAAAAACAAATGATGATACGTACTAGATCAGCACGTACAGCACGCGACGTTAGAATCCGCTCTTCACAAGTTCGCAAGACACGACTGGCAACGTCGGCCGCCTGACATTCCCGTGAACGCTCAGTCTCACACCTCCAAGCTGTTTTGGCTCCGACCGTTATCCTCGCGTTTGAGCCCCTCGCAACGCGACTAGTGCAGCCCGGACTCGTGAAGTTGATCAAACCCTCGGACCCGGTATCCGTGTGCCACGGGCCACATTTGCGACTGTACCGGAGCTCCGGCAACTCATGTTCGCCACGTCCTTGTGCATCCTTCATATTCGCCGAGCACGCACCTGTTCCCTTAGCTACATGAGAAGACCGCGCCACGTCGTCGTTGCAATATACATAAAGCGTACTTCATGAATCGTCGAGAGAGCAGTGTCCTGCGGCGCGTGTGGCTAGGCGAGCGTCCCGGTTGGCCTCGGCGTGGCGCGACACGGTTACGGCGCGCTACAGACGCGCGGGTACAGTTCGGCCGTCCCCCGCGATCGCGCCCGACCAGCTTCCCGAGTGGCCTCACCCCAGCGCATTTCTCAGTCTGCGAGCGAGCCGCATGCCCGACCAGTTCCAGCTGGCCTTCGTTGCCTCCTTCCTCGGCACCTCCGTCCTCCTCTTCGCCCTCACCGCGTTCGTCAAGTCAAAACTTCACGCCGCAGGCTACCACTTCTCCGACCTCGTCCTCATCGGCCTCGAGAGAAAGCACCGGGAACACGTAGACGCAGACATGGCAGACTTCACGAGCGGCCCCTACGCCCAGCTCATCGCGCTGGCACTCGCCATCGTCACGAGCACATGGGTGTACATGAAGTTTGGTCGCGGAGGCAGTACGTCAGTCCGCTTGCATAACCCCTTACGAGGTTTTGACGCCTGCTTCGCTGGCCAGAGAGGAAGCCCGTCCTGGACCCTCAGGTATGGAAGGAGTTCCCCCTCCGGGAGAAGATCGTCATTTCGCCGAACACCGCCATGTGAGTTATGTGCAAACCCACATGCTTGCCTCCTCGTCTCATGCGGTACGCGTAAAGCTACCGGTTCGCCCTTCCTCATCCGCAAGATGTACTCGGTCTCCCCATTGGCCAGCACGTCTCCGTGTCGGCCGAGATTAACGGCAAGGACATCATGCGGAGCTACACGCCCACGAGCAGTGACGACGACCTGGGCCACTTCGACCTGCTCATCAAGGTATGTCCTGTCCCGGGATCCTCTGTACGTGACATTGGGCGCTTATGTTACCCGGCCCCAGGCGTACGAGAAGGGTAACATCTCGCGCTTCATCTCCCTCCTCAAAATCGGCGACAAGGTGCGCATCAAGGGCCCCAAGGGCCAGTTCCGCTACACCCCCACGCTCGCGCGCGAGTTTGGCATGATCGCGGGTGGCACGGGCATCACCCCCATGCTCCAGATCGTGCGCGCGGCGCTCAAGAACCCCCTCGACCGCACCAAGCTCTCGCTCATCTACGCAAACGTCAACCCTGAGGACATCCTGCTCAAGAAGGAGCTCGACGAGCTTGCCTCAAAGCACAGCCACCGGTTCAGGGTGTACTACGTGCTCAACAACCCCCCGCCCAGCTGGGACGGCGGCGTTGGCTTTGTGACGAAGGAGCAGATCGAGAAGCACCTGCCGCCCACGGACAAGGACATCAAGATCCTCATGTGCGGTACGTGCTCTTGTTACAGCATGGCGTGCGCTGCGTACTGACAGCTGTCCTAGGCCCTCCGCCCATGATCACGGCCATGAAGTAGGTGGCGGTATACCACGGCACGTTACCGCGTTTTCTGACAGTGCTCTTGCCATATAGGAAGCACCTCGCCGAGCTCAACTACGCTGCTCCCAGGACAATCAGCAAGCTCGAGGACCAGGTGCGTAGACCCGTGTTCTCGGCCCCGCCACCTTGGCTGATAAGTTCCGCAGGTGTTCTGCTTCTGAGCGCCCCGCGCGGCGCTGGGGGCTCGGTGTCGGTCATGTTACTAGATCTACTTCCCGTGTGGAATAAGCTTATACGGTGTTAATACGATCTCTTGGGTTAGCTGTCTGCTATGAACAGTCACGAGACGACCCGGGCCCGCGACGTGATTCCCAGCTTGAGAGCTTCTGATGTACCCGTTCTTGCAGCCGCCCGAGGACGCGGGAAGCGGCGCACGTTGTGGTCGGTCGATGCTATACAAGCCAAGCGGGAGCGCATAAAGCCCTCTGCGCAGGGCCGTCCTTCTCTACTCACACCTTCACGTATCCCAGGATCGGCGAGGTACCTTAAGGTGAGTTAACGTACTACCTCTTCCTATCCAAAGTCCCGTTCTCACAATCAATGCAGGCCATGTCTGCGCAAAGCGATACGCCCAAACATGCTCCGGACGCCGCTGATAAGACAACTACTGACGACTCCCCGGTGCATCCCGCGTTCTCGTCCCCCAATGCGGACATCGTCCTGCGCTCGAAGGACGGCACGCTCTTCCGGATATCCTCAGAGACCCTCAGCCGGTCCTCGGCATGGTTCCGCTCCATGCTCACTCTCCCGCAAGGCGCCGCCCAACCAGCCGCGGAGCCCATCTCTGTCGACGAGTCCGAGGCGGTCCTCGAAGCCCTGCTCTCGATGATCAGCGGCATCGAGCTCCCCGCGCTCGACGACGCGGACTTCCTGGAGGCCATCCTCAACGCTGCAGACAAGTACGAGATGCCCATGGCGCTCGCCGTCCTCCGCACCGCGCTCTTCTCGCCCTTCCTCCCTATCTCCCCCCTGCGCCTCTACGGCCTCGCGCGCCGCATGTCTTGGACGCGCGAGGCCACACACGCCGCGCAGGCCGCGCTCTCGCTCGACCTCCTCGCGCCCGCGTCCCTGCCCGAGCTCGTGCGCCTGGAGCCCGCGCACCAGAGCGCGCTGCTCGCGTCACACCGCGCGCGACGCGAGGCTCTCGTCGCGGGGCTCGACGACCCACAGCTCTTCGGGGGCATCCTGCACGACGGGGGTGGGGCTGGGGCGCTCATGGACGACGGCGAGCTGTGCCACAACCCGCTCGACCACAGCACGTGGCACGCGCTCAAGTACGCGCTGCTGCGGCAGTTCGAGCGCGCGCCCCCGGGCGCGGAGCTCGGCAGCGCGTTCTTCACGCTGCCGGAGGTCGGGGCGATGTACGGCGCGCGGTGCGCGAAGTGCGGGCAGGCGAACTATGTGATGCCGAATTTGCTGGAGGGGCTCGCGGCGCTCGTCCGCGATCTACCTAGGGGCGTCGAGGTGCGTGCCAGTGCGGAGGGGCCGGGTCCGGACCTGTGGTGACTTAGGTTCAATATGTGCAGGATCCGTGAGAGGGGTGTGGGGGCGAGGGAAGGGCGCGTGGGGCGCGCGCGTAGAAGAGGCGTATAGACGCGTCGTATCCTCGGAGCGGTGTCCCAAAAAACATTGAGTGGTCTCTATTCTTGTATTTGAGTTTCCTTGGGGATATGTACAACGTTGGTTTAGGATATGACGATCCTGCGATACCGGACCGTTGGGCTTTGAATCGACATCGTGGCGCACGTTGACGAGCGCGCATCGACGCAAGATAGGGTGCCATTATGCCAACCTCCACCTGTTATGTTAAAACTTACTGGTATTTTAGATCTCCAATCATACTCAAAGCAGGAGCTAGGGAGCTCGATTGGAATCGGAAGCACGTGTACACAAATACAAAGCAAGCGCATGCATTTATGTAAAGGCTGCGGCAGATGTTCAACCTCATACGCGACGTGGCTTCCAAAAAAGACCCTCACTCACTAACTCATTGACTCACTCCCATATCCACCTCGATATACGTAGCGTACTGGGTATGTGTTCGCTACGGCTTGGCCGCGCAGGGTCGCTCATATCCCGGTTTATAGCAAACGACATCAGACATGTCCGTTGGCACAACGCTTGCGACAGAGCCGAACGTCCCGCCAACCCTCGACACCCATCCGGATTTCTCATCTCCCAACGCCGGTGTAGTGTTGCAGTCCAGCGACGATGTGCTATTCCGCGTATCCTCAGACCTGCTCTGTCACGCATCCGGGTGGTTCGCCACCATGTTCACGCTCCCCCAGGGCTCAAATGCGGACTGCGTAACCGAACCTATCCCGATGGGCGAGCCGTCAGCCACCCTCTCTGCATTGTTGTCGATCGTGCACGGCCGCTCCCTCCCTCCCTTGGACCAGGTCGACGATCTAGAGCGGTTGCTTGCCTCTGCAGAAAAGTATGAGATGCCTATGGTCATCTCTGTAGTGCGCCTCGCGTTCGCCTCTCGGCTCATCGACGTTGCACCGTTGCGCCTGTATGGTATTGCATGCAGGATGGGATGGGAGGCGGAAGCCAAGGATGCATCGTCGCGCACGCTCACGCAGAACCTCCTCACGCACGAGGCTCAGGCAGAGCTAGCCGCGATGGAACCGCGCCACCGCAACCTGCTCTTGGACCTCCACCGCCAGCGACGCGAGAAGTTCTTCGCCGAGCTGGATGACACCACCAGCTTCTATGCAAACACCCGCAGGGACCACTGTAACGCAAGAAACCCTGCCCATCCATGCACAGCCCCGCTGGATCATAGCTCTTGGTGGGCACTCAAATACGCCATGATGGGCCAGTGGGCCCAGAAACCATACGACAGACAACTGGATGAAACATTCTACTACATGCAGGAGGTCAGGGACGTATTCTCCAGCAAGTGCCACCAATGTGGCAAGACACTCTATTCGATGACATACACCCTCGAGCATATCAACATAATTATCCGTGGACTTCCTCGCTGTATAGATGTGAGTGGACCATACATATATGTCAACGCATCTGGCTGACGCTTTTTCACACTAGTGGCAATTATGATTCGGTCTGTGTAACCAGCCGAGTTTAACTCCTGACGCACAACACATACGAGTCAAGTGAGTATCCAAGCTGCACGATGTCCATCTTCGTGTTTGTGACACAGCCGCAGGTTCAGCCCGCTTCGAGAAACAGCGGAAACTGTCGGTGTTCGATGCCGACCTTTCCCCTCTGGAACTGCATACGCGTCCACATTGTTGTGTTCCATGTCATGTTAGTCTCTTAGGGGCGTGAAGGTGCGTGGTGAGGAGGAGTCGGAGCTGTGGTGACTTAGGTTCGATTTGCAGGGTCCGTGAGGGGGGCGTGTGGACGAGGGGAAGATGTGTGTCATCATGCGAGTTACGTGGAAGAAACGCGTAGACGATTCGTATCCTCGGAGCGGTGTCCCAATGCACGTTGAGTGGTTTCTATTCTTGTATCTCATTTTGAAGGATATGGACATCGTTGATTTGGGATATGGAGATCCTGCGATGTCGGACCGTTAGGGCTTCGAGGCGCCGTCGTGGGGCACCCTGTCGAGAGCGCGCGCTGACCGAAGACAGGATGATTGCCTCCATTTATCTCGTTGAAGGACGTATGGTACTCCAGATTGCCTAATGTACTCGATGCACGAGTCAGGAGGTTCGCCTCGAGCCGAAGGCACGTGTACACGGATATAAAGAAAGCTCCAGAAAGCTAGATTCAATCTCGTTCCCCCACCCACCTCGGTAGCGCAGGCATGTATCTACCGCGATAATGTCGGGCAGCGTCGTTCATCTTCTTCATAACAGCACACGACCTCCAACATGTTCGCCACCAAAGCACTCGCGAAAGGGCCACACGCCTCGCCAACACTCGGCACCCATCCCGATTTCTCGTCTCCCAATGCAGGCGTAGTGTTGCGGTCCAGCGACGACATGCTATTTCGCGTATCCTCAGACGTGCTCTCTCGCGCTTCCGGGTGGCTCAAGACCATGTTCACGCTCCCGCAAGATCCGACTGTGGACCCCCCCGAGCCCATCCTGATGAGCGAGCCGGCGTCCATCCTCGTCATACTGCTCTCGATCGCGGACGGCCGCGCCCTCCCATCCTTAAACCATTCCGACGACCTGGAACTATTGCTCGTCGCGGCAGAAAAATATGAGATGCCATTGGCTATCTCCGTACTACGCCTTGCTTTCTCCTCCCGGCTCAATAACATGACAGCGCTGCGCTTGTACGGCATTGCGTGCAGGATGGGGTGGGAGGAAGAAGCCAAGGACGCATCGTCGCGGACGCTCACACAGAGCCTCTTCGCGTCCGACGCCCAGGTAGAGCTTGCCGCGATGGAGTCGCGCCATCGCGACCTGCTCATCGATCTTCACCGCTCGAGACGAGAAGGATTCTTGAACGGGCTGGACGACACTACACGCTTTGACGCAAACATTCTCGGGGGTCCATGCTCAGGCTACAACTTCAAAGACGGCAAGCCTTGCTTAGCACCGTTGGACCACAGCCATTGGTGGGCACTCAAATACGCCCTGATGCGCCGCTGGGTTGAACACCCATTCGACGAACGACTGGACGAGACGTTCTACAGGATGCGAGAGGTCAAGGAGGCATCCTCTGCCAAGTGCCACCGATGCGACAAAACACTCTACGAGTGGGCGCATACCGTTACAAACATCAACTCGGTCATTCAAGCACTTCCTCGATGTGTAGAGGTAGGAAGCCTCTGCATAAATGCAGAGGTACTGGGCTGACACAGTCTTATATCAGCGGCCACTATGATGCCCGGTGTCTTTTCCTATCGTGTAAGCGGTACTTGTATTTATGCAGATGCAATAGCGGACGCTCACACTGGGCCTACGCGTCAGGTAAGTAATCTAAATCATATCAACCACCGTGGAGTCCGCAACACTACTTGCCCCTCAGGTGTAGGAGAGTTGAGCCCGGGTCGAGAATCGTCGCAGCAAAATCTGAACTATGTGATGCCGGATGTATTGGATGGGTTGGCGGCGCTCGTCCGGGATCTGCATAAGGGCGCTGAGGTGCGTTGTACGGAGGAGCCGGAGCTATAGTGGCTTAGGTTCAATTTATAGAATCTGTGTGCGGGGCGTGTGGGCGAGGGGAAGACGTGTGCCATGCGGGTTGCGTAGAAGAGAGGTATAGATGGTCGTATCCTCGGAACGGTGTCCCAACGCTCATTGAGTGGTCTCTATCATTGTATTGGATTTTCCTCGAAATATGGTGGTCGTTGATTTGGGGTATGACGATCCTCTTCAACGATGTCGGACTGTCGGGCTTCGAGGCGCTGTGGCACACCTTGATCCTTAACGGAATATAGGGTGACGACCTCGTGCACCTGAATGTAGTTTTTTCAAGGAGTGCATGGTGCTGTAGATGCCCAACAGTGACCAGTAACCGACTCAGTACTATAGTACTCAGGAGTCAAAAGGCTTGTTGCACGTCAAAGACACGTGTACACATGTACAAAGTTAGGCTACGCCACAACTTGAGGTTGGAGTTCAACCGACCTCGCTCTCGTATACACCTCAGCGATATACGTACGTAGCACACTACTAGGTATGTATGCGCCACAGTTGTGCCGGGCATGTCCGCTGATCTCGTTGACAGAAACCGACATTCAAGATGTCCGCTACCATAACATTCGCGACTCCAGAGCTCAGCGTCCCGCCAGCACTCAACACCCATCCTGCTTTTTCGTCCCCTGACGCAAACGTGGTGTTGCGGTCCAGCGACGACATGCTATTCCGTGCATCCTCAGACGTGCTCTCTCGCGCTTCCGGGTGGCTCAAAACCATGTTCACGCTCCCGCAAGATCCGACGACTGTGGACCGCCTCGAGCCTATTCCGATGAGCGAGCCGGCGTCCATCCTCGTCGTACTGCTCTCGATCGCGGACTGCCGCCCCATCCCAACCCTAAACCACCGATCCGACGATCTGGAGCCGTTGCTTGCGGCCGCAGAGAAGTACGAGATGCCAACAGTCATCTCTGTAGTGCGCCTGGCATTCGCTTCTCGGTTCTCCGCACTGGCACCGTTGCGCATATATGGAATTGCGTGTAGGATGGGGTGGGAGGAGGAAGCCAAGGACGCATCGTCCCGTACGCTCACGCAGGACCTCCTCGCGCCCGAAGCCCAGGCCGAGCTGGCCGCGATGACGCCGCATCATCGCATTCTGCTACTCGATCTTCACCGCCGGAGACGAGAAGAATTCTTCAAGAAGCTAGATGACCCTGCGTCGTTCTACGCAAACGTCTGCGGCGGCCCGTGTGGCTATGGATCACCTGCAGACCCTACCAAGCCTTGCTCAGCGGTGTTGGACCACGGCCATTGGTGGGCACTCAAGTACGCCCTAATGCGCCAGTGGACACAAAAGCCGTACGACCTGCAGTTGGACGAAACCTTTCACTACATGCCGGAGGTCAAGAGCGTGTTCCTTGCCAAGTGCCACCAATGCGACAGGACGCTCTACTCGGTGGCGCCAACCCTGAAGAAGATCAACGATATTATTCGTGAACTTCCTCGCTGTGTAGATGTAAGTGGGCCACGCATACACGCAGACGTGTTTGACTAACACAGGCTCGCGCCAGTGGCCATAACGCTCCGAAAGATGCAAGGGCGTCTTGACCGATTGTGCAGGCAGTATAACCCATGTCACACAAAAATTTTCCCCTACGCGTCAGGTGAGTAGTCTACGTCATCTCTAATACCGCCTTCGCGACACTATCTCCCCCTCAGGTATAGGAGCATTGAGCCCGCATCGAGAATCGCAGCGGAAACTGTTGGTGTCCGATGTCGACCTTGCCCCTCTGGACCTGCGTACGCTCACGCATTTTCGTCTTCGATGTCATGTCAGTCTTCTTCTCCTGATTTCATCGCACCTTGTCGCCAATTCTCCACATCGTTGAGGATGAGGCTCCTTGTTTCCTCCGTGATCGCAGTGGTTGGGCAGCGAGAAAGGTACGAGACGGCTCCTTCCTATGCCGCACGCATTCGTGGACGATATGTCGCGCATATGTTGTTGAGATGTCCGTGAATAAGTCCTGAATGCCACGTAAGCACGTAGGGCCGTTTCACTGCCACCCGAAGGCGTATGTCGGACGATTCAGAGGGCAGCACAGGCTATAGTTCCCGTCCGAACGGAGCGGGAGGCTGGTGTAATTCGACACGCCCACGTGACCCGCGCCTGCTTTCCAATCCGACTTTTCGGGAACGTCGTATCCCGAGCGATCGTGCTGCTCAGCGCAGAGCTCCCGGTCGGTCGTCCTCTCGTGCAATAAGTTTCATCAGCGCGCGGCGAAAGATGGGCCCCGATGGATAGAAGCCCGTGCCTGTCGACGCCAATGCGTGCGCGGCGATCCCTGCGCAGGAACGACCCGGGCGGATGGCACAATCCGTCGGATGACAATCGCAAATGAACGAGTCCCGTGCAGGATGAGTATAGCACAGGGTACGTGTCGACGGCCTTCGGTCTCCTCCACTGCTGCGACGTCCAAGACACCCTTACTCACCGACGTTCACCGCCGCGATCGCGATGCCACCCAGTAGCTCGCCCAAGTCTATAAAAGGCGTCGTGTTTGGCTACGTCGGCCGCATCACAAAGCACTTCACAAAGTCAACGCACCCCAAAGCCTCTTCCTCGCGCACAAACACTCCCGAGACTTCTCAAGCAGCCACCATGTCCAAGGTGAGTCGCCTTGCCGCATGCTGTGGGACAGCGAGCTCGAGCTCACCGTGTCTTACAGCCCGTATTCTACACCTTCGGCCACTCCGTCTGGGCTGCCGCCCCCGAGCTTGCCATGTAAGTCGCACAGCACAGCACTTCCCGCGAGCCTGGCTTCTCACACATCATCCCGCAGTGCTGAGCTCGGCTACGCCGACGACGCCATTGAGACCAAGGTCGTCAACCTCGTCGAGGGCGCGAACTTCCACCCCGACTTCCTCAAGATCGTACGTATCGTGCCACACTACCACGCTCGCCGCGTTTACCCCGTAGAATTGCAAACTAACATATAGGGTTTATGCTAGAACCCTAACGGGACGCTCCCCACGCTCGAGGCGGACGGCAAGACGTTCACGAACACCAAGGATGTCGTGCACTACCTCGTCGAGCACGCGCCCAAGAAGGTCGCCACTGGCACCGCCATCATCGACACCATCCACGAGGACCGCCTTGACCCCAACCTGCCGATGTTCCTCGCGGTAAGTCCCGTCTAGCCCCATTGAAGTGTATACGTGCTCATCAATCGCGCCATTTTTTCTGTAAATAGCGCAACGAAGAGGAGCTGAAGGCCAACGCGTCTGGCTTCTCGTTCGTGTTCGCCGACAACCGTATGTCTCCCCGCGCACAGGGTCCGGGAGCACTCACTGACGCATCCCCTTGCCCTCCATAGGCCAGAAGGCGCTCGAGAAACACAGCGAGCTCCCCGAGGCCGCCCCGCTCAAGGACTTCTACGACGCGAAGAAGGCCGGCAACGGCGGGATCCTCGCCATCCTCAAGGGCGAGGTGCCCGACGCCGTCAAGTCCGGCTTCTTCGGGCAATCCGTGCAGCACTGGGAGACGCTCGGCGCGTTCATCACCAACGAGCTACCCGCGGCCCTACCCGACGCCGGCCCCTTCCTTGGGGGCGCCGCCCCGGGCGAGGACGACTTCCACCTCGGGGCGTGGCTCGCGCGCCTCGTGTTCCTGACGCAGGGCACCGCTGACAAGGACGGGTACAAGTCCCTCGAGAAGGAGACGAAGGGGCCGGTGCCGCCGAAGGTGGCGGCGTACTGGGCTGCTTGGGTCGAGCGCGCTAGCTTCAAGAAGGTGTACGCGAGCGGCCTTCACTGAGGGTGTTATGCCAGGAGCGGACGGCTCGGTGAAGAGTGCTCTCACGGATGGACGTTATAGGATGTTTTGCTTGTTATCGGATATTTTGTGTAGGGATATGAGGCGACCTGTGTAGTGGAGTTTGTTAGACAATGTTGTTTGCAATATGGATGACACATTGTGTTGTTTTGGAAATGACGGTAGCTTTGAGCCGCTCATGAGAACGCTGGCCTTTGGCCGCGGACTTGTGCGAGGTGCGGTTAACCGCCAGGAACAGGACATGTAAATCCCCGCCATTGCAAAACGCATACAGCAGGCAGCGTCTCGAGTCTACTCACATGCTCTACCTCTCATCATCTGAGAAAGTAGTCAGCCACCATCGCCGACAGATGTCCTCTAAGTCCACTCACAGGTGCTCAGATCCACGGAAGAGGCTTCGCCCATCTCCAAATGACACTCATTCAGCCTAGCCAACCCCAAGCAAGGATCAGCGCCGACACCGTAACCTGCCACGCAAAAAACTACTTACGTCCTCTCAATATCCCTTGCCGCGCGGATCCCAATGACGTACTCCTGTTCAGTCGGCTCCCTTGTCGCATGCCGCGCGAGTTGGATCGCGGAGTCGTAGTAATGCAGTGGCGTGAGCCCGTCCTCGTCCTTGCTCAGCAGCGGGAGGATGAACCGGAACTGGTGCATCATGCGGGCGTGCGGGCGCAGCGGCGGGTGCCGCGGGATGACCAGGTGCGCGAGGCGGTCTATACGCCGGGCCTTGGTTGGTCTTTGGGTCTACACAGAGCAGGGAGACGTACCAATGATGCGCACGGTGGCGAGGAGCTCGCTGCGAAAGCGGATCCCAGCGTACTTCGTGCCCGGCCGGCCCCAGCCCTCCTGGAAGCCGTCCTTCGGGCGCGCCTCGTATGCGACGAGACACGCCCGCGTGTACTCCTGCTGCATGTACAAGAAGACGCTCTACGTGTGTACGCCCGTCCGTGAGCTCCCTGGGGGCCAACGTATGCGGGTAGACTCACCTCGGGGACGTCGTTCTTACCGAGCGTGCGGAACGTCTTCGAGATGCGCTGCAGCCGCCTGTGCACCGCGATGCGCCGCTTCAGGCAGAACGCCAGCGACAGCACCAGCTACCCACACCATTCCCCTTTCTCAGTATTCTCAACTACCAGAGCGGTACCCCCAGTAGCGTACCATGATGACATAGGCGGCGCCGATGACGACCGCATTCACGTTCTTGATGTACGAGCGGTTCGGGGCGGTGCGCACGGCCTGGGAGAGGTGCAGGGAGCACAAGATGGCGGTGAAGAACGTGGTTATGAGGACGAGGATGCCATAGCAGATCTGCGAGACGGGGGACGACCGCGTCATGCGGGGGGACATGCAGGTTCGCACCAGGGACGCATGGCGTCTGCAGCCGCCCACATCTGTCTCGGAATCCGGAGGCGTCGAGTCGGCCGGGCCGTGCGAGCCGGACTGGGTAATAGTGGCGGCGCCTTTACTACTACTACGCGGTTATGGCATGCACACAGGTAGACCGTAGTTTGCACTCAGAAGGCTCGGAGATGGTGATACACGTTCATTGAAGTAGCTAGAGTAAAGAAGGAGAGCGACTCGACAAGGATGATACAGCAAGAAGGCAGAATGCAAAAGAACTACTAAAAAGACACGTCGTACATTCCTGATGCACCGGCGGCGCGAATGAAGAAGAAATGAAACGAGGGCGTCTCTCTGCTCATGCCTGGACATTCTGGCTGTTGTTATACGGTGGTCGTCAGCCCCGTGTATATGAATCGGGAGGGGATGTGCGTACCCGAACTGGCCGATGACGTTACCCTGAGGAGAGTACTCGCACACGAAGAACTTGGCAGGCTGCAGAGAGACGTAATTGAGCCGCGTTCCACTGCATTAGATGGAGACGACATACCCCGAAGCTGGCGGCGAAGATGCCGTTGCACGACTGCACGGCGCAGCCAACCTGGGTACTTGCTTTCCACACAACCTGGGTGAAGTGGGAGGGCACTGGGTTGCTCGAGTCGTACTCGGCTGCAAATGTGCAAATGTATGTCAGTCAAATTACTCCCGCGCCGTCTAAGCATTACTGAATACTGACAAACTTCATCGGTCCAGGACTTGACGGCGGACGCAATGCCGTAGCTGCTGCCAGTCCCAGCAGCCAAGTTCTCTGTACGTAAACCGTTCAGTTCCAAAGTACACTTTCTTCAGTTTGAGCACGAACCTCCGAAGGGTCCGAGGGTTCCGCCAGAGTGCTGGAAGACACAGCCGTTGGCCCACTGCTGCGCCTTCGCGGCAAGGTCGTCGCTCCAGGTCAAGGGCGAGGCGCCGTGCTGGGCACGGATAGTGTTGTGCGCCGACAGGTACTGGTCGATGTCGCTCTGGGAAGTGGCGCCGCTGCTGCTCGAGCTGCCGCTGCCGGTGCTGCTCGAGCCGCTGTTGCCGCTGTTACCGTTGTTATTGTTGGAGCTGCCGCTGTCGCCGCTGCTGCTCTGCGACTGGGTGCTGGCGGCGGTGGTGGTGGGTGCGGCCTGCTTCGTGGTGGTCTTCTTGGTGGTGGTGGTGGTCTCTGGGGGCGGGGAAGGCGCTTCTGTGGACGAGGTAGAGGTGGTGGCGGGCGCGGGCTTGGGCTTCGTCGACGTCGTCGTGGGCTTGACAGACGTAGTCGAGTGCGTGGTGGTAGCAGGAGCAGTGCTGCTAGTTACGAGCGGCGCAAGTGAGACCTTCTTAGAGGCGGAGCTCGATTTGGTGAGAGCGCGAAGGGACGCTGAGGAAGAGGAGGAGGGGGTGACGGTGGAGACTGAGGCTGAGACTATGACATTCGCAGGTGCGACAGTGGGTGATGATACGACCGAGGTGGAAGAGGCGATGCTCGTGGTGGATGCCGAAGCAAGGCCGGTACTGTAATCGAAATTAGTTTGTAGTGCGCAGCGCGTAAAGGAGCTGGATTTACGATCGGACGCGGCATGCCTTGGTCACAACGGCACCCATGTCGTCGGTGGTGGTTTTCGTGAGGACCTGACCCCAGCGGTCGGTGCCCATGACGCTTCCAGGCCATCCCCACTTGCTCCCGCACTTCGCAATGCAAGCGTCGGTGCCCTCGTTTCTGCGGGCGCAGGCGGGGCCCGCATCGGCGCTGGTGGTGAAGACGAGGAGAAGGGGAAGGGCAGCAAGGAAATACACCAGGCGATTCATTGTGGGACGAAGCGGGAAGACTGATGATACTACACAAAAAGAATGAGCTGTAAAATGAAGGTGTGTCGTGCGGACGGGAAGGGGGAAGGAGGGGGACAGCACGCAAGGGGGCGCGCTGCGTCGGGGAGAAGGTGTTTGGAGGGCGCGGGTAGCCGGGAGCTGCCTTATGTACCGAGGCGCGATCGAGCACGCGCGTGGATATACGCGGCATCGTTACGCTGGTGCGCCGGGGAATATGGGGAAGCGTCGGTCACCAGGGGGACCGCTCTGATGAGCTGTGTTGAGGCAAATACACTGCTGGATCCTCCATGCGGCGCATCGCTGCCAGTTTGCCTCTGGCTCTTCGGATGGCAGAGTATGTCATATTACACACTGGACGTACGGCGGGCGGGAGAAAGAAGGATGAGTGCGCCCAAAGCGGTCGTCGTCCGGAGCAAGCGACGGTCCTCGAGGCGGGAAGCGTAATGGTGCCCGATAGGCGCCCATTACTATCAGGCTTCGGGAAGCGTGGGAAGCGAGCCGACGCCTGCGTGCCTGGCTGCCCGCCGGTGATGGCATTCCACCTTGCTCGCGACCACCATCTCCCCTCCGCCGCACTGGTCCGCGTCGCGAAGATCTACCTCTGCGCTTCATACATAGCACCGAACATACCGCTGGGGCATTTGATTTGCTCGCTATGGCTTCACCAACATCTGTAGACCCACCGCGATATCTGCTCGTCTCGCACGGCCAGTCTCTCAGCAACCCCGCTGCGCCCGCAACCACCTCGCTCAGCCACCCTGTCATAGAGTACCACTACGCTGATGACGCTCCAACCTCGCTCCTACCGCAGCCCAGCGAGCACGTTCTCGTCCTAGACTACGATCCCGCACGGCCTGCCTCCCCGACCGTTAAGAGCCTGTCCCCTGATCTCGCCATCTCTGCTGTCAAGGTCACCGATGCCCCTGGGGCTGCAGTTGCTGGGGAGCCTCCGTTCCGGAGCAATAACAACATGTATGTCATTGAGACGACTACAAAACCAATAGAGAAGTCCGCCCTACACAGCTTTTATCCGTGTGCTCCGTACCTGACCTGGCGATCGCAGTGGCCTGGATAATGATGAGCAACAGTCTGTGCACGAGGTCCTCGCCCGTTATAAACAGAGGTGCGTCCAGACCTTTCGCAGTACCTAGTAACCGCTCATTATTGGTACAGAAATGCTATTCTCCGTCGTATACTTGATTATCCTGCTGCACCGGCCATTCAAGAGAACTCTACTTCGCCACCGCTGCTTACGACGTCCCCATAGTCTTGAGAGGCAGCGGTCGAATGGCTGGAAGCCTGCATATACCACCCACATGCTGGCTGCTCCACTTGTCATCCCTCTAATTTATACCAGAGCATCCAGAATAATGTAACACGAGCATGTATCTTACCATGAGCAGCCGTCGCTTTCATCTCCTCTTGCCCTTGCCGCTGCGCTGCTTCGCGCCTCCGGAACTCGCTCCCTTCGAAGGCCCTGATGCCGCCGCTTTCGGTTCGTCACCTGAAGCAAGCAGCTGCGAGAATCTGTACGCATATGTAAGCGGAAGAGCAATGCTACGTATTCGGAAATCGTACCCAGAAGCAAGGTCTCCGCTCTGTAGCGAGCTCTGGAGGTTCGTCATCTTGGCATGACGCTCCTTGAACTCTTCCATGACCTCCGGATCCATGTTTTTCTGCACAATGCGTCAGCCGCAGCCTTTCCGCGCGTTGCTTCGGCGTGTACGCACCATGAGGGTCGGCATGAGCAGCACGAGCACGCCCGCGCCGAGCATCATCATCATCATAGGGTTCTTGAACATCGCGATCACGTTGAACGACTCGCGCGGGACGAAGTAGTCGTATCGCCCGCGCGCCGAGAGCACGAGCGGGTACGGCAGCGTCGCGGGCGCTGCAGGGGATAGCGGTGTGCCCGGGAAGTAGGGCCGCACTTCGGGGAGCGTGTCGGACTCGTAGATGTCTACGCGCATCTGCGGGGGTGGTCAGCACGGAAAGATGGAAGGGCGAGGAGGATGGGGCGACGTGCCTGCTCGAAGAAGTGGTCGTGCGCGAGCACTGAGAGAACGTAGGTTCCTGCTGGGACATCCGGTCTGTCTTGTGCGTCAGGAGAGGGATGCGAGACCTTCGGAGGAGAGAGCGGACGGACATTACGAAGGAGCCATCCCGTGTTACACCTCCACTCCACTTTCCGTTGTCAAGCACGACCTTCGTTTGACCGAGTGCTTTCAAATCTTTCAATTGACCCGTCAGCGGGGGCGTTACAAGAGAGAATATAGGGACTCACTTGGACATTGCGTGTTCCACTGTACGCGGCCCTTGAAGTCGAGCGCGAGCGCGGAGACGCAGGTACTACGGTAGATTGTATCGTGAGCTTCGTCCGTAGCTTGATGTACTACAACAGCGGGCTTACCTAGCAAGAGCGAAGAGTGTGAGGGGTATACGCATATTGTGTGGTGGCCGTTGGTGCAGAACGCGAGACGCGCTTGCCACACCGCTGCACTGGCCGGCAGGCCCTCCACGGGCCGGCGGCAAATCAATTCACTAACTTTCTCCTCGATCGCCGTTTTGAGTTCGGACCTCTGTCTCCTCTGTTTCCTCTGTCTCCTCACTCTCACCTTGTGTCCCGCTTGCTACGCCATTCCTGCCACATCTCTTGCGCAATCGAACCGTCAAACAGTTTACCTCACCCCTACGACCCCAACAAAATGCGGCAGAAACGAGCCAAGGCGTACCGCAAGCTCATGTCTCTCTACTCCCTGTCCTTTGGCTTCCGACAACCCTACCAAGTGCTCAGTGCGTACCTACTCCTGTATCTACATTTATACACGTGAGCTCACACGGAATCTTACAGTCGACTCGCACATGTGCACGGAGGCCATCTCCCACAAAATTGAGCTTCTGAAGCAACTCAGCGTAGTCCTACAGGGTGCCATCAAGCCCAGTGAGTCCCCCGTGCCTTCGTCCTTGCAAGAATAGTGCTGATCGCGCGCACGGCGAAGCCGTCCTTCAGTGATCACCCAGTGCTGCATCCATGAGCTATACTTGCAGGGGAAGGACGCGCAACCCGTGGTGGACCTTGCCAAGGAGTTTGAGCGACGGAAGTGCAACCACCGCGAGGCCATCCCGGGTGACGAGTGTGTCGCGAGCGTCGTTGGTATGTATCCTGCGTTTGCGCTCCCTCTATCTGAGTGCTAAGTGACGTTGCGGCATGTAGGCGAGACGAACAAGCACCGGTATGTCATCGCGACACAGTCGCAGGAGCTCCGTCAAAAACTACGAGCCATCCCGGGGGTGCCCGTCGTACACATGAACCGTTCGGTGATGATTCTGGAACCACCAAGCGATGCGACTCTCCGAGTAAAAGCCCTGGTACGTCCCTTGTAGCCTTCCATACTATGGCCATAACTGAGCGAGACTGACCGCGTTATAGGCAGAAGAAAAGGCTCTGCATCCCTCTGCACCAGAAGCGGCTACGCTTCCAGCGACGGCACCTGAGGAACGTCCCAAGAAAAAGAAGGGCCCGAAGGGCCCTAATCCTCTCAGTGTGAAGAGGAAAAAGGCGGAGCCAAGCGCGACAGCACCAGCGAAGAAGGGTGGCAACGGCGCGAAGGCGAATACGGGCGACAAGCGAGAGCGGGAGGACGACCCAGAGGCGGATGCACCTGCACCACAGCCAGATACAACAACAGGTCACAAACGGAAGAGACGTAGAAAACATGCAGCAGGTAAAGGAGAACAGGGAGAACAGGGTGCGGCTCATGTTGATAGCGATTGACCCGTATGGTCAACGCTTTTTGTATACTACTATGATCCATGTCCATGACTTTCGTCGCGTCGGTTTGTCTCTTACACGATACTTTTATGCGCGCTACTCGGTTCACACAAATACGTTCTGTCATGACTTGTCGTGCGTTGCGATGCGTATGATGATGCTAATAGTACAGAGAGAATGCTACCCAGAGATCCACGGCCGACCAACTACCTCAGTTGCCGCCACGAAGACGAAGCACTACATGGAACGTGAGCATGATGTACAATCGCGAATAATGATGTCAACTTACCCAGGTGGAGCGTCGACTCCTTCTGGATGTTGTAGTCGGAGAGCGTGCGGCCGTCCTCCAACTGCTTCCCAGCGAAGATGAGACGCTGCTGATCCGGAGGGATGCCCTCCTTGTCCTGGATCTTGGCCTTCACGTTGTCGATCGTGTCGGAGGACTCGACCTCCAGCGTGATCGTCTTCCCGGTGAGCGTCTTGACGAAGATCTGCATACCACCGCGCAGACGGAGGACGAGATGGAGGGTGGACTCCTTCTGGATGTTGTAATCCGAGAGAGTGCGTCCATCCTCCAACTGCTTGCCGGCAAAGATCAAGCGCTGCTGGTCCGGAGGGATACCCTCCTTGTCCTGAATCTTCGCCTTGACGTTGTCAATCGTGTCCGAAGACTCGACCTCCAGGGTAATGGTCTTCCCCGTCAACGTCTTGACGAAGATCTGCATACCACCACGGAGACGGAGCACTGTGGATGCGATGAGCCACCAATATAGACGTTCGCGCAAGAGGCTACTTACCGAGGTGAAGGGTAGACTCCTTCTGGATGTTGTAGTCCGACAACGTCCTGCCGTCCTCGAGCTGCTTGCCGGCGAAGATCAAACGCTGCTGGTCGGGCGGGATCCCCTCCTTGTCCTGAATCTTCGCCTTGACGTTGTCGATGGTGTCGGAAGACTCGACCTCCAGCGTGATCGTCTTGCCGGTCAAGGTCTTCACGAAGATCTGCATACCGCCACGAAGGCGCAGGACAAGGTGGAGGGTGGACTCCTTCTGAATGTTGTAGTCGGAGAGGGTACGCCCATCCTCAAGCTGCTTGCCGGCGAAGATAAGACGCTGCTGATCCGGGGGGATGCCCTCCTTGTCCTGGATCTTGGCCTTCACATTGTCGATGGTGTCGGAAGACTCGACCTCGAGGGTGATCGTCTTGCCCGTGAGGGTCTTGACGAAGATCTGCATGCCTCCACGGAGACGGAGGACGAGATGGAGGGTGGACTCCTTCTGGATGTTGTAGTCCGAAAGGGTACGGCCGTCCTCGAGCTGCTTGCCCGCGAAGATCAGGCGCTGCTGGTCGGGAGGGATGCTGCGCACCCTGGTCAGTACGATGGGTTATGTGCCACTGTGGATAGCCACTCACCCCTCCTTGTCCTGGATCTTGGCCTTAACGTTGTCGATGGTGTCAGAGGACTCAACCTCGAGAGTGATGGTCTTGCCAGTGAGCGTCTTCACGAAGATCTGCATTCTGGGCGAGTGGATGGAGGTGTGGGAGGGGGTGGATGTGGATAGAGACGGTGCTGGGCGGTTGGAAATGCGGGGTTGGCTTATATACGGTCATAGTCGCGGGGTTTGAAATCCTGAGTCAGCGCTGCGGCGGTCGCGAGATAAGTGCGTTGCCTTTTTGGGCGATGCACGCGCCTCGAAAGCGATCGGAGGTGCTGGAATGAACCGCCTCCGCCGCATCCTGTGCACTCGTCCTGTCAGCCGCGGCGTATTCTTGACCACGACAACCCGTCTGATCCCGAATAGACAACACCGCAGCTCATGTGTGTTCTCAAAGGAACCCGAGGAGCCCCGAGAAGCAACGGGTGGGCGGTGAAATACGAGGCAGCGGTGGAACAAAACAAGTACGGTACTATACATGGCTGTCATAACGCTCAGTGCGTAACAATCACCCCAGGAACACTATTGTTAGGCTCCATCTCCGGAGCTGGCGGCTTCGGGCATAATAGCGTCGCCAGAATGGGCGGCTTCGACGACACTTTACACGCCGGTATGGAGAAACACTGCGCTAGGCCTTGCTAGAACAGTGTATATCAACTCACGCTGCGCGCACAACTGGAAATTCGGGGGCTGCATATCAGACGATTGAGGCGTAGCTGGATGTAAGGGGTGGTGCTTACTGGGCTACACGCCATCTGTCGGCTCGTCAGCCCATAATCGAATGGTCAGGTCCTTTTCCATAGCGGCAGAAGCCATGAGACGCTAAGTAGGGTTCGACTGCATCATGGCTCAGTGAGCTGTTTCGCAACACCTCAGCTAACAAGTATGCTCATAGCAACGGAAATGATAGCATCTGTAACCATATGAGCGAAGAGCACACTTCCGTGAAAAGCGGACGCACCTCGATGTCCGTCCAGGACTTGTACAATCTCGCGTGTTTGCAAATACCATAAGTACGCCTCGATGTCTTCGCTTCCGCTCACGATATGCTTTCGTCCCGGAGCGAAGTCTGCGAATATGCAGAATGTCCGATTTGGGTGTCCCGCGTAGGTTTTTACACCTTTCGAGGTCTACGTGTTCCACAGCCGGATGGTGGAATCCTGCGTGCTCGCAAGGATGAACTTCGAATTCGGCGTGAATTTGAAATGTGAGCTATGACATGTTAAGCTTACTCCTGCATTACGCAGTGAACACACTCACCAGATGGGATTGTCGTCGCCTGCAAGGGTTTTCAGACATTGCCCCGATTCGGTGCCACAGCAACTTGAAGTTGGCAAGTCACAACGTGCGCACAGTACAGGAGCAACTATGGCAGTTTATGATTCATCAAGGAGTGACTAGACAGGAGCATATGTAATGATCAGAGAAATGCGTGGTGGGCAAACAGTGAATCGGCGTGACACTACGTAGTACGATACACATGCGGGAGGCATAACGGCAGGAAGTTGCGGCGGGAGACGGGATCCGAGTTGTGGTGGATGGACGGTAAGGTAGGCTGGAAAAATGAGCAGGCGGCGAGTGTAAGGTGAGAGAGTAAGCGTGGTGATATACTAAGAGATGGATATGATAAATAAATGCGTGCGGGAGCGCGGCATGTAAGGGCAAGTAGTACTAGTATGACACGGAAGGACCAATGGCGCCGGAACGAATCCCCAACCAAGTAATTCCTCGAACACGGATGATATGATAGAAACAGACCGCAACCCTCCTCTCTCTACTTCATCTTCCGCAGCGCGCGTATCACGTCGTGCATGTCGAGCTCCTTCTCCTTGCCCGATCGACGGCCGTCAAAGAACCCGAACGGACGCTTTGCGCTCTCCGATGACACCTCGACCGTCGTCGAGAACGCGCGGTTGTGCATCTGCTGTTGCGTGAGCACCTCCGGCTGGCTATTCGACCGGCTGCGCTCCCCAGACTGCAGCGGGGGCTGCGTCTGCGGGCGCCGTGGCCCACGCGACACACTCTGGCTCCGCGCGCCCGAGCTCATTGTGCGCTTGCGTTCGCGCGGCACGTCCCCTATCGGGACGGATGGGGTCCCCACGATGCCTGCGCTCGTGACCGGACGAGTAGAGCGGCGCGACGACGCTCGCAAGGAGGCCGGCGGGTGTGTAGACCCAACTGGCGACGTGGGGGATGGGATCGAGTCGTCCGACTCAGATCTCCTGAACTCGCGAAACGCCGTAGGCGGGGAAAGAGCTGTCGGGGAGGTGGGCTCCACGGCGCTGGTGGGAGGGGGTACGCTGCCAGGGCGGAGCATGCCGGCAATGTCGTTCAGACCGACACCGAAGAAGCGCGAGAGCTTCGCGGCACGAATGCGGCGGACGCGGAAGTGCGGGTCGGAAGGGTACATGGTGGTTGGCGACTCCGGAGGGACGGACGGGGACATGACAGGCGGCGACGTCGGCGCGGAGACTGGGGAGGTAGCGGAGCCCCACATGAACAGAGATTGAGTAGCCGGGGGACTGGCCTGGAAGGACTTGCGAACGGGAGAAGGGAGCGGGCTGTGATCCTGGGCGGACGGTGCTTGCGATGCAGGAGCGGAGATCGTTGATGCGACGGAGAGCGACTGTCTACTTAACGAAGCGAGTGTGGCGACAGAGAGCGGGGACGAGGGGCAGACCTCGACCACTGTGCGTTGTGAAGGGGCTAGTCGAGGGGTAGACAGAGGCGCCCCTTGTGCCTCTTCAGGCCTAGAATGGGGCGATTGTGGCTGAGATGGCGGCACCGAGGCTGGATCGGCAAATATAAGCGGCGAGAGGTTGTCTCCCGACGAGACGGTACTGAGCGAGTGGCGCGTGTGATGCGTCTCGGGCACGGAGAGCGTGCTGACTGGTAGGGAGACGGTGGTTGCGTGCGAGTCGCTCCTGCGGTGGGTCATGCCCGCAGCCGCAGATATACCGCTGGTGGCGTCCGCAGGAATGTTTGTGATCTGGAAGAGGGAGGGCGGGGGCTCGTTTCCGAACACCTAAAATCACGGGACAGCATCAGCAATGGACGAGTGGAAAGCGATGGATGGGTGCAGGCCTGAGGCGGCGACGAGCCTGCAACCCTAACTGCGCGGTGAAACATGACGCACCTGCAGCATCTTGCGGGCCCGGCGCAGGTTCAGCGCACGCTGCCTTTCCCGTGCGCGCGACCCCGGGAAGTCATCATCTGAGTCCGAATCCAGGTCCGAGTCCACTGCGACATCAGGCGCTGCCACATGAGGAGAGCTCTCTTCTGGCTCTGCGTCATCGGACCTGAAGGCCTGCGGCACCCACTTCCCGATACCTTTCCAGCCGTGCTTGCTCTTGGAAAGCATGGTGCTGTAATCCTCTGTATCCGACAGCGATGGAGAGGGAATTGGCGGCGCCGGCACCCGAATGAAGGCGCGCAGGTCAAGACTGAGACGGCGCTTGAGGTCTCGCTTGCCGTCCCTGGATGGACGACTGGATAACGTACGTCGAGGTGGCTGGCGGATTGTCAACGAGGCCTCTGTGAGCGTCATGACGGGCGGCGATGACATCGGAGTACGCGGTGGGGGAGGTGAAGCCGCCCGCATGAGCACTTCCGGCGGGATATTGTCTCCCAGTTGACGCGCGAGCTTCGCGGCACGCGCGCGCAACACTTGTTCAGGACTCCGCTGCGAAGGGAAGATGGACGACGCCACCGAGCCACGTCTCGATGAGACAGTCGAGCTGCGTTTCGAATGCGCCCTCTCGGAGGCGTACTCGCCTTCCGGCGCCACTGGTGAGACAGGTGACGGCGGAATGGGATTCAGCTCGGGCCAGGAAAAGCTGACGGGCGATATAGGCGAGGCGTGTACCGTGAGAGCAGCAGGTGGAATTGTTAGGGAGGGACGCATGGAGGCTAAGGAACGTGCACGGTGGATCGCGCTCTGCTGAGCGTGTCTGTTGTGGCCCACTGTGGCGCTGCGTTTCAGCGAGCCCTGATGGTCGATGCCTGGTGGCGGCGTCTTCACGGGTGACGAAGACGCAGAGGTCGACGCAGAAGTGAGAGAAGGTTCCTCCAGTACGCCTAGGAAACGGAAGTCCGGGGTAGCCGGGGACGGGCTACTGACGGTCACTGGGATGGGCACCTCTCCTAGTATCCGGCTGAGCTTCCGGGTCTTGCGGAGGAGCTTCATTTTCTCGCTCGGGTCAAGCCCGTCCTCGCTCAAGGGAATGGGGAGCACGGGCTGCTCCTGCTTGAGATGAGACGGGGCGGGAAGTGGCGGACCGCGGGCGGAGAGGAACGAGGCACGTGAAGGAGACGATATGTACGACTGCAGGGACCAGTCTGAGCGCGCCGCCGGGTAGTCCCTGGAGGAGGGAGGGCCGTTGGAGATAGATCGAGAGAGGGGCGGGATGTAGAGGTTGAGAGAGAACGCTTTACTGCGGTTATTCGTGGACGAGGCCATCGCTGGCGCGTGACAGGAAGGCGTGCTGAGAGAAACAGGGTATAGGCGTGGCGTTGATGCAGGCGGAGACTGATGGGCAGATGAGACGTCGGAGGCGCGTCAACTGGCTGTACAGATGCAAAGACAGCAATAAGAACGAGAATGCAGCGCGAGAAACGAAGGCGAGACCAGGGAAAGCACGGAGAAGTGAGAAGTGTGAAGGAGAAGCGGAGCTACCGCGCTGCCTGGGAGCGGGCAGGGGAGGAAGGGCGGTCGGGAGGGGAGGGGGAGTGGTTAAGAACATGGTCGCCGCGACCGGGGGAGCGGACGGCAAGACGCGTCCTACGGCAAATCCAGCCTGGATACGCGATCCTACTCGCCCAGCCGGATATGGCAGCACACCCCCGCCACAGGAACTGCCCGCTGATCCCATCGTCTTCTTCATCCTTCTCGCGCGCCTTCGCAAGCCTTTCCCCCGCCCATCCCCCTGACCCCGCCCAAATTTAGGTTGCCCCGCCCGGTGCCTATTGGCTCTCCTCCAACGCTAGAACACCGGGTCCGGTTCGGGCTCTCCCCGCAACCAGAAAACGCCGTAGCCAGTCACCGTTAGCCATCCGCGATACGCACGGGCTCTTCTGTATATCAATGACAAAAAACATACGGCTGCAAGCCACGAGCACAGCAGATAATATTCGTCGATGTTGCGTTAGGCAGAAGTCAGTCAGATGCTGAAAAACAACAGAACTTGGGTAGCCTCGTCCCTAATATCCGTTTCGGCGTTGACAAATTGAGGCTTGTTCCGGAACACAGGCAACCACTCCGTTCAACGCCTATGGCAAATCGTTTTGCGCTCATAACTTCGAAAACATATCTTGGAGCCAACGTTCGAGGTACCCCGGCCGTGTGAGCGCCGGGAGTTGCATAGCGCTAAACCCACGGATCCTCGGGATCAGGACCTCGACCTACTCTAAAGGCCTCGAAATTCCTGCTGACAGCACTGTGCCTGACAGAGTATTACTGTGGGCGTACCTTGACCTTGCTCTACCGCGGCAGAGTTACCTGTGGGTCAGAAGGAATGAACTTTCGACACGCTCGAACTCCGGGTACCGTTTGAACTTTGAATTCTATGTCGGTGATAGTACCAATGAGAAAAACAGACGACATGCAAGCTAATGCAACAGTGAACGACAGACGATGAACGCGACCTCCTCCAGCCGGTATGTATGTATATGCAACGAGAAATGCGACGAGAATGAGTGCAATGCGTGTCCACAACGCCAAACCAAAATCAAAACGCCAAACCACCCGGGTCCCCGTTCCGCTTCCGATATGTCCACCAATCCTACAAGTCGAACATGGCCACCGTCGCGCTCGGCTGCTGCTCGTACGGGCTCCCGCTGCCGCGTTGCCGAGCCGCGGGACTCGTCGGCGTCGTCGACGTCCCCGACTCCTCCGCGACGACGTCCGGGGCCTCCCCGGGCCCCGCTCCGCGCGCCTGCTGCTTCTGCCCAAACAGGACCGAGATCCGGAGGTCCGACGGGAGCTTCACGAGCGACACCCGCTTCGCCGCGCGCGTCTTGTGCCACTCCTCCGCCTGCTCCTCCGGCATCTCCGGCGCGGTGTAGAACTTCTCGTGCGCGCCCCCGCCCCCGTCCGTGCTCGTCGTGCTCTCGAGCGAGTCCTGCGCGGTAAGGGGCGTCGCACGCGGCCGCGGCCGTTCTGGTGACTCCGGGAACGGGAACGACCCGTCCGACGTCGCGGAGCTCCCGACGCCCGCAGGCGAGTCGAACGTGCGCGGGGACTCGAACGCCACGGTCGCGCTGCGTTGCCTGGAATGCCACCCGCTCGACCGCGCCGAGTGGAACGAGTCTGCGATAGATGACTCTTGGCCATGCGAGTGCGCGGACGCGTGCCCGGTCCTTGGGATCGCCATCGGGGCCGACGCTGGCGCAGGCTCAGTCTGGTCGACGTAGACCGACAGCGTCATAGCCTGTGGACGCAGAGCATCGCGCTCGATGCGCTGTCGCAGCGCGTCTTTCGCAACCTCCGCCTCCCGTTCGACCTCCGCCTCTCGCTCGGCTTCCTGGTCAGCTTGTCGCTGACTTGCGAGCTTCTGCGTCGCAGCCTGCATCGCGATGCGCTTTGTGCGCTCCCAGTCGCGCTCCTCCGCCGCGAGGTCCGCCGCAAGCACGTCGCGGTAACAAACGAGCTTCTCAATGTCAAGGCGCACCTGCATCACGCGCTTCGCCACGTTCGTCACCGCGCCCTGCAGCCGGTCGCGCGTCGCGCGCTGAAAGGGCGTGAGCACCGCGAGATTGCGCACGAAGCGCATGTCCGTGTCGAGCTGCGTGCGGGCGAGCGCAATCTTCGCGTTCAGCTCCGCCACCTTCGTCCTGATGATCGCAGGCCGTGACGACATCCGCGTCTTCGGCTCGCCGCTCGTACGTCCGCCCGGTTGTGGGGAGCCTAGCGTGGACTCCAGGCTGTACGCGCGCTTGCGCCCGCCGAAACGGATGCTCGTGTCGTCAGACAGGTGCAGAGGGCCGGCGGCGAGCTCCGTCTTGACCTCGTCGAAGGTCGCCTTGAACAGACGCGACGAGTTCTCGTACGGAGGCGTGGTCGGATCGGACCCCATCGAGCCCACCGAGCCCACCGAACCCCCGCGCGCCCGCAACCCTTCCGGGGGCGGGGAAGGCAATGTCGGGTCGGACTCGGCAGCAGCTCGTGAGACAATATCGAGGTCCTCCGACGACCTGCCATTCCAAGTGCGGATGATTGGCGAGGGCGCCGACCCCAAGTTGTGTTTCAGGTCCTTGAGATGCGAGGCCGCAGCAGCGATACCCGTGAGCTCGATGTCCCTGCCCGACAGACCCAGCGCCCGCATGCGCACGCCGGCAGTCTTGAACGCGCTGGCGTAATTGATACGCGCGATCCACTCGTTCATCTCCTTTTCATCTTGCGATTGAAGGAGGAACTGGCGGCCGTCCGGCATGACGAGGCGCAGCGTGTTCGGGTACTGTGGCGGTCCTCGTCAATTGGACCAAGACAATAGCGATACGGGCGCACACACCTTCGTGTAAGACTTGTCGAAGACCGCGATAGCGTCGCGCACAGAAAGCATCTCATCGGGCTGAGGTAAGGACGTCTGCTGAAGGACAACCTGCCCGTCGGACTGCCCGAGCTGCGTTTGAAGACCGTTTGCCCAAGTAGAGTCCCGAAAGAACAACAACTGAGAGCCGGTCAGGAGAACACACCACTCCCGCCACTTGCGTGTCATGGCGCGTCGGCCGCCCTCGACGATGTCCTCCTTCCGGAGCATGAGTCCCACCTTCGTCACCTTGATGACCCATACGCCGCCTCCGCTGGGGGTGAGCACAGGCATAGAGCCGAGTGAGCTTTGGAACATCGGACCCGGCCCACCCGTCACGCTAAGGCTGAACCAGGGCGAAGCGTGGTATCGATTTTCGATCGCGGCCACCTCCACAACGCTAGCGAGGGCGAAGGCACGCTGCAGTTCGTCTTCATCCCACGGACCTGCGGTTCCCTGATAGAAGTACGGGCTCTCTGGGGGTATATGCGAATGAACGTCTATCCGGAGGTCGTCGAGGAGATTCTGTTCGAGGGGATATGTTAGTCATGACGATTACGGGGCTGTGGACCGAAGTTATACTTACCCTAGTGATGAGGTAGTAAGGATCAATCCTGTTGTTTTTTCCGAGCAGGGCTGAACCTGAGCCGCTGTTTAGGCCGCCGGGGGAAGGCGCCCCGATGGTGGACATCCTGCGGGACACCGCTTCAGGCACCAGGCCGCGCTGACCGTTGACATCCAAAGGATCCTCGATGAAAATGAAGGGCGCGAAGACGATATTATCGTAAAAGCACTGAAAGCAGATGAGGCGTCTATCACGCTTAGATGGAGGTGGAACACTGACATCGAGAACCTCAGGAGCTACGCCGGGGAGACGAGTATTCTTGATGTAGTCCGGCTTCGTCATCTTGCGCTTATTAGACTTGTTAAAGGCGTCGGTGTGTAACATAATTAGACTGAATGCTAGGATATACGGATGGTCTGCGTAACATGAAATCAGAGCTTGCGTATAACACGATCGGAGAGGGGAACTGACCGTCTGATGAGAATAAGTTAGGATTACACTGAACGTAACGTGCAGCAAAGGCCTCCATAACACGGTCAATTTGCTGCGTCTCGCGGGGTAGACCAACGTCCATGAGCAGCTTCCGCAACGCAACATCGAGCGGGTCCCCCACGAAGTTGAAACGCTCAATGTATACACGAAGCGCGCGAGCATGGAATGCATCGGAGCTGAATTCAAATCAGTTCCAATCATTGTTAAGAAGCCATTCGTACAGGCACAAACCTTGAAGCCAGTATAGAGGCCACCTCCGTCTTGCTCACCGCCTCAACGAGGCGCTGCAGGTAGACTTCTGGAGACTCCTCATCCGACCGCGGCTTCGGAATCTCTACAGAGGGCTTCGAGAGAGATGGGCGGGAGGACCCAAGGCTAGAGGGAGGTGTTGTGGCTGCCTGCCCTTCTAGGACATTCGGAGAACTGGCTGAGGTAGGAGTGTTACTAGACGAGGAACCGAAGAGGTTGACTGATAAGCGATGCAGAAGTGGCGGGTTCGTTTGGGCGCGGGGGCGGTTCTCTTGCTGTGGGGTCGGGAACTGTGGAGGGGTCGGACGCTCTGAGGGGGTGGGGAGGGGCGAAGCGGGGGGCGAGGAGCTAAAAGGACGCGAATCGGAGAAGAAAGACAGTCGAGGGCTTCCAGGGGTGTCTGCGGTCTGTGGTCGATGGGAAGCACGTCGGCGCCGCGCAGGTTGCGAGATAGGAGCCTTCGGGACATCTGGGATAGCTTCCTCTTCCTTGCGAGTTTGTGAGGACTTGCGCAGTCGCTCAGAATGTCGACGCTGTAGCTCCGGAGGCGGTACTGGCGGCACCAAGCCTGGCGAGGGTACAGGAGTATTGACGTAGAAGGGGGAGACCGGCGGAAATGCGGGGAGCGTAGGCTGTGGTATGGGCGAAGATGGAGCTGGTGCGGTATCCGGACGAGAGTTGACCCTTCTACGAGACCAGAAGGAGCTCTTGCGCGATATTGGCCTAGGTTCAGCAGCGTCAAGGTCAACATCGGTCTCCCGTTGCTTGCCCTTATTATCCGAGGACATAAGCGCGAGAGGGCCGAGAGAAAGCCCTCTAGCCCTTCTGCGGTCTCTCGCAGCTGCAGGGGAGTCAACAGGAGAGGCCTCACGCTCCTTCTGGAAGCTTTTCGCGTGCCGAATAGTGGGGTTGGGACGCCGGAGTTCAGAGGTACTGGGAGCGTGTGGTTGAAGGAACATGACGCTGTTGACTTCCGAAGATGACGTCGAGGCGGAAACAGAAGGTGCCCCGAGAGGAAGACCAATCCCCAGGGCGGCACGAGCGAGCGCGAGAGTCGGCTGAGCAGGACTGGAGGAATCACCAGGAGCGTACGAGGAGCGAGCTGTAGCAGGCTGCACTGAGGACGCACGGGACGAAGAATCCGAAAGACCAGCCGATCGGGAGCTATCATTTCGCCTGATAGTCCGCGTCGTGTCGTCGCCTTCGTCCGCCTGGGGCGGGTCAGGAGACAGACGGGAAGGGGGCGTGAGGTTTTCCGGGCTTAGGCTGGGGGTAGGAGGGAGCTCCTTGTCCCGCAAGAGCACGCTTGCGTGGGTCAATGCACGGTCGTGCGGCGCGCTGATGACCCCGAGCTCGTCTGTGGACAGCGAGGCGGGACCTTTCGGTGCGACTGCGGGGGAATATGCCGGAGTCCCGCGCCGTCTCCATAGCGGTAGAGAAAAGAAATGCGTCGTTGTTTGCGTGGTGGTGACGATGTGGGTGGTCGTGGTCGTGGTTGTCGCGGCGAGAAGGGCGGGGTCGGGGTTGTCCTGAGAGTACGGCGGGGGCGGAGGCACGGCTGCGGGTGCGGGGTCTTGATTGCGGGGGGACCGTGAAGGCGACCCCTTGCCCGCGAGGCCAAAGAGGGCGACCATGCGGCAGCCGCTGTGGATGTCGAGGGCAGGGGAACTACGGCGGATCGTTGACGGGCTCCAGGGCTGCGGCGGGATGGTCGAGGACGAGGACGGGGGTGTCGAGAACGAGTCGAACCGTGCCGGACTGAAGGCGGGCGCACGCAATGGGCGGGGGGAGCGTGCTGCCTCTTTGGGAACGGGTCACGTGTATCTGTAGGGCGCGCTCAGTAAGCGCCGAGAAGGAGCGGGCGCGGTGGGTGGGGAGTTTGGAGGAGACGCGGGAGGTCAGGGCAGCGTCGCAGACTGGATTGAGCACACCCTTTGCCTTTCTCTCTTCTGCGCGCGTACCGAGTCCCCGGGCGATGGCTGCAGGCTAGCGGTGCGCCCTGCCCTACTCAGCATCCTCCGGCCCAGGTCCCCTGGACCCCAGTGCCTGCGTTCCATCTCCTCCCCCTGCTCCTCTTCTTCCAGACCTCCTGCGATCAGCCATTCAATCGGAGGCCGCACCAGCCATCGTACGCTCGGTCTGCCAACCTAAAAGACCCATGTTCTCATCCACCTCTCCGCTAGATCCCATCCTGCTCCCCCTACCCATCGTATGTCACACCCCGTCAGTCCTCGACTCTGTCCAGCCCATCACCGCCCCTCCAGCCGACGCATGGCCGAGGGAAACTCCCAGATCGTACTCGAGGTCACCCAGGTGTGGCGGGGGAAAGACTCCGAGGGAAAGGACCTCCCCCTCCACTGGGCGCTCACATTCAAGACCGCCGGCACCGACGACCGCCCTATAGGCAACTGCTACAACGCCGCCGGCAACATCGACACCTACTGCTACGAGGCCGAGCGCGACATCGTGCTCCGGAACGACAACTGGCGTGGCTCGCTCCCCGTCGGCCGCATCCCCGCGGAGTCCCTACACAAATTCGAGCGCATCCTCTCCCAGATACCCATCACCCGCCACGACCCCTCCTGGAATTGTCAAAACTGGGTATGGGCCAGTCTACGCGAGCTGCGGCACGCCGGATTCTCCATCGAGCCTGTCCTCACCTGGTCACGTCTTCGAGACGGCATGTTCGACCTGTTAGAGGCATGGGAGTGCGGCGACATCTGAGCTGTGCGCGTTCGTGGTCACGACGTCGATCGTCTGTCCCTTTCTTTTCTGCTGCTTTCCCGGGTTTACAGTTTGTGAGTGCCGCCCTATCCGGAATATTTACGTGGGTTCACGACGCTGCCGCAGTTTTTGGTCTCCCGTTGTCTCGCTGCGAGTCACCGGACGCGACACCGACATGGGTAACGGTTGTAATGTATGGGAGGGCACGTCTTCACGCGATTGGAGGATGTGGGGGCCGGTGTATATCAGTGAGCCCCGCGCAAGGGCCGAGTGTATCATACTCTGCTGAACACGATAGAAAGCGATACAGAAAGAACAGGCACAGCACAGATCGAGAGAGCTCAAGCCTTCGCTCTCCGCTTCTTCTCTTTCTCGATCGTCCGCTTCTTCTGTTCCAGGTCTTGTCGCTGTGAGAACAGTCAGGATCACGCCAAACACCAGGAAATGCCGAGGGACACTGACCTCCTCTGCGCGCTTCTTCTGCCCGTACTTCATGCGCTCGTACAGCTTCCGCTGCTTGTTGCTCATCATCATCTTGTTCATGTTCTGCTCCCCAGCCTCCTCCTGCGACGCATCTCCCTTCTTCACCTTCTTCTGGGCCTTCTTGGCCTCTTTTTCGAAGGTGCCAAAGTCGATGCCTGCAGCCTCCGCCGCCAATTCCGCTGCACGAAGCGCTGCGGCGTCCTCCGCGGTGGCTACTGCCTTGAGCGCGGACTTTGCAGGACGCGCCTCTTCCTCCTCGCTGTCCTCGGCGCCAACTTCCGCATCATCCTCGCCCTCGACCTCCTCGTCCATCTCCTCGTCCTCCGCAGCGCCAGTAAGGCCCGCTGTCGGATCGTACGCCTCCGCGTGCTCGCCGAACGGACTCAGATGCGGCGGCAGCGTCTTGCCCTGCGCATACAGATCCTCGAGTAGAATCCTGCCCGCGTTGATGCAGTCGACGACCCACTGCGGCTGCACGTACTTGCGCCGCCGCCTCCGCTCCTTCTCCGCCTCGGTCTCGTTCGCACGCTGGACGAGCGGCCGGTCGATGATCACATGCGTGATCGACTCGTCGTCCTCCTCGAACGGCGAGCCGCTGCCGGAGGAAGCGGGCCACCCGATGCGTCCGCCGGACGCGCGCACGAGGAACTCGAAGATCGGCCGCGACGTCTCGCGCGAGAGCCAGAAGGTATAGGGGGCGAAAAGTTTTGCGGAGGTGGACTGCGGGAGGGTGGAGAGCGTCTTGAGCGTGGGGAGGGTTGCGGTGGTGAATGCGGGGGCGGAGGGCGCGTCTTCGGGGTCTTCCTCGGTGTTGTCCTCGACGAACTCCTCGTCGTCCTCGTTCGCGGGAGCGTCCGCGGTGGACATCTCGACGTCTGCGTCACCGGAGCCGGATGCAGCTATGCTTTTGATTGTCTGCCGCACATCTTTGCTAGAGATGCGCTTGCCGTCGACTTCGACGACCTTCGACTTAGCGGCAGCCGGAGCCGGGCGGGCGGCCTTCGCCTCCTCGAGGCTGAAAGCCCCGACACCAGCAGCACCCTCATCCTTCTTCGCGTCAAGGGGAGGGGGGTAGACGAGGCCAGCGTCCGTGTAAATCTTGAAGAACACAAAGCCCAAGAGCGTCTGGTACAGCTCGAGGAAAGTCAGCATAACACGGACATCGACGTCCGTGGGGATCTGCGCGGGTTGTGAGAGGTCATTGGAAACATGGGTAGAATAAATGACGTACAGTTTGCGTGAACTGGTACGGAACCAACCAGGTGACTGTCTGGTCAAATACCTCCGCCTGATAGTACACTCCCTTTATCGAAAGGAAAGTTTTCCGGAGAGCGTGTGTATGCATAACGTACAACTGCCACTCCGCCGCTAGGCGTGCGCAGTTCTCGATGAGGGAGGGGGAGACCTTAGAGTCGGAGGGGAGGGAAGCAAAGAGGAAGATCATGCAGAGCGCATCGTCGATGTCCCGGACAGCATCGACAAATGTGGGGTACCTGGCGAAGATGCAGCCGTTCAGATGTCTCTCAGAGAAAATGCGGCACCACGGGACTCACCTCTCCTTGATGATATGGTCAAGACGGTATACCGACTTGTTTTCCTCCAGACTCTTCGCGCTGCTCCATTCTCCTCTCCCAAGCGCACGAGAGAGCTTTTTCGCAAAAGCCTTGTGCTCCCGCAGCTTCCGCAAGACAGGCTCGTGCGCAAGGTATGCGATATCTTTCGCATAGTAGAAGTTCGTGGGCGCGGACGAGCCCTTGTTCGCCTTCTTGCGGCTCCGGGGCTCACGAGGGAAGATACCTTACGGACGAGGTTGTGTTAGTACAAGGCCAGAAGGGAAGGCCGATGTTTAGACGTACCCTTCAAGATACATAACCTCCTGAAGTCCGCGAGAGAGCATTGCAGCTTCTTCACCGCTGCTGAGCGGGTCACGTATGCTTTGGCAGCACCGGCCTTTCCTCTCTGCTTGATACGGCCCATATTTCTGGAGTTTTAGTAGGATAGGAGGGAGGATGGAGAGTGGAGAGTGTAGGGAGAACGGATGGGAGAGAGCGAAGGAAAGCGCTCCGGCGTCCAATCAGGAACCGGCACTCCAAACTTTTCGACCCATCTTGGGCGCCTGTCTGAGGCGCGCGCGCGATCTTGGTTTGGTCGAGCTCGCTGCGTGCGCAAGGCTGCTCATCTCCTCCGCCGCCCACCATGAGGTACGCGTCCGCGCTCTCCCTGATGTTCTTCCGCATTTGCTCACCACGCGTTGCAGTCAATACGTGCACGTCCCCAAATCCGAGCTCGACGAGGCGCAGCTGCGTGCGCTCGAGGAGCACGAGATTAGCCAGGGCCCCTTGTCGGTCCTCCAGCAGGCCGTTAGGAATCACACGCAAGTCCTCATCTCCCTGCGAAACAACAAAAAGCTGCTAGCACGCGTGAAGGCGTTTGACAGACACAGCAACATGGTGCGTTCCGCCTCTTGTATGATTCGTACCGGTTTACCTTACGCGTTTATCACGTAGGTGTTGGAGAACGTAAAAGAGGTGTGTAGTATCTGCTCTCAGCAGAAAGTTCGCCAGCTCATTGTGTGATCGCAGATGTGGACAGAGATGCCCAAGGGAAAGAACAAGAAGGCAGTGAACAAGGACAGGTTCATCAGCAAGATGTTCTTGCGGTGGGTGCCCATATTGACTCAATCTCGCCTGTATACTTATCACAGACATCTTATAGCGGTGACTCGGTCATTCTTGGTGAGTACTAGTAAGATTCACCTGCCTGCGTCTACTAATGCAGCTACTAGTTCTGCGCAACACTGCGTAAACTCGCTCAGTCTCTTTGTCTCAGCAACCGGACCTTCATGTCGGTCATGCTCTGTGGAATCGTTCTGTATCACGTAATGTACATCGTTCATTTCTGCTGTCTCATCTCTCCGTCTGCAACGCCAGTGTGATGGGAAAACTGACAGCCAACCATGTATGTCGGGTCCCAAGCGTTCCTCTCCGCTCACGCGCTACACGAATATGTCAGTTTCCGTACTCGCAAAGTGCGCTGCACAGAGACGCAAAAATCCACATACCGCCGAGTGATCGTCCGCTCCTCGTCCTCGATGTCTTTGATCGTGTCGAAAATCCCCCCAAGGGCAACCCAGCCGAAACTGTGCCCGCCGAAGTACTTCTGCTCCATGTTCCCGATCCGAAAGGCGATCCAGGCGCGGAGAAGGGACACCTCGTGCGGCGTGTCGTCCTCGCCCTCCAACTCGTGGCGCACGTCGCTGACGAGTGTGGCGGTCTGCTCCCTCAGCTGCGAGATGAGGTCTCGACGCTTACGGGGCTGCGAGCATTTTGCGACAATGGTGCCGACCTGTCCGGGATCGGGTGAGTATGGTGTACTGCATGCACTGACGATACGCTTGGGCAGGCACTCACGACGGCCTCTTCCTCCGTCAGCATCGCCGTGCGCGAGTTCTCGAGCGCATGATCGGCGCAGATCGCCCGCAGACGGGAAACATAGCTGTTGTACAGCTCCCAGATACTCGTCACCGTCGCCCGGTCGTAGCTGCCGGGGTCGATGAAGCCTGCCACGTGGTGTCGCACAGCGTCGAAGACCACGTCTTCCTCGCTGGACCGGTTAGTGTGGAATTGACCAAGGATGGTAGGGAGGAAGTCCTGTCCTGCCTGCCGCATATGCCTGAGCTGATAGCGAGCAGCACGATCCACCGTTCGGAGAGCAGGTAGGTCGATAGAACGGTACAGCTTGCCGATAGCCCGGACGCTCTCGTAAAATCGCGGGGATTCAGAGAGAGTATCGATGCTCATCGTCTCAGGCGCGTTCCAGTCCGGCTTCCTAGCGAACTGAAGGCGTGGTATGTGCTGGATGGGCACTGGCTGTCCGCTTTTCGGATAGTCGACCGCATCGCTGTGGAGGGCGGCCAGCTTGAGACAGTCTGGGTCTAGGATACCCTCGGTGCTCTGGTCGGCGATGATGAGCCACGTTATCGCGATTATCCCAAGGGTCTTCGGAACTGTTCAGCTGTTGACAATACAGAGAGTAAAACGCTGGCGTACATCGCTGTTGATATATTCCGCAACAAATTCTGCAACGTCGACCATGGTGCTTTCGTGATCAACAAGCTTCCGAGGGGTAGCTTTGTATTCTGCCGCATAGAACGTTCGAGGCGGTAGGAGTTCGGGCATCGAGGTAACATTGTACTCGTCGCCATCAAGATCGCCGCCTCCGAGACAGGACGGCAGTGGCCGTTTTCCTGGGATATGCGTCAAAGACGGCACTTCAGGCTACAGCCAAGTCCATGGGAACATACCCTTGATGGAGAAAACTACCGTGTTTCTGAGCGACTCCATTGAGAATGGCGAACCGGGGCGCGGTCGTCCTATCGCATGGACGACCTGAGCGTCCCCCGGATGTATGGTCGGAGAGCGGGAGATCAGGGTGCGGCCCTCGAGATAGCGCAGACCACCACGGTCAGGCGCATCGATGCAGACGAATATCTCTCCCTCTTCAAGATACCCGTGGACGTCTGCTACTCCTACTAACGTCCAGCCCTCCGGAACGGGAATCCTCGCCCGGTGCTTCAGCTCTCGTAGGACATGATTGATTGCGAAGTCCATGGTCTGTCGCCAGAACACCTCGTTGTTGAGCGGACCGAGGCCGAGCTTATGAAGTCCTAGCATCACAGACGTGAGACGGAAGGATCCGCCAAGACCATGGCCCTCAAGGAGGCGAGCGGACCTCTCAAGTGACTCGACAGCCGCCTTAACGTCGCGCACAGCGTTATCCTGTAGACGTTGGAAGACCTCGTAGGGGACCCCAAGTCCCTCCAACAGCATGATGAGGGGCCTGTTCAGATAATATGGCGCAGGTTTCTCGAAAGCCCTAGCGACCTCGATGTTGCGCGAGTCGGGACTCTCGAACTTGATCATTGAGGGTCGTATGAGGATAGAGCGTCCTGGGAGTGTGTAGTCGACACTGAGCATGCCTTTAGAGCCCTGGAATCGGATTTGGTATGCGCGGGGATACGTCCTGTCCCGGCGGCCGCGACGTCTGTTCTCCTGCAGCGCGCGCCAGATGTCCTTGGCAAGCTGAGGCGAAATAGTACCCACGCCGTCCGTGAACTCCCTCTTTCCGGAGGCATCCTTGATGTCACTGCCGAAGATGATCTGGCCAGCGTCGATAGTGATTGACGCATCTGTCGCGGTAAATGCCTGGGAGATCCTGGCAGCATAACGCGCGGGGCAATAGATGAGCTCCGGGTCGAAGGTAAGGTTCCTGAAGGTACCGAGACTTCCGATGATGGCCGCTGCATCCACAAAGTGGGTATACCCTTGGTCGTCGGTATGTCTGAAAGGCTTGACAAACCAGACCGCGTGCTCCTTCAAGGCTGATTGGGAGTATGCGAGGAAGTCGAATCGGGCTCCCGGGAACGCGAGTCCGCCGAGCAAGACGCTCTTGACCCTACGATTGACGAAGTCTGTGCCGTCGATTTCGCGGTCGAAACGCAGCTGGAGCCGGTTCTCATCCTGGAAGCAGACGCGAAGGAAAGAGTCCTGGGAGCGATAGTACTTGCGCATGACGCGGTTGGACCGTTCCGGGAACGGGCCTTCCAGTATCATAGTAGTAGGAGTGATGGTGACGCGAAGGCAATGGAAGGGGGCAGTCGCGTCGGCAGTATTCAGGGCGGTGTTCAAAGGTTTATAGACGAAGTTGGCGGCGACCGAGGTGAACAGCTCAACGACGTCGCCTGAATAGAGTTCCGCCTGTGGACTATGCCCTTGACTAATTGGGTCTTCCCCGTACCAGAAGAGGGCCCTGGCTTGAGCGATGAAGTCGCGGAGGAGTGCCGCGGTATGATCCCGGCCCTTGCTGCGTAGGAGTGTTTCTATTGGGCGCCGAAGCCTAAGCATCTCCTTGAAGTCTACTAGGCACGACCGCAAAAGGGCTTCGACCTGGAATGCCACCATCCAGGGCTGACGCAGTGCCCAGAATGCGCATTCCTCCCGTACATCTTGAGCGAATAGCCCTCGCCGTTCCACGTGGTATGCGAAGTTGTCCGGACGGGTACAATGGGCAGCGCGTGCTAAGCTCCGGAATTGCTCGAGGTCGTCCACCGATGAGGCCTCTAGACGAAGAGCTAGCGAAGTATACGGGGCAACCGCTTCGTGGGTTTCATCGAACGCGGACCACTTTCTACGAAGGGGGATGTCACCGCCCTTGAGTGCGCTGATGAGACTAGACGTGACGCTTTCGGTCTCGAAGGAGGGAGGATTACTGAGGGAGAAAAAGATGACTGGGACACCGGATGATGGATCGACCGCAGCAGACGTCCAGCCAATTTGGCTGGCGCGTATAGCGATAATACGCGTGTCGTCCAGCCCAGACCCGCGAACTCTGATGCGAAATTCGCGCCGCTCCTCCACAAAGACCAGGACAGCGGAACACGATTTCTCCCATTCAATAGAGAAGACTTGGTCTCGGCATTCCCATCCGAACTGAATTGTAACGAGTGGTACTTGGCGCAACCTGAGGTCTTCGGCGTCGCGCTCACGGGCTTGAGCTATCCTTGGATCTTCGAATGACTGCCGCTGGACTCTCTCCAGTACCTCCATGCGCGGGTCCTTTTTACTCCGCTGGAATTGAACACGGGTGACTCCGAGGGTAAGGAAGCGCGTCGCAGTAGGATGGCCATAGATTTGCAGAAACTTGTTGCCGATGTCCACGGAGGGCAGAGTCAAAGTACCATATTGCCAAGGAGAGCGCTTCTTCTGGGGGAAGACATAGACGTCGAAATTCATTCGGGGTCTAGATGAGTCGCTGAAGGGAAGGGAATGGAGGATACTGGCTAGCTCTAGCTTGAGCTGGTGTTTGGTGGTCCCGTGGGGAAGACTTGTCATGAAGATATCCATGACTACGGAGAGGAGAGAAGAGAGGCTAAGGCAGAGGCGTGAAGGGTCTGTGAGAGAAGGGCGAAAGCGGAGACGGTCGAGAGCAGGTGGATGAGTGAATGTTCAGAGTTATAGGGGTAGTCGGATTGCCGCAGCACAACAGAGACGCACAAGGCGCTCCCATAACCTATAAGTCGATGTATAGATCAGTGGTAATTCTTTTCGATATATGGTGTATGTCAGACGCAGCAATGAACGAAATTTCGACTTGATATGAGAGTAAAATCGGCTTCATCTCACCTCGACGTTGGCCGAAACGCGGAGGATTGGGGTGGAAGAAATACATCCAGAGACGTATCGGGGTATTACCGCAGCGCCACCAAGGACTTATCGCATTATCGTGTGCAGCACACGGCCAGGCCCAATGGCATCATAGCTCAGACTAGGTGACAGCCATAGGACGCCTGATACGTCAGAATGCAAGCAAAATAAGTTCCTAAACGGCGTAGTCATTGACAGAGTCATGCATTGCCTTCGAAATATGGGTGTCTTCGTGGCCTGTACGGGGAGTCGTCAGACAGCGATTTGAAGCCACATAAGGATCATAGACAAGTTTCACAGCCGAGCATGCATCCAGAACGTCAAGACGGTGGTACATATGCCGTTGGAAGTATTTGCCTGAGTTCTCTACGACCGGAGGATATCCTGTCCTCGATGAGTTTCTGAAACACCTGATATAAGCACAAGCAGTGTTACATAGAACAATACGCACCACATCGTTCATGTAGCGGTTTCGCACAAACTCACTGCGGATCCAGGAAATAGTTTCTGCCCTCGCATTCCTGTCAGGAATGGCTCGAGACAGAGTCAGACTTCGTATGGTGTTCAGGCGGTTGGTTCCTACATCTTGTGGCCCGTATGGCTGAGCGGTACAGGTTGAGAGCCTGTTGTTTGAGTATGAAGTGCTTCAAGGTGAGTCCAGACATGAGCAGTCAATTCTTCGAACCGCAGCGGCGAGCAGGACGAGTGACCGAGAAATTATTGAGCTGAGCAGTTGTGCCTGAGTTGGGATGGAGGAACGCGCACGCGCGCTTCGGCGTGCCTTCCTGTCCAGTGCCGCGCAAAGCCGCGCTCCTGCTTGAGCTGACACCAAAGAGCTCAAATCCATCCGACGCCCCCTCGCACACACCTCCGTCTTTGCTTCCGGTATGGCTACTCATGAAACCGATTCTTCTCTCGTAACCGCACACACAACACCATCGCTCGCCCCCGGAGACGCCGTTGACGCCGTGGTCGAAGCTGTAGCGAAGGCCTCTTTGCAGGACGAAGTGGCGGCGGATGTCCAGCAGAAAACCTCAGACACACCTGCTCGCCCGCTTCGGGTGTATGCGCGATATGATATCCTCCAGCTCTCGAAGTCGCCTCTCATCGAACTGCCCGAGGGGATGCCTACTTTCAAGGAGTGGTTTGGGTATGTCAGGACTGACGCGACTACCTTATGTTTCTATAACGAGTTCTCTACAGTGACTGGAACGAGCAAGTAGGAAGCAAGAAGGAGGCTGAATCGTCTACAAATACCCCTGCACGAGATCGTCGGTATGTAGCAGCTCCGCTGGATGCGTAGGCTCATCTGACCGGCCTCTCAGTTTTCGTAGAGACACAGAGGATGGCGGTATGCAGATTTTGATGTCCCTCATTCGCATTGCTCAACATTGTCTACAGATTCTTCTCGGGCATCGTTCCGTTCAGGACTTACGCAGCCGTCGCAAATGGGCAATTTCAGACATCAATCAATCCGCACCACCGAACGCGGCGCCGAGAAGGAGGTGGATAAGGAGAGGGAACGCGACCTGCGTGACCGTGAGGGTCAAGAGCGGCTTCGAAATGTGAGTTATACTGGTCCTTGCGTTCATATTGTGGCCTTATGCGGTTGTCGCAGCTTTCCGACAAATACGACCGCGACCGGCTCGCATTGTCATCTGTATCGACCCTTCGTAACAAAGACCGGGACGCCGCGCCACATCTAACGGGTACATCGACTTCACGGCTCGGGCAAGCTGCCGGTGCTGGCCGTCGCGCCGAAGGTAGAGAGGCATCTAAGAGGAAACCGGTCGAGAGTAGCGACGATTGGCGCAGAGGTGAGTGCATCGTAACGGTGATACGTGTCCTGGTCGGTCCGTTGACGTCGTCCCCGTAGGCGCAGAACCGAACCGAGCGGGTCGTGAAGACAGTAAGAGCTTCTTACGTACACTATAAGCGCATCTTGGGCTGACATTGTACTCAGGGGCTGATAACCCGAGGCGAGATCGCGAGACTCGTGAACGGCCACGCTCGCGTGCACGCGAGTCCTCTCGCCCGAGAAGGGAACCTTCGACAACTCGGCGGGACCGCGATCGTGATCGCGAAGACAGAGACCGTCCTAGGGAGCGCCGCGGCGATGGTGACCGCGACGACCGCAGGGAGAAGGACGATGGTGGTCGACGCGACAGGGACGACTACCCTCGTCGAGACTGGGATGATCCCTCTGATCGGGATCGACCCGACTACGGCCGTCGCGCGAAGGACTCTGATCGCGACACTGAAGATGACCCTAGGCGGTGGCGGGACGATGGTCGCAGGGATGAGCGCGTTGCTGCTCGGCGGGAACGCGACCGCGGCTGGGATCGATTCGAGGACCGCGACCGGGAGCGTCCCTCGGGTGGTGAAGAGAGGGACGCGCGCACGCGCCGTGGTGCTGGACGTGATCGTCGACTCGGCGCGGCCGACGATGATAAAGACAGGGAGAATCGACGCGATCGCGATAGGGATCGCGAGGCTGAGCCTGCCTGGATGGAAACATACGTCCCCTCAACCCCAGGTGGTGGCATTCTTGGTGGCAAGACAGAGGATGGCGAGCTTGATGGTATTCAGGCTTGGAAGAAGGGTATGAAGGAGAGGGAGCGCAAGGAAAAGGGCAGCGACGCGAACCCGGGCGGCAAGAACACGAATGCCAATGGCTCTTCTGAGCAGCAGGCGGCTTCAAGCTCTGAGAGTCCGATGGACGAGATCCAGTTGTTCAAGCTGATGATGAAGCGCGAGGCTCAAAAGAAAGAAGACAAGTCTCCCGACGGGCAACTGGAGTACGGGCCTCCAGGTCTTTCCAACAGTTCATCATTGCAAGGCAACGCTGCTTCAGGTGAGTCTGCGTCGTTGTAACATGGAATTTCCGACTTGACGAGGCAATGAATAGATCCGGCTATCATCACCCACCACCTTACGGATGGACTGAAGATTTCACCCTCACAGTCTCATCAAGGCGAAGACCCTTCACCACGACCACCTTCATCTACTACTCCTGCTTCCAATGGCATCCAATCCTTGCTGACTGCTCTCACAACCGAGGCAGCTGCTATGCATCGCGGTTCTGAGTTGGCGAGCCCCTCGCTTGATCGTTCGCTAGAAGGCTCAAGGGTCATGGGGCCGCGTCTAGCCCAGGCAGCTTCACAGTCTGCAACGAACGCCTCCTCGCCTAGCGACCTTCCCTCCTCCAACGCCTCCCCTAATACCTTCAACCCGCCCGCTGGCTCTCGTGTCCTCGCGTTCAAGTCTCGCAATGCTGCAAACAACGTGCCAACCGCCCCTGGCAATCAAATGCCACCCCCTGGTCTCTCCGTTCCTCAAGTTCGGTCTGCGTCCGGTTCATCTGCCATCCCACCGCATATTCCGGATACACTCGGCAACGACATGCATTATGCGGGCCAACGTATGAATGCTGCCGATCCTTCTCGTGGGGTCCGGAGTTTCTCGCCCCTCAGCAACGGTTCACAGCCCAACTTGCTCATGGACGACCCCCGCGAAGCGATGCATCTGGGGCAGCTAAACGAGGGTATCCGCCGTGCGTCTGGTTCCGCAGCGGAACGTGCGATTTTCGGCATCCCTGGGGAGAATGCCCCTCCTTACAACGACATGGGCGGGCCGCAAGCCGGCGGGTTCCCTCTAGGTGTCCAGCTGGATCCCTCAGGCAGCGGAGCCAATTACACCAACAAGGGCAGTCGGTTCGCAAAGTTCTTTGACGCGAGAACCCGGGACGTGCAGGCCACAGGGCCACGCCTCGCACAGCAGCAGCAGCAGCAGCAGCAAGCGCCTCCCGTACAGCCTGGGCACCCGCACCTCCGCCAAGAGCCGCCCGCGCTCGGCGGCGTTGGTCCACCGAGAGGAGAGAGGACTATGGAAGATATCTTCGCGATGCTGCAGAGCTCGTCGCAGGTTTGTCGAGGATATTCGGTTAACACGCCGCTCATGCTAACGGTATTTTAGCAGGGCCACAGGATGTCTCCGCAGATCGTGCAGCCGGGTCGGATACCCCAGGGTGGCAATCAGTTCGCCCAGAGCAATCTCGAGCTACAAATTTTGCAACAACAGCAACAGCATCTGCACCAGCAACAGCTGGCCCAAAACAACCGCCTCGATTCTCTCTACGACAGCCGAATCGACGATCGGAACTTCGTCCCGGACGGTCTCGTCCCTGGATTGCGCCCTGCACCACCCCGTTCCCGCAGCCGAGAGTCTGGTGGTATCCTCTTCAACGAACAGATCGACGACCCCCTGCACTTCAACGTCCAGCGCCTTACCCAGCAGCGGAACATGGAGCAGATGTTCAACAACGGCCCCGTGCCCTCCATGTACGCCCAGCAGCAGGCGGCGATGCACCGCAACGGCGGTCTCCCGATGCAGCAGGGCCAGTACCGCGGCTCCTCCCCCATCTCCAGCCACAGCCAAAACCCTCTCCAGCCGCCGTCGCAGCGCCTCCCTCCCGGGCTCGCCAACCTCGGCGCCCGCCCCCCACACGATCCTTCACAGTTCCTTGGCGCCGGCGTCGGCATGCCCGGTGGCGGACTGCACGGCCCCACGCCCGCGCAGCAAGTCTACAACACCTTCACGCAGGGCGGCCTCGGCGGCTACAACGGCAACCCGCCGCTGCGCGGGCCGCCGGGTCCCCCGAATCCCCTGTCGGTCAACCCCATGGGCGGACTGGGCCCGAACAGCTTGGAGATGCGCGCGGCGAACCAGGCGCAGCTGCTGGGCATGCAGGGCAACTTGGGCGGCGCAGGGCTTCGGGGCTCAGGCCCTGGCTTCGGGCCGCAACAGGGCCCTGGGGGTCAGATGTCGCTCGCGATGCGCCAACAACTCCAGCAACAGCAGCAGCAGCAGCACATCCCGCCACAGATGATGGCGCACCTCCTCCCGTCGCACCTCCAGCAGCAGGCCGTGCACGGCGGTGGTGCGCAGACCACCCAGGACTTGATGGCGCTCTTGATGGGCGGTCACAGAGAGTGAGCAGCGGGCCCCGGTATATGCTTGTGTCCATATCCTTCCTCTCCTTTCGCGCATCCGCATTTCGATTTTCTCTCTCATGCCACGACGCTTCCCCTCCCTCTGTACCTAATTTCTGACACGCGTAAGTAGCACACGCACGTAGGCAGTAGTGCCAATATTGTGTCGGTTTAGCTCTGATTGACGACGTGGACTTGAATGCCGCGCGCAAGCTCAAGCATATACATCCACAACGAATTTTGCCGACAGGCCGATGATCTATTGCGCGACGTCTCGACCGCGGCTGGTGCCACTGAGCTGATTCATGCGCGCAGGTTTCAGGCTAGATTCGCCGTCGCTGCCATAAAGTTGGTATACGTTTCTCCTGGGCTGTAAGGTATCTCAGGGTTATACGCTTAACTTACTACAACTGTACCTGCATGGCATCATAACGTACTCGAGGACGGACGAGAAATTCGCTGAAGCCTGACAGCTGCATGACAGTGACGTCATTGTCCCTCTTGCGGTAGCTTCCTGCCCACGGCGGCGCAAACAAGCGCTCGCTGTACCTGAAGCGCGACCGGTCCCGATCGCACAACCGGAGATCTACAAGACAGCGGTCCCTTGCGGGCTCCTACTCTACGCTAGGTTTTCCACCTTGCAGTACCTTAACACAGCTAAGTCTCCAGACTCCAAGGACACATGTCTTCAAGAGGAGCATTCCAGGAGAAGCGTCGCGCGGATAGGCACCGGCCAGGGACGTGCAGGGAGTGCAGGGTCGCGGCGAGATGCACTGCATGCGCTCCCGGGCATCTCATCTCGAATCTGATCCGCGCATCCGGGGAAGCCTGATAGGGCAGGCGGGCTCCCATCAGCCGGAGGGAGGTGGGAACGCCAGGGTTGGTCAGCAGCGCGACAACGCCTTCAAGCTGCCTTTCCGGGCCCAGGCGGAGTCCCACCTCCTCCCCCCATGCTGTCGCCCAGTGCGCGTGCCACCCGCGCTGATAGTCCTCTTGTTCTCCTGCAGAGGCGTCTCGCTACTACCTCCGGAACGCAGAGCCTATTCTATTAAGCTCTTTCTCCCACATGCGCAACAAGCCTTCTAAGCGCGGGTAGCATTTTGACTTCAACTCCGTCCCTTCTGCCCGCGTGCTCCCCTTGTCCCAGGTAAGTCCCCTCGTCTTATGCGCAGTATCGCCGGCCCGGGGAAATAGGAATGATGGATACTGTCCGGACGCGCGTTGTCTCTGCCCCGCTGCGCGACCGCACCCTCCTTCGCTCAATTGGAATGCTCCAGCCCGCGGAGGTCTCAACTCTTGTGTTCGGTTGCCCCGGCCGTGCCGGCACCCTCGTGAGTCGTGCGCCGCACAACTCGGACACTGCGATCGAACCCCACGCGCGCTCGCACGAAGATCGTACGTGCGTTGCGTACTTGACAAGTGCACTTACTCACAGTGGCTTCCGCAACCGCCGTGGGGGCGGCCATTGGTCGGGCTTCGAAAGTTCTTGTGTGAAAAGACGTTATAACGAGCTGATAGCGGCCCTGCGCGTGCGGGGGTTCCCATCTACTGCATGCAGGCCTGCGCCGCGTTAACGACGGCGCAAGCTAGAAGCTCGTGATGGGAGGTCCTCGCGCCGAGAGAATCCCAGCCCGAGCTGAGCGCCGCGTGCTGTACGTATGAACGCCCCCGGCAGACGTTCGTACGCACAGCCCGAGGCGTATTTGCAGCCCGCGAGCCTCCAACGGATAGCCGGTTCCCTTCGGCGGTCTTTGGTCCTTGTCTTTCCGGATCAGTTGCGCCAGCGGAATTCCGCACCAGATGCGAGGTGACGGACCCACAGCGAACGACGAAGTGAATCCCGAGGGTCTCTTGCGGCTCCAGACGTCGACGCCACCGTGGCACGTCTGGAAGGGGCCTCTGTGGCGATCTTGTGCGCCGCTGGTCCCCACGGCTATACTTGCTGGTGGGCCCGCGGTGTGCGACGGGCTGCGGGTCCGAGATCACGCTCACTCTGCCGCACAGGAGAACAAAGGGCAGCGCGGGATTCCCGCCGTCGGGGCGAGCAAGAACGGGAAGCGTCACCTCTCCGTCATGCCGCCCTTCTGCAAAAACGCGGCGCACGAGGCAAGCGGCGGCAGGTAATCAGAATGTACGCTGTCAGCGGCGACGTTCAGTGCCTCCCCAACGTCAGGAGTACGTCAAGGCTCCGTTCCCTCAGCTGGTGAGTATGAGCGCTATGATTGATACGATAAGGTGACTGATGGGAGGGGATTCTTGGGCGCGCGGAGTGCGAGGGTGAAGAGCGGACCAGCTGGCCTGGGACGCACGAATCCTGGACGGGAATGTCGCCTTGTAGCTATCCTGGTTGGCAGCTCATCGCGCGCATTCGCAACGGGCTCGAGCAGTCGCACCCTCGTGCCTCAGCGGGCCTATGGCCGGAATTTGAGGATCCGTGCATGCGATGCGGCCGCTGTTCAGAACGTTCAGATCTGCGCGGGCCCAGTGATAGAGCTGTATGATGATGATGTCGTCCAGGAACGGCGGTACGCGGTCTCTCTTAAATAATAGGCTGGTTAGGCGAGGAATGTAATGGAGCGGACAACATGTTACGAAGGAGTAACGGGACTGCTGCGAGACTGGAAGAGAAGGTGATACGCTTTCCCGGCGCGCAAGGCAGTCGGACGGGGAAGCAGGGGCTTACCTAAAGTATGGAGATATGAGACGGATCTGGGTGCCTGCAGGCAGACAACGTGTTCAGGTTCACGCAGCTCATCGCCAGAAATGGGCCAATTGGCAAAGGACCCGAGAAAGGCTGGTGTATTAGAGACAGCGCGCGGGGAGATCTAAGCGGACACGCCTTTCGAGCATTGTGATTGCACACCCGCCAGCTACGTTTCACCGGCACCTTGAAAGCATCGGTCGTCGACAGCGAACGTAGCTCTCCTCCCTCCCTCCCCCGTCGCCCAGCAGCTTCCCCCCGGCAGCCGCTTCGCCGACCCCGCCCTGCCAGCCGAGCACCGACGAGGCCCCCGCCGACTCCCCGCTCAGAGCTTCGCACCCCCTGCACCAGCCAGTCCGCGTCGGCCCCGCAGTCGATCGCCATACTCTGGTCGCGCCAGCAGCATAGAAGACGGCATCCGCCCGAAGTCCCTCCTTTACCCCACAGTCCTTCGTTTCGAATCGTTTCGGTCCCGGGACTCCCAGGCCGCACAGCTAGCTCAGCAGCACAAGTTTAATTTGCGTAAGGTCGGCATTTAATCCGTTGGGTCGCTCGCTCCGTATTCGTGGTCGCAAGAACGCTTACAGGTCCGCGGGTGTGTGTGAGTACCGAGGGGATGCGGAACGAGCGGCGCAGGATTGGACGATGGCTGACGGATATCTGCAGATTTCTGCAGGCTGAAGTCTGGTGCAGTGAAGGACGTGACGGGGCATTCGATCGAAGGTGAGTTGCAGCTGCAGTCAATTTCGATTTCCCCGTTCGGGACGGGCACGGACGACGGGGCGGCGGCATCGTGGAACGTGGCCCGTGGGAACAGTGCGCGCTCCCCGAACAAAGCGGACCATCACAGATCGCGCGAAACCTCCCGGCGTCTTTGTTCCCCATCCCAGGCCCACCGTGCTCCCCAGCGGTGCGCACAGGCCCATCATGTGTGCGGGGACTTTCAGCTGCCAGCCCCGCCCACCAGGGGCGTATCGCAGGCAGCGGCGGCGGCGATGTCATGGCCAAGAGGGCGGTGGAGAGGCCGCACACGAGGCATCTGATGTCTGTGACGAGGCAGTCGATAACATCTGGAGTAACCCCTTCACAAGGATTGGTTATTATCGGATTATTATGTGCCTGCGAAATGTTAGCCTGGGCATTGTTCCTTGCCATCAGCTTTCCGCGCCTACGGCCTCGCCCCGGATTCCCGGTTCCCTTATAGCTCATTTCGGTCTCCATTCGTCGCTTCCTCTGCCCTCCCCGCTCGTCCTCGACGTCCCCGACGTCTTCGACCCCCTCCCGCTACCCGCACCTCTTTGCCTCTGTATATCCTCACGACCCTCACGCTGACGATCCTTAATTTCCCCCGGATCAGCGATCTCGACGCTCTTCCACCCACCCTCGTCCACTTAGCCACGGACGACCACAGCTCGCGACTCCGCCCGAGTTGTTGCATGATCTTTTCCCGTAAGTGCCCCTCTCTGCGTCTTGGCCTCCCTGTATGCGTAGCAGTCGTATTCTCTCTCTGGGCGCACTTTTTGCCTCTGTCGCTCTGGGATGTGATGATCGGGCGCAGTGTCGCGTGCGTTCGCTCCGCCCCGTGAAGTGTAGTGTTCATGTTCTCGCCGCTCTGTTTGTCTTTCCCCCTCTCCCCATAATCGTCTCTCTCTTTTTTCTCGCTGTTTCTTGGTTCGCATACCCCGTCTGTCTTCTTTCTACGCGATTCCCCTTGTTCGTTTGAATACGTTACTTCTCCCAACGTTGGCGCGCGCAACTTTCGTTGGATCTAATCTTCCCGATGTCTTTCGTCTCGTCTTCTGCCGGCGCAGTCGCTCACTCGAGCTCCTCCTCGTCTAGCATTCCCTTGAGTCATTCACCTCCTCCCCCCGCCTCCCCCGGTAACATGAAGGACGTCTCCAACTCATCCCGGGCCGCCCGCCCTTCTGCCTACCCCAAGAAGAAGCCATCGCCATACGGCGTGTCGAAATCTTCGCGGAGGCAATCACCACTTTACCCGCCCCACTCCCTCATCCGCAAGACCCCTCGTGCTGCGAAGGCGGAGCAAATCGCGCAACGACAGCGGTACCTGCAGATCAGCGCTCTGCGCCGGGAAGGTATCTACCTGGAAGAGGAGTATCACGACGAGATTCGTGGATATATGCACGAGATGGAGGTGAGTCCAAGTGCACGAGCTCCCTTCAAGTGTCCGCTGAACTCGTATTGCAGCGCAGCACGATGTGTCATATGGTGTCGATGGACCAACAACCAGAGATCCGATGGCATATGCGTCCCTGCTTGGTGGACTTCCTCGTGGAGCTTCACTTCGTCTTCAGGCTACGCCCCGAAACGCTCTACCTCACGCTGAACATTATCGACCGCTACGTCTCGAAGCGGATCGTCTACGTCAAGCACTACCAGCTTGTCGGATGCGCCGCTCTCTGGATCGCTGCGAAGTTCGAGGACGCCAAGGAGCGCGTACCTACTGTTCAGGACCTCGCTCAGATGTGCCAGGAGACTTACGACGAGTCGGCGTTCATCCAGATGGAGGGCCACGTTCTCTCGACAATTCAGTGGACGCTGGGTCACCCGACGGCGGAATCGTGGTTGCGCATCCTTTGCTGTGGCCCGATCATCGAGGAGCAGAAAGTGCAACACGTCGCTCGCTTTCTCATGGAGATCACGCTGTTCTACCGCGAGTTCTGCCAGTACCCATCTTCGGCTGTGGCGCTGGGCTCGCTGACGCTTGCGCGTTCCCTCTGTGGAAAGAGCCGTCGCATCTTCGAGGAGACTGAGGAGTGCCTTGAGATCGTGGAGCACCTGGACAACCGCTTGGCGAAGCACGCGAACGACCTGTCGGAGACGCTTGTCAAGAAGTACTCCTACGCCTTCTACTCGAAGGCGGCGACGTTCGTTCTCCAGTTTTACCTCCAAGGCGGCCGCTTCCAGCTCCAGAATACGCTCGCCTTCCCCATGACGCCCGTGCGGACGCACTCGCCCAAGGTGTGCACGCCCATGAGCGTCTCCACGACGGCTTCGGACCTATCGGACGACATGCCAGCGACGCCAACTAGCCCTATGTTTTCTAGCGACGCGTTCGGGAGCTCGTACATGTCGGACGACAAGGAAAACCTTCCCTCCCCGAAGTTCGAGCCCGTGATCAACAAGCAGCTCATCGAGCAAGTTCCTGAGCAGTTCTTGCCTCACGACTTCGTCAAGTACCAGCGCCAGGCTCTTCACAACCTGAACGTCGGGTCACCTCGACCTGCCGTGGTCTCGTGAAGCAGCTGTGGCCTTCAGAACTTGTCGCTTCCGCTCGTCGAAGCTTGTCATCGTTGCCTGGGTTGTAAAAAGCTTTCCTCCGCTGTCGCTCGTCCGATGCAATACGTCTCTCGTCTCCAGCAAAATGTATCAACACTACCATACACGTCGTCCTTCGGCACCCCCTCCACGCAATCTGTCTCCTCATCATCAACATCATCGGCTCAACCATGCATTCTTTCCTCTGCAATCGTGTCTCGTCTCTCCCGCCCCCCTTCCAAGTGTCGGACGCCGTCGCCTATACGAGTACAAGAAGTCGAAGTCGATTCAGACGGCTGACGTTCACGATACACCGCAGTGTACGCCTCTCCCCGTGTACGATTACGGACGGCCCTCTGGACGCCGTCCCCCGGTGTATCTGTCGTTCGACTGCAGCATTGGCACCTTTCCGACCCCTTCCCCGCGGACATTGTGTTCAACATTCATTCGAACATACTCTATCCTATGCATCCCGACCTTCCCTTCATCTGCGCACCTATTCCGGATCGCTTTACGCGACAAGCATCCTCTTCCCTTCTTCCCCCCACCCGAACCCCGATCCAACTTAAGTCGCCGCCTTCGTTCTATCTTATTCTTCACGTTTATTGTACATTCTTCACTGCACTCCCCCCGTCCTTGAAGCATCCCTCGTCCCCCACCCTCCCCGCGCGCATTGTGTCATATCGTCCTTTTAGTCGACTCCTTCCGTACAGTCTCGTCAATGTCGCAGCATCCAATCACATCAACCACTGTCGTACTCTGGGCCTGAAGGGCTCGCCGCACTGTTCCGCGCATTCCTGTCGTTTACATTACTGCCAATCGAGCATCAAATTATATTATTGCATCTAAGCTGCAGCACGACGGGCGCGACGCCGGCTCGATCAAGGGTGGGGATAGGAGCGCAGGCAGGGTGCGACAGTCTGGCGGCTAGGCTCGATCCCTGACAGCTGCAGTGCGCGCAAACCCCGGAGGGTCAGATACGGGCGTTCGCGATAGATGGATATGCACTGGCGATCTGAATATGCTGCGGCGGACGCACGAACGCACCCCGGCCGCACGCAGCACACGGGCGCGGGCTGTTCGAATGATCGGGCGCAGACCGCGTTCTGTTCTTCTACGTTACCAGGGTGAGGTAAAGGAGGCGCAGGACTCACACCTCGCCGGATAGCGAATAGTTCGAAGCACCCTCGGTGGCTTTGAGTGATCAGGCACGGGGGCGGCGGGGGAATGATGCTGGGCCATCGCCCATGGCGTGACCGCCTGGGCTGCTGCGACGCACCGGTGCCCATGTGAGGAGGGCGGTGCGCGTGCAGCCTGTGATGACGGCCCCAGGCTGGGGGTGGTGCGACGCCCGCGCGCAGACTGGACGGACCGCACCCGAGCGCGGCGGCGAGCGAGATATCTGCGTATGTCGAATCTCGATTCCGAGGGGCATGATGCGCAGACATGGGCAGCCCGGTGCTCGCGGCGCGCGAATAGTTCCTACTCGTTCCTACAAGTGCCATCAGCAGCCGATTCAAGCCCTCGCCTTCCCGCACCTTGCGCCCGGGCCCGAGGGGAGGGTGGTGCGCCGTGTGCTCCCAAGGCGCACCATACAATACACCGGCTCCGTTCGGATTCCCGGAAAGACGCAGGACGCAGGAAGCAGGCCGCCGCGCGCGAGTGAGTACAGCTTCCCGGAATACTCGCACCCTCATATCCGCGGAAATATACATCCCATCGCATCTCTTACAAGTTGCGTGACAGGCAGGAGTTCTAATGTCGCCGCTAGCCCCGGTGGCGGTCGCGCTGGAGGGCGCGGCGGCGATCGCGGCGAGACCCATGGCCTCCACCGCCTTGTTTCCTATAGGTTATCGCTAGTCTCGATAACACTGTCTCCGGTGGGTCGGTGACGCGTCGAGTCGCCGAGGGGCGTGCCACCACCACCACCGGACCACCACAGCTATCGATATTCGATATTCTCGTCTTGTGTGCGCACGCGCGCCCGGCCGGGATGCGTGCTAAGTGTTGAGCACGCTGGGAAGCTCGCAGGGGTGGCAACACCCTGGTACCTGTGATCGAGGGCCGGTCGGGAGGATAGCGTGCAACGTGCGCGCGGTCGCGGCCGCGGTGGAGCAGGAGTGCAGCTGAAAGATGTGCCAGCGCTGGCAGGAACGGTGCTACCGTGCGCGGTGTTCCAAATCCGCGTCCTCCTGAGCGTACCAGCATCATCGACCTTTGCACTTCGTCATCGCTGCATCAACGGCGGCCGCCCCTGGCAGAGTGTGTGTGCAGGCCTAGAGCCCGAGCGGGTCCGAAGAGGCTGTTTGAGGTCATCATAGGGGGATTGCGCGCGCAGACTAGCTTCGAGTTCGACGCCGAACGGCGAGAAGATCCAACGTTTAAGCTATCGTACATACAGCGCGGACACTGGACAGCACTTCATCTTTCTTCCCCTCCACGTCCCGTACCACCATGTGCGCACCCGGTGTCCCGACCCCGCTCAGGAGGCGGGGAACCAGCCGCCGATCTTCCTCCATTCTACCCCGGACGCGCGCCCACAATACATGCAGATACGCAGCTTCTCGCGCCCCCGCGCGCCGCCCCCAAGCCTTCCCATCCATCCGTCAAGTCAGACCTTCGCATGACAAGAACCCGCCGCACCTTCGCTTCCCCGGGCTCACTCGAGCACCCACTGGCCGTCGTTGTGCTTGATCGTGACCGGGCGCTTCTCGTCGAGGCTGATGCGGCCCGCGTTCAGGATCGCGGTGGTGAGCACCGTGTTCGCGATTGTGGGCAGCCCGTGCTTGTCGTAGTCCGCCGGCTGCGTCAGCCCCGCATTCACGCTGCGCGCGGCGTCGATGAACTTCTCGATGGACACGTAGCCGTACCCGCGCTGGCCGTCAAAGTGCCCGCTCTCCGACGGCGAGTACTTCATGCTGCGCCCGGCGAAGACGGAAATGTGTCGGCAATGTCGACGTCAAGGGCGATGAATGATGCAGGGTGAGGTCGGGTCGGGGGCGTAGGACAAAGATGCAGGTGATTGATTTAGTCCGGGGGGTCGCACGATGAGAGCGGAGGACGTACTAGAAGGGGTTGTACCACGCCTTGCCCGTGTCATCCTGGACGATGTCGTAACCGCGGTGCGCCTGGTCGACGTTGATCTCGCCCTGCGCGACAGACACACGATGATCAGCAATTAATATCTCTGATCGCAGTGCCACCGCCATGGACAATTGCGGGTCCCCGCGCCGCGTGCAATGGTGCGGGTGCTGCGATGTTGAGTACGCACCTTCTCAGCCATGTAGTACCAGTGTTGACCGGTGTGGATCCCCGCCTTGAGTGGGGCTGTCCACGAGGCCGTGTAGACGGCGGTGCCGCGGTGGGTTGCGCTCGTGAGCGACTGCCAGTCGACGAGCAGCGTGATCGTGTCCTCCGTCTGGGGCACGCAGTTAAACGGCTCGCTCGTCGCGATCCCGGCCGCGGCGCTCGCAACGACACGCGTGGGGACCGCCCTGTCCTGCATCATCCAGCAGTGGATGTCGATATGGTGCGACGACAGGTAGTAGCTGACAGATGACAATTTAGGTGAGTTCAAATTCGAACGGGCGGCCGACGCTCCTTAAGCATACCTGATGTCGGAATCCTTGCCCGCCCAGGCACGGAACGTCTCCAGCTGGCTCTTGGGCTGGCTCATCCACGCGCTGAAGAAGTTGAACTCGCCCAGAGACGGAGCGCGTGCCTTGGCGTCGCTGTATACGGGATCGAAGCTGCCCGCCGAATTTGAGTTTGGGTGTCGGCCGACGCGATTCGAAGCACAAATCGCTCACCGTTTATGGTGCTCAACGAAGCATACTACGTTGTGCTTCTTTGCCGCTTCGACGAGTTCATTGTGGTGCTGGAGCAGCTGGACGGCGGGTTTCGTGACCAAGACGTGCAGGCCACGCTCGATAGCATACAGCGAAATGCGGTAATGAGTGCCTAAATAACGATGAGAAGCGCCTCGGTGTATGTGCCAGGATCACTGACTATCCGGAGTGAAGATGATCACAGCATCACCGGGAGACAGCTTGTCGATGGCCTGTTTGTCTGAGGTACAAGGCGAGCGAAGGTGAGTAACCGGCTGGCTTTTCGATAAAGTGATGTGAGAACTGACAAGCCTCCGGGTCGATAGACTCTCCCTCTGGGTACGCATCGAAGCTGCGCCACGTTAGGAAAAGCAAACGCGACAAGCGGAAAAGCGTACGAGAGGTCCATGTCTTTGTAGACATTGGCGATGTTCTCCTGGAGGTGCTTTCGGATAGCGGGGAACTTCGAGCCATTTGTGCCGACCATGCCCAGCTTGTCCACCTGCAGATGTGTGGGTGAGTGGCAGATTTCTAGGAGACGACGCGGGCGTCGCAACTGGCGAACGTCCTGGGAGCCGCGGGATGTTCTCCGCAGAACGTGTTCCGAAACATGTTCTGTGTTCCGAGTGACAGAATGTGACGAAGACCTCATAGGCCAAACCACAAGTTGAGGGACTCTAGGATAAGTGTCTTCGTGCATCGCTGAAGTACACTTAAGGTGCACTGGTAAGCCTTAATATCCATCGTAACGTCATGGCGAGCGTACAAGATCAAGGCGCGAGCCCGTCACTCACGTCGAACGAGCAACACACTGCACGCCCATCCACCACTAGTGGTCACCTCTGTCACTCAGTAGGTCACCAGAACGCGAAACATGTGTCGGAACGTGTTCTGCAGGACAGATCTCGCCGCTGCCGAGGCTTTCTGCGCAACTGACCTTCCCGAGTCTCCGTTGGTCAAAGCATGTCAGCCCGACGACCTGCACCTGTATGAGAAAGGTGTATCTTCAAAATTGAGGTGCGTTACATACGCCGATCTATAGAGAGCGTAATGGTGAGCATGGTGCATTCCACAAGCTGTGGCGAGACGGCTTACCTTCTTGTCGGATTTTGAGGCACCAGCGCCGGTCCACCCAGTGGTGTACTCGCCCTTGGATACCAAAGGTAAGCATTGCAGATCCATGAGGTCTGAATCTTAGCACGTACAGTGCCACCTGGATAGTTGCATCGTAAGTGATCGAAGGCGTATGGTACTGAGAAGTGGTCACCTACACATCAAGATGTTCAGCTTCTTCAATTCGGCCGACATCGCTGAAAATCCGGGTGGGGTTAATGGGTCGGGAGGGGATAAAGGGGAAGAAGGGTGAGCTCGTCATGCTGGGCAACGTAGCAGCCGTATTTAAGGCCGTCCGAACTCTGAGCCCGAGCACTCCTGAGGGTGTAGAAACGGGCCGAGTGACCCGGCGGCCCGGTTTCCCGGGCCTGCCGCTCCGGGAACCGCAGACGGGCGTTCCGAATTCAGCTGCCGGCGCTTCAAGGTACCTGAGCTTACCGTCTCGCCGCTCTCCAGTCTCGAGGAGCTCTCCAAGGTCTTGACCTCCCTGTGTCATTCTTACGCTCTCGTGGGCTACGATATGCGCATATGCAAATGTGCGCATCGGGGGTAATACTCACAACATTCCCTTCTACCGGGTCAAGACGGCGTATTCTTGGGATGCACCGAAGTTCGCCCGCAGGCAGCTGCTGTGAGCTGCTGTGAAGATGCACCTGTTCTCGACAGCTAAGTGGCCGACTAGAAGGTACGGTCTATGCTTGGTCTTCGTCCTGTTCGTGCGGAGGCCCTACGGGATCGTCTATCGACACAGGTTGCGCCGCCGCAGCGGTCCTAACCTCCGCGCGTGCGATCGAAGGGACACGCAGGGTCATCGTGTGGTTGTTCCCCGCGGAATTCGAGATTTTCGAGCGGTCTTCCCTCCCCCTTTGACGATACTTCGTTGAGCTCTGCACAACTCATTCGCAGCCAGTCCTGGTGACCAAGAGGCGTCATTGGACGAACGCGCGCTTCCCCTCAACGATAGGGCTTCATACACAGAGCTTGTTCTGGGGTTCTGGGACGGAGAGTAGGCTTGCACAGCATGCGGATAACGTTAACGAGAGCCGTCGGCTTTGCGGTGAGCAGTGGAGAGTCTGTTCGGTGTCGAGAACTACCCTAGCTGTGGACAGGCGATGCTGGGCGCGGCTAGGGGCTGGCCCTGGACGGGCAGGAGGAGGCATGGCTCGGTGCAGAGAAGGTGAGGCAGGACGCGTCTGCGCGAACCTGAGCGTGTGACAAACGCGAACAAGCACGGTGCACGTGGACGGCACGCGTTTCGGGAAATAGTGACGTGCGGCATTGATGGCACTGGAGCGGTCGCGCACTAGCTCTATGTCCACCCAGCCCATGCACACAAGTCCGTCCCACAACTCCCCTTCATGCACCGACCATGGCGCAGTCCTCCCCCATCCCGACACCCAATGTCTTCAAGCCCCCCGTGCCCCCTTCGCCTACCCTCCAGACTAGTCATCCCTCTCTCTTCTACCCGCGGAAGGAATTCATTCGCGATCAGCGCATCGTATCGTCTTTCTCTCTCCTCACCCTCGCGGGCTCTGGTTTCGTCAGGCTCTACAGCTTTCCTCACAGCGTCATAAATGCCCTCCGACGCTTCTTCGAGCTGCAGAAGATCATCATGGCCTGCCGAGAGAACGAAACGACCCACTTCTTCGAGTTCGCGCTCGACCACAAGCCATGGGCGAATCTCAAGAACATCGTATCCGAGAAGCTCGTCGTAGGTATATTCTCCATCATACTCCAGTACGGGTACTCTCTGCTGTCGACCATCGAATACGGCCGGGAGCACGACGACCGCGTCGCTATCGCGTTCTCAAGACCTACCACCGCGCCGGCATCGTCAGCTATTCCCATCATGCCTAGCAACTCCACAAGTACCTTACCTCACACTGGGCCAATGATGTTTGCCATCTCTTTCCCCACCCCGCGTGTTCTGCGCGTCATTGATCCGCCCCTTCCCCTGACGCCTGCTATCCTTCAAGCCGTCCGGAATGCATGGCCACGAGGCATTGCGGACGAGAAGAAATTCGGTGACTCATACGAGTTCAAACTGAAGGGATATAAATGTGAGTCACTCTCCGCCTTTCGATCTACACAGTTGATAGTAACCTTTATCCTCGCAGGGTTCCAGGAGAACACATTTGCTATTGACTCCCTGCAACAAATTCTGTCGCTGCTCAGCGCTCTCGACCGCCATTCCTTCACCTTGCTTACGTCTCTGACTATCGGGAGCCGTGCCCGTACGAAGGATTTTTGGATATTCACTGGTCCTCCGGGAGAACATGGCTCACCTGAATCTCCTCCCGCGAGCCCTACAGGGTCGAGCATGGACTTGAAGCAGAATGGCTTCGCGCATCATGACCGGTGAGTGACGATCTAAGAAACTGCCAGAAACATTTCTTAAATTCAGTGATCAGATCGCTTTCTGGGAGTGCTCGCCCTGCGTCGGACGCGCCGAGTAGCCAAGCTCGTTCAAGCTCCCCTTTCGCGTCGTCCCCCCTCAAACAGGTGACGCTGAGTGCAGGCACGAAGCTGAAGAAGCCGTTCCCGAAAGCGGAGCTGCCTCATGCCTTCAAGTCTGACGCGTCTCTGAACGAGTCTATCAAACTCCCTAGCGATGTCGGGAGCGTCGATATGACCGGGGTGGGGACGGTCCACCGCAGAGCGGCCAGCCAGCCGCATACCCCCGACGTCTTCTATACCACTGGTCCACAAGGCGACGCCCGACAACAGGAATTCAACCCGTGGAATCGCACTTCGAATCCCGCAACCCCCATAGCTGCTCTCTATGCCAGCAATCCCATGGGCCGTCAGCACTCCCGACACCAGTCTCTTGACGATCCGTTTCTGCGGGGGGCGCTAGGCGACTCTCCATACGACATTGCACGACCTCGAACTGGATCCCTCGGCTCACAGGCACCAACGCCGATGGCATCCCCTCCCCCAGCAGTGAGGGCGCGTCGGATATCCTCACCGCTGGCATCTACCGCTTTCGATGGCCTCCAACCCCTGCCAACGCCTACTATGACGCCCTTCCAAGATCCTTTCCGCGTTGACAACGGCCAGCGGGGAAGTCAGGGCAGCGTGCGGGTTGAGCGGGGCAACCTCTCCGACATGCCACGCATACCCACTCCGCCCCTACTCGGCGCGGGCGCGTTCCGCGACTCTGCTTTCTCCTCGAGCACGGGCTGGCGTACCACAGATGTCCCAATCACCTGGACAGGCAAGGACCCGGAGCCCGGGGACGAGAAGCGACGAACGGGCATGTCGGGCGTGCTCGACGCCGATCTCGCGCAGCCTAGCTCGTCGCCTCCGCGTGTTCTACACGGCCCGCGCGAGCGCAGACAGAGCGGCGGACCGCGCGGCGAGCTATCCGCCTCGCGTCCTCCGTCACTTTCGCCACCCCCCATTGCCGCCGCCGCCCCCACCACGACGCATGAACCTCAGGAACCGCGTCTCGAAAGGCTCTCCTCCAGCCCGGCGCTTCCTGGCGCCTGGGCGCCTACTCCACAAGAGGAGAAGAGGCAGGATGACGTAGTGCCTGCTGGGACTCTTAGTGCTCCGGGGCTCGCAGCGACTGCCACCAACGCTACCACCATGACCTCCACCATGCTTCCCCCTACTATCAAAGAACAGCCCAGCCAGGAAGGAGACGACCCGACCGTCGTTGCGCGTGAGCGCAAGGGCGAAGTAAAGGCTCACTCTCCGGAGCAGCACAGAGCAGAGGGCGAGGGCGCGCGCAAGAGCGAGGCGGCGTGGATTGGGAACACGAACGACAGGACACCGCCGAACGGCACGATGCCCAAGGGGTTCATGCAGGCGGCGTACTCTCACCCAAGACTCCCGCCAACGGCGGCGGCAAACGGGAACGCGCCGACAGCGACGGGCAAGCCGCGCTCATCGTCGATCTCCGAGGGCTGGGTGCTCGTGAACATCGACGGCCGCGCGAAGAGCGGCGGGTCCAGGAGCCCAGGACAAGGTGGCCCACCGCGCCCGACGATCCACACGCGGAGCAGCAGCGACTCGCGCGTCCCGACGCCCGCACACCCCCTCGCGCACTCGACAGCGGGCGCGGGCAAGTCGACGATGTCACCTGCCGCGAAGGCGATCGTGATGGTCGACGCGCTTGGGGTGAAGGAGGCCGAGCGCGAGAAGGCGGCGCAGGGGTCGCGGTTCAAGAAACTCTTGGGACGAGGGAGGGATAAGTCAGGCAGCCCGACGCCTGAGCGGACGCCCCCGCCGGGCAACCCGCAACAGAAGGGGAGCGGTTCGCCGCCGGCGAAGTCGAGGTCCCCGGCCCAGCAGCCCAATGGCACCACACCACAGCCAATCGCTACCGCTGCGAGGGTGGGGCGGTGATGCAGATGACGCTCCTACCGCAAACGTAGAGACGCAATTCCCTTTCTTGAGTTTCGAACTTTATAGATGGTGCGTGCCCGGACACATGTCATGATTCTGCACGACATGTCTAACTGGGGCTCCTCTAGTTTCGTTGCGCCATATCGTGCCGTTGTATCCTTCACGATCTGTTACCACTTATGAATGCATACCCTGCTCTTTCCCACTGTCACGCCCTAGTAGCCGCTGCATGTTTTGTGTGTTTCATGTGCACCCACGGATTTTCTGGTTCCGAGCTAGCATCGAACTTGGATTAATACTGTACTTCCCTGTATTGCGGCTGGTTCAGCATTGTACACTACTAGTTTACGGTTATACCAATCACTGAGTTGTGCTGTCCATTTCGGTATGTATATACGATACCACACCTTGAATGTGCTTTGCGACCTGAGGCAACCCGGAGTGATCAAAGATGGGCGCGTCATCGTGCGCGCCTGAGGAGTGTTTGCCGCACAGCCGGTCAATTGCCCTATGTTCACACCCTAGTTCCCTCACGGAGATGCACCGCTGAGTGTCCGATATGTCTGCAATTGCATGGGTTGAACTGTCTGGATTGCAGGACCACAGTCCAAGGCTTGGGCCCGAACGTGCGTGTGTATACCCAGTGCACGTGACCGTTCCAACGCGTCAGCATACCACCCTTCTGTCGCGGCGGCAGAACACAGGCCAGCGGCCGGCCCAGACGTTCGGCGCGGTGAAGGGCAGTCGCCCCGCAGTTAATGGCACATCGGAGGACACTCGATGGCGAACTCACAGCGCAGTGCAGGACACAGTGGGCCGGATGGAGGGGTTAAGGAGCATTGTGGCGTGAGTGACAGAGCAAAATGAGCTTGAACACCGACCTCCACCACACTATTCCTGCTTCGAATCTTATGGCATTACACCCATCAATCGAGGCCTGTCCCGATTCAAGGCCGGCCAGCTAGGCCACAAGGAAGGTGGCGACCGAGGAGACAAACGAGGGAGGCTAGATGGATAGCCGCAAAACCGACTGCATCTGGGTGCGCGCGTGCCGGCAAGCACGGCTTGAGCGGGGAAGGGTGACTCGTACGCTGCAACCGTCAGAGAAAGGGGACGTCCTGAGCGGGTTGCGACGCGGGAAAGGCAGGCCTGGGAGGCAGCGGAGAGGGCGGTCGGGTAATCTGGGGGAGATCTGACGCGGGTCTGGCTGTACGGTCTCTGCGGAGGACAATCGGATGTGAGGCGGGCACGAGCAGAGGGTACCGGCGGACGCAGCACCAGCGAGATGGTAGCAGCGACGGCGGCGCGAGCAAGCGAGGGGGGTGGTGGTGGGTTGTGGAGAAGAGGGAGGGTGGCTGAGTCCGAAAAGTCTGGACGGGGAGGTGGCTGAGCGTGGAGGCCCTCGGGAGACGCACTGCAGCAAAAATGCGAAGGGGACCGCTTCACGCCTTCGGATTCCAACCAAGCCACCTGCCGCCCCCTCCCCTTCCCCTTCCCCCGCCCGCCCCTCCTCCGTCCCTCCCACCGTCGCCCTTGCTCCCCCACCCCGCCTGCTCCCGCCATGCCCACCTGCAGGCGCAAGCGCGTCCTCCTCACCGAACCCTCCCCCGCCCTCCTAGATGCGTTCAAGAACGACCCCGCCAGGGAGGTCTTCTACCTCGCGGACACCGGCGAGATCTTCGAGACATTCGAGTACTGCCCTCTCTACTTCCGTCCCCGCTCGTTCCGCCTCTCACACTCCGTGATTGCTCCAGGGCCTACACCGCGCGCATGTCTTTCTATAGAGTCAAGCAGTTTCAATGCGAGGTTACCGGCAAGAGCGGCCTCGACTATTTCCAGGCGTTGGAAAGCGAGCGGCAAGAGGCCCGCACGATGCACTCCAGGTTTCCTGACCAGCTCAAGGCTGCAGTCCTCAAGGCCGTCCAGTGGCGTACGTTCTCTCCGCGCTATGCCATATACGTGTCCGCTTGACGGAATGATGTCTCGCATCTCCACAGAGGTTATGGGGCGTCTCGACCACCTCGTGGAGGCCGTGTATGATCGCTTCAAAGACCGCTACTACCCTGACGAGAGTACGTGCTTCTGCTGCCATGTTTCATTCAGCCACCCGTGTGTGCTTAGCCACATGTTCCTGCAGAGATCTACGTGGATATCCAGGGCGAAAAGTATGTGGCTAAAGCATGTCACCCCGGCCGTCTATTCACCGTGTAACCACCAGATACCTCGCGCGCATCATTCAAGTATTCCCTCCCAAGTCCAACTTACCACTGAAATCAAGCCCGGGCCCAGTGGCGTCCACATCCTCTTCTCCTCTGTCTGATGAACCTATGCCACCTATAACAATCCACAAGGTGGCGGAGGACTTGAAAGTCCCCGTGAAAGACTCCATCGCCATGGACAACCCTGCTAAGTACACCTACAAGGTCCAAATCCTTGATGAGGAGCGGCAGCCAGGCTTCGGCAAGGCCGATAAGTCCAAAGGCAAGGAGACAAGTCGCGGCCAGTGGAGTGGCCACCTACTAGACGTGGACTGTTCCAAGCTAGGGTAGGTTCTTGAAGCCCTTCGCGTAGACATCCAGCCCTCATGTCCTGTTCTGCAGCCGAGACCGCCTCGCTTTCTCGAAATCCATCCTGCGCAGGTTCATTCGTGACTGCGTGGACCGAGATGCAGCGGTCGCATCTCCCTGGACTGTGAAACCCGCCATTGCAGCACGCTACGGCGTGAGCAACGACATGCCAGAAGAAATCCGAAAGAGCGTCGAGACACTGAAGAAAGGCGAGAGCGACAAGCGGAAGAAAGTGTGGGAGGAGAAGGAAGGCCCTGCATCTAAGAGGCAGAAGAGGGCTGCTGCCGCTGCCGAGAATGGTAGACATCTTGCGCCTTGTGCCCATTGTGCCAGGATCTTACCTATCCATCACCTGCAGAGAAACTACTTGCTGCTATTGCAGAACAGCGCGAGCGCGAGGCACGAGAGAAGGCGGTGCTGGCGCAGAAAGCGAAAGAGGAGAGCGAGCGCCTGGCAGCGGAGAAGAAGAAAAAGAAGCCCATACGGTATCCAACAGAAGACCTGGATGTGGTACTCGGCGACAAGGAGAAGCGTGCGGGGATGAAGCTCAAACGACCGGTGCCGAGCAAGCTAGCTATGCCTTTTGGAGAGGACCAGGAGACAAACTCAGCGTTCCTCATGACATGGAATTTCCTAGTGGTCTATGGGTAAGTGCCGGCGGACCCTTCTCATAGCGTCATCGCTGATACATGAGCACTAGGCAACCTTTGCACATATCGCCATTCACGATGGATGACTTCGAAGGCGCCCTGCGACATTCGGTGGTCGAGCCCCCGTGTCCGCTTCTAGGGGAGATCCATGCTACTCTCATCTACATTCTGCGCACAGTGGGTTTCGAGCGCCACAGTGCTATCGTATCGCTCGTGGACGACAGTAAAGAGAAGGGCGGTGACAACGAAGTGTTCGGCGTCACCATCGACCAGCTCACTGCCGCCATGGCCGACGTCGGTAACAACTGGGAGCGCGCACCACTGCGACACTCCGAAGGGCGCGAAGGATGGGAAGAGTCCTTGGTCGGCTGCCTGAAAGACGTAGGTGCACGGCCGTCGCCAGCATCACAGCGTGCTGACCTTTTTCATTTCTAGCACGCCACCCTGGAGAACTTCCCTCGACTACGAGAAATCCTCACCCGGATTCTCTTCTCCGCCGATGGCGCGCAGGACCCGATAAGCTCTGCTGCACCTACACCGTCAAACAGCCCCGGCCCTATGCGACTGACGACCCCCGGCTCCCCGGCAGATTTGTACTACAAGCTGCCTGCGAAGGACCGGGTGGACATCATCACCTTTATGTGCAATCTCGCGGTCTCGAGCAAGGCTATCCATATCCACATGGAGACCTGTGAGGAGCAGTTGACCGCGTTGCGGAAAGAGAAGATCGAGGTCAACCGCACGAAGAAGGCATAGTGCGTCTCTACTACAGCACCCTCACGTTCGTAGTCCTCACTACTTACCGCCTACTTACAGCGCCGAGGAGATCAACGCTCTCTCAACCGAGATTAACGGTGACTCCAAGTCGAGCACAAACGGTAAATCAGCCACAGAGGACGTCGCGATGCACGACTCCTCCGACCTCTCCGAAGTGCCCGGCTCCGACGCCGAGGACCCGCCGCCCAAGTCTGGTTCCACGCGTCGCTCCGCCGCGAAGGAGCGCGAAGCCGCGCGCGCAAAGGCGCACTCCGCACGCGCCGCGCAGGCAGAACGCCGGCGGCTCGAGGAGGAGGTGAACAAGCTCGAGCGGCGACTCGAGGGCATCGAGCGCGAGTTCCGCAAGCTGCTCGGGAGCGTGCGTGTGAAGCCGCTCGGGCGCGACCGCTTCTACAACCGCGTGTGGTGGTTCGACGGGATGGGCGCGGCGTCGCTGATCGGCAGCGGCGGGACGGTGCAGTACGGGAGCGGCCGCATCTTCGTGCAGGGCGCGAGCGAGTTTGATGTCGATGTGCTGCGGAGGAGGGAGGAGAACGTGGACGCGCGCAGGCGGGAAGAGGAGGGCGAAGAGGGCATGCTTGCCGTCGGCGAGTGGGCGGTGTACAACGATCTTGAGGAGGTAAGCGACATGGTATTTGCGCCTGGGATGCGTGAGACTGATCACGTTCTGCAGGTGAAGGAGTTCGTCGATTGGCTCAACCCGAAGGGCGTCCGCGAGCTCGCGCTCAAGAACACATTCGTCAAGTGGTGGAACCACATCGCGCCAGGGATGCGACGTCGTGCAGCGGTAGGTCCTATCCCACTCTCCCGCCGTCCACGCCGAATCTTACGGTCCCCGAACCGCGCAGGACCTCAACGCCAACGCTAAGATTCCCGAGGCTCGCCGGAGCGCACGCAAACACGCCGGGGCGGACATCATGCGCGAGCCATACATGCAATGGACGAACCGCAAGGCAGTCAACGGGTCTTAGGCTCCTCGACGGAGCATGGTATATACTGTACACAGCTTGTTTATTGCCCCTCTGCTGAGCCTCTGTATCTCTCCTACCTGCGTTGGAGCGGCATAGGGGATGCGACGGCGGCTCACCCGCGTGCGGCATGCGCTAATCCGCGGACGTTGTTTCGCGCGCCGCACCCCATACATTGATACATACATAGAATACACCATGTACCTTAGGGCTGCTCTGCACGCGTCGTCGTCTGTCGTCGCTGACATGACAAGGCTGGATGCTATTGATTATAGGACACCATCTGCGGGCGGGCCCGAGTGTTCCACGTCGCATCGACGGACCCGAGTACAGGTAATATTGGGGGTGGGTATGCTAGTTGTTTCCGTTCCTTTCCTTCCACTCATCCTCTGAACTTGAGCCGTGGTCACTGGTCAGACGAGACCTCGGCGGGGGTGGAGGTGCCGGTGTTGTAATCCTCGAAGTCGGTCGACGCGCCGTTCGTCATCTTCAGCTCGGTCGCGAGCCGCTCTGGCTTCACGCAATAGTCGCGCAGCGAGTCGATGACGCGTGGGATCACGTCGCGGTCGATATGCTGGCCCCAGATCACGTCCAGGTGCTCGTACCCGTGCAAACGGCGCGCGCTCACCGAGCCCTTCGGCAGCTCGCGCAACATCACGTCGATGTCGACGAGCGAGTCCTGGTCGCCATACAGCAGCACGATCGGGCTCACGATGTTGCGCGTCGGGAAGCGGGCGGGGGCGTACGCGGAGACCCCCGAGGGGCGCGCGGGGCGGCGGAGGCGCTGCACGTCCTCGTCGTACATCTGGAACTTGGCGGAGCGCATGATCTGGAACCAGTGCACGACGGACTTGACGGACGCGTACGAGTAGAGGTGCGGGAAGGCGGCGAGCTTCTGGAGCGGCGCGATGTTGTGCGAGTGCCAGTTGAAGAGCCAGCGGAGCGAGGCGGTGATCGCGGCGGTGTAGACGGGCGGGTAGAGGAGGGACTGCCAGGCGGGGACGGAGGACATGATCGATTTGCGGCCGAAGATGAGGAAAAGGAGGGTGGGTCTAAGGGTGGGTCAGTTGGGCTGAAGGGGGAGCATTCGGGAGAGACGTACGAAGCCTTCATGAGACTGTCCACGACGGACGCTGCGAGTCCAGCGGGGCTCATGGCGGGCGCGAGGGCGATGAAGACGTTGATCTTCTCGTTCAGCGGGGGATGAATACTCAGGGCAGCAAAGGCCTGGGCGGTACCCTGACTGAACCCGACATAACTGAGGCTGGGCTCCTTGGTAACGCCGAGGATGTAGGAGATGGAGTCAGGGATGTCGTGCCAGGCGAAGTCATCAATGCTGTAGTCCCAGAATTTGTGCGAGTTTGGGTTGTGGTGGATCGACTTTCTGGAGTACTTGTTTCCGCGGTTGTTGCCGAGCCAGACGTCGAAGCCAAGCTCGACGAGGGTAAATGCGACGGAGCGCTGAGGGTTGGTGAGGCAGACCCAGACTTCAGAGTTCATAAGAAGACCATGGTGGAGGTAAACGACAGGCTTCCCGGTAGATGTGCCGAAAGCGTGTCTCTGTTCGCCCTTCTTCGCGGGAAGGCGGTGAAGGCCAAGGAGGTAGCCGTCTTTTGTGAGGACGACGTGCTCCTCGTGCTCATAGCCAAAGATTTCGCAGAGCTTCTGGAAGTCCTCTGCGCGGCGGATATGCTCAGCGAGGTGCTGTTCCTCGGACTTGGGGATGGGGGGACCGCCGATGAAGTGGAAGAGGTGGCGGGATCGGTTGTAGAACCACTGGATGACTGCCCTGGGGAGGAGCGCGATAACGAAGGTGAGGATGGTCTCGAGAAAGAGGAAGAGACCGCCGAAGACGAGCGCGGTGTAGTCGCGCACGCTGAGACGGCCGAGAAAGGGGAGACGGGCCATGGCGGTCTCTGTTCAACGCTGCATCCAGTGCAAGGAGTGTTGATTGCAGACAAGAGCAGAGACCGCCTGTGATTGTGATTGCCACCGTACGCGGTGACGTCACTGGCCCAATCGGGCGCATGCAGGGCAGACGCGGACATGGCGGCGCAGATCCTCTCACCGCCCACGCAGAACACGGCGAAGAATACGATGGAGAGCGGGCCGTCTGGAAGACTCTCGACGGTCGGCTGTCGTGAGCAGCTCGCATCAGCCGCCTTCGCTCGTCCATCCGCTGATCTGTCCCCTGGCGCGGACCCCGCCCTCTCCATCGCTATCCAGCACACGCTTCTTCCCTCTCCCCTCCTATCTTATCCGCGACCAAGCCCCCGCCGCCACCGTCCCTCCTCCGCCCCTTCGCGCGACCGAGCACGGCTCGCTGCTTGCTTTCAGTCACGACTCTAACGACCTCGACAACCGCCAGCCATGTCCCTTCCAGCCGCAATCATCTCGGGCTCCTACCAGTCTGCTTCTAGTGTCATAGATGCTTTCGAGGCCTGTGCGCATCTTTTCTTCTCTTCTTCCAACTCATAGGAGAGATGCGATCCATTCCACAGACCGCCGCGCCCAGGTGCAGCACTCTGACTTCGTCGCCGGCTCTCTCTCCTCTTCCTCCGGCCAGAGCGGCACACCCGACTCCGAGTCCGCGTTTCAGGCGGACGATGAGGAGGACGAGGAGGAAGTGATTGAAGAGGTTCCGCGTTCGGTGCGCGAACGCGAGAGGAGCAGCAGCGGTGATGACGCCCTACTCGCCAATATTCAGTGGGACGAAGACCTTACCCCAGGTCCCTCCACCGCCGGACGCCGCTTTGATTTCCCCATTCCCCCCGGCACGCGACCGCGCTATACCTCGTCGCCCTACTCCGACGATGCACCAACACCTCGCGGTGGCGAGCGCACGCCGCTCATCATCAGGCAGCCTACTTCCAGCACTTCTACCATCCTCGGCCGCCCCACCCCGGCGGCGGAGCCTGTTCAAGAAAGGCCACACTATGCCGCGATACAGCGACGCGTGTCTCGCGTCAGTGTCCGTTCCAAAGCGGAGCCCAAAGTGCACCACGGGGGTCAGAGCACGTTTGCGCAGACTGTCAGTACACAGTGCATACTATACCGCATGCGAGCTGACCGGGACCCGTAATGGAGGACAGTTGGTAAACGCCGTCGCCGTGCTGTTCGGCATTGGCATGCTTTCAGAACCCCTCGCGTTCGCCTATGCGGGATGGTTAGGAGGCTCATTCATCATCCTCTCATACGGCTTCATATCCTGCTATACGTGCGTCCGTTTCAGTCATTTTGCATTGACGATTGCTCACCGGCCACTCGATGCAGTGCAAAAATTCTTGCCAGTATCGTGCTGTCGGACCCACATATACGGTCGTATTCAGACATCGGGCGTAAAGCCTTCGGTCCCCGGTCCTCACCATTCATCAGCGTTATTTTCGGTCTTGAGCTTTTCACCGTTTGGTACGTGCCCTTTGCTGCTTTCCAGAGTTGCAACCCTAATGCCTTGGCAGCGTCGCACTCGTAACGTTATACGCCGATTCCCTCTACGCAGTGATACCCTCGTACTCGCCCAACACGTACAAACTAGTTGGGCTGGTGATGTGCGTTCCCCTCACCAAATTGACTTCTTGTCAGGAGCGTGGTGCTAACGGATGAACCATCTCAGTCTGATACCCGCAGTACTCATGCCGCTTTCCGTGCTGTCCTACGCCTCCATCCTAGGGATCTTCTCGCTCATGGCCATCATCGGGATCATCCTGTTTGACGGCTTCACCAAGTTCGACAGCCCGGGCAGTCTGTGGGCTCCTGCGGACACGAGTCTGGGGATCGACAGCTACAGGGAGGTCGGGATCGCGTTTGGACTGTTCATGGCCGGGGTACGTGTTCTCGGTAATCACCCGCCACGGATGTGAACTGACTGGACTGGTGCACGGATAGTTTTCGGGCCATGCGGTCATTCCAACGCTGGCGCGAGACATGATCGACCCGTCGCGGTTCGACGAGATGATCAATTGGGCGTTCGCCATCGCGACTGGGATATACGCCGTCTTGGGCGTCGCCGGGTACATCATGTTCGGCAACTCCGTCAGCGACGAGGTAGGATCCCCGAATTGTCTGCTCTCACTTTCGCTGATTGACCCCAAACGTGCAGTTCAGCCAGGATCTGATCAAGCACAACGTGCATCCCTCGCTGAACACGATTGCGCTCTGGGGCTTGGTCATCACACCTCTGTATGTCCTGACACAAATTCCTGTTCGCGATTCATGCTGAGACGCATCGACTCCACAGATCGAAATTCGCGCTAGCGGCACGACCCGTAAGTTCTCCCCCGTACCCGCTCTCGTCTCCCGCTCACCCGTCCCCCACAGCTCAACGTCACGCTCGAAGTGATCCTCGGGATCGACACCTCCGGCGTCGCGCCCTCCTCCGACCACGGTGGCGGCCCCAGCACGACCACGCTCCCCGTCACCGCCTCCCCGCTGCGCAAGTCCCCGCTCGCCGTCAAAGCGGCGCTCATCGCGCTCGAGCGCAGCGTGCTCACCCTGCTCGCCGTCGCGATCTCCATCCTCGTGCCCGAGTTCGCGAGCGTCATGGCCGTGCTCGGGTCGACGTTCTCGTTCGTGCTGTGCGTGATCGGGCCCGTGAGCGCGAAGATCGCGCTCGCTGGGGTGGGCGTCGCCGCGGGGGGTGGGGTGGGCGGGTGGTGGAGACGGTGTGGGTGGTGGGATGGGCTGCTTTTGGTGGTTAGTACGAGTATGGCGGTGTGGGGCACGATTTGTGCGTTCACGACGGTTGCGGAGGTGCCATGAGCGGGTGCGAAGGAGTGAGTAAGCACGACAGGACTGAGAAGAACGATATAATGTTTTGGGAGAAGAGCTGCAGCTGTGTACTGTCGTGGAATGTTCTGTACTTTGCCTGAACGCATTCTTAGACACGGCCCCTTGCATCAAGTGACCAGTACCAGGAACGATTTAGCTTAAACACCTTGTAATGCGACCTCACACATGTGTCTGCGCGAGATGTCAGAATCTCTACGTAATACAGCTACAACACAACGGCTAGTTTACACAGCGGATACAAGCGGGAGGGAAGTCTGCGCCGCGTGCGTGATCACTTTTTGGAGCACTGTAAATTCAAACTGTGAGTAGTTATGCGCGGCGATGGATAGCTGAGCACTTACGGGGGAGCTGGATGTTCTCCTGGACGACGGTGGACGTAATCTGGTTGTCCGGGTTCGGCGGGACGGTGATGACGCCTGTCGACGCATCGGTCGTCCACCCGAGCTTCGCGACGTACACATCAAGTTCAGGCCCTGTCACGTATGTTCAGTACCGAACTTCCTATACTCTCGAAAATCATAGCGAAGAGACACACCGTCAAGCGCCAAGTACGACCCGAGGCGCGCGCGGCCGATGCTCGTGAACGCCGCCTTCACAGCACGCACCGCGACCTCGCGCACGGCATCCTCGAAGCCCACGCACTCGACGGTGTAGTTGTCGCGCAGGGCCTCGACGTCGTCGCCGCGGTAGAGCGCCCAGAACTGCGGGAAGCGGCACTGCTGGAGGAGCGCGTGCAGGCGCGCGAGCACGGGCTGCAGCTGCGGGAGCGGGTCCGGTTCGTCTGCGGACGCGGAGAGCGCGGCGGGGCGCTCGTCGAGGAGCGAGATGCAGAGGCTGAAGTCGGGGAAGGGCGCGGAGGTGAGCGCTTTGATGAGGATGTTGATCACGACGTCCGGGTTGTAGAGTTCGGGGTTGAACTGGTACCTAAAGAGAAATGCGGATGAGCGGGGTGCACTGGGATGGATGCAGGAGAGGGAGGTACAATTTTAGGATGGCGAGGTTGGCGAGGCAGTCGTACTCTTGACTCCGGATTTGGTGGTAGAGGTAGTCTTCGAGGATGTTGACGTTTGAGGGATTGTAACGATCTGTTCCAGACCATGACATGCTCAGCGACTTGAGCGTAGGCTAGCAAGGCAGAACAGATGCGTACCAACACCGGAGACAAGCTCCTCGATCAAAGGCGGGCGGGTAGGAGGAGAGGTCCAGGTCGATGCGGAGGATGCCATTTTGGAGTCAAAATAACGGGCAAAGATACCGATTGATCACAGATAGAACAACACAGGCAGAAAAGCAGTAGATCGTGAACCTAGGGCAGAGGTCGTCAAAGCAAGAGCAGAGAGTAATGTACGTAAGCGCCCAAGAAATCTGCCGCGTGCTGGAAGCGGACGGCGCGTCGCGCGCTCATTTCAGCATCGCGCGTCGGGAACCGCGTTTTACCTTCCTGCACCCACCACCATGGACGTCGACGGCGACGAATACAAACTTCAGGACCACCTCATAGACCAAACTCTTGTAGACCAAAATACAGAGGGCGAATCGTGCGCCGGCTCTAGCTTCACCGCAGACGCAAGAGAACCTATTGCGACGACCGCGCTCTCGCCCCCGGCGCAGGACTCGTCTGCGCAGACACCGATGCCGGTGCCAGAGCCCATGCCCGAAAGCCCGTACCGGCCCAACTACAAGCCGACACTCATGCTGAGCGGACACTCGCGCTCCATCGCGTCGATCAAGTTCAGCCCGGACGGGAAGATGCTCGCGTCCTGTGGTGAGTACCCGTGCGGTGGTCAAGTGCGCGCGGGCGCGAGCTCACTGTGTCTGGAAGCCAGCTGCGGATAAACTCATCAAGCTCTGGGACGCGGACACGGGCGACATCATCCACACGTTTGAGGGCCACACCGAAGGCGTGTCGGACATAGCCTGGGCGGGCAATGGGGACTTCCTCGCGTCGGCTTCGGACGACAAGACCGTACGGCTATGGAGCATGGAATCAGTGAGTACGGTTGTGCGCTATGCATTCCATATCTAACCTGGCGCCTACCAGTTTGAGTCGGTGCGAATATTGCAAGGTCACACGAACTTCGTGTTTTGTGTAAATTTCAGCCCGTCGTCGTCCATGCTCGCGTCGGGCGGGTTTGACGAGTCGGTCAGAGTATGGGACGTCGCGCGAGGTACGGCGCAGGATTCGCGCTTCCTATGTGCCTTACTGACCGGAAGATAGGCAAGACACTGAAGACGCTACCTGCGCATTCCGACCCAGTCACCGCGGTCGCTTTCAACCACGATGGAACCCTCATTGGGTCCTGCGCTATGGACGGGTTAATGTGAGTTTGGATTTCGAATAATCCGTTGTACAATATCTGAGCATTGGGTAGTCGAATATGGGACACCGAATCCGGGCAATGTCTAAAGACCCTCGCAGATGACGACAATCCCATCTGGTGAGGATGTTTAATGCGTCACGCAGGCTTATGCGCTAACATGTCCTAGCTCACATATTAAATTCACGCCGAATTCGAGGTTCATCCTTGCAAGCACGCAGGATTCCACCATCCGGCTGTGGAACACGCAAACCTCGAAATGTGTGAAGACGTACGCAGGACACACAAATCGGACATTCTGCATATTCGCGGACTTCGCCCCAGGACGGAAGCATATCGTGAGCGGAAGCGAAGACATGAAGGTGTACTTTTGGGACTTGCAAACACGGGAGATAGTTCAAGTCCTGGACGGGCATCGAGGTGCGTCTGCCTTTCGCGGTAGTGTGTGCTCTTCGCTCATATGGTTGCAGATGTTGTCATTGCCGTTGCTGTGAGTGTATTGCCTGAGGCATTTCGAAGCAACTCGCTGAACAATGACATAGTCGCACCCTACTCGGCGTCTCATAGCCTCTGCCGCTATGGAAAAGGACCTGACCATTCGATTATGGGCTGACGAACCGACCGATGGCGTATAGCCTAGTAAGCATCATGCCCTCACTTACATATAACTACGCCAATATTGTCTCATATGCTGACCCCGTAATTACAGTCGCGCCCGCATTGTGGGCTTCTATGCGCTGTTCTAGCGAGGTCTGGCGCAGTGTTCTACCATACCGGCGGGTAAACTTGGCTCTGTCGAAGCCGGCCTAATTTGGGGACGCTACTGTTCCCGAAGCCGCTAGCCCCGAAGACACAGCATAACAATAGTGTCCTGGGGTAATCACTACGCGCTGTACGTTATGACAGCCGTGTATAGTACTGTACTTGTTTTGTTCCACCGCTGCCTCGTATTTCACCGCCCACCCGTTGCGCTCCGGGGCTAGTTTGAGAGCACACATGGGCTGCGATGGCTGTCTATTCGGGATCAGACGGACGTTGTCGTGGTCAAGAATACGCCGCGGCCGACAGGACGAGGATGCGGCGCAGGCGCACGTCGATGCCAACTTGCCGGGCGGTTTGTAATATTTATACGCCGGTGGATTGACATGTGGCTGTGCCTGTTAGGCACTTCTTCAGCAAACCTCTCAATTTCGACGCGCGTGGGCTTTTTGTACCTCTACTTCGGCGCTGGTGTTCCACTAAGACGGACGTGTGTTCACGAATTATGGTGCGTCTCTGTTCATAGTAGTTCCCAGTATGCCGTATACCGAACACGTCGAAAGTACGAGGCGGCCAATAACTCTGCCATATAGCTGTCGCGCGCCGCGGCGTCGTCCGACGAAGGCCTATGCGCTAGCGCAGGTCCCCGTCCATGCACAGTGAATACTTCATACATCCATGTGGCATACAAATGCGCATGCACATGAAATAGTTGACGATCTGGTGGCACTAGTGCTTCATATCTCTATACTAGTACGCCGCCGCTTTGCCCATACCGCCGCTTGGGCCACCCTTCCAGGAAGACTCGCCGCGCTTTGTTCGTGCAAGAAGATGTCCAAGCGGCTCCACGTATCGCATATAAACAGAGGAGCCCTGGGTTTCTACCCGCCAACACACATCTTCCCAAGCCATATCTATAAGCACCCCACATCAATCTCCCTCTTCTCAAAGATCCAATCCAATGGCCTATGACCGTAAGCCTCATTCACACCGTCTATTCGCGCCTAACCGTAAATTCTGATGCTCCCTCTGCATACCCAGAAACAACCGACAGGCTTCAGGCGCGTGTCAGGTACCCCAACGGCCAAGTTTTTGTCGTCTCCACAGGCATTGAGGGATACGCATCTCTGAAGCAGCATTTTCCCTACGCTTCGGAGCTTGATATCCGTTGCGGACTCGCAGATGGAGACTTACTCGAACACATATTCAACTATGAGGACCTACCCCATCTGTCGCTACTGCACGTAGCAGTCTTAATGAACGGGGCGACAAATACTCGGCCCCTCCACGGGCAGGCCCTCAAAATATCCCTGCGCAAACGTGGGGGCTTCTTCGCACCGTCCGACGTGAAGATGCGCAATGTTACGCTCACATTGGACAGGGACCTATGCTCCGGCCTGAGCTCCCTCGATCTACGGCTGGACAGATACGTCAGGGGGCGCATCTCCCTCCGCGCCCTCTTCGAAGTGGTGCGCCACGCCCCGAAACTGACAGTCCTCGCCGTGGACAGATACCTCGACGTGCCCTTTGACCCACCGCGCGGCGCACCGCGTCCTGTCCCGCTCCAGTCTAACGGGAATGGTGGCATGATCACCGTCAGGCTCATGGACGAGCCGGATAACTTGGCCAAGCTCTTCACCCACCTATCCTTCCCCATCCAGGGCCCCGGCATCGACCTCTCAGTGGTGGTGTACACCAACGATAGCAATCCGCTGGACCCTATCCTCGACGTGCTTTCCTCTGCCGAAGGCGGGCTCTCCATTCTGTCGCAGGCCACCGTTCTTGTAGCGCAAGACGAGATGGAGTCTGGGCCGTTCATCGCAGGCTTCCCTTCGATCGGGCCCGCAGGGGCCGCGCTGCAGTTGCGTTTGTATCTGCACGCTCTCGACGGCCCAACGTCGGCTGTAGAAGGCCGCAAATCCGGACAACTCTTCAAGGATTTAATTCATAGCCTGAACAAGTTCGACCCGACTTCTGTGCTCATCCTCCGGTTCGTTGGCAACATGCAGGCGGTACCGGAGAAGATGTGGAGGCGTACGCTCGACCGCTATGCCAACATTCGGCAGATTGAGCTCAAGGACATGCCCTATGCACCCGACGGCTCGCTCGACGCGTTCTTCGCTGCGCTCGCCTCTGTATCCAATCTCCCGGTACACCAACACCGCCCAGTGTGCCCCGGTCTCGTGGATTTGGTCATCTGCGCCACAATCGAAGCAACCGGACTCGTAGGCACCATCCAGCGTTGTCTCGAATGGCGCACACAGAATGGCGCGGCTCGCCTCCGCCTGCTCAAGCTGGATTTATACCCCGACCACGAGTGGAGCCGGCACGAAAAGGCATTTTGCGAGCAAGCCCTGGCGCCTCTGGTCCACTCCTACGAGATGTACTTGTTTGATTTCAAGGACAAGCAGGGAAAGCTCATGGAAGACGCAGAAGACTGGAATAAGCAGCTCAGCAGATCGGTGAACTTTGAGGCCACAATGCGCAAGAGGGGCTGAGAGCCTTTCCCGTTGCTCATGATACAGTTACCTTTACCAAGTTTGCGAGAATACATGCTGTAATATTTCTTATGCACGTCTCACTCCCAGTGATATATATCGTCCACACAGCTCGAGGTTGGTGTTTGGGCTCCTGAACCGGGTATCCGCGTGCGCACTGTTCATCTCGGGTGGGACATGTCGCGACGCGAGTACCGCTCTCCGACGTCTCCCACTCTTCCGGGCGAGGTGCACCGATCTCTCGTGCCACCACTCGCCCTGGATTCCGGTGTCCGCCCTCGACGAGGCCAGGATCGATCTCTCAGTGCCGCCGGTATCCCACTAGACTTCCCAAGCCTGCTTTGGGTCAGTATGCTGTGTTATTGGAATGACAGTCTGGTACCTGTTCCTGGACTTGGAACTCTGGATCCAGTACTACTAGGACATAAGTTCGGTAAGACGATGGTCAAGAGTCAAGACTACCCTATGGGGCACGTACTAGCTATCAGGCACTATGTGCAAAACCGGCAGCTACATGTGAGTACCAAGTTAAAGTATGTGGTCAAACATCGACCGGCACTGAGAATACCCTCCCAACGGTTCGTCCTCCTGGAGTCCTTCGGACCTGGGTATTCACAGGCCTGGCGTTCAAAGTCGCCGTCCCGGACCGAGTAAACGCGTTGCTAATCGCGATTAATGGTTCCCGGCCAGATGATATCGTCAACGAGCCAGCGCTCACTCGCGGACTTTGACAGCTCTAAATGAACATCGGCTAGGATGGTGGCGGCGATACTGCCTTCCCCGAAGAACGCATTGCCCTGCATCCGCCCTGCACGCTGACACAGTCCAGCCTAGTCCAGGTTACATCGCCTCATACACACCTCTATGAATATCTCAATCATCGCCTTCGAATTGCTGAACGTGCGTTGTTTGGATTCTTGGTGGCTAGCGGGCGACTAACGGGCGACGGGTGTATTTGGCAGATCGGCATTGATGCTATGACGACTTTCGCGCTCTCCGACCGCGGGTGCGCATCAACTGTCATGCCCGCTGGCCATGGGGGTACCTCATCTATATCATGGCGCGGCATTGGTCATGAGCCTCGCGCAAGCTTGCGCTCAGTGCCACCACTCGCCATCTGTCAAAAGCCTTGAGGCGACGATAGCGCCCGTGCAACGATGATAACAAGGCACCCCGATCCACTTTATGCGGTGCCCCTCCCATCCAGTGCAACATTGTCTCGACTCACCGACGCGGGCGAGCGGGGAATGCACCTCGGGATCACAGACCTGGAGAACAAGAATGGACGGATTTGGGTAGAAGCGGGGCGCGGCAACCCTTATTAGGCGCTCATAAAGTGTCGATCTGCCAGAAGGAGTGACTAGGAACGACGGCGTGCGCGAGTCGATCGCGCACTATATCCATATCCTCCCAAATCGCGCTTGCCCTTCGCGGGGCTGTGGGCTGCCAAGGCTGCGCATTATCATGTACTCCGGCGGACAAGGAGCAACACAAATATGCCCGAAAGCACGCTCTGGAACCGGACCCCGTCTGACGACGCGTTAAATATCTGGACACGCCTCCCGCCACACCCAGCCTTCGGTCTCCTCGTTCTCCCCCAGCAGGTATGTGTCTCTCTTCCCTCTGCTCGCCGTTGAAGCTGACGAGATGTGCCGGTACAGGGTCGCCCACACTCTATCCACACTAGGAGTCTATAGTAGCAAAATTCGCCTGTAATCAACATGATGTACTGGTTGCAAATCTTCCGTCTTGCTGTCCTATGTTAGCTTCCCTACTCCTCCATGCCTGTGCTTCTCAGCTGACGCGTCCCGACAGCATGGGTTATCCTCTGTGCCATCATCGAGCTTGGGCTGGGTGCGCATTCCCTCGCGGCCGTGTCGACGCTCGACCTCCCCACCTTCGCGTGGACGGGTCTCGGCGTGGCTGTTGCTGTTCTCACCCTCCTCACCCTGCCCGCGATGTATGTTTCTTTGCCCTCGGTCTTTCTGCATGCGCTGACACAGCCCTCTAAGGCTGACGATTGACCTCATCCGGACGGGTGCGTTCACCTCGCTGATCGTGGTCGAACTGTCGTGGTTCGGTGAGTGACAGCCATGACTCGCATCGCAAGGCTGGACCGCTTACCCCACCGGCCAGGTTTCCTCGGTGTCCTGTTCCTTGCTACGGGTGGCTCCGCCGCCGACCGGGCCGCAAACTTCTGGGTGACCTGCGACCTGTGGACCCCCGCCGAGGCACGCAACATCTGCGCAGAGACGTCTGCCGCTGCCGCCTTCGGTATTCTGGCATGGTTCTTCCGTAAGTGACCCCCACCCCTCTCTACCCGTACGGAGCACCCATGCTGACCTACCGCGACAGTGTGGGCTTACTCGACCACGCTCCTCGTCATGCTCATCCTGCACGCGAGCCGTGGCCACTACGTGTGGAATACCTCCGTGAAGGAGGCGAACTTCGGCGCCGGCCTGCCGCCCAAGACGACGACCGCCCCCGTGGTGAACGCGTACGGCGCGGAGGCGAAGCCGCACGAGAACGCGTCGCTCAACCCCGGCCAGGCACCGTACGCGTACCCCCCGGGCACGGCGCCTGCGCCGACGGGCTACATCTCGCCCCAGACGACGGGCTACAACTCGCCGCAAACGACGGGCTATGGCCAGCCGGCGGGTGCGCACCCCAGCGCATACCCCCAGGTCTGAGCCCAGGTGGTCGGTGACGTGTGTATGTGTGGTTGACTGCTGCTTGTTTCTTTGTGTATAATTTCCGGTCCGAGGACGTTGTGTCTGGGCTTGACGACTCTGCTACATCTATACTATCGGTGACTGCAATGAATGATTCTTTTCTCACTTCGCGGTCCCCTGTGTACGTCTGCAAGGGACATGCTGTTTGCTCGAGCGGTTGTGCCGACATACGCCAGAACCGCAGATGGCTTACATGTCATTCTTGAATGGACAAGCGCTCTGACGCTGGGTGCATGAACGTATGCTGTGGTCCTGGGTGGATAGATATACAAATACATGTCTATTGTGCCTCGATCGAGAAGATACTGACAGTCGCACTAATCATCAGCATTCGCTACATCAAGAGATTTCCGTTAACGCTCACCTGCTCTCAATAAGAATGCCAGTCCACACGTTGATCCGAGGAGTAAAAGTACAACGGGGCCAAGCAGTGCCCGTGAAATTACCGGCGAAGGAGGATGAATACAGGGTCGCCGAGCACTATGCTCGTCATATGTCTGAACGAGCCCGTGATGGACATGAGGAGGCCACCAAACGACGCGTACGCCGTTCTAGGGACGAGTGGAACAGGAGGTAAGCACAACGCGAGCGCGGAGACGATTAGCAAGGCTTACACAATCTCTGCTGAACCGCCGTCGAACCTGTACACCTTTGGCGCAGTATGAGCCAGCCGACATACAAATGTAGCATGAAGGAAAAAACGAAGCGAACGGCGCGTGCCATTGCGCGGATATGAATGGCAAGGGAAAGATAGACCCGTGCTCACCTTGCCGTACATGACATACTCGTAGTCATCATCCAGCCCTTTCCTACCCTTCGCATCTGGCCGCCACACGTCCCGGTCCTTGTCCTCGTCCTCCGCCCCGGCCGGGCCTTGTGGTGCGCGAGAGAGCGACGACGCGAGCGCGAGCGCGAAGGACTGTCCGCTCTGGAGAGGGAAGAGCTCGATGTTGTAGTCCAGCGTTAGGTCCATGTCGTAGTTTTTTGAATGCGCGTACAGGCGCGAGACTATAACACGGTTGAAGATGGTGAATAAGTTGCCGGGGCGGGAAGCATGATGGAGGGCAGCGCGCACCTCGGTCAAATTTCTTGCCCTCCTTGTCAATGGCATTGATCGTGAAGATGTCGTCAAAAACGATGTTGGAGGTATTCGATGACATTTTGGGGTCCTCAGCGGCCTGGAATGAACGAGCGTAGAGGGAGTATGAACGGAGAAGACAAGAATTAGTGGCGGCCGGTGCGAAGAGACTGAGTGCACGCCGGACGCGCCGCCACAACCGTCTGCGCGCGAGACGGCAAATGCCGCCTCGCTCAAAATGGTAACTGTTCAGGATCGATGGTTATGCCTGCTTATCACTGCGTCGCGCTCGATGGATTCATGAAGCTCGCATATTGGTACAACAAGGGTGATACACTGCTCAGTTATGCTGTCGACTATTCTACGCTTCTCTACCAGCCCTGACCGCCTCTGAGCTGTAAATCCAGGCACTTCCTCAAGTTCTCCCGCGTCTCCCCAACTTTCCAGTTGTCCGCCTCTTCTCGCGCCTCTGAGATGTCTGCTGCGAAGAAAGGGCTGACGCATGTCTTAGCAATCCCCTTGAACAGGTCTTCGAGAATCCAGGTGAGACGAGGGCCGGTGAGTTCGATCGCAGGTTCCGAGTTGACCTCGAGAAGATTCGCTTGGAACTTGCGCGGTGCGTTCGGGGAAGGGTCGTGAGTGATGACGAAGTCTATGCCGTACAACTCAAAAGCGTTAGGCACGGGCTGTCCATACAAGTTTAGCGATTGGCATGGGCTGACGAGGGTTTCAACGAACCTGGAAGTGTACACTCATCTCGACCGCGGCCTTGAAAGTCTCCGACAGCACGGCGGAAATTTGCGTCTTGATATCCGAGACATCGTCGGCCGTGAAAGTCGGGTACTGGCTTTCGAGCGCCTGCGTAGCCCGCTCTTTCCTCGCGGCACTGATGGACTCAGGATCCATCGCTTGTCCCATCGCTCGCCGAGGGAGGGGCTGTTTCCTAGGCTGGGGGTTCGAGGGCGAAGACAGTACGTGACATCCAACGAGCTCTTCCAGTAGTCGGACGCCAGCTTCTCCACGTTCTGTTTGGAGCGAAGTGTTGGTCAGATGAGGGGCCAGGTCCAGCGCGCCGGCTTCGCCGCCATGTTCTTGCTTCGATGGTGGGATGTACGGGACCGCAGAAAAGAGCGCCAGGATCCTGTCATAGACGTAGACTTTGATGGCGCCAGAAGCCACACAGTACACACGGAGGTGAAACTAGACGGAAGTTGAACATCGTGGCAGGGCCTAGAGAGAAGCAGCGAGCTGACTTTGTGACCACGTAGTTCTTGTAGCGACGGAGCCTGGGAACCATTCAAAGGAACTTCAGCAGGATCGAGCAAGAGAGGATTCCCGAGGTATTCCTGCAAAGGATATAAGCACGTAACCGGTGACCCTCGAAAACTGTCGTCGAGTACCTGAATAACAAAATGCCGCAGCTGAGAGGTCATGACGGCAGTATCGCCGTGACCGCAGTCGCCCTCCTCTCCATCCTCATCGGAATCTTCTTGTTCGAACTCTTCGAAGATCGCCTGTAGCTCCTCCTTGGTGTGGAACAGCCGGAGACCTTGGCCACGATCGGCCATCCCAGGCTTCAGTATCCACCACTTCGAGGGGTCACCCTTCTCGATGTCATCCGACAGATCATAAAGGTCATCTCCCCAGAGCTCGTCGAGTTCGTCCGCGAAGCTGAGGTCAAGCTCCCAACTGCGCGGTGCTCCCCAGGCCAAGACAGAGTCGGGGTGTTTGGTGAGGTAATTGTGGATGCACCGCGAGAGATAGTGCTTGCGGATGAGAGCCTTGCGGATGACATAGGACGAGGAAAGCACTTTGGAGTCCGGGTTGTGAGAGAAGGTGAGATCGTGATCGAGAGCGTCATATGTAGCCCACTGTAGCAGCCGTCCTGGTGACGCTATGAGCTCCGGGTTGAGGGCCGTCACGACTGTCGGCTGCGGTGCAAGTGTTTCCAGAGCTGAGCGGACGAGACGGTCTGTGAGAGGGGCCGAGGGCCAGGACACGAACGCGGTGAAGTCCTCCATCGTCGTCGCGTCGCGCAGAAAAGCGAGAGCCACATCTAGGCGCCCGACGCGCTATACACCAAACACGTGAGATGACGCCGAGCCTTAAGGCGCCTATCTCGTCGCTCCCCGCGCACGGGAACTTGGCGGTCGTCCGCGTACCGTCCGCGGCAACCATCTTCCCCGACCGCCCTCATACCTCCCCCATCGTCGCGGAAGATGGCGACCGCATACATCTTCACGCTTCAGCCCACGTTCACTCAGGGTCTTGTACTTGGCCAGGCCTCCATTCTTGTACTGCTCTTCGTGGTCCTCAAGTATCTGTTCTTCGACACAGACGAGGGCCGTCCGTACCGAGTTGCATCTTACCAGCCAAAGGTCGAGCCAAGCGACGCCGAAGGAGACTCTTTTGCGGGTCGTGTAGACCCCGGTCGAGCTGGAAGTGCACTCCGAGAAGGAGATGCGGAAAGTGCAGAGTGGTTAAATGTCTTCCTCCAACAAGTGCGTCCGTCCTTTCGTGTAATCAGGAACGAATTTACTCACCTGTTATAGGTACTGGATGCATATCGTGTGAAGCTGCGTAACGGACTATCTGGTCTGGACGGAGACGAGGTCGCGCGGCAGCGAGTAGAAGAGTTCGCCAATAAAATGCGCCCAACGGGCTTCCTTGTATGTTTCGCCCTCTCCACCGCCCTAGCGCGTAGCCTGACCGGTCGTTTCACAGGACCATATCAAAGTGCACTCCGTAGATATGGGCGCGTCTGCACCACGCCTATCCCGTGCGCGGATCCGCCGCCAGCTTAACCCCGGCTCGGAATCGGTGAGTCCCACCGCCTATAACGCCTGGGCCCGCTCTAAACCCCGGGCAGGAGATCGAATATGACATGAATTACATCGACACCGTTTCCATATCCATCTCCACCTCCGTGCTCTTCAACTATCCCTTCGCCTCCTTCGCGCGGTTACCCGTCTCCCTGACCATCTCCTTGTCGCTCTTTTCCTCCTCAGTAAGTGCCCGTCCCTGAAGCTTCTGTTCATGTCTCATTCCTCGCCGCGCATAAAGGTCCGCTTGACGCCGCCAAACCCACACTCCCCGCACCCGACAATCGCCTTCACGTTGCCCGCCCCACATTCGGATTTCGTGCTTGACATCAAGACGACCTCGCTTATGGGCAGTCGCGCGAAACTCGAGGACGTACCGAAGTTGCATGAGCTGATAGTGCATCAGGTACGGCCGTGGGGGTCTTGCGCCCTCCCCTGGTGTGCTAACATCCCTCTGCAGATACGTAGAGCCATCCTCGAACGAGGTACATGGAAAGTCGTCCTTCCGGGCCTAGCCAGTGTGAGCGAAGTCAAGGAGGATGTTAAGCTAGAACGCGAGCTGGCAGAGAAGTTCGATTAGACTACCCCTGCCTCGCCTTCACGATTGTCACGAGTACACGAAGTGAGTCGTGTTCTGTATTGTCTGTCGCACACGCTGACCTTCAAATTGTCAGGCTTATACGATATGTAATACTCTAATCTTTCTCTTGTTGTATCACATCACACGCACAACCCTGGTCCTGTTCGTACCAAACTACGCCGGGAATACGGTGAAGCCACACGATGTAAGCATTGCTTCGCCTACGTTGACTGAACGTCTGGACTATATAGGATCAGGAGCTCTTGTACTTCCGTTTCTTCCTCGGCTCTTCTTGCTCCGCGTCACCAGTGCGCTTCGCAACACTTTTTCCGACGTCTCTGGTACCTTCTCTCGGTATAGATATCGTGTTATTGGTGCGAGGGGGGTCGGCGTCGCCATTCGCAATAGACGTTGAGCGGCGTCCGGTTTTCAACGCATCGGCGAGCCTGGTGTTGAACCCGATGCGACGCCAGCCGGTGCAGGAAATCTTGAGCACGCCGCCGTTGATGATGCTCATCGCTATGCCAGTGATGGCGGGGGGCAACACATCGGGGTAAAGACCGGCCCTTTTCTGAAGGTAGTGCATACGCTGCGGGACATCAGCAACGACTCCCGAACACTTAACAACTGATTCGTCAACAGGACTCACAGGATCAATGAGTGCCCGTAACTCATTGCACGGGTAAATGCCCTGTCCCACCCATTCGTACGTCCCGAGGTAGTACCATTCCTGCGACTTCATGTAGAAGAAGTCTCTGACCCCGTCATGTTCTTCCATGTCCCAGGAGGAACCCCAGCCTCCCTTCAAGTCGTTCAAGCTCGGGTTGTAACGATGAGTCGTAGCTATGCAGACGCAGTGCGAATGCGACTCCGAATCCGTCGGCCACAGGACTTCATCGAATTTTTTGGAGATATGACCGCCCGGAACACTATTCGGCATTGCATGAGCTAGGCAATGACAAGGCGATGGAGGCTTCGCCATACATACCGCATGTTTTTGAAGAACTGCAGTGGACATCATCGCGTCAGCAAACTTTGAGCTATTCAAGATCGCAGGGCTCTAGAGCACACCTTGGGCAATACGAATGATTGTCCCGTCATTGTCGTCAGGACCTCCGCTCGGACATTTGAACCGTCATCGCGGGCGTATTGTGGGTCGCGCAGAAAGCCGGAGGGATCGAACCGAACGCTAGTGTTTCTCATCCTCTACAAGACCTTCGTGTCAGCGAGGTTATCAATATCGTAACCGGACACCTTGTTACTTACCAATTCGCCGTCTAGCACCGTCAACCGTTCTAACGAGTCAGCGTGCCTCGTTTTCAGGTCTACCAAGTGTTCCGCCATTTTAGAGACAGTCTAGTGAATCACTGATGAGAGGATGAATAGCCAGAGTCACAGAATACGGCGCACATCTTTCAACTGGGCCTTCGACGATTTTTCCTGCTGACACTCGTCTCGCCTAGCGGCGACCTTTTCCGCCAAGCAGTCCGCCTCCGCTTTCTAATGCTTGAGTGGTAAGCCTGACAACGTAGAGAAAGGAGAACACCCAACGAACAGACTTCGTGATTTCTTCGAGCTGCGACTGAAGCTGCTCTGATCCCTGAAGCTGAGGTGACGTAAATGAGCGGTGAGTCCGTCGAAGCTTGTCCCAGCGCACGGCAGTACACATACATCATTGACGGTCTGACATTTATCTGAGTGGGTCCTTAGTTTGGCTTGAGCTGCTTCCACTTCTTTCCTGAGCTGTGCGTTCTTTTCCTGTAGGCTGAACAGTTCCGCGGGCGTGACCATCGAGTTCAGCGAATCCTCAGAACCCTGCAAGTGGAACCTTGAGATCAGCATTCGAATATTCCTCGAAGGACTGCACTATGAGACTTACTTGCTCCTCCTTGCGGATGGACTGTCCTTCTCGAATTTGAGCGCGAATGCGCTCCAGCTCATCTCGAAGGAGTTGAATCATCTCAGACGCCAAACCTGAGTCGTCCATATCGTCGGTGCGGAACGAGAGTGATGATGATACGTCAGTTGTGACTTCAGCACTGACAGTAGCGTTCTCGCTTGTATCGTGGGGGAGGGTCGCAGTGATATGCGAATGCGAATTATGCTCAGAGATTCAATGACCGTCCGGCGGAGGTGAGAGTTGTTGGCGCGCTCCTTCGCGTACTTGCCTTCCCAAGTTGGGCATTGATACTCCCATTTGTGCAGGTGTGGGATCGGACAATCTCGGAATGCCTGCTGGTACGACGACCTTCAAGTCAAGCGCAATCATGTCGACTTACTTGCTAGGGACCCTTCGCGAGATACTTGATTTAAAAAAGGAGGTCTCTATCTCTACCATAGCGGCGCACTGCTCCTAGCAGACGTCTACGGCTCTGTCGTCACCTCCTTCTGCCAGTGCTTCAGACTGTCTCCCAAGCGTCGCACCCATTACACTTCAAAACTCCCATGGTCGTAGTTTGCGAACAACACTGGCTGCCATCTTGCCCTGCTTCGCTGCGCGAGAGTTGACGACCTGAATGGCTTTGATGGAACGGAGAAGGGCGTCGTAAAGCCCGTGATTAAACCCTACGCGTTCGAACGCGAAACACTGCAGTTCCAATGGACCGTTCATGTACAAGGAATCCACAAATTTGAGGGCGAGAGGAGCTAGATGATCCTTGTGGGTTGCCGTCGTATTCGTCACATGGCGCACCAGCTGCGGTATGCAATCAGCGTGCTTCGCTCGATGAAGTTCCCGACCATAACGACTGCCTTACATCCGGATCCAATTCCTGGGAGGCCTCGCCCGAGAGGGACGAATAGCCAGTGCATTTGTACGTTCCGTAGTAGTAACAGTCATTGTGTTGACGGAAAAACAGCTCTCGGCTTCGACCGACGCCGTCCAGGAGATCGCTCATCGAGGGGTTGACCTCCCAGGAACCGTTGATTCCGCGAGCAGTGGGGTCGTAATGATGCGACTGCGTGACGAAGACCGCGCGGTCGATGCCCTCCCTTGACCACATAACGTCTTCCGGCATAAATACGAGCAACTCCATCGGTCCACTGTGAGGCCCAGGGTGTCAGGGTGTCAATCTCACAAGACGCGATCGGGGAGAATATCCTCACAAAAACTCAAGAATCTCCTAGCGAGTGAAGCAGATGTTTAGTGTGTGCTTCTCAAGAAGGTACACCAAGTTCACGTACCTGGGGTAGTTCCAGTAGAGGCGTGGACTTGAGGAGACATTGGAACGAGGACTTCTCTGGATAGTCGGATGGCTGCATCTCAGCGTGAAGGAAAGTATCGATGTCAAATGGTTGCGCCGTGGCTACAGGAGGACCTAGAGCGCACTGCAAAACTTTCCTCAGCATCTGCACGACGACACGTAGGAAACAGTGTAGTACCAGCTCCTTTTCGACAGCTAGAATTTGCGTAGCATAATTTTTGTCTTCCTCTGTCCCTAGTTCAATGTCGGCTTGCAGTATGCTCATCGTCTGTAAAGTAGAGGTTGGCCGAAAGCTAAATCTTGTCCAGAGTGGGAAGCACCTCCTCTAGATCCACGACGTCCTGACGAAGCCTTTTAGACTTAGTCTTGTATTTCTTGAGCTGCCGCTTCCTCCCTTGAATGTCCCTATCCTACGCGATGATGAGCGGGATACATGAGAGGTGATTGTGGGGACTCATGAGGCACCAATCCGACGAGAACTTACAACGGCAGCTTTCTCCTCTTGTACTGCTAGCAGCTGTTCCTGCAGCGCCTCATCGGGCGTTGAGACCTGGATAAGTCCGTTAGGCTGGTCGATAACGAGAAATGCACGGTCGACGCTAGCATGGGACTAACTTCATCGAAGCTACCCTTAGTGTCCTCATGCTCGGCGGCAGCGGAGAGACGAAGTCGTAGCGACGTTAGCTCGTCCTTGAGATCTTCGTTTTGCCGTTGCAAGTCGGTGCTGTCTAGGAGGGCGATCTCAGACTTTGACTGTGCAGACTAATAGAAAGATGTGAGCCCCGGAATCTGACGGAGGTAACTCGTGAAATGACTCTCGTCTTACCGTTCGGCGCTGGTCTTGCAGTTCTTGGCGTGCATCTCGCAACTTCGCATGGAGCAGCTTCAGGAGTTCTTGCGCAAGCTCCGGGTCGTCAGAGATCCCGTCCATACGGGCGTTGAAGATGGAGGCAGGAGCAAAAGAATGAATAGAAGGCGCGTCGCTTACTACACTTGCCGCTGAGACGTAATGGGTCATCCGAGCTCGTGGCACAGCGACCCTGAGGCGGGCGTCAGTTCAGACAGCGTCTCGTCGGCTTTAGGTTAGACTCTGCAAGTAGAAGTAGATGATATAAATGCACAAGGACGGGCCATGAGTATACAACTACCAATGGCGTCGAAGCCGACGCGCGATCGCTTCGTACGCTGCTTTTGTCTCTCTCTGCCTCAGCTCTGGCTCGACGAGCGAGATACTACTCAGCGGCTTGGTCCGCACGAGGATCGCCAAGGAGGGCCCTGGCGGCATCGCGAATCGATCCAGTCGGCCGACAGTACAACAGTGTCGGAGGGGATGGCCTGCGGTTTTGTCTGCCCTCTGAATGAGGGTATCTGTAGGCCCGCCACTGTTATAGCGTGCGTGCAGGAAAAGACGCGGAGGAAGACGCACCTGCGATTTCCGCATTACAAGAGTCTAGTTCTTGTGCTTCTTCATTGGCGCCGTGTCCACCTCTTCGTCATGCCACCGCTTCCCACTCCTCAGGCCCCCCCGCGGCACGTTAATGACAGAACCGCTGGGATGGGGCTGGTGAGGCGCACGACCTGGCACGGTCGTTGTATCTCCGAGAGACTTCAGCGCGTCGGCAAGATTGTGATTAAAGCCAACACGGCGCCATCCGGTGCACACGATCTTGAGCGCCCCACAGTCGTACATGTCCTTCATCATCTTCACGAGCATGGGCGCTACCATGACGGGGTACATGACGGCCCTGTGCTGTAGGTCGAGTTTGTGCTACAACGCGCTATGAGCACCGGGCGGCAACGACCGCCGTGAGAGGCAAGCAGGATGGGAAACACCCACATTCTTCGTGAGGACGCTGATTTCGCTGAGTGGGAGTATGGTCTGCTTTTCACATCTGTAGGTTCCAGCGTAGAACCATTTTTGCGCCGTCAAATGGAAGACTTCCTTCGTGTTTTCTTCCTGTGCCCGCATGTCCCCGGAAAGCTCCCATCCACCCTTGGATTTGTGCGCTTTCGGATCGTAACGGTGGGTGGACGAGAAGGAAAGGCAGTGTGTTCTTGAAGGAGGTTCGGATGGCCATACAACCTCGCCGCCTCGCCTCATAACAAACCCACGGGAACTGTGTAGATCTGAGCGGAAGAGGCTCGTTGAGGGAGGCCGCAACGTACCATAGTTTTGCGATAGCCTAAGACAATCGCTGATGAGTCGTGACAACAACTGGACAATAAGGACAATGCACACATGCGGTAGCGTGTTCGCGTTTGCGAACATCGATGGGACTGGTATGTCCTCTTCCATGGGCTCGGCACTGCCGTTGTCGGGCATTGGATTGCGGAGAAAGTCGACCAGGTCGAATGGGGATTGGGTTTCAACTTGCTGAAGCTCCTCCTGAAGCTGTTGTAACTGTTGTAACTCTCGCTGGCGTTCAGCGGCGGTTTCGTCGATCCTGTTTTGCGTCTCGAGGACGGCCTATGTGTACTATGTGATTAATATACTATCGCCGACGCAGTACAGCACCAGACAGCGCACATACCTCTTCCAAATCAAATTCAGACGACTTGTACCGCTTGTACCTCTCGTGCGCGCGCTTGACTCGATCAGCGAGCTCCGCCTCCGCCGCGCCCTAGTAGACTGCGATGAGACCCATGCAAACAACGCAGACCTACGCTTGTCGCCTACAGCTGCAGTAGCCTTGCTGAAATTAGCCAAGTCTTCCGCAAGTCCTTCACCTTCGTTGTCGATCTGATGATAGTCCAGTGAGCGCCAGGACATCTCGCATATGCAGGGCGACCTCACGCTGAACGCCTCATCTCCGTCGCGGTCATGACCTAGAACGTTTTCGAGTCTGATACGTGCGGCTTCTACTTCGGCCTTGAGTCTAGCATTCTCTTGCTGGAGTGCGTGTAAGTTTGAGTCGACTGGCTCCCCGGCGTTGGGGGTTGGCCGGCCAGTGTTCTGCGTAGATTGTTAGTGCTGCGGAAGCTGGGGCCTCCCTGCTCTCTGTACTCTCTTTGATCAGAACAGACTTACCACTGCTTGAATTTCGTCTAGAAGCTCACGGTTTCGACATCGGACTCGTTCCAGTTCGTCCAGCATTAGCTTGACTACCTCGGATGTCATGGAATCGTCCATGTTGCACTGCGAGTACCCAGCAGCAATTTGAAGTGCTGCGAACTGAGATGGATATGGACTTGCAGGAGGTACCTAGTGTTTTGATGCGCCGATACTTGCAACACACGTGAAGGAGATCAGTCGGGTTGTAAGTATAAGTGGTTTGAACGGTGCAGTAGCGATCGGAAGCTGGAAGTTGGCGCCTAAAGACTTCACACGAACATGGCGCTTAGCGCACACCACTCGGAGCGGGAGGAGCACACGCGGCAGGTCGCCCACTAGTACTGGTCATGCCAGCCGACGACCGGGTCGATTCTGCTGAGGTTCGTGTCGGTCCAGCTTGGTGCGTAACCATAAGGATGATTAACAACAAGTTGCTGTGACGAATCCGACTGAAAGGGACTCAGAGGGGTCGGATCGGTACTCGCATCAGTTTCGAGGACATATTCAGGCTACGCGAATTTGTATAGAACGTTCGTATATTTCGGCATTATCATATATGAGTACACAACATACATCGCACAATAGCGAGGACAGAAGCACCTTGACCCATAGTGCGCCTCATGCTCTACGCCCCGTTTTCGTGACCGCCGACTTGTCAGTGAGCACGATGCTCCGTTCTTCAGGCATTGCGCAAGTCTTGTTGACGGAATACCACTTTGACGCGGCTCGCTAGGCGCTTCAGGCTGCGCTCGAACTGACCCATCGCGGCCCGATCCCATTGGCGACAGGTATAAAGCTCGAACTGGAGATCCATGGGCGGAGGCGCACCGATCTGTTCGCGTTTGGCGAAGCAGCGGATGATGTCGTCCATGCGTTCAGGTCCGTTGATAGTGCAGGAGAGTTGGAAGAAATGCATGTTATGGAACACCACCACGTCCTTGTGAGCGCGGGACCGAGAAGAGAGCGCAGTGAAAAGCGTGCTGAGCAAGTCGTCGCGCCCGGCGTGCGTCCCGCGGGACATATCCTTGATTTCCAGTTGTCGGAGGCAGGGAAAGCGGTCGAGGGCGGTCATCCATGAGCTACTCTGCACTTCGTACATAGGGCCGTGCAGCTGGAGCGTGTACACGTCCGGCGCAGTCCCGAAGATGCTCAGACACTCCACCATCTCGTGGAAGAATTCGCCGCCGGGCTCGGGTTGTCCTAGAGTCTGATATGGGGGAAAGGGGTGACGCATGCGCAATTGCAACCCACGCTCTTGTGGCGAGAGCTGATCCAGTGCAAAGATAGATCGGCTCGTGTGCTGTACTCGGACGGCGATGGAATTCTGCAGAATAGAGAGCGTGCTGTCAGGGTTGTCAGGGAGCATGCCGAGAATAACGTCGCGCGGAGTGCCTATGTCGCACGCGACGACCTCGACGTGGAGTACAGGAAGTCTCTGAGGGGAAATGGAAAGGCGGGAGAGGATCGTGGACAACACGTTCGAGGCATCCACCAGCTTGAGGTACTTGAGCCGTCGGTCGGCGCCGGTCAAATTGAGGACTTGAGGAGGTCTTGACACCGGCGAAACGGGCACATCGATATACTCGTCCACCGTAAGTGACTCCAGACGCGTGGCATCGCGCAGGAGCTGGAGAAAGTCCTCTAGAGGCATATGGGACCCGAGACGGGGCCCGCTGAACCGCAGATGGAGGGCCTCTAGTCGGGAGTTTACGTCGCGTGTTGTGGCCACGATAGCGTTGACCACATCCAAGTCAACGAGCCGGGGGAGGTGCTGTGCGCACAGGTCGAAGGTGGGAGCTCCTCCTGCGTAGGTGTTTGTAGCATTGTCGAACGATTTGACTACGATTTGTAGCCGTTCCAGCCGAGGCAGCCCCTTTGAGAGTAAACGCTGGAAGATGGGGACATCTCCGAACTTGCAGCGTATGTTCAGAACCTTGATACGGGACAGATGCTTCGCTAGCTGTTGGTCGTCGCCCTTGCGCACAGCGTACTCCTTGTTGTTGGTGAGGATGAAAACCGTCGTGAGATCATCGTAGATATCTGAGAGGTTGTAGGGCGGGAGTATCAGCGGTTCGTAGTTGTTCGATTAGATCATCTGGGGAGGGATTGAGACTCACAATGATCGGCCATTGGATCAAATTGTTGGAAAAATGGAGCAAGTTAGGAGTGACTGCAACCTTTAGTTCAGAAGATCGGGGAGGCGTGTGTTGAACGGGATGAGAGCAGACTCTTCAGGTTATATACCCGAAGCCTGAACACCGCTTGGACACGTTTTCGAACGAACCATGCACGGTGAGTGTCGCAGGCGGGTCTTGTGACCATGGACAAAGCAGCGGTGTGGTCACTGTATAGAGTCAGAAATACAAAGCGCAGTGACCAGAATGTTGAACAATAGGACATATGAACATGCGTCGGATCCTGCGCATTGGCAGGAGCCTGGGCTGACGCGCGGGCCATTGGCTTCGAAAGACAATCATGCAGCGCAGGACGAGGCGAGGTGGGTGCGGCGCTGCTACGTAAGCATACTGTGTTGCATTTCTAGCACACTTAGCACAGGCAAGCAAATTAAGAGGATCCTTCGATATACCGCATCTAGGAGGTTAGAGGCGCACCTTGTTTCACATATACTTCTCTCAGTACACCGTACGCGGCAGCGAACATCCATCATTCATGCTCCAGCAGCACTGTCAATAGCATTGATTTTCATGAGAGTCTCTGCTTCTTCGCCGGTCTGGCACCATCGGCGACACTACCCACATCCTGAGCCGGACGCTTACCCTTCTTGCCTCCCTTCCCCTTCTTGCTCGCCTTCGACTTCTTGCCTGTCTTCGACTTCTTGCTTGCCTTCGACTTCTTGCCTCCCTTTGACTCCTCGCCCTTCGGCGTAGACACCTTATCGACGCCGCCCTCAGGAACATTGGCAGAAATGATCGCTTGCTTCGAGGAAAGCAGGAGGTCGTAGAATTGTTGATGAAAGCCGACGCGCTCGAGCCCCAGATATCGCAAGGGACGTAGGGGGCCGCCCTTGGCGTACAAAGTCTTCACAAATGGGCGAGCGATAGGTTCAATGCCAGGAACGTGGTCGATCGCTGTCGCGCTCATCGCTCGGTCGGCCGCCTAACGAGCGTTGAATGAATAAAGCGTCGGGGCGATGTAAACGGATGACTCCTCCACTAGGGCAGAATTAGTGCGTCTGACACTTACGTTCCAGATTCTGGCGTTAATCCCATTGGAACCAGGGTGCGGCCCAGGACGTTGCACGCTCAACACCAAACTTGTTTCAACCGGCGTCCTTTCTTTCGGATGCTCCGAAGAAATCAGACCGTCTGCCACCACTAAAATCCCTCGCATGTTTGCTCCGGTCTCGGCCTACCTTCACGTTGCCTACGGTATGTGCCCCCTACAGAGTGAACTTCCACCGACAATGTTGCTGATAGAATCTACAGGAAATATTGCGCCAACTGACGTAAGGCCTAGAGTTCATATCCTCACCAGACGGACTTGCTCACCATGTTCATCATTTCAGCAATCCTATCGAGGTCCTCATGCTTCCCAAAGGTGTAACCTGGTCGGACGATGCCGTTACCCGAGCCCTCCTTATCACATACTTTCGACGATACAACCCGTCTGCCGGTGGAGGCGCCCGACAATGGGAGAGTGACAGCATCGCGGACGACATCAGCCGGGACCCGAATCGCGACCGGGAGGTATTCTTTCGGCGTGGAGGAGGCTGGTACTACTATGGGACCTACCGCTGCGTCGGCCACTCGGAGCAAGTTGCTTTGGACAGTGCAAAAATATGGAAAAAGGTATGTCGTCGACCCTCGATATTCTTGTAGTGCTTCTTCCACTTGTACGAGATCTGTCTTGAGAGTAGACAAGATCTTATGTATGCCCATTAGCGTGGTCCCTACGTGACAAACGTCATACGTTACCGCCTGCAGTTCGGTCTTCTCTATCTTCAGTGCTCTTGACTTCGCGTTGTATTTATTCAACTTTGATTGAAGCGCGAGCAAGCGCGCATTCTGGAGGTGTTTGCAGAGTCAGCATAGTACTTATACTCGCAAGGAAGATGGAGGCCTGGCTTGCTTGAGCGGATTGTTCTTGGTCTGCGGGAGCTCGATACTCTTCCGCTGCCTGCAAAGAGGGCTCAGCCAGGTCGTTATGAGTAAGTTGGTTCCTCAAGATATGCACCGATGAGCTGCGGGCCTTCGTGTCTACGCCGTCGAGGGTCGCCGATATCCGTAAACGTAACGAGTCAAGCTCGTCCCTCAACGTCTCGTTTTCAGCATGTATCGCTGTGCTATCGACAAGGGGAGCTTCGGAGGTCGACTTGATAAGATAACATGCAGGTCAGCTCAACAATTCAGAGTAGCAAGACGTTCAAATCCGTTCGAGTTGGGTCTGTATCGAACGACAGCGCTTACTCGAAGTTTGAGGAGCCTCTGATGTTCTTGCCTTTCTTGCTTTAGTCTCTGGTGTACTAGTTGCAAGATATCCTGCGCCAGCTCAGGGTTTCCAGTGATGTTCTCCATTGCGAGGACGAGTTTGAAGAGAATATGTGACTAGTCAGTCCAAGGACATGATGGTGGCTAGGAGGCGACCGACCGATCACCAGGCCGGCGCTACCGCAAGGGACGTGGCTGTGCAATCGTTGTGGCGCTGGATTACGCGCCAAGCATTCAGAACCTGAACCGTTTGAACGTCGTGACACAGTACATATGTCTCCCGCTGCTGCCAGCCGGGCACGACCACCACTGGCACCCTAGGTAAGGCGAAGCATCTATAACCCTGCATATACATGTCTGATGGAGATAGCATACGCCAGATCATATGCATCGCGGCGGGCTCTATGCAACATTCCAGCCGACTGCCGAATATTCACCCTCTCTGACCATCCTTGTGTCGTGCCCCGACCGAGCTCGGACATCCTCTCCGTTATCGAGTCGCAAGGCAAAGTAAGTCCCATCCCATTTCCCCAACGTCGCAAAATCCGCCATCCGCCACAGCTCACTCGACCGCGCGTGAGTTCACGGCAGAAACGAGGCTAGAGCATGTGACCGACGTCAGGTTGTTGCTTCTCTCCATCCCGTATCGCCGCATCTCCTCTTCAAGGGCATCGACATTGGGGCAATGGATGTACCTGTGAGCGTGCATCCGGCGCACCGCCTCACGGATCCATACCCGGCATGTGAAGTCCCGCTCCCGTGCCTGGTCGACCGCAGGGACACTCATAGGGATCACCGCCAGAAGTTGGTCCAGATCCTCCACCGTCTTGCCAGTGGGCAGACGCCCCAAGATAGCTGCCGCGGCCACGGTGTGCGACGTGTTCAGCGTGAACTTGGTGGACTCGTAGCCCCAATCATGGATCCATGCACCATCATTGCCCCGCAACCGTCGACCGAGGGCATGCATCTTCGTTCCCGGTGAGAGTCGCTCGCGGGTGGCGCCTCTATCCGGCACCCAGAGGAGCCAATGGAACTCGACATTGCCTGCCAAGGTGGAATTGTTATGCTTGATGTTGAGGGCGAGGATGATCTCCGGATACTCGGGGAGCGGTCTGAGCCTAATGGGCTGGCGTCGAAGACGTTGCATGGTGCGGCAAAGGTGAAGGATAGGAGCGATGTCACGATCGGTGTGGGGGGCTGGGGACTACTGTTCGCAGGTGCACACGCGTCGGTGGGGTGATGATATGTGATGCTCTACCCGCCCACACGATAGGCCTTATATACGTACGCCGCGTCCATGTGCGCTCCGCGGAAACATGAGGTGTACTCGCCGCTACTTCCGTGTGCAATCCCAGCTGATCAGTGTACCTGCCCTAGACATGGCCGTCCTTTTGAGCTCAAAAGCGGATGAACCTACGCAAATACCACCGAGGCTTCCCAAAAATTTGCTATCTCAGTACTTGGGACGCTAGAACCAGAGGTTTGTAGCTCCGCCGCCCGTAGTAGTGCGGATTATGCGGAAACCGAATATCCTCGTTTGTGCGAGCTCTGGGCCACTGCCTAAGATCTGATACCTGACTCAATGCGTGGCAGTTTCGAACTCGATGACAAAAATAATGCTAGGCCCAGCAACCCCAGTGAGGTGCATTCTTCCCTGAGATCTCAGGTAGTGTACTTATGAGTCCGAATCCGGAGTCTGTTTCTAGACGCCCGGGACCTTGTGGAACCACGCGCACGCGCGCAGCCTTGAGGTGTACACGTACACATCCAAGACCGCTCAGCTTCGTACCGGTACCCTTCGACTCGTGCGTTGACCTGCGTACTTGGTTTCCCGCACCGCTGGCAGGGCCACCCTTCCGACATAATTGCTGCAGGTACTTTGGAATCGGAGCAGTGCGATACAGATACATATTTGATTTATCACTGTTTTGCTACCGACAGGTTCTTACCATGGCGCCGCGTTTCGTTTATCGGATTTTGTCCCTTGTTGTCTCAGCCCTTCCGGTGGCCATCCGCATCAAACTGTGGTGGCGCCTTCTCCGCGCGGGCAGGCAGCGTTGGGAATCCGAGAGTACCACCCAACGCATACCCGGAGGCATGTATATCAAGTACTCGACACTCGGACGTCCAGTGGAGGCCCAAGCAACGCACTTCGTCGGCACGCATACATCGATCCCTGTCCCGGTCATCGTTGACTGCTTCCCCGCGGACGGCATGATCTGGATCGTCATGTCCCGTCTCCCCGGCGATAACCTCGAGGCGTACCTACAAGATATCACCCCCGAAGTCGAGCAGCATCTGGGCCGCCAGCTTGCACCGCTGCTAGCATCTCTTCGTGCTATCCCGCCGCCGAGCTCCGCGGTCTGCGGATTTGATCAAGGACCCTGTCACTGTGAACGCATGGCGATGGATGCGATCCCCCTCGGCCCTTTCGAGAACATCGAGTCATTCCATGAATCCCTCCTTGGCCGTGCTGGAATGAGAATACCGGAGAGCGTGGATGCCACGCTTATCCACGAGACCATCAGGAAGGCCCACGCGCGGCCTCATCGGCTGTGTCTGACGCACAACGACCTAGGCCCGCAAAACGTCCTCGTGGATGAGCAGTGGAACATCACAGGGATCGTCGACTGGGAAACGTGCGCGTGGCTGCCGGAGTATTGGTACGTTTGCAAGATCCGAATGCGTTACCTCAAAACACTGACGCGAAGGCCGTGCAGGGAACTGACCAAAGGCACCTACATCTGGCATTTCCGAAATGGACCCTGGGAGAGGATCATGCTCTCCGTGTTTCCGGATTACGCAGAAGAGCTACAAGCCGAGAGGTATATCCTCCAGTACAGACAGTTTTACGGCTAGGATGGGAACTCTGTCGTGGTTACGTTCAGGAAACTCTTACATGAATCAGGTCCCCGGCACTGAGCGCACGAGCATGACAACGCGTCGCATGCGTACTTTACACGCTGAAGCAGTGTTCGGGCACGACAGTAGATACTACAAAGGAGAACACACAACCATGATTACAACTACCAGTGGCGGCGGAGCTGTCGCTTGATCGCTTCGTACGCCGCTTTTGTCTCTGTCCGTCCCGGCTCCAACTCTGCAAGGTACTGCTCTACAGCCTGGTCTATCCGGAAGACAGGGAAGTCGCCGCGGGCCGCAGCGGATTGCGGGCGTTTTGCCTCGTCGATCCAGTCCGTCAACAATACGGCAATGTCAGAGGAGATCGCCTGTACGTTCGCCTGCTCGTTGAACGGTGGTACCTGTAACCCCACCACCTTAAGGACTTGCTTGTCGGAATAGACGGCATGGAAACGTACCTGGGACTCGTACATCTCGTGCAAGATATCCCACACTTCTGGGTGTGGAACACCGCACTGCACTAGAATGCGCGGTGCCCATCCGTACGGCAAATCGCCCTTGTGGGCGAGTGCGAAGCGGACGAGAAGCGATGCGATGTGTTCTGATAGCAGAGATGAGTAGCGTTTCTCCTTTAAAGGACGTGAAACATACGTAGGGGGAAGGCACCGTCGGAGGGGTAGTATCGCTGCCCAAGGGGTATGACTTTCGACACAATGCGATCTGCGGCAACCTTTGGCTCGGCATCCTCGGTTGCTGCTCGACAGCGTAAGCAGAAAGTCTAAGACTGAACGACGATGACTTGCCTTCCTCAAATATCCTGTTCCAGATGGGCCGCACGATGGCATCGTCGCGGTGCTGGGAGACATGGAGGATGAGGAGCTTGATGAGAGGCAGATCGAGAGGCTCCGCCCAGAGCTGGTACAGCTGCAGACATCAAGCGTCAGTGACACGCAGCTATTCTGGAAGTGGGCTTTCCATACCTCGGTGATGTTGTACAGACGCAACGACAGGGCCTTGAACCGCTCTACGACGTCAGGCTCATGCTGACGGGGTAGCAGTGTGTTGTACAATTCGAGCTGAACTTGGGCAACCTCCAGCTTCTCTTCGAGATCGGTGAGGAAGGCGATCGCCGTCTCGTGCCGTCCACCAACGGACACTGGGTGCGACTTCGCGTTGCCCACAGCAAGGGTAAGATACTCGAGCCGCATGTCGAGAGAGAGGTTGAAGCTAGGGCCAGTCAGCAAGATAAAGTCCGGCTGCTGACGGAGTGACTTACTCGGTGGACTCTGCCAATATAGCAAGAACCTCCGCAGCACGAAGAGGTTGACCGTCCTTGACGTAGAATTGCCATAGCAGCTGGAACTTCGCGACTGTCACAGGCTCTCGTCGCAGGTGGGCCTCGAGGTATGCAGGACGCATCTATCGAAAATACATATCAGTTAGATGCACATGCATGAAGAGATACCGACTGCCTCACCTCCAGAAGTTCGTCTGCCATTCCCCGCTCGATGAGCCAATCGTACAACGTCGAGTGGAACATCTCGTCCTCGCTCGCAAACGCCAGCTCATACGCATGTCCCCTGACAGTCTCTGGGTCGTCCGAGGCGCTTGGCTTGCTGGACGTACTTCGCTCTTCGAACACCGAGAGCGAGTCCAACACGAGCTCATAGCAGTGCGTCCGTCGCTCCCAGAATTGTGCACGCGAGTCCGACGCAGGGCAACCAGCAGTCCAATATTCCTGACCCTGGAGGTCGGTATCGAACGCTTGCGCACAATGCAAAGGAAGCTCCACAGCGCCTTCAATCCAAGTTAGACATGTTTATCACCGCACGATGATCGGGACCTCAACGCACCCTTGGCATAGTTCAGTTGTTGGTAGTCACCGCAGATTTCGCGCAGCTTCTCAAACTCCAGATTGCGAGCACCCTTCATGAACAGCCTGCAAAAGAGGCTCGACGTCGTGACAAATCGTGATAAATGTGTATACACACCTCAGGGACTCCCCAAGCCATGTTTGGCGCTCCATGGGGTTTCGGGTCTCGACAGCTCTGCGAATATTCTCCCGTGCCTGCGTGACCAAGGTAAGCGCATTGAGACATCGCGATCGATACGCGGACACCTACCTTGTACAACATAACGTCATCCGTGCTGCAGAACGAGCCGCATCGTTGTTGCAGGACCTCGCTGATAGTATCAACCTGCATGCAGATTAGTACTTGGCTTGTTGCAGCGACGCAGGAGCGACCTACGCTGATCTGCTGGCCAATCTGCTGGTTGATGATCACGTTCACGAGCGCGCGAGAAGCGGTGACGCCCTTGTCCACCGTGATGAGATCCTCGAACGTCAAAGAACTGACAAGTTTCTGGATCTCGGGGTCGCAGCTGGGGCGAATGTAAGCAACGTTTGCGAATCGTAGATAGTGCACGTACTGTGATATCAACTCGCCCAGTCTGTGGTCGCTCAAGAGCAAGATGAAGGATATGGCCTCAATTGTCCGACCAAGCAAGCTTAAAAGCTGAGAGACGGAACTTTGCTCCGCCTGCCGGGATTCAGTCACAGAACAAGCCATATGCGACAAACATAAACTAACCTTCCATGCCTCTTGCTCGTTCGCAGTTGCCGATCGAGCTCCTGTATGGTCGCCGGGTGCTGAATGGAATAGGTATGGATTGGTATCCAAAAGTTCCTTGAGGGCAAACAAATTCTTCTGCGCAATGACCAGGATATCATCCGGGACGCCAAGCTCTTGCAGTCCATTCGCGCTGCAGCCCATGTCAACGCGAATACATATGATGAAGCGCTGGAGGTGGGTCGCACCCTGCATTGGTGAGTTTCACCTTCCAGAAGGGGCGTACGAGTCTCGCGAAGTACAGCGCAAGCCCTTCCCGTCGCCCGCTGAAGGTGGCCGTACCTGAACTCTCGCCTACAACCAAAACTTAGAACGCGAAAAGGAGCTGCAAAGAGGGTAACGAAAACTTACTGGTGCCGTACGTCACCCGCTCGGCCCAAGTCGGGCGTTCACCGAAGTCGTAGAACGCCTGTCTTGCGACAGCCGCCAGCTCCGAGCTCACCTGGCTCATAGAACCGAGCGGAGACTGCTCCATGGGGTCCAGGAAAGTATTGCCGCTGGCAATCGCTAAGAGCATGGCGCATGTTTGGTCGCGACCGTAGCTGTCCGGAGCTTAGTCTGTTGCACGAGAGAATAGTAAGATGTGCGGAAATACCTATCACGAAGATCTATCAGTGACTGAGCATTGCCTTCCACCTGGTACTCTTCAATGGCGTCCTTGAGTGCATCCACAGCCCGTCGCTTTGCGACCCAGTGCAGCCCACCATTTGTGAGGATGATGTACTGTCTTGCCGGTTCGGAGAACTGGGTTGCGAGCTCGTTGGTGATCAGGGGCGCAGGGGTATTGGCAGGAGCAGTCGTAGTCATGGAGTACTTCGAGCGCGGAACTGGTGCTATGCCCCAAGTCACTCCTGGTATGGGAACGAGGGTTGCACGTTCCGTGAGCGGGATTCGGTTGGCTGCTTGAGTCGGAGCGCCGTATGCATGGCTTACATACTGTGGTTGAGGTTGCTGCACCTGAGGCCCGCGAACCTGTCCAAGAGAGCCGATCTGTGTTAGGTCCGGAGCCATGCAGAGCAAGTAATCGGTATCTGCAACGTCTCCTCGTTGCACAGCAAGCGTGATGCCGAGGTCATAGGAGGTATATTCCAAAACCTTGATGATGCAAGGCCGAGAAGGTGGCTGTTGCTGGCCTTGGCCCAGACCATAAGCCCCTTGTCCTTCACGGTACAGTTTCGACTGTTCATCCGGATGGATCAAGTTGGGCGGGGGAAGGCGGACATGAGCCAGAGATAGACTGCGGAAGCCCGGAGCAGCAGAGGTATTCCAGCCGTACGTCGATCCAGGAGAGAAATACAAGCGCACGCCGTTGGTGGTGATTGCCACTAGCTGGACGCCAGAGCGCGACTCGCTCGGCTCGATCACATGCAGGGCGGTGATGCTGAAGTTCTGAGGCGTCAATGCAGGCGATCCCGGAACCTTGTCCTGGGTCGCTTTGTACAGGTTCGAGATGGTCTGCAGATGTTGAACGTGCTTGTCGCCGTTTGTCCGCCATACAGAGATGGTGTTCCTTGCCGTCAGAGAATAGAAGCAATTCCTGGCTGGGTCGGAGACGAGGGACACGATCCTGTCTGCAATACGATCAGACTTAGCTGCCGCAGGACGCTACAGAACGTACCGTCCGCATTGGAAGCGCTAATACGCGGAAGTAGACTCTGCACGCCACCGACCGAATGGTTGATGAGCTGCACCCGCTTGCCAAACCAGCCTTCTTTCTCCTGGTAATGAAGCTCGTAGAGATTCCCGTCCTGGGAGCCGGCCATGAATATACGGCCGTCGGGTGTCCCGACCACATCGGACATCTCTACGTCGCAAGCGATAGACATGTCTGTCGCGTACATCTTGATCTCCTTGCGCGTCTGACCATTTGGTCCTGGTACGGGCGTCGTGGACACACCAATGAGCAGTACGGTGATGGGAGTACATATCACCAAGAGTGTGGTGATCTCGTCAATGAAGACGCCACTTTTGGGTTTAACGAGCGCGACGTGGGTGATTACGTCGGGTTGGTCCACAAATGAGCTCAGCTCCTGGCTATACGAGGCGTTAGTATGGCGCGTAGACATCAATTGAGACGGCGCACCCATCCACATAGTCCCAAAGGAACAAGTTGCGGTCAATGGCGATCCAGACGCGGTCAATTTCCGGAAACAATCCCATATGCGTGGCGAGGTTGGTGGCTGCGCCACATTGAGTGGGTGCGCGTACTTGAGATGTTTCCGGCGAAACTTACAGGTGTAATATTGCCACAAGCTCTCGGGGATTCCTATGTGTCTCCTCTTCTGGAATGGCGCGCGATGATCATCGGGGAATACAGTGTACGACGCGGACGATGGCGTCCCGGCTACCAGCGGGGTCAGCCTATATGCGCAAGACATGCACGAGCTGCACACTCACATATCATATCACCCAAGTCAGGAATTATCTGGGAATCTTTCACCAGTTGCTCCTGGAGGACCCGGCTGCCCGCCTGGAGAGCGGGGAGGTCGAGGACGACAACTGGCTTCGACGCGCCTTGCGCCTGTCGTAGCTTGCTCCCGCTGACGGACGCGAGCAGGGGCCCCGACGACGACGAGGCCGCGAAATTTCGCTGGTCGGCCGTGGAGGATAGAAAGGCCATGAGTGGGGAGGCCGCAGGCGGTGGTGGCGGGGGAGAGCAAGACTTGAACAATTCCTCTGAGCTCGAGCGCGGCCCCGATCACGCGTCATACGCGCGCGCGACTTTTTGTTTTCTGCCCTCGCGCACCCCGCGCTGCCTTGTCTTTCCCCTTCGCCGTCGCCACACAACGCCCGCTATTGTCGACATCGATTGGCAATGTCCGAAAGCGCAGGACCGTCCACGCCGTCCCGGAAGCGGTCTCGCTGGGACACCGACGACAACACCGCGGAGTCTCCGCCACCCATCCCAATTCCAAAGCGTCGCACCAAGCCGAAGCCTACGCGGTCCGACGCATCCCACACACCAGAGCATACAGGAACGCCAGTACAGTCATTGCAATCTCAGAGCGGCACACCACGTCCGCGGCCATTACACAGTCGATACGTCCCTCCAAGGACCGCCCATCCGCCACTTCTCCCTTCGCGTTCAGTATACTGCTACGAGAGACTCAACGCGATCGAGGAAGGGTCTTACGGCGTAGTCTTCAGGGCACGAGACAAACAAACCGGGGACATCGTTGCGCTCAAGAAGTTGAAGCTCGACGAGGAGAAGCATGGATTTCCCATCACCGCTCTACGGGAAGTCAACGCGCTCATGGTGTGCAGACATGAGAATGTGGTCGGAATCCGCGAAGTGGTAGTCGGCGACACCTTAACGCAGTGCGTACCTCCAGTACAAGTCCTCTTCGCCCCCATTGACGATCCTGCAGGGTGTTCATCGTGATGGACTTCATAGAGCATGACCTCAAAACGCTACTGAGCGTCATGCCCTCGCCGTTCCTCCAGTCCGAAGTCAAGACCCTCCTGCTCCAGCTGCTCTCCGCCATCGCCTACTGCCACGAACGCTGGATCCTGCACCGCGACCTGAAGACGAGCAACCTGCTCATGAACAACCGCGGCACGATCAAGGTCGCCGACTTCGGGCTCGCGCGGCGCTACGGCGACCCCGTCGGCGTCGGCGGCCTCACGCAGCTCGTCGTCACGCTCTGGTACCGGTATGTGCGCCCGCCCCCGCGTCTCCGCCCGTGTCCACACTTTCACCGGCCCCCCTCCGCGTCCCCGCGTGCAGCGCGCCCGAGATCCTCCTCGGCGCAACGACCTACTCGACCGCGGTCGACATGTGGTCCGTCGGCTGCATCTTCGCGGAGCTGCTCCTCAACGAGCCGCTCTTCCAGGCGAAGGGCGAAATCGAGATGATCTCCATGATCTTCAAGCTGCTCGGCCCGCCGACGAGCCAGTCGTGGCCCGACTTCAACGCCCTGCCGCTGGCTAAGAGTATCACCCTCCCAGCGCCTCATCCTCCACAGCTCAGGCAGAAGTTTCCGTATATCACGAGTGCAGGATTGGACCTCATGTCGCGTCTGCTTGCGTATGATCCCGAGGACAGGATCACGGCAGACGAAGCTCTGAAGCATCCATACTTCAGGTACATTTGCGGTCCGACATGCTGAAAGTTGAGCTAGCGTTGACCCTACCCTCAGCGAGTCCCCGTTGCCGAAGCACCCCGATCTCTTTGGGTCGTTCCCTTCCGCTGCTGCTGGGGAGAAGTAAGTGGCCCACGTTGTGCGAGCTGGAATGTGGCTGACGAGTTTTATGTAGGCGAAGGAAACCAGACAGCCCGTCGGCTCCCGCCCGCGCTGCAGACTACAAGCTTCTCACTGAGTTCGACTGAGCCTGCATCGTGTTGGCCTTGTGATAGTATATGTATGTACTCAGAGCGTCGTGAATTGGCACAAGGCTCCCGAGAATCATCGTGTTAGGTAGAGCGAGTACAATAGTTATACAACATCCAGCGCACTACAGAATACCCTAGTACTGAGATACAAGCCATCAAGGCCATTACACGAGTGGGGGCTCTTCGTCGTCTGGTAGCGCGTTGAGGACCTCCCGCATCTTCTTGAAGCGATTCCTCGTGCGTGCCGCATCACCGCACTTGTCGTAGTACTCCTTCACCTCTTCGATGAGGAACCGGAACTCCATCGCGATGTCGCGCACGGCCTGGTCGATGACATGCAGGCCGTTGGTCGTACTCGGGTCTTCCGGTGGGCTGCAAAACGAGACCACAGGTCACCCACATGCACCAACACAGATACATTCTGACAAACCTCGTCTTCTGACGCTTGCTGGCCTCTTCTTCCTCGTCGACGAGCTTCCGCTTCGCCCAGGCAGGGGCAGGGCCGTTGCCCTCCCGGACCTGCCACTCGACCTCGTCGTCTTCCATCTCCTCCTCGCGCGCATTCTGGCGTGCGATCTCCGCGCTCATCGGTCCGGACGTGGGCACCGACATGTGCTGGAAAACCGGCGCTGGAGGTTGGTATACGACCGGGTTAAACGTGTCGCCCGGCCCACCGACCGAGCTCATGACGCCAGTCATAGCAGGCAGGGGCATGGGCACCGTGTACGTCTCCATAGAGTGCACGCCCGACGGCCCCGGGAGAGGCGTGGTGGCTTCTCCTACACCAGTGCCGTTAAGCAGCGCATCTGCGAGCACGTCGCCGTTCGCGTTGCCGTTCGCGGTGGAGTTGCGCGCCGACTTCTTCCTGGTGCGCTTGGGCTTCTCCTCGGGCTTGCGCACATAGCCGTACTGGCCCTTCTCGCCGTGCGCGGGCTTCTTCTGCTCGACGATCTCGGCAATCTTGGCGTCGAGGCGCGTCGCGTTCTTCTTGTACCGCTCGCGCCATGATTGCCATGTGTGTCGGGTGACCCAAGAGTATTCAGGATCGGTGGCTCCCTGCAACAGGATCAGCGTGGAGCATCTGTACGAGTTAAAAGTGCCTACCATCTCGCAGAGTTGTTGATACAAGCGGTTGCCGGTTCTGCCACCAGTCTCTTTGTACGGGATCTTGGCAGCGATCCAGTCGCAGAGGTGCTGTTCATCATCTCGCGAGAACTGCGTCCGTCTGCGATCGAGACACTATCAGCTTCACAGTCCTCGCTCGCACAGCGCGCATACTCACTCCTCTCCTGGGCGCCGCCCACCAGGGTTCTTGTACACAACAGGGGTGTAGATGACTTGCCCCTTGTCGATGCATCTCTTCACCCACAGGTACGACTCGACGTACTTCTCCGCTTCACCTTGGTACGTCTTCACCAGGTGGTTGAATATATCCGTGTTCGGATCCGCAAGAATGACCCGCGCGGATTGTGCGGACGCCGTCGGATCCCCGCCAGAGTGCTACCAAGTGCCCGTAAGCGCATCGCCCCACAACACAGCGACCCCGCCCGCGGCCCTCGCGCTCCACATACCACAACATAGACCGCAGACCTCCCCCATCGCCGCATGCTAGGGACCGCGCAAACTGTGCGAAGTGATACTGATACTCACCATGATGCGCGCGCTTAGCGCCGTCCGGGCGTTCACGTTCGCGATGCTCGAGTCGATGTGCATGCGGATGGGCTGGCCGTCGTGGATGAAGATCTGCTTGAGGAGCATGCCCGAGACCTTGCACGCCTCGACGTAGGTGTACGGCACGAAGTAGCGTTCGGGGCGGTCGGGGGTGGACCAGCAGAGGCGCAGGCGCTCCTCCTCTGCCGTGCCCGGTTGGACGAGCACGAAGCCCGCGCGCGGCACCTTGGGTTCGACGCGCCCGCCTAGGGACTGCCCACGGATTTCGCGCGATTCAGTCGTGAGGGGGTAGGGACTGTAGGGGGAGACGCACCGCGATGGTCTCGCAGACCTCTGCCTGGATCTCCTGAGGGATATCCTTCTGGATGAAGAACTTGATGGCCATGCCGTTCGCATCTTGGAAGATAGGCTGGTACAGTATGGAGGTTAGCTTGCTCAGGCCGCGCTCGAGCTCGAGGGCGATGGGGATGGACTGACCATGTTGCAGGAGGGGGCAAGGGGCAGGCTCGTGCACGAGGGGAGGTAACCTTGTGCGAGGGTTAGAGTTTGGTTATGTAACGGCTGGGTTAGGGTTGTTTAAACCCCAGAGACGCCCGTGCCGTGCAGCCACTCACCGGGCCACTTGGTCGTCCTCAGCCGCGGGGGAACGCGAAGTTCGCGCCATCTGCGGCCACCGCGCATTTCCGTGTCAGACGTACAGGTACTGGGAGAGTTGCTTGGGCACTGCAATCGAGAAGTAGATTTATGGATACATGGGGAGCTACGTAAGGTCATAAAGCCAATGGCATCAAGGGAGAACCTTTCCGGGGTTCATGATCCCATTGGGATCGAACAAAGCCTTGACCTTCTTCATCCACTCAATACTCGTCGCGTTCTTCGAATACTGAAGCGCATGCGTCTTCATCACGCCAATGCCGTGTTCGGCAGATATAGAGCCCTTGTACGAAGCTAGCAAGCAGTCAGTCAGAGTGCAAAAGCACCGTGGCAGCCGCGAGCCCCACTCACCGACAAGTTCGTACACAAAGGGCTCGAGTGCTGCCTCGATCTCTGGTGTGTAGGCTTCCGCGACGATGTTCAAGTGGAGGTTACCTGCAGTTGATTATGAGCGCCGTAGCATATAACCAACCTCAAGACAGCTTACCGTCTCCGACGTGACCGTACCCGACGACGTACTTCACGGCCTTTTCGTGCAAAACACCTTGCTGCCGCAAGTGCTCCCTGGTCTTGTCGACGACTTCCTGGAACTTGTCGAGCGGAACCGAGATGTCGTACTTGTACGCCTTGCCCTCCTTCGAAACCGCCTCGGTGAGGCCCTCCCGGATTGCCCAGAGTGCAGAGAACTGAGCAGGTGACGACGCCAGTACACCTGTGTTGATCAACGGCTCTTCGGCCTCCATGAGGCTCTCGAGCAGGTTGTTCAGTTTCTACGCCGGGTAAGTAACGTGATTGCGGTCACTATCCGGGAGACACGCACCTCCTCGTCGTGCTCTCGCTTACCGCCGCTCGTCTCCACGAGAACGAAGCATGCGGCGCCCTCGACCTCCGAGGGGTCCAAAGCACGGCCCTGGCCATGCTTCACAGCGAGGTCATAGACGGTCCTGTCCATGAACTCGAACGCGGACAGAATCTCGGACAGTTGGCGCTTCGTTTCCTTGTAAAGCGGCAGGACGTTCTCAAACTTCGGCAGGGCGAGCATGACGTTGTTGGACGCCTGGGGCGCCGGGGCGGCGAGTATTGAAACACCAGTGACGACACCGAGAGTGCCTTCTGCGCCGATGAATAGTTGCTTCAGGTCATAGCCTGTACATTGGATTTGTAAATTCGGACGGTAAGTGAGCATGTGACAGGACTGACCGGTATTGTCCTTTCGTAATGAGGTAAGCTGATCCAGGATGGTGCCATCGGGAAGGACGACTTCGAGGCCGAGGACAGAGCCGTGCAGCGACCCGTAGCGGAGTAGCCGAAGTCCGCCGGCATTCGTGGAAACGTTTCCGCCTATTTGACAACTTTACACGGTCCTTCGTTAGCATGACCATCGACGAGGTTATTGACTTGCCCCTACCTGCCCTTCGCACCGAGATCCAAAGGCACAATGTGATTGTGCGGTGTGAGGTAGTCTGACAGGGACTGCAGGATGCAGCCAGCATCCGCAACCAAGATGCCTGTGATGGACAGCTTGAATAAATGTATAGAGCGGACATGCGATACTTCACTCACCGGAGACATCGTCGAAGGACCGGACTTTGGTCATGTTGGAAAGACTGAGGACAAGCTCGTCCTTTATTGGGACGCCTCCACCGACAAGGCCGGTGTTCCCGCCCTGGGGGACGAGGCCTATCCGGCGCTGGTTGCACCACTTGACGATCTCGCTGACCTCCTGTGTGGTGCGGGGCTTGAGGACGGTCGTCGACTTGCCGTGGTACTTGTTCATCCAGTCATTGTTGAACGGCTCCAGCTCGGCGACGGGGGTCGCACTGGGAGATAGAGTGGAGAGGATGGCGGAGGAGGGCAGAATTTTGGCGAAGTGCGCCAGGTCCTCCTCTGTCACCGTGTTGAGGCCGCTGAGGGCGGCGGCGGGGGAGTGCGACCAGCGGCGGGGCGCAGCGCAGTACACACGCCGCGCGAGCTGGCGGGAGAGCATGGTGGTGGTGGTGGGGGAGTACGGTCAAGGGCGGGTGTAGCGGGAGAGAGCAGCCTCCCGCGAGTCCGCTATAGCACACGATCGCACGTGACGGAGTATCGCGCGAACGCGACGCGTTTCTGCGGGCCGGCGCCATTTCCCGCTTGTAGCTTGCCTCCACTCGCTCCTCGGTACCAATGTGCTGACCTGCTCCGCCCTCTCGACGCCGCCAGTATACCCTCGCCGGGTGCAGCGAACGCGCTACGTCATCGGCAGAGCGCCAGGGCCACCGCCCTCAGCGTCCTTCACTCGTCTCCTTCGATCGTCGCTCTTGCCCGCGCTCTCTCGCCGCTCTCGCCGGGCTCTCTCTGCGTTTTCGACCGTTTGACGCTCTTCTTCAGCGCTCTTCAGCCGTGTCCCCGCCTCTCGCGATCTCGCAGTGGCCGCACCCTCCCGCCCTCCCGCCCTCTCGCTCACGGCTGCCCCCGCCCGCATCCCGCCCTGTATCCTCCGGCGACCAGTATAGTATAGTACAGATCGCGCTGAATGGGTGCCAGGTTCAATGCTACCTCGTCCCGACCCCCCGTCCGCCCGCAGCGGCTTGTTTACTGAACGTCTTCACTGTATATCGCTAATACCAGTCTTCTCGCGCACGCCATCGACCACTTCGTACAGCATGGATTGACCGTATACGTTCCCTGCCCGTCCTCCCGAAATCTCGCGCGGCAGAGCTGAAAACCCCAAGAGATACCGCCCGGATACTGCTTTCCTCGAAATCGCTCAACACCACTTGCGGACGCTGACACTCACTGGCCGTGATCGTAACTCGCCTTTTTTATGCGGGTCATACGGTATCATCGTTCGCACCAGGGCGCCGCATGCGCCTCTCGAAGCTGCGCTCTCTGTGCGCGAATGACACCCCGCGCCCGTCTTCCGTCCCGCCTCGCCCGCCTCCTCCACATCCGGCGCGGGCGCGATTTGCACCGTAGCGGAGGTACACCCGTCTACGTCCATCAGGTGAATTCTCTGCGTGCGGCCACAGAAACCCCGCTCACAGTGTCCGATGTTTAGCGCGCCCGCACAGTCAATCTCGACGAGCCGCCGCTTCGAGCTTTGCGCGGACGGTATAAACCACGCGTTTAGTGCATATACCCCGTGCGGACATGCTATGTACAGCGCGCACGCCAGCTAGCGGAACTGCGGGCTGGGCGAGGTCGGCACCCGAGCCTGTCGGGCACACTCAAGACCCTCTCGCTCCAACCGTGTACTGCGACACCCTCTCTCCCCAGTTGCTGGAGACGCTCGTAGTGCTCAGGCAAAGACGCCAGCGATCGCACGAACGTGCCGCGAACGTTCTCCGCCGCGTACATCGTGGACTTGGCGGGGACTCGCCGCAGCGTCCGGCCGGTCCACCTCCGCCGTTCGTGTGTTGCCCCTCGGCGTTGTGGCGCGGCATGGTGTGTAAGGGAGCGATCTCGCGTCAGGTGAGTTATGAGTCCCATCGGATAGGAATTGCGCTGACGACGGTCGATTTATTGTGTCTTCAAGGTAAGAAAATCGCATAATCGACGCTACAGTCGCTAATTCACGCTTTTACCGTGATATCTGGCTACACTACGCCCCGCTCAACCACGTCCAACACACAGAACCGCGGGGAAACACGGGCAGGAACTGCCTCGAACTGGAGAACGAGCGCCCCTCGCCCGGACTCCCGAGGCCGCCCAACTCTCCCCAGACGCCCAGTAGTCGTATAAACACCGCCACCCCGCCCTCCCGCTGCTGTAGGAACCGTTCGCGCGCGCGCCCCGTGTCTGAAAGCGGCGGTACCGTCGGGCACATTCCCGGCAAGACGACGGCGCCACGGCTCGAATACCTACCCGGTGACCTCCCATCCACGACGCATAGCTCCTGCGCACCAGGATGCATGCCCTCCGTGCGTCCCAGCGCGATGCGAGTCAAACTGAAATCGCTCACCGACGCGTCTTTTCATAGCGTAGGCGCCCGTCGCCGATCCTCGTCCTCGCTTTCTGGTGGGCAAAAGGAGTCGCGTCAGTGCATGCTGCAGCGCGTTACAACAGGTCTCTGGAGCTTACAGACATGCGCAGACGACGCTCGAACTACACGGGCAGGGTCCGCGTCGTCGACCGGCACCAACGGCCACGGACCTCCGCCGTCGAACTCGAAGACGACGCCTCGGATCCAGCACCTGCACACGAAGGTCAGCGAAGCGCTCTACAATGTCACAGACAGCACTGACCCCACAGCAGCAACACAGGCCGCAGCCAGCGCGTCCACAACGTGCAGCGACGGACGGAAGACACGAGACGACGACGACGGCACAAGACGAGCAGAGGCAGGACGGGACGAGGACACGACGGAACCCACCCCCGTCCGCCGCGCCCTTTATGCGCGCGACCAGGCGCACGGACCACCGCCGCCCGAGCCTCCCCAGCCGCGGCGCAGCCTGGCCTCCCGTGCAGGCGCCTTCACGCATCTCCGCCGCCGCCTTACCCCCAAAACCGAAATTCCGAAGCGAAGCGGCGGCCCTGCACGCCATCCCGCCGCGTTCGCGGTTCGTCTTCGATTGGCGGTGCCCATCCGGTCGCCTGGGCACCCGGTCGCGTCCTGTGCGACGGCGGCCGCGGAGGGTCTGCACGCTGCCTCTGGCGGAGGTCGCCCCGTGTACCGGCCCCCGCTCTCGCGAATAGATGTCGTTGACCGGCTCGTTGCCGGTCGAGTTGCCTGCCCTGCGCGTCCTGAGCCCGCTCTGGGAAGTGGCAGCGGCCGATGCAGAGCCTGCAGCCACACCGTTGAGACGACGCCTGAGCACCCGCACACGGGAGAAGACAAGGCCGTGCACGCCTCAAGAACTGCTCCGCGCGCCGCAGACGACCCAAGACAGCACGATCCGCTCGTTCGGCGCCGCGTTCGCGTGTCTTCGCGCCGTCCACACCGTGTCTCCGCCTCTGTGCGCCCGCCGCCGCAATCGCCGTTCCCACCTCAATATTGCTCTGGCGGCCGTCGCACATACGGCGATACACATCCGCGCAGCCCCGTGGACCGATTCCGCACCGTCTCCGCGCTCTCCGCGAAGAACACGCTACGGTTCTCGTCCGTTTCGGGCCCAGGAGCACGGAAATCCGCGTGTCCCGACCCGGCCCTGCGTCCTGGCGGCGCACCCTTCCGCATACGCGACGTCCTGCAACCCCTGCGCCTTCTCGCGGCGCTTTCGAGCGCGCACGGATGGTCCGAACATCGCGATTTCGGTGCGATTTCGGTGCCCCGCCTGCACCCCCGCCCTAAATCGATGCTCGCGCCCAAGGTTCGCCGCGGCAGCCTTCGAAAACACGACTACGAGGACCGTTGGACCGTTTCGCATGCGCCTGGAACGCTCCCGGAGCCCCGCGCGGAGATGAAATGTGCGTCGATTTCGGCGATTTTCATTGCATTTCGGAGACAAACACACAGAATTTCGTCTACCGATAGATGTTCGCCCCCGGCCGCGCCGTAGTTCTGCACGTGCGTCGCTACGACTGTTCGCAACCGCCCTGCATTGCTTCGCGGCGCGTCTGGATGGTTTTAATTTCGCACTTTTGCGCAGTCTCGGTTTTTGGTCGGCGGGGGCCATATACGATAGTCGACTTTTCGTGCTGGTTTCGGCGCGGACGGCTTCGAAACCGCGATGGGGTATGTACATACACTGCGGTGCACACATCCTGAACGTTTTCCGTGTCCTGTGTGCAGGTCTCGTCTGACATTGTCGGTTTCGGGCCCTCTGTACACAAAATTACAGAAATACATCCGCCCCGCCCCGTCCGAACGTCGTACCGCAGTGTGCTTTTGCCCGTACGCTGCTGCGAGCCGCCGCCCCTCGCCTGCGCCGTCTCAGGGTGCGTGGGTACGTTTCGGAGCTCGCAATGTCTGCCCCATCAAGGTGAGTTCACACATTATGCCGGCCCTCTCGCCTCGACACGGGATGGAGCGCATTTTTGCGCCATGGCGTGTGCGTCCCCCGCGTCGTATGCGAACACGACGGTTCAATCGGGTTCGCGCAAATTTCTGTGCGGTCACAACGATCTGTCCTCAGTCCCCAGGACGATGGATTTCGGTGTGCGGCCGCCGTAAAGCCATTGCGTACCCTCCGCGTCGCTCAAGCGCTGATTTGCGTTTATTCTCGCAGGCAGCTCTGACATCCAGCATGCGCCGACCACCGGCCCTCGCCTGCTCACACTCCATTCTGCGGACTTGGCACCCAGACACCAGTCGAGGCGGATACCAGGCACCCGGGATGCGGCTGGTCGCTGGTAAGAAACACTCAATTTGTCTCGCTCCGTGTTTGATGCTGATGTATTCGCTGCACGATATGCAGGTGGTCCGCCTCTGCAGGTCCCTCGCGCACTGCTCGCGGTGTCTGCCTGCCACCTGCAGCCGTTTGCCACCGGCTGCGTCGGGATACGAGCTGAAGGCGGCGCACTCGTGCGTGGGCAGCACGCCCGACTTGTACTTTTGTAACCTCAAAGCGGATACGAGCATCGAGCGGGGACCTCCCTGCGGGTGAAGCGCTGCTGCGGAGCGACAAGGAGATGTGCTCGAAACGCGGCCGTATTTCGACGCGCCGAACACCAAGTACGTACAAACCTCGGCACCCCGCCTTGGCTATTCCAGGGCCCCACTGGATTCCCGTTCTCGGGACACGCATGCCGTGAGTTCGTTCCACCACGCTGTCTCGCACTCTGACACCTGTCTCATATGCTACAGAGACACGGTTGTTTGCGGAACACCGTCGCGTCTGCTGCCCGATCGCGTACACAGGACGGCTGGAATCGACGATCGAGACCCACAGAGAGCCCGAGTCCAGGCATTGGACGAGGTGTGCACTCATGCGCTCCGCTCGACGATGTGCCACGCACACCCCTGTGACAGATCACGCAGGTACGTTCTCCCGAGCGTACCGCGGACATGCCAACAAGTAGGTGGTACCACACCTCGATGTGATCACCCAGGTATGTGCATGGTATTGCGGTGACATCCCAAATGTGTTGCCATGTCCAAGGGCTACTGCGTCGCATACATATGGTGTTGCAACGCCGCGGACCTACCGCGGCATGCATTGGCAACCCGCAAATAAGCTGCTTACAGCCGCTACCAGTGCTCGGTTATTCTGGCCCGACCCGATCATCTCGTACCCACGTTCCTGCCCATGCTGCACTCACATGCTGCCCTCCCGCCCATCCAGAGTGCAGACAGACCCGTGGGTGCGCTCACCGCTTGCTCGACTCCTGCCCGCCTCACTCGATGCTTGCCCCTGGACTTGGACAGCCTCTCTGTAAATACAATCACCTAGTAAATGTGTGCGTTTACGGCAGTACAGTGTGAGGGTGTCCCGATGCCGTTATCTGGCTTCTAGTTACTGTCGACTCATTTCGGCATTGGGTGATGTACCATTTTTATTGCCATGTGTACCGAGCGGTGTAGCAGCAAGTGTGCCATCTGCACTCGAAGATTTCGCATGTAGCATACTCTGCACCATTAGTTTTACTACTGACTCTGTCGCACTCGAGCAGCTGCCAAGACAGTGCCCGACTCGTCAGCCAGGTCTGGTGTAGCATGAGTCCCATGGATGCAACTGGGAACACAGGCAATCACGGCGGGCTATGATGGTGCACATCACAAATGCCGCCCGGCCTCACGCGGACGCGTAGACGGACACATCCCGTCGAGGCTGACTCGGATTCTATCGCTTCTGCGGGAGATGCCTCGGATGCGTTGCCCGCGGGCCGCGGCCGCCCTGCAAAATGTCATTACGACCGGCTGCAGCATACCACTGCAGCGGATGCACATTTGCACGAGACCTGGCAAGATTCACTTTGAGATTTGCACGAACAGACTTGTTACTCACCTGGGGCGCGGGTCGTCTGTCGGAGACTCATATGGGTCCTGTGCACGTCGTGCTCGCATCCTTCCCCTCTCGCGTGCACACGGAGTCCCTCGTATACTCACCTCTCCGCTGCACCATGTCGTCTGAGCTCACGGTTGTCACTTACGAGCCGCCGCGCGATGCCAAGATGCCAATGACTCCTCGCAATGCCTCCCGATACAAGATGCAAGCTGTCTTGAACGGGAAAGTTTGTCAGTATTTGGCTTGCCTGCGCTCGCGGCTGCAGAGTCCTTACCTTCTTGCAGACGACTTGTCTGATGGCAAGCTCACGCACATGCGGTACGCGCCCTCGTGCTATGCCAGCGAGATCGTCTCGAAGATCGGCCAGAAGATGGTTGGCTGGCCTGCGGACGTCCCGTTCACCGACCTGAGCGGCATCGGCGGCGGTGTTCGAACGCTCGACAACCTCCTCGCGCGGTGGAACTTGCCAGAGGGGCACCCGGAGAAGCTGCGCTTCGAGCCGGCCTCGCGCGAGGACCGGGAGAACGCCGCGCGCGACCCCGACAGCGTCCACCCCACGCCGCACTACCTGCCGGAGCTGAGAAGGAGGGCGGCTGCTGCGTCGAAGAGGGCTGCTGATAGCGCTGTCCCTTGCGACGTCCGCCACCCGGTCGACATGGGGTATGTCGGTACCGAGCTGACGTCCACGGCGCCGCCCGAGCCCAAGGCGCCTGGCAAGAGGCGGCAGCGGCGGGACACCGGGGGGCGGCGGCCACGGGCGTCGGATACGGAGACTCGCGTGCGAAGACGGCTGGAGAAGCGTGGGATCACGAGCATGGAGTGCGTGCTCCCAGGAGTGGACAAGGGTGCGGGTGGTGTGGGCGATGGGCGGGCGTCGAAGCGGCGGCGCTTGGAGGAGCTCCCGGTGGAGGACGCGATTACTAAGTTTGACTTTTCGGTGGACTTTGGTGGTACGCGCGCCGACCCTGACTCGGCGCCGATTGAGCCTGCATAGGACAGCGAGTACAAGACGGATCCGATCGCGTCGGCGCCGGACAGCCATTGGGACTGAGGCGGGCGGCACCGTTGGAGACTGCGCCAGCGCCCCGCGGGCTGCGTTCGAACTGGCTGGTGGACTGATTTACATTACATTTGTTATAATATTGCGATATGTCCTAGAACGGGGGTGAGACGCAGCACGGAGGAGCGCAGGAGTGAGGGACGGGCGATCACTGGCAGACGGTGGGCACTTCGGACTACACCCTGTGCTGGATTTGGCATTTTGATCGAGGCGAGGGTCCTCCTGCTGCCCGCGTTCGAAGCAGTTGGCACGTAAACCGCGCGGGATTGACCGAGTTTTGCTGGACCTGAATCTGGCGGTCTGGCGGCACCTCTGCGCAGCCGGCTGGACGCCAGCCGGCGGTCCACCCCAGTGAAACGGCCTAATCAGGGCTATACGATGGCTAGCCCCGCGCATCCCCGCTAGTCTATGAGCTCTCGCTTCACGTTGTCTCGCGGAGAACGGAGAAATCCGGTACATACCTACGTGGCCCCGCCGGGCTGTCTCCGCCTTGCGTCTTTCTTGCCCGCCCCCATCCACCTCTTTCTCGCGACCTTACCCCTGCCCGATGCCTCTCATCGCCCTGTCTCCATCCCTTCGTCAGCGCTCAGCGCGTCCTCGTGCTCTATCATTTGTGTTGCTCTCGCCTTCCGCAAACACGTCTCCCTCGGCCTCTCCGTGTTCTCTCCCACCACGAGCGCCCCCCTCTCGACGCCTGCTGCTTCTCGACACCGCCTGTGAGTCAGCACGAAGCGGATTTTTGCAGCAGAGACTCGCTAGGCTCCAGCAACAAGGACGACGGTAGTCGAGGTGAGTGCTTCCGAACCTATTTCCGAGTGCGACGTGGGGTGCGCCAGGCGGTGCGGGGGGCTCAGAGACGATGGTATGCCAGTGCGGCGGGGAGTAGCGCGAGAGGCCGAGTCTGGGACACGAGGAGATCGCGCGGGGAAATGCCACTCGAAAGGTCGTGGCCAGCATCGCTTGGCGACACGGATGTCCTGCTGGCAAGGTGAGCATGCGCGAGGAGCGTCCAGGGAGCTCACTCTCACATCCGTATATCAGAGGAGTGACGGCGCGACCGGCCGCGGACGCGGCGTCTGGGCATCGTGCGGGAGATCCACGTGGGAGGGCGATGGCGCGGATGCGATTCCGCATATCACGACGCTGGCGTAGTTCCATGCAGAAGGACGGGGCGCGCGAAGGCAAAAGAACGGGCTGTTAAAGGTAAGCACTCGTTGATACTTTGCGTACGCATTGCCTTCACTTACCACGGCGACGGTACACCCAAGCATTCTGACCAATACACGAGAGGGCTACGAGCGCCAGGCGGCGGGAAGAGGACGCGGACGCCATTCCGCGCCGGCGCCTCGCTGCAAATGGGATGGCGCTATCAGCCTGGACCGTCTACTCTAACGAGCCAGGTGCCCAGCACACCACTGGCAGCGGAGAGCACTGCAACACAACTGGTGAGTACATCTTTCCTCGCCGCGCACGGCAGATACTCACCGGGTACCTGTAGATGACGCTCAACGAGGTCGAGAGCAAGTCACTGAGTACGAGTCTACGACGCGAAGAGGATCTCGCTAGATGGGCCGCGGAGCGCGGGACCCGCGCATTCGGCAAACACAGGCAGTTCCCATCATCGAGGCTCCGGGGCCGCGAGCCAGAAGAGACGGCAGAGGGCAGACGAGACGGGGAGTGCCGGCGGGGAGTCGGGTGGATGGTGGCGGTGCGAAAGAGAGTGAGTCGTGCGATTCGCGGTTCGAGGTTCGCGGACGAGTTGTGGGTGCCGCGTGGGCGCCTAGGTGTGTGCCCTCCTTCTCTTGTCTCCCCACGACAGCGCGGTGGCCTTCTGCGGCAAGTGCTTCGTTCTGGAGGTCGCCTCAAGCTCACCAAGGCCGTTTGTGACACAGTATCCTCCGCGATTGTCTGAGTGTGCCCGGGAGCGGCTCGAATTCAATCTGGCTGGACTTGGGGCTCCCGGACTGCTCTCGACACTTGCACTCTCGACTTGGCGACCACACAACGACACAGACGTGTTTCGTTTCTCTCGTGCGCACTACACGACTATGGCATTGCTATTTCTGCGATTTCGGCGTTCCGCGGCTCTTGCCAGCATCACGGCGCTGGACTTGCCTCAGCCTGCGGTCCCTCGACACTGCCCATCTCGATTCCGAGCGACGTGGCGTCGCAGAGGCGCTCGAATCGCTTCCCGGGAAATATACGACGTTGGAAACACTCTGGGCACGATTCCGGCGTCGCAGGGCGTCTGCGAGATGCTAAGTATTAGACTCGCAGCCTCGGACTCACCCGCTCTCGGTTTCGCGACTGCGGCGCGACGAAGCAGCTGCATCCAGACACCATCCGCGGGAAGACACGACAGTGAGCTACTCGTGCGAGGAATTTCAGCGCCACAAGATCTCTGCGACGTGCGCGAGGCCAGTCCCGGGCCCTCGACTCTGCCGCTCGCGATTTCGCGATTTCGCGACGGCGCGACGACGCAGCCGCACCAAAGCGCACCATACTGCACGAGGAGACGCTGGGACACCCACGCGCTCAATTGCGGCGTTACAAGACTGCTGCGAGCCCTCAGAGGGCGGACTTTGCTCCCGCGAGCTGTCCCCGCCCTCTGCGCGGTTTCCGCCGGATTCTGGTACGACGTCGCGTCGCGCAGGCGCGTACTTGCTATGTGGCGTACGGAACGATACAGGGAGACTCGACGCGCGGGGTTTGGGCGTCCCCGGGGTGGAGGGGAGATGTTCCGATGGAGGGGCTCTCCCGATACTCTTCCCCCTCTCTAGCCCACATTTCTGCTCGCCCCGGCGCGAAACCTGTACCCTGTAGAGTACGAGTACGATACTATGCAATACGATGCGGTGTGCACGCCGAAAGCGCGATTTTGAGAGTTGAAGTCTGGTGCTCCCTCTCCTCCCCTCCCCCAAACGCCCTACTCTCCCAAAGACACCCACTCTCCAATAGACACCCACTGTGCTGCCAGAGTCCGTCGTTCTCCTCTCAGCCATCTCCACGTCCCCACGTGCACCCGCCAAGCACCCGCACCGCATGCCGCCCGCCGACCGGGATACCGCACGCCGTCCCTCCGCCATCACATCCACGCACACACAAGTCCCCCGCGCCGTGCGACGTCTGGGCCCACGACCGCCGCGCAAACACTCCCCGCAGTCCGTCTGTGTGCAAGCAAAAATATATTTCTTCCGTCTACGTACACACCCCGCCCCGCCCGCGCGAGCAGGCGCTGTTGCAGCCATGAGCGAGCCCACTCACCGACAAGCTCGTACACAAAGGGCTCGAGCGCTGCCTCGATCTCTGGTGTGTATGCTTCTGCGACGATGTTCAAGTGGAGGTTGCCTACAGTTTCGTATGAGCACCGCAGCATATAACCAACCTCAAGACAGCTTACCGTCTCCGACATGACCATACCCGACGACATACTTGACGGCCTTTTCATGCAGAACGCCTTGCTGCCGCAAGTGCTCCCTGGTCTTGTCGACGACTTCCTGGAACTTGTCGAGGGGAACCGAGATGTCGTACTTGTATGCCTTGCCCTCCTTCGACACCGCCTCGGTGAGGCCCTCCCGGATAGCCCAAAGTGCAGAGAACTGGGCAGGTGACGACGCCAGTACACCCGTGTTGATCAACGGCTCTTCAGCCTCCATGAGGCTCTCGAGCAGGTTGTTCAGTTTCTACTCGGGGTAAGCGATGTGATCGTGGTCGCTATTCCGGGAGACGCGCACCTCCTCGTCGTGCTCTCGCTTGCCACCGCTGGTCTCCACGAGAACGAAGCATGCGGCGCCCTCGACCTCCGAGGGGTCCAAAGCACGGCCCTGACCATGCTTCACAGCGAGGTCATAGACAGTCCTGTCCATGAACTCGAACGCGGACAGAATCTCGGACAGTTGGCGCTTCGTTTCCTTGTAAAGCGGCAGGACGTTCTCGAACTTCGGCAGGGCGAGCATGACGTTGTTGGACGCCTGAGGCGCGGGTGCGGCAAGGATCGAAACACCAGTGACGACACCGAGAGTACCCTCTGCGCCGATGAATAGTTGCTTCAGGTCATAGCCTGTGCAAGGGATATGTCAGTTCGGATGGTAACTGAGCATGTGACAGGACTGACCGGTATTGTCCTTTCGTAATGAGGTAAGCTGATCCAGGATGGTGCCATCGGGAAGCACGACTTCGAGGCCGAGGACAGAGCCGTGCAGCGACCCGTAGCGGAGTAGCCGAAGACCGCCGGCATTCGTGGAAACGTTTCCGCCTATTTGGCAGCTTTACACAGTCCTTCGTTAGCATGACCGTCGACGAAAATATCGACATACCCCTACCTGCCCTTCGCACCGAGGTCCAAAGGCACGATGTGATTGTGCGGTGTGAGGTAGTCTGACAGGGACTGCAGGATGCAGCCAGCATCCGCAACCAAGATGCCTGTAGCGGGCAGCTTGAATAAATGCAAGGAGCGGACATGCGATACTTCACTCACCTGAGACATCGTCAAATGACCGGACCTTGGTCATGTTGGAAAGACTGAGGACAAGCTCGTCCTTTATTGGGACGCCTCCACCGACAAGGCCGGTGTTCCCGCCCTGGGGGACGAGGCCTATCCGGCGCTGGTTGCACCACTTGACGATCTCGCTGACCTCCTGTGTGGTGCGGGGCTTGAGGACGGTCGTCGACTTGCCGTGGTACTTGTTCATCCAGTCATTGTTGAACGGCTCTAGCTCCGCGACGGGTGTCGCACTGGGAGATAGAGTGGAGAGGATGGCGGAGGAGGGCAGGATTTTGGCAAAGTGCGCCAGGTCCTCCTCGGTGACCGTGTTGAGGCCGCTGAGGGCCGCGGCGGGGGAGTGCGACCAGCGGCGGGGCGCAGCGCAGTACACACGCCGCGCGAGCTGGCGGGAGAGCATGCTGGTGGTGGTGGGGGTGTACGGTCAAGGGCGGGTGTAGCGGGAGAGGGAGCCTCCCGTGAGTCCGCTATAGCACACGATCGCACGTGACGGAGTATCGCGCGAACGCGACGCGTTTCTGCGGGCCGGCGCCATTTCGCGCTTGTAGCTTGCTGCCACTCTGCCGCGGTCGCTCCTCGGTACCAATGCGCTGACCTGCCCCGCCCTCTCGACCCTGCCCGTATACCCCTCCTCCTGGAGCCGTCGTCTCCTAGCCTCCCCAAGCCATGCCTGAGGTCATTGATGTCGATGCCATCCCCGACGACCCGGATCCGCCCTCAGACGACTCCGAAGTCGTCTTCACGGGCTTCAGGCGCGACGCCTTCAAGAGTAAGTTGCACAGCGACCAGCTCGACACAGACGGTGTCACGTACATTGGGTTCAAAGAAAGCCCTCTGCTTCCCGTGTGGAAGAACCCCCAACGTGCTACTCCGTCCGTCCCGACAACGACCGCCAACGTCCCACCTGTGAGTTTGTCATATTTCCCGCAGGCGTCACCGTTCATCTGAAAGCCAAACCACAAGGTTGCGGCCAATTCTCGCGCTGGTTCCGCGAAACGCGCGCCGTCCGCTTCGAAAGACGGACCTCCAGTCAAGCGCCACAAGCCATCCCCCAAGCCTTCCACAGCCAATCCCCACCTCAAACGACCCCACGCTGCGATACAGTCTAGCTCACGCATTGACGCAGACGTCATATCTATCAGTGACTCCGACTCCGAGCATGCGTCGGACTCGGACTGGAGCAGTGAGGACGAGCGGCCTAGAAAGGTACGTGCGCCGCGACTCTTCCACCGCTTAGTCTATAGGGTACCGTGAAGAATTGCTCCCTTTTTAACAGCTGTTTATTAACCGTGTTATTAACGTGTTAATCACTGTTAAAAAGTGGCGGGCATGAAAAGGCCTGTTAAAAAGCGTTAGAAATTGCAGGCGTATACATGCCGTTGCGGACGGTTGGGACGGTCTATCGGAGAGGTCAGATGCTTTCATGATGACTGAACAGCGTCGAGGACAACACGCACCGGGGGCCGCCGTCCGTGTAAAGCCCCGGTACACGTTGATCGCATGAAAATGTCTGGCCCAAAGTGGCACCCCTCTGCCTGAATGGACCATCCTGATCGTGTTCAGAAAATGACGAGAGAACCCTACACCGCTAGGACACCGTAGCTGACTAGTCTCTTCAGAGAATGGCATTTTCTAGGAATAGGCGACGACGCGACTTGGAAGATGACCCCGAAATCATAGCCCTAGCTCAGGGAATGGACGAAGTCATGGCCTTCGAGGCGTCGGCTGCGGAAAGGGCACTGCGGTCCCGCTCTCGTGAACGTCTTATATCGCGACAGGCGCAATCAAGCGTTATTGACTGGCCAGATGGCTTTCAGCCGTCACGAAGGCCCGGTCAATGGTCTGCAGTAAGAAGTGCTTTTTGCCGACGGACTACACTACCCTGACGCCATTTGCTTAGTGTCGGAATAGCATACGAACAAGCCTTCCCCGAACCAGACAATCGGCTTGGCAGAGGGACTTTTCTCATTGGATAGGTTTACGCCCCTCCGCGTCAATCTGGAGAGCTCCCGGCGGTCAGTGCGGTTCCCTCGCATCAATGACCCCGTGAGTAGGCACCTTACCCACCTCTCCGCCAGATATCAACACAATTGCACAAACTAGGGACATGATCGTCATGGCGAGCGCTGTCGCCGACGGAGCAGCAGAAGGTACGAATTGCGCACCGCTATTACTATCACCGTGCTTACAAGCAGCATAATAGATAATGCGGGACCATATAACCGTGACGGCGTTCTCGTCGTTTGGCCTAAACGGCACGATGGCTGGATGGATGACCAAGGTGTGTACAAAGTGAGAGGATGAACGGCAATTTCCTGACATGCAGATCACAGCGCAAACATTGGAAGCCCACAGTGAGATGTCTGCAGAGTCAGGTACGTAATCCTTTTCTTCCTACTGCGTCGTCTCAAATCTGAAGTGTGCGCTAGATAATCCTGCCAGACATCATTTCACCGTGAATGACATCGCTCTCGACCCGTCATGGTGCGCAAAATAATCACTTGAGATGCATCTTGAGTAAAGCAGCTCACATTGTGCTAGTCCCTCGTGTTTCGCATCCGCCGGCCGGGACAGGAAGGTGCTACGGTGGGAATGTGCGTCCGTACCAGAAGGCGAGCCGCCAGAGATGGTGGAACAAAGTATAACGTCTCATTCTTGTAAATGCAAACAAGGGCTGACGACCTTTCCGTGCAGTTGAGTGCGAGGACAACCCCGAGGTCATTATGTATCGTCCAGGAACCTCAACGTTAGCCATCCAGTGCGACAACGGGTACGAGCTTAGTCCGGATTCGCCGCCTATCCGTCGGCAAGATGCTGATTTTCAACTGTAGTTGTGTTTATCTACACGCGGATGGGTCTACCAGTAAATTTGAGATTGTGCGCGCCATTCGCGGCCACTTCACTGCGGGGATGGCGTGGGGCGCGCACGCTTCCAGTAACTATCTCTTCGCCTCCTCAGCATCCCCAACCGATGGGACTGGACACCACAAGATGTTCGACGTCGCCCACAACAAGCTGGTGGTCGAGTTCGACGCCAAGAGGGAAGCCTGCAGCACGCTCGCATTGGATGCTTCCGGCAAGTGTCCCCTTCCATCTCGCATCCCGCCCCTCCTTCCTAACACTCGAAACTTACACAGGCGAGCGGCTGTTCATAGCCACCGAAGGCCCCGAGACGACCTTCAACCTCCGCCAATTCGACGTGCGCGCCCGCCTGCGCAAGCCCGTGCAGACCGTCGCGCTCGAGCCGTTCGCAGACATCACAGACAAAGCCGCTATGGACATCAACTCGCTCTCGCTCAGCGCGGATGGGCTGTACCTCGCCGCGGGGCGCACGGACAACTGGGTCGACGTGTACGACGCGCGCGCGCTCGGGCGCGGGCCGCTGCACGCCTTCGCGCACGAGGAGAGCGACAAGCCGGACCGGCGCGCGATGTACGGGATCGTGAAGACGGAGTGGGTGGCCGGGGCGCCGTATGGCGTCGGGCTGGTGAGCGGGGGCGCGGACGGTATGGCTGGTCTTGTGTGTGGAGAGTAGGCTTTGGGTGCTGACTTGTATGGATGTGCAGGCTGTGTCAGGCTGTGGGACGTGCGGCGGTCGTCGGACGATCCTCATAATGGGACTGTGCTCGTCAAGTGCGACAACGACGTGAGCACGTTCGCGTTGGGCGACGTGTACAAGGGCGAGGCGCCGCTCATCGTGTACGTCGGTTCACTTGAAGATTCTGTGCTGAAATACTCACGGGCTGTATCCAGAGGCGTGTGTTCCGGGAAGGTGACCGTCCTCGAACACACCAATGCTCCATATTGGGAATGACTCTACACGTACTATATCTTCATGATTGGGTTACCCGGGGACTCGGCGAGGAGCCCTCGCGACATTTGTAGCAATGCTCGAGGGTGGACATGGTATCATCTGTATCAATGCTTTCATGACCGCACAAACAAGCACACATTAGCATACAGTGCCAGTCCACAGGCCGACTATAATAATGAAAGCGAGAACGTCGTATACAATGTACGAATACAGAGAGTAGCATAACATAACACTAGCCTAACAGAGCCGCAAAGCAAAGCAAGTCAGAAAGTCCCTCCACCGCCCCACCCCCACCAACGCCCGCGTCACCGCCCGACACGCACCAGGCTCTCGAGCTCCGAGAACAACAACGCGTCCAAGAGGTCGGGGTGCATCATCAGCCCGAGCGTGATGTCCTCCTGGTACCCGCTCAGCATGCCCATCCCACGTTCAACACGCGAGTCGCCCTGCTCCCCATAGCCCATCCCAAATGCAAGCGTCGGCGCGGCCGCCACGCTGCCCGCGTCGAAGGAATCCTCCGCGTCATCGACGACCTTTAGCGCCTCGACCGCGCGGCGCACAGAGATCGCGAAGTGGTGGCGCAGCTCCGGCGGGGCGTGCACCGTGAACTTCTTAACGAGGCGCATCATGACCTGCGCGAACCCGAGCGCGCGATCGCGCTTGGCGCGCTCCTTCACCGCTGGGGGCGCGAGGAACGCGAGTGAGTAGAGCGACATGATCAGGCGCTCGATGTACGAGAGCCACACGTCGCGCATGATGACCTGGAAGTCATTGTCCGCGACCGGTAGCCGGTGCACGATCGCCTCGAGCAGCGCCCACTGCCAAGACTGTGGGACCGCTTTGGACACGGCCTGGCGGTTGTCGTCTGGGAGCGTGAAGCGGGAGAACGTGTCGAGCGCCATGTCGGCGAGCGCGGGAGGTTTAGGCTGGTGCACCGCGGGAGGGATGCCCGTTTGAAGGATCCACTGGAATGGTGAGATCGCCTCGGTGACGTCTACGAGGTACGAGGCGATGACCTCGTATGCTCGGCGCACAGTGAGCAGCTGCTCTTTAGACGGGGACGTTGGCGAGAGGTGGATGTTGGGGGAGATGTTGAGCAGAAGGTACATGACGTCCTTGCGTATGCTGAGCAGGTCAGCAAGGGAGAGCGCGGGAGCGAGTGGCAGTGGAGAGGCGTGCTTGGAGGCGGGGGCAAGTGCGCACATGCGCAACAAGACAGGCAGCAGCTTCTCGTGTTTCGCGAGGTATTCCTGATTCTCGCTAGCGATGGAGAGGTTACGGATGATGTTTAGGACGACAAGGATGGTCTCCGCCGGACGATGTCGAGGTCCGTTGTCGGGGTCTCTCGCTCCCTGCTCGCGTGCGAGAGCCGCAAAAGGTTTTGACCCGTCCTCTACGAGCGAGTTCACAAGCTCCCTGTGTGTGACGATCGGCGAGTCGTCGGGGTAGCCTTCGTCCTCTGCGCCGTCAAAGGCGAGATCCTCCATCAGGTCTACCATTTCGTCCAGCAGTTCAGGCGCCTGAGCAATGGGGAACCCGCCACCTTGGTTCGAGCCGCGCATGAGGGTGAGGAGGGTGAAGGTGGTGAGCGCGTACGACATCTCGGTCGACACGCGGGAGCGCAGCGAAAGCGTGACAGCTTCGAGGTCAACTTGGCCCCATTCCTCTATGCGCCGCACACCCTTGACCCCCATCCGTGATAGTTCGCTCTGAATGAGCTCAAGGTCCCGCCCGCCCGCGGTGTCTACCTCGCGAGCGAAAGGAACGTACTCGATCTTTCGTCGTGATGGTTGACGGATAGTACGCGTGACCACAGGAGCAACTGGGGCTTCGACAGCCGGAGGCGCGACAGACTGTAGCGTACATGAGTTTATCATCCCAAGATGGATGCACATTGTGTACTCACGGAACGCGACTCCGATACGTCCGACCCACCTGAACGGGTGATCAGCGACGCCAAAGTCCCATAGGTGTACACACGCACCTGTCTTCTGCCGTACGCGCTTCGCGTCCGACTCGACTGCCTCCTGCATCTTGCGTTTCCGGCTTTCCATATCGTGTTCCAGCTCCACGTTCCCGTTCTGCCCGCCAGGCATCGCAGGGAACCCACCTGGCAGCATTTTCCCCATGTTACCGTTCATCGCCGGATGGGAGGCCCCGTTCGCAGGCATGCCGCCGCCTAGCGCCATCGGGTTAGGTGGTTGGAAGGGGAGGGGCATCGCCTGCGTAGGATGGAACTGACCAGGTAGAGGGCCGTCCATACTTTGACCAATGTTGCCTTGGGGCATCATGTTCATCCCGGGCGCGCCACCGTTGGGGAGGCCGTTCTGTCCAGACATGCCGGGCATTCCACCTTGACGCGCCTGCGGGTTCATCTGTCCTGGCTGCCCGCCGGGCATGCGCCCAGCGAGAGCTGCTCGCTGTGACTGCTCCATCATGTTCTTGCGGTACGCTTCCTCAAACGGACCAAGCAGCGCGGTGTAGTACCGCTCGATGATAGGCGCAGTGGGCTGCGGCTCCACAGGATTGTTGGGGGAGGGTATCGCGTCCGGTAGGTCGAATTGCTGGAGGACAAGTGGCCAGGCGCCCTTCTGCGACACCTGGTGTGCGCGCGGGGTTGGAGGAGGGGTAGGAAGGATCAAAGAAGGGAGAAACGCACCTTCTGGCCGCCGCCTGCCTGTAGGATGAGCCCCCAAAGTTTATATAGATCGACGTCCTTCCCGGCGAGCCGCACGACGCCGATGTCGTTAGTAGAGACCTCGAGGGACTTCCAGGGCATGTTGGCCGGGTCATAATTGGATGGGAACGGAACGCCGGTGAGCATTGGTGGGAGGGGCGTGCCGCGCTGGACCATGAGGGTCGCAAGACCATTGAGCCAGTTGCGTTTGCGCTGGATATGAACCATCTGCTGCTGGACAGCAGGGTTCTGCTGCGCCTGGGCAGGCTGGGGCGCGGTGAGCCATGAGGCGGACGCTGGGGGAGGGAGGGAGGAGGACGTACGTTCATGCCGGGCGGGATGGGCGCCTGAGGATCGGGATGGGGGAGGGGATGGAAGGAGGAGCTGTCATGCGGCGCGTCTGGGCGGGAAAGGGGGTTCGACATTCCTCCGAAATAAGACGCCGAGGTTCCGCCTGGCGCAGAGCGGTTCGCGGCTTTCGCGAGACTCGTGGCCTGGAGAGCGGCCATCTGCTTTGCCGTGAACGGGTCGAGATTGAACGTCAGGTTGCCATTCGTCGGGTCTGATATCGATGGCGGGAAGGCGGGGGCGATGTTGGGGTGGTTGTGCTGCCTGGGAGCGGCCACGATAAGCGGCGCGGTGGGCGGGATGGCTGGGGACGTACATGGTTCCTTTGCGCACGGCGGCCTGTCCTTCTCCGTCGTCCGAGTCCGAGAGCTCACCGGGTTCTTGACGCTGCTCGCGATTCGCTCGACGGCCTCCAACAGCCTCCAACCCACCGTCACCGCCCCCCGACTGTCACACCCTGTCACGCCCCCCAATTGGGCCTGATCGGACCCACCCATCTTCCAAGCGCCCGTCCTCCAGATCGCTTATAGGCGCGCGCACCTCCTGCTCTCTCGCGTTTTTTCCTCCCTCTCCCATGCCATGCCCGCCTCGGAAATAGACGACATTTTTGCTTCCAAGGGCAGATCCTCGGCCGCAGCACCCGCAGCATCCTCCTCGTCTTCTCAGGCTCCTGAGAAGAAGAAAAAGAAAAAGGACAAGGACAAGTCCGCCAAGCGCAAACGCGACGTAGATCCGGACGTGGAGGAGGCTGCTCCGTCCAAACCCCCGAAGCGCAAGATCCCAGAGACAGTCTTCGACCCTTCGGCCGCTATTGGTGCTCCTGCCGCCAAGGAGGGAAGGCCGCGCAAGACTACCGCGACAGTAGTAAAGGCGCAGAAGCCTAAGAAGGACCGGGAGGAGGACGGTCGGTTCAAGGACTCCCGGGGCACAGGTCCTCGTAAGTACACATCTCTTCACCTGTCGGACACGATCTCACTCGGGACACAGGTCGAAAAACTGAGGAGGGTTTTTCTATTTTCAAGGAAGACGAGCTTGGTATCACAGATCAAGGCGGCGGTAAATATCGGGGCAATTGATGTGCAGTCTCTTTCTAATATTTTCCACAGACACACCGCTCTGCCCTTTCGACTGCCAATGTTGTAAGTGCTGTGTCTGCTACGATTTGAACCTGTTCTGATGCGTCTGTGCTTAGGTTTCTGACTTTCTGACATGTATCGATATCTCACCCTGCTGTAGCATATGGAAGATACCCCGCTCCGTCCGTTGTTTGCTCTCCTGACTCATATTCGGCTCTTTCGAAGCCTCGTCTACCGCTTCGGCAATGGTTGTGCGAGGTCAATATGTAGCCCAGAGCGATCTCATATTGCTTCCCGCTAATGAAGTCGCGTCGTTGCAACATCCAATTGACGACGTGCTACACTCAGGGAAGAACAATCCTCACCAATGCTTCCTTCGTAGCACAGGTATGTCATTCGTGATCGTTGCTGAAGGCGTTACTCATACCTGTCCTAGATCTATGTACATATGCTCTGGTGTCAATGAAGACTGTTGGCGGCTTTCCGACGTTCTTGTGTATCGTCAGGCTCTTTCGAAGCCTCGCCTACCTATCTTCGTGGTTGTGCGGGGTCAATTTGTAGCCAAGATCGACCTTTTCCGCTCAGCTTCTATTCATCGAGTCACCTACTCGTGGATGTGTTGATGCGCTCAAGCGCATGCGGTAGACATTTCCGCAAGTTTCCAAGTTAGTGTATATCACCGACAAGCATCGTTGGCGGTAAGCGTCATAAACGCAAACTACGTCCGCGACGCCGGGGGACGCGATCGCGACGTCGGAGCAGAGCATGACACGGGTTAGGTGGTACGCTGCCACTGACATAATCTGTCATCTCATTTTATACTATGTCTCTCCTCCTTGCCCCCATCCGAAAGCGCGTCGCGCTGCTGGTACCCCAATATCCGTTTCCGCGGGCGCGTGACACCAATTGTTCTGACCATATGCCGGTATGTACTACTGCTTCCTTGGAACCCATCTTTGAGGCAGCTTACGGTTTGCAAATCTCAGGGGACTTTGCTGTTTATGGCTGCGGACATTCAGATGAAATGCCCCGCCTGGCCTTCCGTCATCATACATCGACAGCCTGAGCCTACCATGAAACACGTATTCCACCACGACATTGAATCATTTCTTTGGCTTTTCCTTTATGCCTTGTCGTATCGCGTCGACGGTCTTTGGAAAGCGGATCCTGAAGAGACCGTTACTACCATCGAAGGACCCGGCGGGCCACTTCGACCGCACACGCTTCTGGAAAACCCGAGCACTCTTCGAAGGTGACATGCCCCGACGCAGATTCGTTACCGACCACTGGTCCTGCACCCTGGACTGGGTCAAAGCATTGCCCAATGGCAACAGTACGCTATCGGGCCGCCCACTGCTTGTAGCCTGGTGTGCTCACCGAATGGTATTACAATCCGCCTCTCTATCCCCTTCATCGGCACCTCAGCCTGAGGAGATAGATGACTTGGTGGACTCGTTGTACTGGTTCTTCCATGCTGGTCTTTCCTCTCACGCCAAATCGATTCAAGATCTACGAGATGGCAAGGGAAGACTTGTGGAGGTTGTGGAGGTCAAATTGGAGGACAACGAGCATGTCACTGACGGTGAGTGTCATGTCGACTCGGGAACTTGCAGTGGCTGACTCCAGATCTTTTAGAAGTCTTGTAACTTGCATATCGATATCATTGTTGTGCTTCCTGCGTCCAGTTCGAGCCCATTGAGCTTCTAACAGTCCTGCTGGCTGCCAAGGTATCCTCCGCCGTCACTCTTGCTACGACTGCGCGAGGTCAAATAGCAGCTAACATCATCGTCTTGTTGACGGTCCTGGGATTCAAAGAGGTGTCTGCGCCGTTTATCACCTTGTAGGCACATCCTTGGCATCCTAGGGTAGATTTCACCTTCCTGTCATGTTATCCCCTACCGTTTCTCGTAGTAATGCTATGCCTGGCAGCGTGCACGATGCATGATGAGCTGCCTGATTGCATGGCGCAAGCCTGTCGACGAACTCCGCAGCGTGGCGTCAAGAATCAGACGCTTCCCTCGATATGACAGGATCTGGATGGCAAACGGACGCGCAGCGAGCATCTCTACGAAACAACCGATCTGCACCGGTGTGTTCGATGTAGAGAGGAATGGACGGCGTCGATGCGGCCACGGCCAGCGCTGTGCTCATCTCGCGCGCGGCTACCGTTCGATCTTCCGTCAGGCAGGCGCAGCGGGCGATGCGATGGATCCATCCACTGCGCTTGCCACTCCGCGCCCAACCATGCGCCCCGCACCACTCCCTCCTCTTAACACCAGCCTGCGCTCCTCTCAGTAACCCGCCGCCCGTGCCTTCTCTGCATCTCCGCATCGTCCCCGATTCACCGACCCCGGCATATCCGCTTGGGCCCTCGCAAGACCCGAATTCCGACCACGAGCGCGAACGTGAACGCAATGTCCGGGCCAGACCTCCCCCCGACGTACACCCAGCAGCCGTCCGAGTCCGACGCGCCGCTGTCCTCTGACAGCTCCGACATCAGCTTCGTCTCCGCGCCCGACGCGCCCAGCGGCCCCGTCGCGGGCACGGGGGTAGACGGTGGTCCGCAAATCCTCATCGTGCCCACCGCGAACGGCGTGCACTTCCAGAAGGGCTTCCTCGGCGCGGACGGCGAGCGCGCTGCGATAGAGGGTGAGCTCCAGATCAAGAGCGCGGACGCGTCCTTCAGGTGCCGCAAAGTGTGAGTCTACCTCCCTATCCTCTCCACGTCCCCTTCCTAGAGCGCCGTGTGTGAGCGTGACTAATTATCGAATGTGCCGGTGAATAATCAGGACAGTCTCGTTGCGAACGCTTGAGCAGGCGCACGGCCGCGAGATCGAGCTCGCACACACGGACGTCGAGCTTGTTAGCTCTCCAGGTCCTGAAGGTCCGCAACGCTCGAGCTTCCCGTTCTCAATACCCCTCCCGTCGGACACGCCGCAGTGCGTGCACACGCTGCGGTCCTCGCTCACGCACACGCTCTCCGCGACGATCTGGCCGCTCGACGAGGACGCGCTCCCCCTGTCCCGGGCGTTCGTCGTGCACACGCGCAGGTACACCTCGCACACGCATGTGCTATACCCCGTGCCGGAGACGCGAGTGCTCGCGGAGCCGAGTAGAGTGGAGGTGCAGATCCCGCGCACAACGTTCAAGGCGGGAGAGGCTATTCCTATCTATGTCACCGTGCCGACGCCATCGCCGGACCTTGTCCTAGAGCAGGGCCTGCGCCTGCGGAATCTCAGGGCTGAGTTGGTGCGGAACATCGACATCAAGAAGCCGGAGACAGATGACGAGGAACACAGCGACTGGGAGATATCCTCAGAGTCTGAAGGCGAGGACCCTCCGCTCTCACCCCAGAAGATGGCAGCAGTGCCCTCAAGTTCCCGAGAGGGCGTAGACTTCATTTCAAGGGTAGGAGAGCACGGCGAGCGCAAGGTCGTGGCCCACTCAGGTGCATCATGTCGACTACACCCGTCCCAACCCATCCGCGTCCGCCTCGTCCTTCACCCACCTGCACAAACGCCCTTCCCCGATTCCTTGGACGAGGTCTCATCGGAAGACCTCCTCTCGTTCAACCCTGATGCAGACTGCGCCACAATCACGCAATCCACCCTGCTGCACTCGGTCTCGTTCCGCCTCCTCGTCCACGCCACCTTCATGAAGATGTCCAGCCACACTGAGCGCGTGTCCACCCTTTCCTTCCCGCTGCACATCCTCGCGCCCAACGCCCCGCTCCCGGAAGTTGAGTCGTCCATCGACGAGGCTTATCACAAGAAACACGACCGGCCACCCACCCGGACCGTGCGCCAGGACGATGCGGAGGTCCCCCAGTACGAGGCTGGGCCTAGCGCGATCGCTGGCGCGCCACCACCGTTCGAAGAGCGCGAGGCGCCACCACCGTTCTGGTCCACCGAGGCTGAGGCCGAGGCATCGACCTCCACGCGCCTACCAACGTTCCTCGAGTCCGAGCACGAGATCTACGTGCCGCCCACGGACGACCCCGAGCTCGCGCCTCCGCCGCCAGCAGATGGCGCGGCGCAGTTCGACGGTGAGGGCACCCTCTTCGGCTTCGCGCCCGCGGAGCAGTTCGACGGATACGGAGATGTGCTTCAGCCGCGCGCGTTCACGCCACCGCCGACGCTCGAGATGGCCACGCGCGACACAGACGTAACCGTGCTCGCGAACCTGGACGACAGCGCGATGGAGGCGCTCGGGCGCGCCTTAGAGCAGCACACCCTCGTGGGCGCCGCGGACGCCCCCACCAGGGCCGGCGACGACGCAGACGAACTCTTGCCCCCACCCCGCCCCCCATGGATGATCCGTCAGACCCTCCGCCCTCGATCGACTCGTCCGAGTTCCGCGCACCAGGGGCGGCGCACGACAGCCCGCCGACGCTCCCCGCGCGCGCGCAGAGCCCGCACACGAGCTTCGGGCAGCTCACGGATGCGCCCGTGCACGGTGTGCTGTCCGCGCACCACGACGAGGAGGGCGAGGCGCACGGGCACGCGCCGCCGCCGTACCGCGTGCCGGACCTCGAGAGCGAGCACGAGCGCGTCGCGCACCCGCCGCCGTACATGGACCTCGTCCACGGACCTGCTAGATGATCTTCCCGCTTTGCTTTCGCCTCGCGTTGGTGTGTTGCGCCGCGCACCACGACTGTCTTCATAGAGCCACCATAGCCACCACGATCCTGTCTTTGTCTCGCTAGCATTAAGACAAACATGAGCTTCCCGTACTTGTATCGACTCGAGCAAATATGTATACATGCATCTGTACAGAGATAACAATCCTGAATTTCACGCACTTATTGTTGTGAGAAACGAATGCTCGGCAGTGTACATCGAGGGCAGCAAGTTTTCCGCACGATCGAATTCTTGGTAGCAGAGGTTGCCGGGGTGTTCCAGATGTGTAGACAACATCAATATATGATATGTCAGTCCAATACCACTCCAATACGACAGCAAATACATGTACGAGAAAGGGGCATATAGATGAAACAAAGCGCGAAGGGGAAAGAGGTAAGTACGATAAGAAGACATTAAGCTCGTGACGGGTGAGGGAATCGTGTATGGAAGGACGCAGCATGTTCAGCAATTGCACGCATCCTTGCCCTTCGCGCTGTTCTCCTCGAGGTTGACCCCGCCCTCCTGAGCCGCACGACCAGATGCCGCACCGGGGCGGCCGGCGCCGCCGCGGGTTGAGGCCAGGATCTGGTCAATGGGGATCTTCTTGGCTGAATGAGGAGCATCCTTGGTTAGCGCAGCACTTCGAGACGGCTGCTGCGGCACTACTCACCAATTTCGGTGAAAATCTCTACAACACCGTCGCCAGTCTTCGCCGACGTCTCGAAGAAGAGCAGGCCAGCCTCCTGTGCGTACGCCTCGGCCTCGTCCCTGGGCACCTGCCTGAGGCTCTCAGGCTCGCCGGAAGTAGCGGTCTCGCCGGGGGTGGCCGTCGCATCGTCAGCCTCGTCTTCGGACTCCGCCGTGGTAGATGAGGAGGATGAGGCAGAGGGGGTAACGAGATCAATCTTGTTCCCAGCGAGGGCGATGACGATGTTGGGGTTCGCTTGCCGCTGGAGCTCCTTTACCCACGTCTTCGCCTTCTCGAGACTGGACGCCTTCGTTACGTCGTAGACCACCACTGCTGCTTGAGCGTTGCGGTAGTACATGGGCTGCATAGTGTAGGCACCGATAAGTAATGGGAGCCACCCGATAGGGCATGGTGGCACGTACCGCGAGGGAGTGGAATCGCTCCTGGCCGGCCGTATCCCAGATTTCATATCGCAGAACGCGGTCCTCGAGACGGCACTTCTGCGTCAAGAAGGCAGCTCCAATGGTGGGTTCCTTGTTGGGCTGGAACTCGTTCGAGACCTGCGGCAAAACGTCACGGAAGAGCCACGAAAGATGTGTGGAGATTACGCACGAATCGCAGCACGATTGAGGACTTCCCGACAGCTGCCTCACCTATAGATGTGCATACTGGTTAGTATGACGGACAAACAGACACAAATTTTCGACTGAGACAGGCTCGACAGAAATCCAGCGAGCGGCGTGTCGACGAGAGACCAGAGAGATGCGGGAAGAGCTGTGGGGACGCCAGACGCCGCAGAAAGGGCAGAGGGGCTCACCTAGCAGCACCAGCTTGACCTGGACAGACCTTTCGGTCGAACCTGAAGCAGCGTCGGCCATGTCTATGTCGAGTGGAAAATACAATACACGGAGGTCAGGGAGTGGATGATGGCGTAACGAGGAACAGCGCACACCGCCGCCGCACAACGCTCACGGCCCTTGTTTGTCCGTATTCCGGCGCCTCTCATCACCTGCCCGGCGGTCCCGGCCACTTGTCCCCTGGCTGCGCACTCCGCCCGCATTTTCACTGTCGCTCGCGGAAATGACTGTTCTACTTCCGGCTTGGACCATACAGCAGTATCTCGTAAAACGGCTCCAACACATCGCAGGTCACGAACAAATCGTCCTCGAGCTCCGTCTCCTTCGCGAACTGGAACACCCCCGGGCACTCGAATGGGATAGGCTCCGAGCTAACCTCATCCAAGACGTGTCCCATCGCTCCCTGAGCGACTCCAGCAAAGTCCGCAGCCAGCGCTTGTGTAGCGTTCGCAGCACCTCCTGCGAGCAAGTCTCTTGCGGCGCTGCGGTGCTTCTTCACCTTCGCCGCCTTCGCACTGGCGGGTGAGTTGGACAGCGCGCTGCTCTGGTCGTAGAACCAGAACGGTTGGCTCGCAAAGTCACTCTCCTGCTTCTGGAGAAAGGCCGCGTACTTGCCCTTCGGGTCGCCGTATGCAGCTGCGACCGCCGCGACGTGCGGAAAGACGTCAGAGATGTCCTCGTCGTCCGGGTCGAGACCCATGACATAGTCAAGTGCGGTCTGGATCGTCGCCCCGTACTTGGACTTGGCTGTCCAGAAGTTCATGCCCAGTTGGTCACCCAGTTTCGCATTGGTCTGTAACACGGTATGAGCATGGCTAAGAGATGACAACGGCTAAGACGGCTTACGATCATGGCTTCCAGGTTGAAGCAGCGGTAGTGGTACGGCCGAGTACGCACCGCCTCGAACGGCTGCTCGCCGGACGCAGCTATCTGGTCCAAGAACTGGTCGGTGAAGTAGCTCTTGAGTGCCCCTTGAGCGCCTTGCGTGTCGCCAACGTACATCTTGGCTGCCGCCAGCTGGTTCACATAGAAGGTGTAGTGGTTACTGTATAATCATATGTTAGCAGACACACGATGAGCGTGTCGTGAATGTCACTCACTTCCCCTTAGACGCTACCTGCTGTCCGAGCGAGCTGTTCTCGAGCCACGAGACGTAGCTCTTCATCCAAGCAGTCATCGCCTTGTCCCTCGCAGCGGTCCAGTCAGGGCTCGCAGCGACCTTCAAGATCTGGATGGCGTTCACCACCTTCACGAGGCCGCGCAGATCGAGGACGCCCGTGAACGTTCCAATTTGCTGGTCCTTCCCGGGGCCGCGCACTTGCTGGCCGTAGTTCATGTTCGGGTTCATCGCCGTCGCGGGAGTGAGAAACCACGCGTCGATGAACTTGGCGACGTTCTGCGAGTATACCCGCGTCTTCTGTATGCCGTACGCAACACCGTTATACAGCACCGACTGGGTCATCGCGACGACCGCTGGGGAGTCGGGGATCGTTCGGACGTCTGGGTTTACCTGGCCGTCACGAACTACGTACGGACATGTCGTCCAGGCTGCACAGCGTCAGTTCAGCTATACAGAATTGGTGAAGGAGTAGTACGCACTCGCTGAAGGCGCCAGGGACTTCGTCGGGGACGGTGTGCACTTGGCTTGCGTAGTCTTCGCAGCGGCTTGAGCGGGCGCGGGGGTACCGTTGAGGGTCTTTACAGAAGACTTCGTAGCCGTACCCGTTGGGAGGCCATTAGGATTAGGAGGGATTGTCGGGACCGGAGGCAGGCCGTCCGTTGGCAGGGGCAGATCCCCAAGACCGTTGATGGTGGCCGAAGGGCTCTCGCTGTCCTGCCGACGAACCGGCGCACTTTGTGGGGGCTCGCGGGGCGAGTCATCGCGTTTCCGGCGCATCATCCGGCGATGCGCAGGTCGATGCGAGAAGCTGTGACCAGATGACTGCCGACGTAGCAGCGCGATGTTGTTCAAGGCAGATATGTCCAAGGCCGAGTCGTCGCCGCCGTTCTCGTAAGGGTCATTACTGACATCCCCAGGGTCGTCGTCGTCACCGCCTGAAGTAGTGCTATTGCCGCCCTGGTTCGGACCCCCGAGGTGGTTGGTCCCCTTTGAGCACCAGTTGCAGTTCGGCCAGTGGCTGCTGGATGTCAGCCGCATTCCACCTCCGCAAACAGGACACTCACTACGGCGCCCAACTGAGGTAATCGTGTATATTCCCGCTCGGCGGCACAATGCTGTTGTTGGTCACGATGTCTAAAAGTTTCACGGTGAGCTGGGCCATGCAACACGAGCGGGGGAGGTAGCTTACTCCATGGTCCACTTTTCGCCGTAGACCCGGCCTTGTTGATGATACTCTGCTTGGCTGCACCGGTGTTCCCTGCACTAGCCTGCTGAAGTACGTAGTTTACGCTGACCCAGTCGTTAGGGTCCGCTGTAATAGAGGGTCGTCAGCATACAGCTTATTAAACCCGTGAGCTCAAGTATATGGCTACTCACCGGCAACTAGACCAGCTGTTGCCGACAGGACCAAGACGAGAAGCGTACTTTGCGCCACGCAAGACTGTTGCATGTTAGAATAGGAACGGCAAATAGAAGTGAGGCAGCGTTCTAAGAAAAAGACTAGCACAGCAGCAGAAGTAAAGCCCGGCTTTAGGAGAAAATGAGGGGAGGGGGGAGGACGGGAGGAAGAGAAGGGTGATGCCCGCACAAAATGAGAGAGGTATCTAGGTGTATGCGGCGAGGCTGACGAGGAGCCAACCGTCAGCCAAACTCGGGCTAACAGCGAACGGCTAGTACGGCTACGACTGCCGCTTGAATGTCTGTAGGAGCATTCAAAATACAACCGGCCGCGGCGCGTAGTTCTACGCTCGGGACCCCTTTTAGCAAACCAAGGTGCATCCTGGAGGTTTAGGGTCAATATAAAGGGCGTTCGTGAGCAACAGTAGACGTACCGATACTTATGCCAGTGCTCAGCATGTTGCGCTGGCACTTGTTCTCCAAGATGTACCTTGAGCAGCAGCAATTCTGCAATTCTTAGCCTTACGGAAGGGCGTAGCGCACACCGACCCGTGTGTAGAATCCAGATTGATCAAGACCATAGTGTAGACTGAAAACGATGGTGATGTGCCATATTGAAGAGCTATGGTCAACGTGTAACGGTACAGGGCTCGGATAGGTCGGATGCGCACGATGGTGGTTACGCTAGCTTCAGATCGACACCAATGCGTATTTTGGCGCCACTACGGCTGCACAGCCACATCGGCAGCGCTATCCAGACGATCGGTGCAGTCTGGTTGCAGTCTCCCCGCATCCATCATCTACATTGACTGATACGCCGAATAATCTCTGCGGACTTACTCTCAATATGGAGAGGCTTTCTGACAACCCCGAACTTGCGCAAGATGTCTTACAACTATTGCATCAAAGGCTACAGCAAGAGCGTCAAGAACACCAGAGGCTCCTCAAAATTCGAGTAAGCGCTGTCGATCGATGCGAGAGTCGAGCCCAACTCGAGTCGGTTCGAACGACTCGCTACCATACGCCTTCGAGCTGACCTAGTACTCGGCACCACTTTTGATATCCAGTCGACCTCCGGAGTCCCTCTCGTCGATAGCTCAGCGATACGTGCTGAGAACGAGAAGTTGAGGGACGAGCTCGTCTCACTACGCCTACGGATCTCGGCAGCCGTTGACAACGAAGACACGAAGGGCCCCCGTACCTTGGTGTGTTTGATATCACCTGATTTAATTATATAGATGTCACTGGTATCTACTTGCAGGCTACGAAAGAACGTTGGGCTTCCGCGGACCAGAAACAATCCGATCGCGCAAGCCGAGCTTCTACTTTTCCGAGTATTCTGTGCTGACGCCTGGAATGCCTTCAGAATGCACACTCGATCGGACTTCAGTCGAAGCTGGATAAATACAACGAGAAGTCAGAGGGACTCAAGGCAGAAATTGCCGAGTTGCAGGAGGTAGTAGATGATATTTACATCACAAGGGCCACCGTAACGCTGACGCACACACGCAAGATCTTGTCTACTCTGAAGATGGATCTTAAACAAGAGGAGGAAGCACTTCAAGAATCGCGGGCGCATATCATCGCTTTTAGAGAAAGCGCGGTGAGTTCGAAGTGTACGTTTCGTTTCGCGCTCGTTGATTATTGTGAGTTAGAGAGAGCACCCAGATCGCGTCGAAGACGCCACAGCACGTATGTTCAAGCCGACGTCCTTTCTTTCGGGTGCTCCGCAGAGGCCAGACCTCCCAAAGATCAGCGCACTCGCATGTTTCCTTAAATCTCGGCCATTCACCGTAGTGCCCGTGGTATGCAATCCTTCTCAAGTGGACTTTCGCCGACTCCCAAGTTGCTGATTGAAGCTACAGGAAATTTTGGACCAAATGTGAGGCCGGGTGTAGAATCCATATCCTCATGAAACACGCTTCTCACCATTTTGCTGACCCAGTAAACCCATCAACATCCTCATACTTCCCAACATGAAAGGGCTCGTCTGGTCAAAGGATGACATCAGCCGGGCCCTTTATATCACATACTCCTACCGATACACATCGTCTGCCGGTGCAGTTGATGGACAGTGGGAGAGCGACAGCTTCGCGGACGACATCGGCCGTATAAGCTACGATCGGGAGGTGTTCGTCCGACGGCAAGATACATGGTTTTATTATGGGACCTACCAATGCGTCGGCGATGCCCCGCTAGAAAATTGGGAGAATATAGAGGAGTGGAAGAGAGTACGTATCGCTCGAATTGGTCTCCGCCTTAAAACTATGTCCACTGAACGAAACCCACCAGGCAGTCAAGAAGGCGATAGGCGCGATGGACATCCTCAAGACCCACGCCCCACGGGCGATTCGCCGGTTTGCGAATTCACTGCACGCCAAGGACGGTCCCCTGCACTCCCTACGATGTCTGGGCCTCGAGCGCGTTGGGTTCCATCAAGAACTCTATGATCTCCTGCTCTCATCGAAGCAAGCAGTCATTTCTGCCAATCCCTAAACGCACGCCACCATAAGCACACCGAGCAAAAAGTCCCAGGGCGACAACAAGGATAAATGTGCACAGGAAACGGGCAATCTGGTCGATGGTTCCGGACCGGCAACAAAGCAGCAACTCTCGTGAGGTCAGCCATCCTACCTCTCGGGAGTCAGCACGATCGAATATTACACACAACACGATTCTCAGCCGGGGAGTAGGAAGAGTGTCCGCCTAGTGAAGACTCCTTATTATTTCAACTCCATATAAGTATATAGCATACACGCCATATGTATGCGGGTCGTCTACACGAAGGGCGAACCAGAGCTCGTTATTTCCATCATTATTGCTCATGGGAGGTTGGAGTAGAGTCTCCCTACTCGCGACATCTGTTTGCCGATCCATTTTCTCCTTCGTCTGGATATATACAGGCGGCGCTCCACAACTGTCCACAGCAGTAATGCAAAGTATCCGGTCATGGTATTGCACTGTAGCTCAGCACTGGGTGGAAGGTGGCAATGACATCGCAAGCGCCGAACACACAACTCGCGCAACGGCAAAACAGCTCGAGTCTCATTCAACGACGAGACCCGACACATACGAGAGCAATACGACGTGCGTGCGATACGGAATAAGGTACGAGTCTGGAAAAGGGGAAAGCGATTAATGCAGTCCGTCCACGAACGTCCGCAGTCAAGTAGCAAGTAGCAAGCAGCTAGCGGTAGGTACTCTTACAACAGCCGTACAAGCGTGGCCACACAGCGGGTCCTCCACACGCGCCCAGAGTCTCAGGGTCTGAATCTATCACGTCTCCCTAGGGCCGGGGCCAGGGTCTGGCGGCTCCGGGTTCTCCGGATTCCACGTTGGGGGCGCGGGCATGCCCTCACATGTGCGCATGCGCGGCGCCGAGCACGAGCGGCGCTGCGGCGACGTCGGCGACGCCCCGCCCGCAACCGCGACCACAGACGACGCGCGCGACAGCATCGCGTGCCTGTCGGACGAGTGCGGCGTGCTCGCGTTCGACGACGGGTACTCGGGCGAGGGCAGGATGCGCGGCGAGCCGTACTGCACGTGCTGCGCGGGGCGGTACACGGAGTCCATGGACTGCACGGGCGAGGACACGACGGACGTCGAGCGCGAGACGTCGCGCGAGCGCGCGGACGACGCGGTGCGCACGCGCGACGGGCCCGCGAGGGTGTGCGGGTCGGGCGGCTCGGTCGAGGCGTAGCGCGAGATGCTGTTGCTGTAGGGACCGTCCGAGTCGCCGTGCGCGCGGTGCCGGTGCCGCCAGTTCGAGGACACGCTGACGGGGGACCACGCGCGGCGCGAGTTCTTCGGGCGGAGCGTGGTCCTGTCTTCGACCTCTGCGCGGTGGATGGACCGCCAGTTCTCGGGGTTCTGGAGCCATGCGTCGCGCTCGTGGCGCCGCGCGACCCGGCTGAAGCTGTGCATGGAGCATATCGAGATGATCACCCCTGCGCGACGCGGTCAGTATCGACAGGGCCGCATCCGGCGGTAGTATCAGCGACTCACAGTCCACCATGAGCCAGCTGTTAGCCCCGAGGAGGAGGTGCTGGGTGATGCCGAACCACATGACGATGGTGATCACCAAGAGAACCGCGGTGAGGAATGTTGTATAGAGCAACTGCGGCGATGCCGAACGTCAGTACTGCTCAATCGGTGTTCCTTCGTCGGTGTACTCACCTCGTTTCTGAGCATGGCACGGAAGAGCTCCGCACGGGGCACGTATCGAATGATACGGTCCATAACAGACGGCGGCGGCGGGGAGCTCGGTCGATCGGTATCCCGCGTCGTTGCGAGACGGAGCGACAGCGCGTTCGCACCGGATGCGGAGGAGATCCGCGGCTGAGGCATCCGCGGCTGAGGTATCGGCAAGTCGCCCGGAGTGGAAGGCTTCCGCTGGAAGACCGTGCTGGGCAGCACGGGCTCTCCCGTCCACCACTGCCGAAACCGGTTGGCAAGATCCTTCGGGGATGGAAGGGCGGGGCTCGGTGGTCCGAGCTCCCTCGATTTGTTCCCTTCGGAGCCGGGCACGTAGTCCCACCAGCCCCGGCGGGGTTCACTCGTAGGAGAATGGTCATCCTTGTCCTCCAGGTCGAGCGTGCTCGACTCGTCATCTTGCACGGTCAGCGAGAGCCGGGCGTGGTCTGCGGGGCTCCGGTATGACCTATATACCGCGTACAAAACTGCAACAAATTGAGCAAAGGATATCGTGAAACGCCAAAAGGCACTCACAGCAGACGCATACGAAGGCGGACTCGACGAACTGAAGCGCGACGGAGACAGGTAACAGCGTAGACTCATAGACGGTCTCGCACGTTCCTAGGTTCCTTCAGCATAGCCGCAAAGGGGGGACTCGAGTATATGTATGCTCACCTGTGAATCGCCTGCCACCCTTGTACTCGGCTAGTACGACCCCCGTGACAGCGACAATCGCAGCACGGATTAGGCCCAGAACCACGATAACGAACCCCGCGTTACTCAGACACTTGTACGCTTTCGTACCCAGGATGCCGGGGATCTAAACGGTAATCTGAGAGGTAATTCCGGGCCGTGTATACACCGAACATACCAGCAGAGTAGTGGACACGAGCACTCCGCTCTTCTTCACGATCCCAGTCCTGAATTGCGGACTAAATATGCGCACAATAACATCAAGAGCAACAGTCTACTCACAGAGTGCAGTCCAGGTCGCTGTCGAAGTCTGCCACGATGAAAAACAGCGAGGAGAATAGACCTATTGCCTGGCTTGCGAGGAGCATGTAAAAGAGCGACTTGTTCTTCACTTTCACGACCCTGCAATACGTGAAGGACTTGTAGGTGTTGATGAAGAAGAACATGCAGAGCGCGCCGCCCATGACAAGCCAGAACTCGGAGATGATGAGGTTGGGCATGAACACTGGACTGACGAGGGAGCCATCGGAGAGGGCGACGTAGGAGGGCGTAAAATTGGATATGGGGACGGTGTAGTAGTGGTTAAAGTCCCGGATCGTCACTGTTGTATGGATTACGACTTGAAGCACGTTGGGCGGACCGCTGGGAGAGGGAGTTGGACAAGATGTGGTGTGGTCGGATGCGGCATTGGCAGTCGTGCCGGGTCCGGTGGTCGTGGCGGTAGCAGAGGGTTCATGAGGCGTCGTAGGTGCAGGGCTGAGGGATGCCAAGGACTCTGTTCCGGAGACACGACCCGTGAAGATCGAGTTCGGGCCTGGACCCACACTCATGGCCGTCGAAGGAGAATGAGACAAGCCTCACCAGGAGGAGCGCATCTGACGAGTGTAAGAGGCAAGTGCAGGCGAGGTGACGGGGGGAGAAGGCAAGATGCGCCGGGGGCGGCGAGGGCGAGCTGCGTCGGGAACGGGAGTGGGGAAGAGGGAGGAGTGGTTGGGCCGATGTGGCCTTGGTTGGGAATGCCGAGCACCAGACGACGAAAGCCGGAGAGGGCGGGGCTGGCGTCAAACGTCTACGGGCCCATCGCTGCTTGGCGATGGACCTACCAACCACACCCACGCGACTTGCCCCTTCCTGGCATAATTAAGCCTGTCTTCGGCCCTGATTGCCTCTGACACCCGCATAGCCGACCCTCTGCATCCGTCCCAGGCCATGTGTCGCGAGTCAGACAAGCGTGCAAGCGTCCAGCGATGAATTCTGTCCCGGCGACACGACCGCGAACGATCGAACTTGTCGAACCGAGAGCAAAGAGGAGTCGACGGTGAGTGTGGGGAAGGCGGCTCAGCGGGCCGCGGCGAGAATGAGCACATATCCAGCCGATCGGCGTCGATTGCATCGGGCACGGCATTCCCCGCGTCCCCTCATCTTTTGCGCGATCACTTGGGTTGTCAACTTTTCCTACGCAAGTCCCTCGCGTACATTGCTCACATCCGCGCCCGTCGCCGAACCATCTCGCCTCGCTCCCCGCTCTCGCGCTCCCCTCGGTCTTGCAGATCCCCTCAATGTCCACATCACGACAGAGCCCTGTCATCGTCATCACTGGCACGCCCGGCACGGGAAAGACTACCCATGCCGAACTTCTTGCGCAGGAGTCCCCCATTCCCCTGAAACACATCAACGTGGGCGACTTGGTGAAAGAAAAGGGCTTCCACGAGTCGTATGACGAGGACTGGCAGAGCTATACCGTCGACGAGGACAAGGTGCGCCGCCCCACCCCCGCTGCTCACACGCGCACCGCGCTGATCAACACAGCTCGTTATCGTAGCTCCTCGATGAGCTCGAGCCGCTCGCTGCCGCCGGTGGCATCATTCTCGACTGGCACACCTGCGATATCTTCCCAGAGCGATGGGCGGATCTCGTAGTCGTCCTGCGCTGCAATCACACAGCCCTGTGGGACCGTCTGGAAAAGAGGTGAGAAACGGCCGCCCCGGAAGTGTGGAGCGCAGCTCATCCGCAGTGAATTATGTAGAGGCTATCCTCTCAAAAAGATCCAGGAAAACAACGAGGCGGAGATCATGGAGGTCGTCATCGAGGAGGCGCGGTCATCATACGCCCCGGAGATCGTCGTGGAACTCCAGAGCGAAGGCACAGAAGACCTCGAGTCGAACGTCGCACGGATAGTGCAATGGATCGAAGCGTGGAAGAAGGATCATGGGAACGCAGACGCGTAACATGCACAGCTTAGCAGAGCGATTAGGGTATGTATCATATACTTGTGATGTAGGACCAGACAGCAGATAACGCACAAAAAGCTCGACCTCGTCGAGAAGCATTGGTTTATGCCCTCACCCACATGCCCCTACGCTCCTCCGTGGGCATACCAGACAGATATTCTTGCTCGTTACGGATGCGCTTCGGCGTCTTCTTCTTGCCCTCCGCGATCCTGACCTTTTCGAAGTAGACGTAGCTGTGGGCCAAGTATCAGTCCAAGTCATCGCAGGTCAGCTAACAGCAAGGGGCTTACGCCGCGTAGTAGGTACCGTTGGACGCGCCGCCAGTGGGTCCGCTGGCTTTCACTGGACGAGTCGTCAGCATGGCACAAGCAAACGTGCAGGCATTGCTTACTGAAACGTTGGTACGAGTTATTGTTGATCTTCCCAATCGCCTCGAGCCAGTGCGTGACCTATGCAGCAAAATTAGCAAGATATAAAGCGGAGAGACGCGTTCGCGTTGGCACGACACCGTACCTTGAAACCAGACTCCTTCTGCAGAGCCTTGATCTTCCGACGAATGTCATTGCAGTCATCGCTAAAATGACAGTCAATACCCTTTGAAAACGCGCGCGACAAATCGCAAAGGTCAAGGACTCACTAGATCGGGAGCTCTCCCTATCAACGCAGACGCGTTCAGTCACACCATGACACGCGAGGCTACAAGAGGCTGCCGCTCACCTCCTCCTCTCCCTCCAGCTTGATCTCAAACCACTTCTTCTTGGGCTCGTCGGCCGCCTTGCCCTTCTTCGCTCCGGACGAGGAGCCCTCCCCGACGTCCGACTTCCGCGCCTTCTTCGCGGCCGGCTTGGCGACAGCAGGCGCGTAGTCATCCTCGGACTCGACCTCGGGCGCGTCGACGGTGACGTCGACGGGCTCGAGCACTTCAGACTTGCGCTTGGGGGGCATTTCAGTAATTCAAAGGAGGTAGTGTGATGTGTGGTACGGTCGAGAAGGAGAAAGGGCGAAAATGGCTGCAATGCTGGCGCCCCGGCTGCTCGCGAATCGCACCAAGCTCCAATGGGATAAGCGTGCAGGGTCGCGACCGAAATTGAGCGCCCGCGGTCGGTCAAGTGACCGCGTCGGACGCGTTACGTCACGCGTGTGGTGACAAGAACGTCCGCGCGAAATATCGGTGAACGACCGTTGCTGCTCTCCAACACATCCAAGGCAACGATCGGAGCTGCCTGCCGGGCATAAACATGACAAAAATCTGTACTCAAGATGTTCGAAATTGTGCGCAAGGTCTAGGAGGCCAGATGCCTTTCAAGGCCGTCATCACTCGCACGGCGGGTGTGAAGAAGTTACGACGATTGAATTATATGGAAGCTACCCACCACAACGGCAGCTTACACCATCCCCGAGCTTGACTGCGCAGAGGAAGAGGTCGTGTACAACCAGCCTCGGCACCGAGAGGTCGCCCGAGCACCCCGGGAGAAGTGCCACAACCCCATCCCCATCCAGCAACTCGCAACTCCCCGGACCTCTCACTCTGCCCGTCGCCCCCGAGCGAGTTCCCTTCTGAAGCCCGGGCCTCCCTCGGGGAAGATCTGCTCCCGCGGCAGGGGCGGCTCTGCGTCGCGCAGGGTGCCCCAAACCTCGTCCCGCACCCACGCGTCGTTCTGCGCAGCGATGCGGCGGAAGTAGGTCGCGCCGCCGTCGGTCGTGAACGCGAACTGCTGGTCGGTCGCGCCCGTGCCGTTGATGGCGTGCCGGAGCCCAGGCGCGTCGTCCATGCCGACGGTGCCCTGCGCGTGCTGGATGGAGAGGGTGGAGTGCGTGCCGTGCGCGAGGACGGGGGACTGCAGGACGCGGGTGTAGGTCTGGTTGATTGCGGAGCCATAGGCACCTGTGCAGATGTTGATATTCAGATACGTATGCGGGGCATAGACGGTACGCACCGAATTGAAGGTCGTAGAGCGTGTAATTGGAGAAGACCGAGAGGGGGAAAGAAAACGCATCCCTCAGAGCGGTCTTCCCGCTAACAGTGGATTGTGTTGTTCCCTCTGTAAGTTGCACTCCCCACTAATGAGTGGATTGAGTGCGTAGCGAGATGAGACGGTATTGAATATAGCCTTGAGCTACGAAACCGCACCTGTACAAGGCCCTCGGTCGCGTATTTCTGCTCGTTGGTGTATCCCAGATGCTGTTCGAATCGGACAACTTCCTGTCCTCGGTCGCTATGAACCATCGACTCGACGAGGATCGTCCTGCTAGCGGTCACGGACGTCCACACAGTCGCATTATCCGAAGAGGCTCTCCCTGTAGTCTTGATGTCGGGCTCCTCCGACACCTCGTACCTCGTCATCTTCCCCGTGATAGCGGTCTTCCCCAGCCACACGTGAAGGGAGCCCGAGACAAACCAGTCCGAGTTGATAGTCGGCGACTGCCCCTGGCCCAAGACACGGAGCGTGATCGCATGCTCCTTCCCATCCGCGAGGAGGGGCAGGAACGGCGTGATGTCCACGAAATACGTCGGCTGGTCGTACGTCCCGTACGCGGTGAGCGGCCGCCAGTTCGTCGGCGTGATCCCGCCCGTGTAGATGACAGCGTGCGGCCACGCCACGCCCGCGAGCCGGCCGTCGACGAGCGCCTGGACCTCGCGGAAGGGGCCTTTTCCGATGAGCCCAGACGACGCCGGGAAGTAGGGCAGGAACGCATCGGGGGTGTTGAGATACCAAAACTCTTCCTCTGAGTTGCCGGACGCGTATATTTCGATCACCGCCCGTTGGGCGTTGCGCGGGACGGTGACGTTGGCGGTCCCACCCAGGTCGTCGGCGATGGCGAAGAAATTCAGCTGGTTGGGGGACAGATTGGTTATTGGCAGGATCAGGTCGGATGTGGCTGGCTTGGGAAATTCGCGAGTGGGCGCATAGAAGGTACCCGTCAACGTCACTGGTGATTAATCATTTCGATGAGCAGGGATAGCGGCCTGCGCATGCCAGGATTCGACAGACCATGGAAAGCGCCATCCAGGCCGCTTCGTTGGGCGGATCAGTCTGTTGTCAGCTTATGCCGAAACGGATATATGGACGGCGGCTCTCACAGGTCGGCAGATATGATATTGCTGAAGTCCATGAGAAGGTCCCCAGGGGCAGAAAAGAGGGCACTGTAGTGAGTGACATCCTTGACGCTGTTCACCTGTCAGCAGTAGCCTGAAGGACTGGCTGAGGGCACCAACATCCTGAAAAATAAAAAGAAAGAGTCGTTATGAATATTGGGACTCTGAATTGATGTGAGGGCGACCCACGTCCACACCGTGCCGGTCTTAGTCGGTTCCGCGCCAGAGTGCCGCCAGACTAAAGCTAATTAGCGGCAGGTTCTCGTTGCTATATGCCGGCACTCACTTTCGACGTGAGATAGGTACAGAGACTGCAATTTTGGCTCAATAGGAACTCATGCACCGATGGTAAGGAGATGTACACTCAATCGATCGTATTGAGTTCCATTTCTGTTGCGCGCGCAGTCCACTGTTCAGGAAGGGTAACGTCGCGTAAAAGAGGGGAACCGGACAACTCACGAGAACACCGTTAGATTGAGCGTAATTGCCGCCCAGCTGCCAGGTAACCCGCACGACGGGGGAGTGTAGGGTACGACCGCCGGGACCCCGTAGCTGCCGTCTCCAAAGTCGTGTGTGAGGAGTTCTACTGTGCATTTTGATCCACCGGTGGGAACAACAGGCGGAGCATAAACTTGCAGGTCGATGAGAGGCGCTACCGTATTGTCGTTGGTCGAGAGAGGTACGCGCGGCGCTATGGCTTGAAAATTCGGGGCACTGTCAGAGAGGGCTCGGTACAATGGAGCTATCTCCTCTGGGCTTGGCTGGCTGTGAGCTAGCGGGAGACCGCCCAGCAACGTAGCCAGAAGAGCACTTATCCAGCGCATACTTGATGGAGCACCGCTAGCAGCTGTCCTTGTCCACAACCTTTCTTGGGGAAAGCTGGTCTTGTCGACAGCGCTGCACGTTGGAGTCTGAGATCAACCTTCTCGACCACTGCAGCATAGATAAGCGGGCCGTAGCGGGCGACATCATGTGGAACGTTGACGAGGTTCAGAACCAAGTCCCGCGAGGCGGTCGACGCACGCGATCTCCTTCGATTTCTGAGATCTCTTGGCCGGTGATCGAGATCTGCTATAATCCACCTTATCCGGGCCGTGTATACATTTCTTGATATCAAGTAACTCCAATGCATGCCACAGTCAATATTGGACTAATAGCTCCAGCATATAGTTGTAGCTCTCAGAACTTACACGGTTATACAATGAGCAAAGGGCTCCGACTCGCAACCCACAAAACTCATACGCCGCGGAGGGGTGATTTGCAGGAAAGATGCAAGACATTGAGAAACATCTTAACGAGTTCAGGACAAAACAGCTTGTGCTACAATGACTCACTTTGTCTAGATATTTCCTCACCTAAGCAACGGCTGGAGCAAACAGAAGATAGGTGCAACAGATATGGGGACAAAAGGACTCAAAGACATCCTGCGGGAAGCGCCGGCGGTAAACAGAATGAACTTGTATGATCGCCGGCGCGTACCGTGCGCGTCAATTCACTTGTACCCACCCGCACGTACTCAGATTCTCCAAGACGGCCGTATTCTCTGCTTGATACCTGCTTGTCTAGTCAAAGTGCCTCACAACGCTTCCGTTATACATAACTTAGCATGCCGCCAAGGCGAAAAATATACGAGGAGGAATCGGAGGACGAGGAGGTAGCCAGTGGTAAGTTCCACGAATACAGTCAACGTTCATGCAGGCCTTTGATCTTCTGTGACGGCAGAGGCGCAGTCAGAGGTCATGGAGGACGAGCTTGATATGGATGTGGATGACGATGAACAGGGCGAAGCCGACGACGTAGACGTGGTGGGAGACATCGAGCACGACGACGAGGCAGTGGTGGATGACAATGATGTAGTGGAGGAGGACATCGAGGATGAGCTGGCAGACGTACGTGGCCTCCACCTGCTCTGCTTTTGGTCGCTGCTAACGCCCCAGCAGGATGTCTCTGAGACAGAACCCGAAGTCGCGGCCCCGACGAGACTCAAGATCAAGCTGAAGCTCCCACAGAACGCGGGCCCAAGCTCTGCTGCCACAAGGTCGTCCGCGCACAACACCCCATCTCGTGCCTCGCGTCGAAATGTACCACGAGGTTAGGCGCACAGTCCGGGTCTCGCCTCGCATACTGACACAGGAACGCGTCTAGGGAGCGATATTGAGTCCGAAGATGATGACGATGAGGACGATGATGAGGGGTCTACACGTTCCGCCTCGGAAGCTACCACAGGCGCGGGCAGTCGGGCTTTGACGGCACGTCAAGCGGTCTTGAGAAATGTCGTGGACTCCTCGCACGTCTCTTTGGGTACGTTCATTCGGCTGTGAACGCGTCAACTTGCGCTCTAACGCCTTACATGAAGCCGAGGCCCCTAACCCACGGAAGAAGAAACCACTGACGGAGATCGAAATTGCACTCAAACGCGAAGAGACCGCGAGGAAACGTCGAAATCTGACTGAGAAGAAATTGGAGGACGAAAAGGTTGGCGCTTGTACTTCCCTCAGGCTGCTGTAGCAATCGTTGACACGGGCGATATTAGGCTGAGACCATCAACCGTCTCCTTAAGAAGCAATCCCGTGCGCGTGGCAAACGGAATGCACTCGCGACGGCAGAGGACAAGCCCGCACCTGGGGACAACGCCCTAGGCGAAGGAGAAGAAGAAGACATTGTGGACACCCCAGCCCTCGTGCCGACAATGTATCGATGGGTATCGCGAGCGCAACCTCTTCCGAAAGCGGGAGAGGAGGGAGAAGGCTCGGTTCCGCCTACCGAGAGGACCTCGGTGATCTCATTTTCGATCCCGGTAGCGGCGCTGCCTCCGACCGATGCAGCCGGGGACAACGCAATGCAAGTGGACAACCCGCCGCCCAGACTACCGCCATCTAGCCCGCCACATTGTGACGTACAGGGGTGCTCAGAGTTTAGGAAGTATCGTCTTGTGCGCGACTTCCACAAGGGCGCGTGTGGTATGAGCCATTTGAAGGTGCTAGAGGCTCAGACGGTCTAGAGTTTGTCGCGCCGCATGCCGCCGCCGTATTGGGCTGCTTCATGATGTATGCTCGGAGTCGTATCGTTTAGGGCGATTGTTGATTATTGCTTTACCTTGTTGTATTTTGTAGTATCATGGCATTGCAATGTTTCAAGCTTGGGAGTCAGAGGCTTGCACTGATAAGTCGCGACCTATTTGCGCACACCGTCCAGAAACAAGACACGCATAGATAGGAATAGGTTACGTCCTCGCACCCTCGCGACTACTGATTCACAAGCACTCCAAATACGTAGTCCATAGTGTCTGACCTATCTACAATCAAAGCAACGGCCTCAACACGTACAAGAAAGCACATGCCAGCAACGACGTTTGGAAGAGGAGAGCAGAAGGAAGCAAGGTAATCGAGCCTGAGTTGATCGGGAGTAGCCCCGCTTGCTGAGGGCTCGATATTTGCGTTGCGACCAGCTCCGTGGTGGAAAGGACGGTTTGGCTGTCGCAAATTGGTCAGTGGGAGCACACTATAAGCTCAAAACGAAGAAGACATACGTCACAGTGAACTCCTCCGTCGTTCCCGAAGCCGTCACCGTGCTCACATACGTCTCCTCGAGCGTGATCGTCACCGGCGCAGAGATGATCTCCGTCAACGTCGCGGTCGCAGTCGGGGCGACGGTCTTGAAGATGGTGACGAAGCCTGTGGAGGAGGCGACCATCGTCTGCGAGGGGCCACCTCCTGACGGCTCGATAACGATGGTGCCTGGGAGGCCTGTCACGCTCACGGTGATGTCGCCGTCTCCAGCAGTGATAGTAATGATACTCCCTCCGTCGGTGGAAGAGGACGAGGGTGGGGTGGCTGTGGTTGCGTCTGAAGAAGTGGCGGAGGCAGTCACGTTCCCGGAGGCGATCGCGGTTCCAGTCACCTCCGCGGACGTGGCAGAGGCGGTCGCATTCCCGGAGGAAGTGGCTGTCGCAGCTACGGAGTCCGCGCCGGTCTGAGAGGCGGCCGAGGAGCTGCTTGCGACATCGCTGGGAGAGGCGCCGCTCTGGGACTTGGTATCTGAGACGACGTCGGCTGGAGGAGGGTTTGACAGTTGGGGTTGCGCTTGGAGGGCGTTCTCCGGAGAATCGCAGGTGTCGGTGGCATTCCCCGTGTTCTCGATTTGCACGGGGATGGGGGTAATAGCAAAAAAGCTGAGGTCGTTAAGGTGGGACGTTTCGTACAGTGTCAACTGCAATGTTATACAGGAGGGTTAGTGATGAGCCTTTTCTAGTGAGCTGCAGTACGTACGTTATACGATCCGGTCTGTAAACAAGTCGGAATAGTCCAGTGTATATGCTTGACAGTACTGGAAGGATCTTGAGATAGTAGTTGTGTCCCGGAGGACACGGTGATGTTCTTCTGTGCCTCAGAAGACACGAGGTATACTTCGAGCAAGTCGATACCGAGGGTAGTGTTCTTGAGCGCAGAAACCTAGGACTGCAGTATAAGGCTCTGTACATGGAAAACTGAGACATGACGTACGTCAATGGAGACGTCCGTCTCGCTTCCAGCATGAAGGGTCCTAGATGGAATGTGAAACATTTGACATGTTGTACGTGTCCATTTGACTCACGAGTTGGCTTCTGGATTGTCTACTGTCGCGAAGCCTTGGCAGACATCTTGACCATTCACAACATCTTGGGCGACGACAGCGAGAATGTGCGAGGAAGCGAATAGATAGAGAACGAATGACAGCAAGAGCCGCGAGATTAGATGAGCATGCGCTTGGAAGGTCCGAGAACGGGCGCCCAGAGGGTGATCCAGCACCTTGAGCATCGCTTTACATGAGGGGGCGAGAAATGAAACCGGCGGGCCCAGCCTGAGAAGCAGAGGATGGAAAGCGAGAGCTGCAACGAGCTCAGACTTCAAAGACTGCGAGAGGTCCACCGCGCACAGCGCGGGCGTTGCACTGATATGCCGTATCCCGTTACGACTGACCGTGGGGTGATGCAAGAACAGGATCCTGCCTGTGACGGTGCGAGAACGAGCTACAGCGCGTGTTTGACGCGTTGTCGCGAAGGACAGCTCTCAGGAACGGGCCAACGCGGTGCACGGTTGCCATCTTGAACTGCCTTTCTGGGGTTCGCACTTCTCGATCACGGCATTGATCTAAGATCTTTCACCCCGCAGCCGTCGCCGGCCCGGCACTCCTCGACCACGACCACCACAAGCCTGAGCGACCGGGGCCCCACTCAGCTGCACAGTGATCTGCTCGAGTTACCGTACTTACCGTCAAAATGACTATGACATCAGCATCAGGACCCCCGCAGGCGTCCTCATCAACACAACATTCGCTGTATGAGGGGAGCACGCAGTACCTTCACTGGCGATTCTCGCCGGAGCAGCTTGGGCGAATGCGACACACACTGAACGAGGACGCTGTCTCTGCCATCAGGAACGCGTTTGAGTCGGACTCTGTAAGCCCCGTGACGATTGCAGTACGCTTAGGATCTCATACGCGCGATGCTTAGCCAGGATCGTCCACAAGCGTATCCTTTTTGAACGCTGATGAGGAGCACCTGCTCGTGAAGCTCTACGTCGGGAAGATATCCCAACTATGCGGGCACTTCCGATTCCCGGAGGAAGTGGAAGCCACCGCCGTTTCATACATGAAACGATTCTACCTCAAGAACACTGTCATGGACTGGCATCCAAAGAACGTCATGTACGTTCTTGTTCTCTATCTGGTAGTGCGCGCGCGCTCACGAACGCGCCCATAGGTTGACGGCGCTGTTTCTCGCTACGAAGACGACCAATCACCCCATCTCGCTTGAATCATATGCAGCCCACATCCCGCGAACGGTCCCGTCTGATGTTCTTGACCTGGAGTTCCTCGTGGCGCAGAGTCTAGGGTTCGACTTCGCGGTGTGGCATCCACATAGAGCGTTATGGGGGATGTGGCTAGACGTACAGGTGGGAGCCACGTACACCTGTCCGTTTGGGTTACGCGCTGAAGTTCCACGTCGCTCAGAACATCCCCGACGCTTCCATTGAAGAGCTAAGTAAGGCGTACGAAGCCGCTGTAGGCTATGTGCGGGCTGCGCGCTTGACGGACGCGGAGTTCATCTACACACCGTCGCAGATCGCCCTCGCGTGCTTCTCCATCGCCTCGCCCACGCTGGCGTCAGCATGGGCGCATGCCAAATTCCCTGCTTCACCCCGGCCGCCGGTGTTGGAGGTACTGGACCCGATCAAGACGCTCATTTTACGGGATGGATCACCGCCGGACGTCGAAGCTGTACGGGAAGTGGACCGGCGGCTCAGGTTGTGCAAAAATCCGGAGAAGATCCCAGGGAGTAATGCATTCATCAAGAAACAGCAGGAGAAGGAACGGAAGGCTGACGAGAAGCGGAGACGTAAGGCGGAGGCCGTGAGGATTGCCATGGAGGACGGAGACCCGTTTGGGAACGAGCTGGCTAAGAAAGCAGCAGCGGCGGATTTGGATGACGACGACGACGATGATTGACGCGGCGTGGCGTCCGGGCGTTGCAATTTTCGGATATTCGTTGTACTCGCTGTGCCGTACGTATTGCGCAGGCTGTCCAAACTTGCGAGTCGGACCAACGCCGGTAGGTAACCCTTATGAACGGCCGGAAGCACGCTGGTGTGCGTGTCATCTCATAAGACCACACGGCGCGGCATGCTGTGGGCGATGTAAGACGGTGCTAGTATTGTGGTGACCATATGGAGCGCGACATGTAGGAACTGAATTCTACTGCGCGCTCAAGCAGCGGCAACAGCTCGTGGGTGATGGGTATGAAACAGCGCGGGTGGACGGATCATGCTGAGGCTGTCGCGCAGAAGTGATCAGGCCTCAGGGTGCACAAGGACCTGCGGCTGCGACGGGAGCATGGGGCATTGGGAAAGACCGAGGACGGATCGGAGGAGGTTCGAGGATGGCAGGGCGGTTGAGCGTGGGGCGTGCGAGCGTGATGCAGCGGCAGGCGTGAGACAACGGCGGAGGACGCCAGAGAACGGCGCCGGCACGATTTGTCGGCGCGCTCTCCCCGTCACCGTCTGCGAGACACTCCGTCCTGCTCTTCCTCCTACCCCCTTCACCGCCCTCGCCCGAACCGTCTCCCTGGAATACAACTACGCACGCAGGCTCGGCGGCCGTCCGTCCCCGCCTGCTTCGCGTCCATCGTCGCCTGCTTCGTCTTTCTCGGCCCCGCTCCGTCTCAGTAGACCATGGCTTCATACCCCGCAGGCCTCTCGGTCGACAGCCTCGAGCTCAACCCTGCCTCGTCCAGTTCCCCACCACCTCTCCAGGACGACCAATGGAGTGACGCTCCGGACACCATGGAGACCGACTACGAACGAGATGCGATAGAGGAAGTCGATGAGCATCCCGAGGATCTGACCGTCCAAGGACCCAAGGTGGTCTCCTCGGATAAAACCCAAACTCATGACATCGCGACGCCCTCTCCTACCGTCCTCGACCCTCCCACCCCCCAGGAACGTGCTTCTGACGCGGACGCCACGAGTGTACATAGTATGCCTGTCGTGCAGGTCACGGAGCCCACCAGTCCAACGTTACCGGCTACTCCTCGCAGCGTATCCTCAGCACACTCTACAGTGCCTAATAGCGCCAACCTGGCACCTCTCTCTGCCGCCGATAGACGGCGTCGCAACCGAGCCACTCTCGATGTGAGTACCTCGTAATTAATCTGTATGTTGCCGAGCGCAGCGATCTAATTCGAGCAGAATCGCGCATCGAACCGCTTCTCTGGCTTCTTGTCAAATCTCATTCACCGTAGAGACCATCCGCCAAACCCCGCACCTGAGCCTGCTCCTCCCTCTCCCTCGCCTGCAAATCAGTCGTCTCGGGCGTCTTCACCAGCACCTGCACGACCATCGACACCACCACCGCAGCTTCCACCACCGTCATTGGACGACCTTGGTCTCAGCATCGCTTCTCTGACGGCCCATCTCTCGCCGGCCCACTTCAGCACGCCTCCAACGAGCGGAGCCTTCCTCGCGCCCCATTATCTCCTGCTGTGCCATTCACAGGGCTTGGATGTTCTCCCGCTCGTATCGCCCCCAACACTTCAACCATATGCCTTGGTACGAAGAGCGCCCTTCAAGAGCGTCGTGGTGATGGAGCATCGTGGCGTGCTTGTTGCCATCGCGGGTCGCAGAGATGGTGTCCGGGTATATGCTTTGGAAGAGATCCGAAGAATGGTAGAGTGGCGGATGGACGTCGAGATCAGGCGCGAGCGGGAACGGGCACGCCGGGAGGAGACGAAGCGACCGATGGCGGCCATCACGTTCTTCAACCACGACGAGCCGGAGCAGAGGGGATCCACGGACAAACGTCCTACGACGGCAATCATGCCGCCGACCACGGTGAACGACAAGAAAGCTACCAATCGGCGAAGCTCCGTGTCTGTCATGCCGCCTGGGCAACCTCGCCCGCCCGTCATTAGGACGCCGAAGCCAAAGACTCCTACTCGGCAGCCTCCGCAGCCCGAACCCGCTGGACCGCCGCCTGCTTACACGCACTCACCTCCGCGCGAGCGCGAGGCTATTGCTCTTCCCACCTCTCGTACACGCTCGCGGGCTACCTCGGTTAGCGAGGTCCTTGCCGGGACCGTCTCGCGACGCCATACGTTGACTAATATCAACGGTGAAACCGAGCACCAGGACGACACGAAAGGTGATTGGGCCTCGAGTGACGATGAAGCTATCAATGTCATGACTGCCCCCAGCGGGAGTCAGGCTCTGGACGAACGGACGAGCGCAATGGGTGGGTCTGCATCTGGCCCACCATCCAGTCCAACTACTCGCCTAGACATGGCGCGATCACAAACGGCCCCGTCGATCAACGCCCGATCCTCCAATCGTCGAAGTAGACCTGCCAACCTAGATCTCACGTTGACTCGCTCGAACACCACGGCCACTGTGATTCCCGTTCCGCCTCCTTCTCCTACGCCTACTCTTCTGACGCTTCGTCAGGCCCTAAGCACTCATAGCAGCCCTCTGACTGGAGGTGGAACCATGTCTCCCGGCGGCGATGCCGACGCGGATGCTGATGCCGACGCCGACGCTGAAGAGGACGAAGACGGGGAGCCTGCACCGTCCTCCCCAACTACGCCGACTCGCGAACGTATCACGCTAGCGGAGGCTTTGTTCGAGAGCCGTCTTCCGGATATCGGCCCCCCTGGTGCTGAGCAACCGCAGGAGCCGATTCTTATTGACTCCTCCAGCTATGTCGAAGGTGGTGCGCCCTCAAGTCCTAGGACCTCGGAGTCACATTCGACGCATACACGGCGGAGCACCGGCGAGGCTAACAGGCGGCGGCGGAGATGGTCTGTCCTTGGTGGCGTTTTTTCGGCTACGTCGGGCCAGTCGCAGTCATCCATCCCGTCGCTTCCGGAGCTCAGCCAGGCCATGATCGAGCCTACCAGCGTCCCAGAGATGCGCGAAAGGAGACCGAACGTGCTTTCCCGCTCACAATCTGGTCGAATCCAGCCCTCTGCTTCCACCGCCACCGTCACCCCTTCTCGGTCAATGACGCTGAGGAGACCATCGACGTCGCCTGGCCCGGTTCGTTCATCTGCCAACCAACCTGCTGCTGATCAGCCTCCTCCGCCGCTGCCTCCTCCTCTCCCTATGCCGCCTGTATCCGGGGGCAATTCGCATTCGCGATTCTTGCCCCGTATACTTTCACAGGCCCTGGCACGGCGATCGGACGATGCTCCCCTTCCACGTATGGCTGGGAACGCTTCTGATAAGTCTACCAACTTGCCCGCCCCGGCTCACGCCCCTGCGCCCAAGTTGGAGTACGTGAAGCTTCCAGGTACCAAGGGCGCCGTAGCAGTCAAGGCCGTGGAAACCGCGAAGAAGAGGTGAGCATCTTCCATTTTGTCAAGGCCGCCGGTGCGTCACCTTACGCTCTTCCCAGCTTCCTGGCCATTCTTTGCGGGGATAACGGCGAGAAAGTGGAGCTGTTCGCTGGCACTTATCGGACCGCTCTCGGGCTTTCGCGCACGTTCATTCTGCCTGATTCGCCACGCTCTCTTGAGCTACAGCTCCAGGGCGATGACCTAGTGGAGGTCTTCTTGGTGTTCTCCCAGAATGTCTTCGGTTTGGAGCCTGCGACCGTGCGGGTTCGAGAAGTCAGGATCGGGCGTGCAGAGCGAAGAGCGGCACGGCGGCGAGCTCGCGAGAATATGTCTGGGCGGACAGGTGACGCCGACACGGATGGCGGAGCTGCCAACGGTGAAGAGGAGACTTCGGTAAGCGTCACGATAGGTGTCGCGGTCACTCCTCCCGCCGCGGACGACCCACCGACCCCTGGTCCTGGGCTTGCCTCGCCGCCGTCGGAAACTACATCCCAGGTCCAGCTGGACACCGCAAGCACGACTGCAGCCTCTGCGGACGAGCTTGTGGCCGTTGCGGCTGCACAAGCCAGCCCGTATAGTACATTCCAGCAGCTATCGTTCGCACCGAACTTCCCTCTGGCCACGATTGCAGACGAGTACATCATCCCACCGACGTATCGGTCTTTCTTGGAGTACAGGAATCAGTTCGAGCCCGAGGCCAATGGCGGCACGAATGTGGACCTGTCACAGGTCCAGTTCTCTCCTCCAGGATTGCCTGTTCCTACCCCCGCACCTCCATCGAAATGGTTCTACCGCGACCCCAAGGGTGTAATCCATGGTATGTTCACAGCTGTTTAATTAGTGTGCACGTTCTCATGGTGCCACAGGTCCATGGAAGGCGTCACTCATGCAGGCATGGTACCGCGACGGCCTGCTACCTCCCGATCTCCCCGTCCGGAGGGAAGAGGATACAGAGTATACCCTGCTGAAAGACCTGCGGCTGCAATGCGTCGACCCCTCCCATCCATTCCGCTCATCACCTCCACCTCCTGCCCTCTCCGCCACCCCTATCATCCCTGACTCAACGAAACCCCTTCTCCTCCCGCAGTCTCTTCTGACGCAGCCTAAACACTTTGGCCCTCCTGCGCTTTTCTTTTCGTCGCGTGGCGGCCACAGTACTACGATCGTCGACTCCCGTGGCAGATCGGTGCTCAAGGGGCGCTTCGTCTGGAGCGCAGACGACGACGACGCGCAGTTTGTCGGGTCAACCAGTCGACTGGGAGACGTGAAGCGCCTGGAGGCGTTCGACGTGAGGGATCGCGCAGTCCTCGTTGCGATGCGTCAAGGAGGCATCGAAGCAGTGGACTTTGGCGATGCGCTCTTGCGACCTGCAGACCATTCCCGCACCATCTTGCCCCACTTCCATCCCTCATCATCTACTGTCAACCGCCGGGAACCCTTCGTGTGGAAGATCGGCACCCCGATCGAGGCGCAGCGCTCGCCAATATCCTCCCTGCCCACTCCACCGCCCACAGCGGCTGTCACCTCGAAGTCAGTACCGCGGAAGAAGCTCAGCACGGGGCCGTCGAAGTCGCCGGGACGTCCAGAGTTCATGATGTCCGGCGACGGCGACCCAGAGCACCTGCACGACGAGCTCATCTTCCTCGGCCGGCGGGACAACGAGATGTACCTGTGCGAGAAGTCCGCGAGCTCGTTCCGGATACTCAAGCTGTCCCCGAGCGAGGGGGCGTCATAGCATTGGCACCGCCCTCCTGCTTTCATGATCACGCTCTCTTTCCCTCCTCTCTAGCTCTAGACGACGGACGCCGCCCCCCGCATATGATACCTGCTGTATTTTCTAGCGCACGCTGTGAACACGTTGGTCGTCGTCACTCATCGCATGCACGGCGTATCGCACAATCAAAGGATACTTTCGTAATGGCCTCCCCCACTGTATGGCTATATCAAGCAATCATCTTCGTGACGACTAGTCTTTTCGCAGCGTCTGCGTGTCCACGGAACACTGAGATGGAGGTTCCGTTCCTTAGTACGGTAACGAACCGGCAAAACGTCAAGATTCCAAGTTCTTTGGCAGTCCTCCAACTACCGTCGGCGAGACGAATGTTTTCGTGTGAGGCGACCAAACATAGACATGTGGTATATAGCTTCACGCCCGAGGTAGGTGTAGATACATTGCTGACTCAAGATAGGGGTATAAGCTACTGGCCTAAAAGAGATCGACTACCCCGCGTCGGGGAGACATAACGCCCACCACCTTGCTAAACTCCAGCAGATCGCTGCCCCGGGTAGCAACAAGGTCTGCCTGGAGGCCGTCCGTCTTAACGCCGAGCAACTTCTCGACGTTGACGGAGGCTAGCGCGAGTGCGTCTGCCTTTCTGATCTCACCGCCCGACTCCAGTGCAGCCTGAGAAACGCAATGTGAGCATCTCAAGACGGAACGGGTGCATCCTCAACGGAGCAGGCTTACCCAGGCGATATCGAGGCGCGTGTTCCGCGCCATCCATGCCTCCTCGACGCCCACACCGACTGTAACGTTGTGTGCAAGCAGAACAGCTATCGCGTTCGTCTCAGAGAGCGGCGGGCCAGGCAATCTAGCGAACGGGTGAGCACACCACAACGGAATCTCGAAGAACCGCGATACGTAGGGCGCTTACATTCTCCGCTTCTCCCACACGTTGGGGAACGGCCGCGTGCGCTGGATAACGACGCCGACATTGGCTTGTCCGAGTTCTTTGGCGAGGAGATGAGCCTCGGTGGCGCCGATGAGCGTGACTTGGATCGCGTGGTGGACGTGCGCTTCGACTTCCGTCTTGAGCGAAATAATGGATGCAATCGCGTCTGCGCTTTCAACATCCACCACGAGAGGAACATCACCCTGTTTACAAGCATCATAAAACGACAGTTCGATACAGACAGGTTCTGAAGGAGACGCACCTGCTTGACCTTGCGCAGCCAATGCTTGAGTTCGCCTGTCGTCTCCCCGAGCAGGAGGCGGCGCAGCGCGGCGATCTGCGTGCTCACGCTGGGGATGCCAACGGGGTGGATGGACACATGCAAGGCACCTATTTCTTGAACGATCGCGCCCGTCTCGAGTTTGTGGTGCGCGACAGTCGAGAATGCCGTGCTCAGACCGGCGAGGAATCCCGTGCTCTGCGGCGCAACAATGCCCGTCGTCACGCCAGAGTGGTATGCCAGCCTGCGACGGACGTATGAGCGTAGGACGAACGAGCGGGCGATGCGTGAAATACGTACAGAGCATCGCGAGTCCCAAACTGAAGGCCGTCAGCAGCGCGGACGAGCATCCCACTGCCCCCGGCGATCTCTGGCACGGCGTGTGTGAGAGGGTCGAGGACGTAGCCGTCAATGGTGGATTCCTCGGACGTCATCTCTTCCAGCCCAAGAGGCGAGCCTACAGTGACGAGCCCTGGGGAGACCGCACCGCCCTCCAGGTCGACGAATTCCGCGTTGTCCTCGGCACGCACAGAGGACACACAGGTTCCCGTAGCAGCGCTGACACACGCGACCTGACCATTGCGCACAACTACCACCCCAGCAGAAAGCGCGTCTGCAGCGTCGGCGACGTACGCCTCGCGGATGTCTTGCCCCTCGCGGAGGTGGACGCTGCTGACGTTGGTGAAGACGACGACATTGGCGCTCGACCGCTTTGGCTCGAGCGGGGGCAGGCCTTCGTATTTGAGTGCCTCTTTCGCCTCCTCTTCAAAGTCTGGCGTCTTGGGCAGCGTCTGGAATGCAGCAGGCTTCGTGTGCGCGTAAGGCTTCGCGATTTGGGGGATCCCGTCGATCCACACTTGCTCCGGTGTTGCACCAAGGGCCAAGGGATTGCTATCCCATAGTACAACATCTGGGGCGAATGTTAGTTATGCTGTACTTGTTAGTGACGGTCTACTGTGAGTGCCGTACCGGCATCGTAGCCTAGAGTAATTGTGAGCAATAAGGCATAAAAGGACGACTGTGCAACATACCCTCCGAAACATAACCAATGCGGTGGTCTTGACCCATAACCCGTGCAGGCGTCGAGGTGACAGCCGCGAAAGCCAAGTTAGCCGGAAGTCCGTAGTAGTGTGCTTGTTGCGCCTCATATAACAAGAAGCGAGAGTCAAGGACGTTGTGATCAGACTATAGGCATCGATCTGTTAGTGTTCTCATGGGACGTCATGCATCAGAGTCGGGTACGGACCTTCATAACGACTTGCAAACCATTGTCGGCGAGAATCTTCGGCGCGAACTCCGAGCCACGATAAGCTTCGCGCTTGTACCTCGCGTTGGTCGCGAAGAGTGCAATCGCAGGTGGGTGACCTAATATGAAAGATCATGATGTGCTCAGTACTGTGGCTTAACGCATTTACTCACCATATGCGGCTTTCAGCGTGTCTGGCACAAGGTAGGTCTCGTGTGCATGATGGAATGCAGCAATAGAGAACTTGAACTCGTTCGTAAGCTGTAGGGCTGAGTTAAGTACATATTCCGGACAAGACAATTCGTTTGACTTACCCGGACCATGTCATCCAGGTCCACGGTTTCGTAGCAATGGTTTTGAACCTGGATACGTTCGCTCAGGCGCTCTTGATCCAAATGATCACGGGCGCACCTTGACACGTCCCCTGAGGACGTCTACCAGAGCCTCCCACTGAAGGTCCTCCGGGAACTCGCCAAGGCCTGCCCATTCACCATGGACGGCCTTCGAGCAGAACTCGTCCTGAGAGTGCTTGATCAGTCGTGCCTTCTCGTACGCCTCACGGAACGCCCATGTGGTGTCCATGCGAGTGAACCCGGGGCCGTAGACACCATCTAAGTCACAATGAGAGCAGTGAGCAACATGTTGTAAGATGGACCTGCCCGCGCTTACGAGGGTTCTCTCCACACGCATGCCTGTATGCAGCTACGTTAGAAGTGTTGATTTGATGCAGAGATATTATCAACGCCGCACTTCATTTGTCGGTAACGGAACGACACGGCGGGATCGTACACGGTCCTGTTTGTCTCATACGGGTTCTCTAGAAGCATGCCGGTGGGCGAGCGGTCTGTAGGCGGACGCAACTTGATGATGACGCCCTGACCACCGATGGCGTTGGCGGAACCCGGCAGAATAAGCGAAGTCTAGAAAAAGTTTGAGGTAAGCCTTAGGTAGTCGCAGTGAACCATGGATTGAAGATGCTTACCGTTACGCCACCAGCAATGCTGGTCGCGTAGGAATCATCGTGAGTGTTCAGCCCATCGAGCGCTCGGAGCCACTGTCAAGCTGTTTAGCTGTCGTTCGCGTAGAGGAAAGCGACTCGGACGTACAGGTTGTACTGGGGCTTTCAGCGAGTTGGTATCGTCAGCGCCGTCTAACTCCGGGCTTGAGCCTACACCTCTGATTGAGTCAGGCGATATGTCAATCCGCATTCTGTTAGCAGGACGAGCATAGGTATAGCTCACAGATGACTATGCAAATCCACAATTCTAAAACATTGTCAGTAAGTGTAAGTATGCGAAAGAAACGAGGGGCCGGATGTACTCGAGCCCGGAGAGCACCTACCCAGAGGACAGCCAACGTCCCTTCGCGTCGATACGAGTCAAATCCGCGTATTCCTCCAACGTAGATTGTTGCAAATGTCCGACACGTCTGATGATCCCGCCGTGGAGGAGAACGTCGCCGCGAATAACTTCGTGGCCGTTGTCGCGCCCCGTCCAAATAGTCGCGTTCTGATAGGCCAGCCAGACATTAGCGTATTAACTCGGAGCCATTCCAGAAGAGAGGCGTACCAGGATCAGCGTAGGCTGAGTCCCTGGCACGAATCGGTCCGAGTGCGTCCGAGTATGGAAGTCGGCAGGAGGGCCGGGCTTGACGGCAAGCAGCTGGCACTTGTCAAGGTACTCCTGCGCGCGCAATGGCACATTCACCACCTCGCCTCTGTCGTTTCCAGACAGCTGTGCGACCAGGCCGAGGTACTGTACCACAGTCACGGACAGCACAGCAGCCAGGACGAAGCGCAGGAGACGGCGGCGCAAGGGGGGCCCGGGATGCGCCTGCGCTGGCGCACCGGTCGGCATCCCGTACATGGGCAACTTGCCCTCTTCGACTGTCATACTAGACCTTTGCCCGTCTCCGATATTCAAGGTCGGTATAGTTGAGTGTGGAGGCGGCCTGAGAGCGTCGGCGTCTGCAGTGAGACAGACGAACTGCTGGGCGTTATCTCGGCCACCGAAGCGTCTACCAATCAGACGTCGAGGAGCAGATGGTCCTTCGGTGGCTGTGCCGGCGCTTCTCAATCATCAGCCACACTCGCGGGAAACATCGACTCCGTGTGCGCGCTCTAGTGCCGCAAAGTACTCATATATGCTCTAAGTCTACTGGCAAACCAAGTCCAAGCAGTACGTAGTACAGGTATGTGCATGGAAACGTAATACAGGTATGTGCATAGGAATATGATACAGATATGTGCATAGGAGCAAAAGAACAACTCAAGAAGGTACACCGAATATAACGTCTAAACTAACCAGCCCGCACAGAATGAGTCCAGAGGGTCATCGGCCAGAGTCGTATACGAGAGGATCTCCGAAGGGAACCCAGTAGCGAAGAAGCCACGGCCCGCTTCGACCACACTCTTGACCTCCGCGTTCTTGGCGAGCGTGACGGAGTACATCCACACTGGAGGCAAACCGTTGCGGGCGCGCGGGTAAGATTCCTCGAACGCGAAAAAGTCCACACCGTTGACAAACTTCTTCTTCCCGTGCCTACAATCGCAAAAGGATTCAGAACAACGTAAACTGAAACGAGGATTGAACTTAGAGCGGGACGAACTCACCTCTTCTTGATGTGCTCCTGCATAGACTTCGTATGCTTGACTTGATAGTGAGAGCACAAGGCGCAGGTAAGATAATGTTGGCCGTCAGTGGTGTACGCGACCTCGTCCCTGGTCGACGCATCAAGCGCTTCTGCGAGCTTGCCGGCTTGCACGGCTTGATCGTCGGGAACGCGCAGCCATACCACTTGGTCAGGATCAAGAATGTCGTCCCAATGTTCAGCTTCGTGTATAGCCTAGTAGACGGATCGTCTGAGTCCTGCAGATTGAACAGAAAGTATGTCAAGCCACTTACCGCGGCTACCCAATCGAAGATTTGACATCTATCCACCGTCGAACACAGCTTGCACATCAACCGCGCCGGATCCGCTTGCATGGTTTCCCAGGTCACGGTGTCAGGGTCTTGGCTACACACACGTATAGTGCTACGCGTGCGGCTGAAATGCACGCCGACGCACGCCGGCTTGATACTGAACACGTCCCAGTAACTTCTTGTGGTGTACACGGCCCTGTCGAACTCAGTGCTGACGGCATTTTCAGAAGGTCCTTGAGATTGAGGCCGGAAGCAGGGATGGTTGAGGACGGCGGGCCAGCGTAGACGAACTCCCCAGCACTTGTAGCATGAGAATGTCGCAACGGCAAGGTCGAGTATGTCTTTGGCGGCGACGGCGAGTGTGCCCTTCAGAGCGGGCAGCATCAGCCGCTCGAACTCAGCCTTCCGCTCACCGGTCCATCTTGCGACGAGCTGGGGCCATGGCGTCATAAGCTGGGCGAATGTTTCTTTGGAAACATCGACTTCTGCTGGGGCCTCGATCACTTCGCGGAACTCGGGCAAGTACGCCAGGTCGCCAGCCTCGGGTTCGCAGGCGTCGGCCATGGTCCGAAGCCGGTCCAATCGACCTGTTTCTCTGCGATGGTCCGCAAAAGCTGCACGTAGTAGCCCCATCCTCTTCGAGAACAGTTGAAGCTGTTCACGTCTCAGCTGTTCGGTATAGCAATGCTGCACGTATTTGACCACGTCATCTCGGATACTGTTCCACGCTGGCCGAGTGTCAGAAACGAGGAAACTGTGATGTGGGGAAGAAAACGCGTACCTCTGTCAGTGAGTTTGTTCGGGCGGTGCACTGCAGGCAACTTGCGCAGACACTCAAAAGAATACACGTCCAAGGCCTCGAGCTCCTTGCCGCAACCTTCGTCTTGGAGGCGTGTCTTGATCCTGAACATGCCGCCCATGGTCAGCTTATATTGCAGCGAGGGCACGCGCAACGTACGCTTCGAATCTAGCATCCCTCAGGTGTCCTAACTCCTTCTTTCGATTGTCTAGCCGGTCCGACATCCAGCGGTATAGATGGCTGGCGGCCTGACATATAGACCATCAGTATGATAGTACGCCGCTGCCCAGGGCTGAGAAGCGTGCTTACACGCTCTCGCGCCACGGCGGCTCCCGCACACTCTTGCACGAATTGGGTCTGTTCGCCCCGGTCGGTAAGCGTGCCCCACTTGAGGCGGAAGGCGTCAACTTGAGGCTTGAAATATATGACATCACGCCTGCAATGTCGCTCAGTAAGCCAGCTGCACATTCAGCGCCAAAATACTTAGAACTAACGCTGTCGCGCGACTGCGGTCGGTGCTGAGGAACGCCCTCACCGCGTGCTCTCCTACTTGGTCCTTGACTTCCTGAATGAGAGTATTCACAGCGTGAGCTTTGAGACTGGGAGCGGGAATGCATGATTGTTAGTGAGTAAACGCGCATAGAAAGCCTGAGCTACACCCCACATTTGGAGACCGCAGTCCTCTTTGCAGAGACGCAAGTGGAACTTGTGGTATATAGTCTGTACATTGGGCTTAAGGCATATCTGAAACACGGTTTGTTGAGTCCAATGAGCGCTCCAGTTGTGGACAAACAACTTACATGACAGTTGTTGAAAAACACCAGGTTGGCGTAGGCTGGCTCGGAAAGCCCTGGGGGAATCTTCGGCAGCCCCTCGACTTGGGCTCGGGCAGCTTTCCAGAGAAACTCATTGCTGCGATTCATAAGGAGCTCTCGGCAGCTCTTGTTCGTCCGCGCGAGATTCAGCAGGTCGCGTGGGTGTAACAGCTGCATGATCTACAGCGTGGTGGTCAGTCCCGGGATATTATGATCGGACGCGTGTTAATGAGTCCTCACCTCGATCACGATGTCGAGTGGCATGCTGAGCATGTCCTTGAGGCCGCCACGCTTACCACGAAGTTGACGACGCGGAGGCTGTTTAGCAACATCCTTCGCCTGAGTGGCGTCCCTGGAGCCTGAAGCCATGGAGGCGGTCTTCGAGACGAGGGCGTTGGCATTTTCCTTAGCGTGGGTGGTCTTCGTTTTCTTCCTGGGGGGCATGGCGTACTGGAGGGTTAGGAGACGCGATGATGGTGGTTCGAGGTAGGGAAACAATGGCGGTGGCTAAGAGTACATATGCGTCCTGCGGGAGATCCCGAAGCGCCAGTGGTGGCTAAAGGATGGCTAGCGCTGCTGGACGGTGGCTGTGTCTTCGAGTAAGAACCTTGGCCAGACGGCGGTCCTGGATACAACTCCAAGCGTCCGTTGTCACAATAGTTAGAAGAACAAGGAATGGGAGAATCAACATTGATATAACCCAATAAAAAGCAGATAGCTTGTAAGACCATTACAAAGCACAGTGGACAGCAGCCCTAGCCTTCTGGAGACGTACCCACTCATCCACCTTCTCCCTCTCGCTACTGATGTCATGCTCGGCGCGAAGATGCCGGCGCAGGTCGTACGCACGGCTGAAGACGTACTGGCAGGTAGTCTGTCTCTTGCTGCTCAATGCCATGGGAACCAAGCGTCCGTCTTCCTCGGTCGCTTCCTTCGGGGACAAAAGCGAGGGTAGGTGCGGAAACGGACATTGCAGCTTGGTAGCCTGCTTGATCGATTCCTGGGCACGAGCAGCATACGCGCTTCCTGTGATGAAATCGATCTCCATGCCGTCTCTAGAGTTTGAGGGTTCGTCGACGTGGGACTCGCTTTCCGAGCCTGAGCCTGAGCCGTTGCCGCTCTCTTCCGCCGACTCGGAGGAGCTATCAGGGGCGTGGAGCTTAGTGAGATGTCGCTGCAGCAGGTGCTTGTACCCAAAAGCGCGTCCACATTGCGCGTGCGGGCAGACAAAGTCTCGTCGTCCGAGATGCGCGATGTTGTGGTGTGTCGTCAGCGCCTTTTTCTACATGGATGCTGGTCAGATACCACGCGCTCAACATCAATAGTGTGATTCCTCTTACGGATTTGAAGTCCTTCGAACACCCATCGACATCGCATACCCAATCTCTCCCGACTTCCCCGCCGCGCCGCCGTTTACGCGGACGTTCCTCGCCTTCGGACTCGCAGCCTCCGACGGCGTCGTCCAAGTCGCCCTCTTGGTCACGTTGGGCGTGGATTTTGAGGTGTGCACGAAGACCCTTCTGTTGCGAGAACGTTTTGTCGTTGCACGAAGGATGTGGGCATGTTGGAGGGTGTGCGGTGCGCGCGTGATGCTGCAACGCCGACCATGTCGGGTAATATACTGGCTCTACACCCTCGATGGGAAGACAGGATTTGTGAACGCAAGTGTAGCGTTTAGCTGCGAGGCCGATCGGCCGTAAGAAAGATTTGATGCGAAGGATTTGTAGAAAGGGCCTCACCATCGTGCGTTTTCGCATGCGCGGTCAATTTCTGGTTCGTAGTAAACGACTTCGTGCAGTCCGGTTGTTGGCAGCGATAAGGTTTGGTTCCAGGTGGGGCATGCGCCTTGGATATGTGTTCTCGGAGTTGGTGGTGTTTCAGGAAAGCGGCCCCACATTCAACCTCATTGCACTGTTTGTGCCTATTAGTAACCGAGACGGCTTCCGGTCTTTGTGGAGGCTTACCTTGAAGGGCTTCTCGCCATTATGGAGCTCGCTATGTACTCGGAGATGCTGGGATGTCCAGAACCGCTTCCCACAGCCCGCTTCCTCACAGGCAACGGGTCTGGCAGAACTGGGTAGGTGTGTCCGCGCGTGCGCCTGGAGGTGGGTCTCGCGCAGATAAGATTTATTGCAAACTGTGCACACAAATGGTCGCTAAAGCAAGACTCAATGTATGTCCATGCTGAGGGTATAAATTACACGCACGTCTCCAGTATGCGAGCGCTCATGCTCAGCTAGTCTGGACGGCTTTGAGTATGACTTCGTACACCCGTCGAAGCTGCATGCGTGGCGCCTTTGGCCTTTCGGCGTTTCTAGACGAAGCGTTGCGAGAGGGACGTCTGAGGTCTGTCCAGGATCATACTCGGACTCGGTGCATGTAGGGTCATTCTCACAGCTCGGAGAAGGGGAAGACAGATGTAGCACAAGAGAGTCGCGGTGTTTGCGTTTGCGAAGAGTAATCGTGGTTGCGGTCGAGCTGGAGGGGTCCAAGATTGCCGCCATTGTCGAGCGAGAGCGAGAGGAGTGGGCTCGAGTCTCGCAGGTCGTGGTGGCGAGAGGCGGAAGGGATTGATCGGGGAGAAATTTACGCGCCGGCGCGTCGCGCTCATTTGTCGCGGTCACAAGCGCCGGGCTCACATCAAGCCTCCGCGAGACGCGACCATGGAGGGCGAAGACAGGCTAGTCAGTGTCATCCCCGTCCACTTCACCAACGCCCTCCTGCCCAATGTTCATTTGCACCAATATCCTCTCCTTACTCGCCCCCTCGAGGTCCCGCCATCAGCCGCAGCGAGCGGGAAGCGCATCTCCGCGCGCGTGAAGTCGAAGGTCAAGCGTCTCGAAATCCACGTCCCCGTCGACACGCGCGGTGAAGTCTGGAATCCGGAGCGGTCGAAGGACCTCGGCTCTGCGCGAGTAGAGGATGACAAGGAGAAGAACCAGGAGCTTCCTAAGGTGAAACAGAGGGAGGGCGAGGACGCAAGATTATCGGAAGTGCGCATGCGCAGTGAACAGGTCCCTCACTCGGGGACTTATGTTCTGGGTGTACTGAGAGAAGGTGTGTAGTACGCCAAAACTCACAGGGAGAACTGAGCGTAATAACTATTTCATGCAGGTCGTCTACACCTACATCCAATCAGCGAGACCCATCAGTTCCGACCTACCATGACCTACATGGACATGCACACGCGCAAAACGAGACGAGGTCGTGGCGGGGATGATTCCGATGAGGACGATGGCCCACCGCCAGATCCGGATGAGCCTGCGCCCGCACCTGCACCGAAGAAAGAGAAGAAGCCAACAGGCGAGGCCAGGGAAGTTCAGGTAGCGGTACGGAAAACTGGGGAGAGCTCGGGACCACAGTTCCAGGGTGGCATGACCCAGGTCCGGAGGGAAATGCTGACCTTGATCCATGCGGAGGAGGACGAACGTTGGGAGGACTTCGACTACTGTGGCGGAGAGGTACGCGGCATATTCTGTATCTCGTACTGCATGCTAATGCCAATGATTTTAGACCGCAGAGGCGAACGAAGCGTTCGAGTCGGTGTTTTCGACCTCGTTCCAAGAGCTAGAGTGTAAAACCGATATCACAACTCTGCTGAAAGACGTCCCTGGTTTGTAGCCGTTCTTCTCTCAGATCTCAATGTTGTATCATATCCTCGCTGCTGCTGTCCGGAACGTATCCGGGCTGCACCCGTAAAGCCAATCTCTGCGACGATCTGAGAATTCCGCCACAGAAGCAGGTCATCCTCCTTGTTCGGCTTCCCGACTCCCTGGCGTGTCGAAGCTGGACCCACGGCCGTGTTTATCTTCTCGACCACCACCACCACTCTCTGGCTATGTCTGACTTCAGCGACACTGAATCCGAGTCTAGCGTGTCTGAGAGTGGATGGGATGCAGCTGACTTCATGCAACTGGCCGCTGAGCTTGGGCGGATCGGGGAAACCCCTGCGCTACTGGAGGTACCAGACGCGCTCAACACTTTGCACAGTCTCGATATATGCGCTGTAGAACATGTGAGTTCCATACACGAAGAAAAACATTACCTTCTAGTCTGCTGGTGCTCACTTAAACCACCAGGACGAGCAGTTGCACGAGACTATACAGCATGTCTCGAATGCCCTGATATCCTTCCTTGACTCTATCGTTTTACCGCACGAGCGGCATATGGGAGAGGTGCAAGCCAACCTACTCGCGCTGCGTATGTCATTTGATGGTTGATACGCTACCAGCGCTGATATAGGATCCCACTCGCAGTGGACGAGTCATGCATGGCTCTGTTACTCCAATACAGGGTACTGTTCCGTGCCATTGCCTCTCGTAGCATGGTCGAGTCCTCGTCATCAATCCCGGTATGCTGGGTTGACGTCGTACTTGCTAAACTCGGGAACGCAATCGTCCAAGCCGCAGGGATGTTTTATGGCGTCCAGCCGTGCGAACAGAACCAGCCGGATGCTCTCCGCGCCCAGAGAGCGGATGACATGCTGCGCGCTGCAGTACAGCTACCTGGTGCAGTCCGACAAAACAGTCTCGCGGTTTTGGCTGCTTGAAACTGACGTCGTATCTATAGAGACATGGATCGATATTCAGCACGTCCTTAGCTCCGAATACGCCTCACCCGCGGCGACTAGGCTAGCATTTAGCCTGGTCTGGGGAATGACAGTAATGGCACACCAACTTGCAGAAGACGACTCGCTTGTCCCTTAGTCCGTTCATCTCGAATTACACCCACATACTGTCAATTAATCTGATATGCTCTCCGCACATAGTCATATCAAGGACGGTCTGTTTCGAGTGCTTCAGCAACACATCAAACAGCGGAACACTCGGAGAGTTCATCAAATGGATGTAGATGTGGATGAACACGAACGCGTATCCTACGCCATGCTGGTGTCCTTGTATGCGGTGAGGACCTCGTCAAGTCCCCCTGCTTGAGATGACCGGCATGACCAATATCGTTTAGTTTGCCGACACTACCGGTACAAGCGCCGCGGAGTCTCCATGCAGACCCCAAACGCACGCTACGTTGTTGGAGATGATCGACATCGCTCTACAGCCAGAGAGCACACTCCTAGCATCATGCAGTCTCCATCCAGCCGTTGACCTAAACGCGCCTCGAGCCATCATTTTGAAGTGGGGGCGCACCTTGCCTTGGTCCTGGAGAGTATGGCGGGATTCTCGATTATACCAGTCCGAACTCGTAGAACATCTAGTGAGTCACTGCACTCGCGTTCGTGCCATTCGTATGATGTACTGACGATGGAGGTTAGACTGCAAGCTGGCTGCACCATCTCGACGTGTCTGCCGCGGATATTTCAATAGGGCACTCCGTCGGATGGTGGGACGATCAGCTGGTGGACGCACTCGAGTGTGACCCTCCAACGGCCCTCTCCATGATGTCTGTGCGTAGCATCCTTGAGCTGTATCCCCCCGGGGCCTCAGGACTCACCCTCCAACAGCGTCTTCTTTTGGCTATCGTTACATCCAAGGACTCCGCGGTCGCACTGCGTGAGAATGCCACTATGGATGTTGTCTTGAAAATATGTTGGAGTGTCAAGCATATGCTACAAGCAATGCCTTTGGACGATGCGACGTTGTCAGTCTTATACGGGATCATGTATAAGCTATTTCTCCGACTCGGCGACCAGGCGCTAGACTTGGCCGGTAAGCAAACAATCCCAGCCATGTTGTGTCGTCTCATAGTATCATTCTAGTCAAGGACCTCATCGTAGAAGTGCTGTCGCTGTCGCTTGAGAACGTCCGCCTTGCATTGGCTTCTCTCTGCGACCCGAAGTCTGAATGCCCTCTTAAGTGGGAACAGAGTAAGCATTCTTTGTTCAGCTCTGTGGCATGCGTCTGACCTCATCTTGGCCTTTTCAGAACTTAGTCATCACATAAAGTGAGTTACCGATGGAGGACCACGCTGCCACACTCACCCGTTCTCTAGATCAGCCAACAAGTCTTGTCGAGACGATACCTCCGTGCTGGAACTACGCAGCATGAGACAAGCTTTGCAGGTCCTCGCTCTGGCCTGGAGAGCCGACTGTACGCCTTTCCCCGCGTCAGAAACGATGTCTCGGCGCTTTCTCTCTGTTCTTCTTGGCTGGCTGGAGTCGGAATCTCTAGAGTCGCTGGTCTGGACTATGCTCGGCGACGCAACAATCGGTGCACTGGCTGTGTCCTCACGCTCTGCTACAACTCTTACGGACTATTGTTGGGCTAACTTGATCTGGGGGCTCTTCCAGGACGCAGACCCGGCCGATCTTCCCATGGCCGGTAAGTGTCCACTCTTTCAGCACAAGCCTATTGCTGATACGGAATATAGCGTCACTTGCTGCATACATGATAGCTATAGTCCAAGTCAGCCCTGTCGAAGGTCTGGTATGCGCAGAGGCTTGGGATTACTTCCGCGACGTGATGCTGTTGATCCTCAACCGCGACTTTGGCGGGGCGGACGAACCATTCGCGCTTCTAGTCTGTCCTCCTATATGTCGAGTCCTCGTAGCACTGGTTCGGAACGCGCCTCAGGCTACTGGTGAGTTACCTCCACATTCGCGAGTCACTGGCGATTCATTGATCAGCCTTGGGGGAACCATAGTACGATATTACTCGGCATCTCCGTGGACCGGATGCATGGTCATGCACATGAAGAGTGTCAAAGAGGAGGACGAGCAAAACGATGAATATACGAGTATGCTCCGCGAATTGATCGGCCCATTCGTGGAGGTGCTCTTCCTTTCGGTAAGCTCATGCACGCAGTGGGTCACTCGATAGACCAGGCTAAAACGCGCTCATGTGTAGTTGGAGGAGAGAGCACGAAAGACGTCGCGAAAGACCCGCTCCAGGGGCACGGTCACCGATCAGCTTAAGGTATTCCAGAAAATCTTCAGCAATAGGACTGCGAGTCTTACTGTTACCTGCTAGAACCTGGATGACCTAGAATTCACGTTCTGTTGGAGTCAGGGACAGGCGTGTCTCGTTCCGAGTTGATTTAGAGTACGGGACAAATCCGTGAACGCAGTGCTGTACTGGCAGTGTACATAAATACTTAATGCTCGATTGTCATGGATCCGGTGTTCCGTTTTCTTTCTTTCTCACCTCACGGCGTGCCAGCGTCGGAACCAGTCCGCGTCACTCGGTGCAAGAAGCGAGAATCGCCACAAAAGGTACGGCGTCCAATTGGCCGCTAGCCACGGCGGAAGGACCACGACGTTGCACCGGCGTAAAACAGAGGAGGCTACAGCTTTACAACTAAAAACACAGCTGGCATTCGGGAACTTCGTACATGGGCGTGAGATACGCGTAAAACGTCCGACATCGTCCGTCAAAAGGCACCACTCAACACCCAAGAAGGAAAGCGAGCGAGGAACACCTACGAACTGCAAAGCAAGCACGAACAAACAGCGACAGGAAAGACGCGGTACGACCCGAGAGACCCGAGAGAGTAGACGTAATATTCTAACCGGGGACCGGGGAGAAAGAAGGCGGAGGTGGAGGGGAGGTCAGGTTTCGCTGGGATACGAAAAGTCGGGGCCTATGGAGGAAGGGAAATAAGGAGTCGAACTCGCGTGAGTCAAGCCGGTACGATATGCCAGAGGCCGGGGGGTGTCGCCGAGTGTAGAGTATCAAGTTATGGGGGGTGTGCGTGAGCCATAAGGCTCAAAAGCGCGGCGCGAGCCCCGCCCAGAAGCCCGTCGCAACGCCCTCGACGCCGAAGTCTCCGAACCGCGTGTCGCCTTCAAGCTCGGTCCCGTACATCGTCCGCTTCATCGGCGGTGCGGGCGTGTCGGGCGGCAGTGGGAGCGTGCTGCTCATCCCGAAAGACATCCCGATTTCAGTGCTGGACGCAATACGCCTGGTGAAGTTGGCGACTCCGTTGCTCAGGCTCGTGTTGGACTCCTCTTGCGACACTTCCGGGAGTGGGGGAAGGCCTGGAGTGCCTACCAATGCGGTTGGGTTGACCGTACCGACCCCGGAGGCACCGGGTTGTGGTTGGGATGCAGCTTGGGGATGGGAGGCACGACTGGCAGGTCTGCTCGCCGCGGACTGCGGCCGGGATGGAGACTCGCCATTGGCTTGAGCTTGGGACTGTGCGTGTCGTCGACCATGAGGGTGGTAGAGATCATTCCGTTCGATGCGTCCGCCTGCGCGTTCGACAAATCCACCAGAAGGAATGCCTCCTGGTGAGGGTGACGCTGGTGGCTCGGGGTAGGCAAAGGAAGGGTGGCCCATGTCGAACGGAGTGGAGGTCATGGGTTGGAAGATGGACGTGTTGAAGCTGAAGTTGAAACCCAGGTTGGGAGCATTCTCGTCGGCCCCTATAGGCCTGACGATGGTACCGCCGCCGTTATTCGTTGGCATCGGGGTGTGTCCTCCAGCGATAGTCGGTAGAGGGAAAAGATCGGACAGATGATCTGTTGGCGGAGGGGGGTCGATGTAGGATTCAGCCGGTTCTTCCGGGCCACTGAAGATGGTAAAGGTTGGTCGTGAGGGTGGTAGAAGAGGGTCTGGCAACTGTGAAGATCCTTGGTCGGCCGCATTCGACCCATGACGGTCCTCGTCTTGAGCCCCCGCAGCAAGCTTGAGCCTTTTCTTCGTCGGCCTCACTGCTTTCTTCTTCAGCTCGTCTTGGCTGTATCGACCTTCCTGCCCGGCCTCTACCACGTCGGTGCTGTCGCTGTCGTCCGAGTCGCGCTGCCGTTTGCCCAGCAGGGGCTGAGAGCCTCCATGAGGGGCTTCAATCTGTGCAAGCGAGTTTGCGGCCTTATGAGCTGGGTCACTTGCTGCCGCTGAAGCTTGGGAGCTACCGTCATCGCTACATAGTTGTGTCAGTACTCGTGCAATGGGAAGCATGAAGTAACATACGACGCGCGAGCTTTCCCTAAACTCTTCTCGGATGGCTGAGGAGCATCTGTCGTGGATCTCCGCATCAACTCGGACACTAGTTGTCTAAGTTGCTGGACTTCGTTCTGCAACTGCGATGTCATAGCCGCCTGAGAGCGTAAGGATTGCACTTCGGCTTGAACCAATTGCATTTGTGAGGTCAGCGCGTGAATGTCAGCCTCTCGATTCGATCGTTGTTGCAGCTCAGACTGTAATAGCTGGATCTGAGCTTGAAACGGCGTCACCTGGCAATGCATGTTAGTTCAAACCACAATGACAACGACTGCGAAAGCTATGTACCAATCCATTGATATACGCCCTAACTTGGTCAGGAATATCTAGCCGGATATCTGGAGAGGGCGCGGGATCTTCCTGAGGCATTGGCATTACAGGAATTGGAGGTTCATGGTCGTGAGCTGTGCCGGAGGGGCCAGCTTGCGGCACTTGTGGGGAATTAATACATCACTCATACCAAATGACACGTGCAATCTCACATTCGTATTCCATGGGTTCAGGTTCTGTAAAGAAGTCTAAGCCATTGGGTATGCCGGAATTGTAGGATAAACCGACCTTCTTCTTCCTGGATAGCAGCTTCCACCGGCTTCACACTTCTACTAGCCTTGCCACGCTTCCCTTTCACAGCGGAGCTGGTAGAACGCGTAACGGCACGAGCACCGCTGCCCCCAACCACGGTCGGCCTGCCTACGCCAAGCCTGTATTGGGTGTCTTTCGCCCTCCTGGTGCGTGGGGGTGGGTGCGGTGCTTCCGGTTCAGACGAGATTGTAGGAGCAACACTGCGACGATGCTGTTCTTCTTCGAAAGCGTGGTCTTCCTCATCGGAATCGTGGATGATTACGGAGGAGCTGGAAGTTCCTCGGGGACGAGAGGCTGGGGCTACTGCCCTACTAACTCTTCGTCCCGAAGGAGCACGTTGGGGCATCGGAGGTGTAGGACGAGGTCTTGCTGTGGTAGTGTCGATAAGAAGGTCGATCAAGGCTTCGGTCTTGAGATTTGCCTTAATGCCATAGTCCTGTGGGGCCGAATTAAGCATGCGAGGCAGGTACGGGCGCTATGCAGGAAGCGCACCTTGCATATCCTCTGTAGATCTGCACGCTTCATGCTCTTGAGCGACTCGCGATCGAGCGGCGCAGGCATGGCGGGCAACGGGTCTGCAGGAGACGGGAGAGAGCGGTGCGGGGGTAATTGCGGAGAGCGGAGGACGTGGTTCAAGCTCAAGCCGGGTTCAACGACCTCGGCCAAACAACGCCCAAACAACGCGAACCCTCGCGTCACATGACTTAGTGGGGCCGGCGCCTACGACGCGACATAACCAAGCGCCCGATATCTCGGCGGTCCTCTCTCAGCATCAAGCCACTCCGTCAGCCTGAGCGCGCCGCAGACGGCGAGCGACCGTCTGTCACCGTTTCACCGCCGTGAGTTCCTACGTTCTTGACTGCCCAACCCAGAGCTCTCTGTTCGCGATGTCGAAGCGCATACATACGGCCTGCGCGCGCCGACACTTCTCGATTGAGCGATCGTCGGGACACCGGTCCGCTGAGGGAGCAGGGGCAAGCAACAACACGCACTTGACGCCTTTGAGATCAGCTGAAGCACCTAACAGACTGCGTCCCATGCCTTCCCACCTGGTATTTATGGCCCGTCTTCCGTAGACGCACCCACCACCGCGACCTCCCTTTCGTCTCAGCCACCACCATGCCCCGCACGCTCGCCCTCGACGAGGTTGCCAAGCACAACTCCCGGAGGTGCGTGCCACAGCATGTGCATGCGGACGGACATGTTCACCCACGGTGGCATGCAGTTCGTGCTGGGTCATAATCAAGGACAAGGTGTACGACGTCACGGAGTTCTTAGCGGTATGGTTCTGTCAATCATGCCCTACAGCGGGTTCTCATGGCAGCCCACAGGACCACCCAGGAGGGGCAAAGATCATCCTCAAGTATGCGGGGAAGGACGCGACGTCGGCATATGAGCCAATACATCCCCCGGACGCTCTCGATAAGAACCTCCCCGCTGAGAAGCACCTCGGCGTGCTGGACAACGCCTCCGCGAGCGCCGTTCAGGAAGCCGCCCAGAATCGGCCGAAGACCAAGGACGAACTACGGGTGGAAGCCGCGCAGGCTGCAAAGCCGGCCCTCAGCAGAATGTTGAGCTTACGGGACATTGAGGTGCGCGCGCGCCTGAGAAATCAAGAGCTTCTTATTCGCTGACTGGCGTTCGCCACCAGGACGTCGCGCGGCAGGTGCTCTCGTACAAGGCGTTCGCATACTATTCATCTGCCGCAGACGACGAGCTGAGTATGCATATTACTGCTAAGGTTCGACATGCAGTGTGCCAATGACTACGTAAACAGCACACCAGGAGAACATCCGCGCCTTCTCCCGCTTCTTCTTCCATCCTCGTGTGATGAGGCCCGTGGCCCAATGTGACCCATCAACAACCATACTGGGCTTCAAGTCCTCAATACCGGTCTTCGCGAGCGGTGCTGCACTCGCGCGGCTGGGGCACCCACTGGGTACAGCTCGTTGTCTCACTCTATGTGATGACCAGGGAACTGACGCCACTGTACGCAGGTGAAGCCAACATCACGCGTGGGTGCGCGCGCACCGGGATCATCCAGATGGTGTCTTCAAATGCCTCGCTTTCCTTCGCACAGATCGCCGAGGCGCGCGTGAGCCCCGACCAACCCCTGTTCTTCCAGCTGTACAAACACCGGGACGACAAGATCGCGGAGCAGCGGGTGCGCGAGGTCATCTCGCTGGGCTACAGCGCGATATTCCTGACCGTCGACGCCATCTGCGCGGGCAACCGTGAGCGCGACATCCGCGCGCCCTTTGAGCTCGAGCAGCAGGAGCGCGAGGCGAATAAGGCGGACCAACCCACAGACGCCCCGGGGAAGCCGGAGCAGGAGGACGGGGAGAACGTCAACCTGCTGGGCACGGCTGGCGCCTTAATCGCCAATGACGACCTGGACATGACTTGGGAGAAGACCATTCCGTGGCTGAGGTCTATCACGAAGCTTCCTATAGTCGTCAAGGGCGTCCAGTGTGTGCAGGTGGGCGCGAGGATTTAGCATCTAGGACGGACCCTCTGACTAAGTAAACCGCAGGACGCCGTGCTTGCTGCGGAGGCGGGCGTCGACGGCATACTACTTTCAAATCATGGCGGCCGGCAGCTCGAGTTGTGAGCATTTGTAGGAACGCATCCGATGACCACGGCTGACCACAGTTCCACAGCGCCCTCCCTTCCATCGAGGTGCTGTACCGAATCCGGAAGCAACGGCCAGACGTGTTCGACAAGCTCGAGGGTGCGCCCGTCTGCTGCGTTTCCCTTTATGCTGGAGCTAATTGTCCTGTCCAGTCTACATTGATGGTGGTGCACGGAGAGGAACTGGTGGGCGGCCCAGCTAGTGAGAAGCTGGTTCACATACTGATCCTCTCCTAGATGTCTTGAAGGCGCTCTGCCTTGGAGCCAAAGCTGTCGGGATGGGTCGACCGTTCCTCTACGCTCAGAGTGTATGTCGTTCCCCCTACATCAAGTTCCCGTAATTGACGACCCTACAGGCGTACGGCGAAGACGGCGTCATCAGAACCGTCGACATCCTCAAGCGCGAGATCGTCACCGGCATGCGCCTCCTCGGCGTGCAGAACGTCAACCAATTGGCCCCCGAGATGGTGAGCACTAACTTTCAGCTGCGTTCATTATCAGTCCCACAGGAGGCTAGAGCTGATACGGCCGCCCGCGCGCAGGTCGAGAACGTCAACTGGCAACCGCTGGTCGCGAGACTGTAGTCGATCTAGGCACCATGTATGGTTTCTTGGTTACAGGCCCGCCACAGGGCCACACATGCTTTATAGACACAACATCCTTCCGTGTGCAGACCCGAACAACCAGCATGAGTTGCGTACGTCGTGGAAATTCGTTACGGCACGCCGAGAGTGATCACAACGACAGCTAAGATAGCTTAGACGGTACTAGTACAATATGAAGAGAATAATGATAGTGTCCAATTGATGTCTTTTTACACGGGGCCGGATCGCCTCCGCACGGTCCTACATACAAAAGTACATGGGTTGAACGGGTCCGCGCGGACGGTGCGTCCGCCTATGTGCGCGAGACACCAGAAAGCTTACACAGGGTAGCTCATCTGGGTTTTCGACAGCGATGACAGCAACGACGACAAAGACAGCGGCGACATCAGCGAAGGCGGGTGTTTACCACCGCCTCCCCGGAGGGGTGCCAGACCCACTCGGGGGGCTCGCAAGCGTCGCAGTGTCAGTCGGCGACGTCTTCTCCTCGACCGGGGTCAGGTTCACCACCGACAGGCGGGGGCGTGGGGGCAGGCCCACCGCGCGACGGAAGCGCGGTGCGGGGATGGGGGCGGCAGCCTGAGCGGGCTGGGTGGGTTGGGGTTGTGGCTGCGCGGGCGGAGAACGGGGCTGGGGCTGCACTGCGGGCTGGGGGACGGGAGGCAAAGCTCTGCGGCCGCCGGAAGGCGTGCGCACGGGCGACGCCGCCAAGGGCGAGGGCTGGGGAGGCGCGGCAAGGCTGGCGGGGGACGGCTCGCTTTGGCTGGGAGGTGGGATGGCGAGCGTGGGGCGGACGAACTGCGCAGTGCTCACGACTGCGTCGTCGACTGAGCCGTCGTCGGAGTAGACGGCGGAAAACGCGGAGATCGTGCTGTCCTTGTTGCTCTTGGGGACCGACAAGCCTTGGCGCACCCAGTCAGTTATGCCAGCCAATAAACTCGGGAAGAGACTACTCACTGCCAATGAACGACGTGATCTCATACTGCGTCCCCAGCGAGTCGTTCTTCCTGATCCGGCTCTCCGCAACGCTCGAATCCGCCGAGAAGCGCGAGCCCATCGCTGCGGGCATTACCGGCGGCGCGAGCGAGCTCATCGGCGACTCAGCACGCGAGAAGCCGTCATCGTCGGCCTCGCTCGGTGCCTCGACCGCAATACCCATCTGCGGGAACACGCCCGAGTCCATGCTACCGCGGTTCAGCGGCGGCACGTGCGGGAGGTTGCTGAACGAGAACTCGCTGCGTGCGGATGACTGCGGGAAGACGTTCGTGCGCGGCGTCGCGAGAGTGAAGTCCGGGCTCGGGGCGGGCAGCTCGGGGCTCTCCATACTGGGCACCGTCGAGAGGCGCTCCGCAGACACAGACGGCTGGGCAAGCTGGTTGTAGAAGGCCTCGGGCGCGACGGGCATCGCGCTGACGTCGAATGCTACAGACTTGGACGGAGAGTAGAGCCGGAGCGCAGCGATGGACGCGTCGAGCTCCGTCTGCCGCCGGAGGAGAATAGACATGTTCGAGGAGCGCGCGGAGTCGGGCTGGATGGGCGAGCCTGGTTCGAGCATCTGGGAGTAGGGGCGCGGCATGGGCGGGAGCGGACGGCTACGCGGGAGGGGGGTGACTGCTGCAGAGCCGATGGGGGACATGGGGTACGGTGAGCCCAAGTATTCGCCGTCCATGCTGCCCGGGCGCGAGTAGGACGGAGAGAGAAGATCGGAGGCTTGCAACTTCGAGGTGTCCGCGGGCTGGTAGTACTGCTGGCTGAGGGCGTTGGCGACTGTGTCCTCACCGACGCCCGAGTACCTCACGGCATTGGAATACTCCACGTCCTGCCAGTCCCTCTCAAGGACAGGCGTCGTCTCCTCCTCCTCCGACTCGGGTTCGATGATGCCAGGCGCGGGTGGGAGATCCCTCAGGCTGCTGGGAGCGGGCGAAGCAATATCGCGCTCCATGGCAGGCCACGGCGAGTATTCCGGAACGGGGGAAACGCCGCGCTGTTCGTCCTCGTCGATCATAGGCGGAGGAGGCAGGGGCGGGGATTCCATGCGCGGCTTCTCGTCAGTGTACCACGTCGGCGTCCTTCCCGTCGTCGGAGAGGGCCCGCGTTCCGCGTCAACATCCCAAGGCTGCACTTCCTGGCTTTGCTGAGGCATCGGGCGCGCAATGCCAAGCCATGTTGAGAGACGGGCGGCCATCGACTGATGCTGGCTGTTGTTCTCGATGGTGGGCGCGCGGGAGCTATCACGCATCACTGTCTGAGGCATCTCCTCCTGCTGGCGGTAGCGCTCTTCCAACACCTGCATGAAGTCGACCCTCACTGGCTCAGGCGCGGGGGGAGGGCTTGCGACGGCAGCTACCTTCTCATCGTTGTACTTCATGATAGAATTCCGCTCGAAGGTGCCCGCGCGCGAGAGTGCTTTCGGCGCGGGGCGGTAGATGGGGAAGAACGAGAGATGGCGGAGATGGTGGAACGAGACAGTGAGCATGTAGACGATCAAGATGTACAGCTCGATCGCTCGCAGGAAGCGGCCCAATGCCGTTTCAGTGAAGTCATCTGCATCGTCGCCGTCAGTTTCGGGTGAATAGACATAGCAGCCAATGTTCACGTACACAGGATGGCGTTGCCCACCGCAATCCAGAGGCTGAACAGAAGGGCAACGATCATGGGTGCGTACTGCACTAGCATGGCTCCCTTCGTCGGCATAGTGGTCCCTGAGGGAACCCGTGCCCAGGTGTTGAGGAGCAGCTTCAAGATGAACACCGCGGATACGATGATCTCCAGAGTTGCCTCGGTTTCGTAGATCGGCCCAAGCTTCGCTAGCGTAGCTACATCTCGGTAGACGAGCTGGAAGATGGTGATAAGGAGCACCAACAACAGAGTCAACCACTTCAGCATCTTGCCTAGGAGGCCCCAACGTTGCCAGCTACCGCTGTGTATCACAGTGTTCTCCGGGATGGTCTCCCCGAGAGGGATGGCAGCGACGAAACCCCAGTAAAACAGAAAGCGCAGTCCATCCGAGAAGGCAAAGAAGACTTCGCGGGCCGTGATGAGCCCAGAGACACTGGCCGTGTTGATCCCCAGATCCACCGCCTCTTTCCCTCGAATGAGTAGCTGAGAGAGGTCGAAGAGAGCGGCAAGGAAGGCCACAAGGACCGACAAGTGCAAGCAGAAGACCAATCTGGAAAAAAGCTCTAGCGCTAGCAGGCGGCGCAAAGAAGGACCTGCACTCACTTGTCGACGCGCTTCATCAGGAAGAAGAACATCAGCACCCCAAACGCCAATATGCCCACGGCGAAGAGAGGGACATCGGCAAGGATGAGTTGGATCTGAGCGGGTATTAGCGCAAGAAGACTCGCATGTGTGATCGCGAGGCTTACTGCAGTGTCGCTGCTCAGACTGGAGATCGCGACTCCAGGTTCGAATGCATCAGCACTCATAGTGTCTTTGGTGTTGCCGGTAGAGGGATGAGACCCGGGTAAGGAATGGAGTGTTCGAAGGATTGTGTCCAGAGAGAATAGAAGATAATTAAAAAGCCAGCTGGTCGGTGTACGCACGTAGCGTCAGTCCTGCTGAGAAGCGCTACGAGGACCAGAGGGTGCTGAGATACAATCTCAGCGGAAGGGTGACCCGGTCCTGTACGGAAAGCACCCGACAGAGAACGCGACGCTGCGCGGTGGTCGAGAATGAAAGAGGGCAGAAGGAGCGGGAGGGAGAGCTCGAGGGTGCGCGGCATGCGCCGCCAGGGCTTTGAGGGACTCGGGAGGACCGGGCGGGGTGGATTGCCCTTAGCGACGAGCAGATGGGGGGTTTGTCCAGCTGAGGAACGCGCCTATCTCGCTTGTGATCTCGACCAAGATTCTGACGTTTCCTGTCGTTTCCTCCGGCAACCTCGCGAGGGGAACGCGCGGGAGACGCACCTGCTCAGGGCCCCTCAGGTCCCGGCCCTCCAAGTGCGGCTGTCGGGAGCTGGCATGGCTACGAGCTCATGCATTACGGTAGACTCTTGTGGACCACGGTCGGTTCTGAGTATCATATATGTGCTGCGAATGGTCGTATGCGGCTTGGCAGACGAGTTCGTGTGTCCTTGGCACGCGGACAGTGAGGGATTTGGGCAGGTGGTCGCGGTCAAAGACGCGCACCAAGTGCCCGTTGCACTCGACGCTGCCTCGCGAGATGAGCCAATCAGCACGCTGGGTTTATGTCCTAATATGGAAATGTGGCGGGAAACATCCCGTCTCTGCTATACGGTCACTCCACCGCGGTTGATCTCAGTTGCAGACAAATGATGCATGTTTCATCTCTCAAACCTCTCACAAGCGTGTATATGTTTCGCTCTTGGCCACAGAACCAACCGAACACCGGAGAAGTTGAGAGACTCAGAGCACCAAACAGCACCTAACCTTAATCTAGAGTTCTCAAAGCAGCTCGCTAAACTTTTGCGGTGCATGCACACATCCTCCCATCCTCCCTGTGATCGCGAATCGACGTTATGTCGCACCCAACCGCGGAGCTGCGTGAGAGGCGCATAGTCGTGCTCATATCGGGTTCAGGTGAGTAGTATGCGCTGTCGTGTGAATGAGGAGACTGAGAGCATGCGCCCAGGGTCAAATCTGCAGGCTCTGATCGACGCCCAAAACACCCCCGCGCTTCCCTCCACCCGAATTTCCCTCGTCCTCTCCAACCGAAAAGCAGCGTATGGGCTCACCCGAGCTGCGCAGGCAACTCCTCCTATTCCCACCGCATACCTTGCCCTCCAGCCATACCTCAAGGCGAACCCCGGCAAGACACGAGCGGACTACGATGTCGAAGTCGCTCGCATCGTTGTGCAGGAGAACCCGGACCTCGTCGTTCTTGCCGGGTGGATGCACATCATGAGTGAGGGGTTCCTCGATGTTGTCAACGGTGATCGACCATACGATGGCGAAAAGCGGGTGGTCAAGCCCATCCCCGTAATTAACCTCCACCCTGCTCTCCCTGGCGCTTTCGACGGCGCACACGCGATCGAGCGAGCCTACGAGGCATTCCAGAAGGGGGAGATCAAGCACTCCGGGGCTATGGTTCACCGCGTGGTGAAAGAGGTCGACCGCGGAGAGCCTGTGCTGGTCCGGAATGTGGAGATCCTACCTGGGGAGCCTATAGAGGCGTTTGAAGAGAGGCTGCACAAGATCGAATGGCAGATTATAGTGGAGGGCACGGCGAAGGTACTGGAGGAAATCGCACCTGTAACAGTGAGTCCTCTACGCTATCGTTGTTCAGTTCCTGACTGTCCAGTTGTTACTAGTCTGTATCATCATAACATGTTGTATCCATATCCGCCAGAAGAGCACTTGGCCCAACCCGCACCGATTCGTCTGTCGCCTGTCTTCGCAAGACGCTATAGGGTTCATCATCCTGGTATCTGCTGACCATTTTGAAATACAGTGCATGTGAAATGTCTCGTATATCTGCGGTAAGCGGTCCTAGGAATTGACAGGGAAGTCCCTAGCTCAGCGGGGATATCTGGGTCATGCGCTGACGCAGGCGCGGTTTGACATCTCCCTTGAACCGCATCTGTTCACATAGCTCGGGATGTCGACACGCCGTCGCCTCCGCATAGCAAACCTGCTAGGGGCACTTGCTAGTATCTCAAGCAGTGCCGCCTGTTAGGGAGACTGCGCAGCTATCGTTTTACGTCCTCGTTGCCGTACCTCTAATAACCTCCTTTAGTGACTACACCTCATCTCTTATCCCCCAACCTGCACCACACAGGCCCTCCCAGCAAATGTGGCTGCTCAGTACCGATCGCGCTGAGCTCACGTACTTCAATGAACCTCCTGCCAAATATGCGATCCTTTCCCACGTCTGGGGCCAGCACGAGCAGTCCTTCCAGGACATCCAGGCACTACGCGACTTATGTTCCTTGGACGACGGTAAAACGCCGCGCTCCTGCGCGTCCGCAAAGATTCGGGCGTGTTGCATGTACGCTGAAGCGGATGGCTACGAATGGCTGTGGATCGATACTTGTTGCATCGACAAGACCAGCAGCGCCGAGCTATCCGAGGCCATCAACTCCATGTACGACTGGTATTCGCGCGCATCTGCGTGCTACGCGTATCTGGCAGACGTTCCAACGGACGAAGATCCCGCAGCGCCGGACTCGGCGTTCCGCCAGAGCATCTGGTTCCGACGCAGCTGGACCCTCCAGGAGCTCATTGCCCCGCAGGAGGTCGTCTTCCTCTCCAAGGACTGGGAGACACTCGGGAACAAGTACCTGTGGCCGGGCCTCCTGCAAGAGATCACGGGCATCGAGGCGGAGGTGCTCACCTTCCTCAAGCCGCTCTCGTCGATCCCGATCGCCCTCCGCATGCGCTGGGCGGCAGGCAGGCAAACCACACGGATCGAAGACGAGGCGTACGCGCTCATGGGCATCTTTGGCGTGAACATGCCGACCATCTACGGGGAGGGGAGGCGCGCGTTCCGGCGGCTGCAGGAGGAGATCATGAGGCAGACCCCAGACCAGACACTGTTCTTGTGGGGCAGCTCGCTGTGTCCTGGAGCTTGCTCAGACTGCATGCTTCAGACCCCGTCGCACCTTCACGACTACCAAGGACTATTGGCAGATGCCCCATCGGACTTTGCGTCGGCGTCAGACCTGGTGCCCATCCCTTACGAGCACATGAGCAGGGCGTTTTCGTCATTTGCGGTGCACCTCGGCCTACAGGCTCCTGTAAGTAGCACTCCTTATCCGGGGATGTCGGTTATACACGATCTCACGCATTACACTCCAGGAAGCCAAAGACGGGTTCGGTCAAATTTTGGCTACTACTACGCTGCCCGAGTTCACGCTCACCAGCCACGGCATCCGGGCCCGCCTACCTGTCATCGAGCCCGTCGACATCGTCACGTCCCGCTCCACTGTCCGATACGCGCTCGCGCTCCTCGCCTGCGCACGTTCACCACGGAAGCCCTGCCCATACGTCGCGCTCCTCCTACGCCCCCACCCAGGCAACGCGCCCGTCTACCACGTCGGGCTCGCAGTCCGGCACACGCACGGGCGGCCCGGCGACTCGCTCACCACAGACATCGCCCGCTACGCCGACGCCGAGTCCCTCGCGCACCGCGTCGCGCTCCAGCCCGACGCGCGCATGCGCTGGGCGGAGCTCTACATCACCTCGTGCAGCAGCGACGCGCCCTTCCTCCCCGCTCCGCGCCGCCTCTCGCACGCGCACCACACGGCCGGCAGCGCGCAGTACTACGTCGTCTTCCCCGCGTGGCTCGTCGCGCGCCTGCGCCGCGCGGGCTTCGAGACGCCCGACTGGCTCCCGAGCCGCCCGCACGAGGGCCGGCTGCTCGACCGCGCGCATGCGGTGTTCGCGTTCTCGTTCGCGCACACGCTCGCGTCCGGGGTGGAGTGCTTCCGGATCTACGTGGGCCTGTGCCCGACGAGGGCGGGGCACGGGCTGTGGGCCGCGGTGGAGATCTCGTCGCATATGGGCCGCGTGGAGGCGGACATGCATGATTGCGCGTCTGACTGCGACCGGCCGCATCTGCTGTGCGCGGGCGGTGGAGAGGCGCACAGAGGCGTTGCGGCGGGAGGTGGTGCGCGTGTCGAGATGGCGTTTGGTGACATGAAGCGGATGGTGCATCTTTCGGTGGGGAAGTCGGACAGGACGTTGGGCTCGACGAATGTGTCTGTGCTGGTCATCCATGTCGAGCTTGGCGGCTTGGTGTATGAACAACTCGAGAAGAGGATGGCTGAGATAAGAGAGTCGGAAGACTCCTTTACGATTGTTGCGTAACGTTAACGCTGGTTACTGTATATCACTTGTACTTGTCTCTTTTAACTAAGCTCACCGAGCGGAAGGGGAAGATATCAATCATTTCCATGATCACATTCGAGTTCGATGCGCTGCTGTGCACTCAAACTTGCCTCTTCCTGAATAGCACCTCCCCGGCAGGCGCAGCGAGCACGCCTTCGCCCCAGTACATATTCTCAGGGCGCTTTCCATCCCCCGGAAGCTTCACGTCGTAGTTCAGCACGATGTGCGCCAGCATTGCCTTGAGCTCGTTCGCAGCGAAGAATCGACCAGGGCTGAGCAACACGCGCCGCGTACCGCACCAGGTCATGATCGAAATCAGCCATGCACTTCCCCACACGCGCCTCTCCTGAAAGACAAAGACTCACCAAGCATGCTTTCCATGACCGAAGGAGACGTAGTCGATGGACGTGTTGACGTACTGGTGCTTCGCAGCCTCGCCCTCCTGCTCGCGCATGCGCGAGAAGCGGAACGCGTCGAATCTGGCCGCATCTTCATAGAGGGACTCGTCGTGGTGCATCGAGTAGACAGGCACTGAGAGCAGCGTGCCCTTGGGAATATACGTGCCGTCACTGAGCGTGATGTCCTTGTGCGCTACGCGCATGAGGGAGACTGCCGCCGCGTGTTAGACGTCGGGGGCCGTAGATAGTAGCCACAAGCACATACTGATGTTGACACCGTTGTGGCGTTGGGACTCGCGCAGGAAGCTGTCGAGCTTCCACATCTTGGCCATGGAGTTCTTCGTCCAACCCTCTTCATTGATCAGAGATTCGATCTCCTCGCGAAGGGGTTTCAGCAGCTCGGGACGCTCGGCCAGATGGTAGAGTGCGTGGGAGACACTCTGCAGGACGGAGTAAGAACATATCATCGAGTGTCAGTGAAAGCTGTGGACGGCGTACGTTGGACGAAGTATGTATAGCGGCGAAGTTGACGACGAGCATACGCTCGACAATGGCCTTGACCGAGGGGTCCCGGGTTGCAGCCGCCTCCATGATCCACTGAAGCATGTCATTCTACAACACTACTCGTCAGACGCGTTCAAGTTAAGTGCAACACACCATCACTTACCGGCTTTTCCGACCAGTCATCGCCGTGCTCCGCCATTAGCCGTTGACGCTCCTTGATCAGAGGAGCTAAGTACACCGCAACCTGACGTACACTCGTTGCGCTCTTGCTGACAAGACGCCCGATTATCCTGAAGGATTTATGTTAAATACGTGCGTCGTGGACGTGCTTCGCTCGTTCGTCACTCACGGCTTCAGCACCTCTGGGAAAATGTTGATCATTGCCCTGTCCTTCATGACGCTGATAGTAAAGTCGACAGCAAGGTCGAGATAGCCCTTGTTGCGGCCTGATCGGGTTTGCGTGAGGATGAGGCCTTGGAAGCTGAAGACGCACGTACATAAGGGCAGTCCAACGAAGACACGGCTGCTCGCACGAGCGACAATGTCTCGTGTCTTCTCCGAAACGTTGACGCTCAACCACGCTGCAAACAAGAAATCAATCACTCCCGTAGGTCACTCCAACTGCGAGTACTCACCGTCTCCCTCAGTAGGGATGTGCTCCCGAGTCGCCACAGTGAGCTCATCGATGACATCGGGGAGGACCGCCGGAAGACCGCGCGCGAGCTTGTCCCGGATGATGTCCGCATGGAACGGGTCGTTATGGACGTCCTCTCCGAGCGTGTACTTCGTTTGAACGAACTGTGGAAGTATCAATAAAATGAGCAATAAACACTTAGCCAGAGTCAGCCGATGCGCACCTGCCCGAGCCCGTCTATGTTGTCCAACTCTTCGTCCGGGCGCTTCCTCACTTCCTCCACGAGCTTCGGGCCACTGGCAACGACCAGCCAGCGGTCGAGCATAGCGACCTTGAACGTCGTGCCGTGATACTGAAGAGGGCCGCATGATTGTACGAATCATTTGAGAGCATTCCCGGACTCACTTTGTCGTAGCCTTCCTGTAGCATCTCCTTGCCATGATGGACCCATCTGAATGCCCCACCATACGAAAGAAGGGGTAGATCAGAGCCCCCGACGGTGGGTATAGCCCGCAGCTAGTAGATAAGCAGAGGATTATCAGCGTATAGCATCCGGCAAGACTGCATAAACACAGCACTTACCGGATCGGTGTACCACCTGACGATGAAGGCCACGGCCGCAACCGCGACGCAAGCGTAGATGATAGACGGGTCCTCCATGTCACAAACACGAGTAGGACGAGATGGCTGTGGGTGAACAGGCCGTGTGGATAGATCGCCCGCACCAGGGCGGTATATATGGGGTCGGTAGGCGCATGCCGTTACGGGATTCCGAAGTTGATGTGCGTGCTATCAGGGCGTCAGCCAGTATGAATACATGAGAAGCGAACCTGAAGGGACGTGACTCAGGGAAGTTGACATACTAGGAGGTCCTATGTGTTAAGCTCGGCGCCCGTTGTTTCTAGATCTGGGCATGGCAGTTTGATACTCTCAGCGAGTAGCTGCGTCGTCGTCCAATCGAGTGCGACGCAACTGGGAAGTCGAGGGTCCATGGTGTGCGTTGTCTAGACGGAGGGGTTTGTGAAATGAGGTTGTTCTCTACTCAGCAACGATGATGTGCGGAATACCCGCAGTGTACCCGCAGTGTAAGGCATCATGACACAAAGGTCGGGCGCGGGTGCATGCCCGCGTGAAAGAAGCTGAAGGTAGGGTTCTACAGATCACGAAGTGATATCCGTACCATGAATCCGGGGCGAAAAAGCACAGTATGTAGTGCTGCTTTACCACAATGACAGGCTCTTCCGTTACTCTGCCGCCGGTGTTTCCATAGGTTCGTTTCTCAATCCCCCGGGCCCGGGTGGTCTGTGTTGTATGGTTGCAAGAAAGCCGCATTCGCTCCCCATCGATTGTACGTGCTCGAACAAATGTTGGTATTGCCGAGATCAAGAACGGGGCCATGCCAGACTGACGCCGTAAGCTGTGTTCGCAACTCGAGTTGCTACTTCTGTGCTGCTGCACATGTGTTAGCGTACGCGCGGTCAGCGCCACAATGCACCATACGTACACCGACGCTGAGGATTATGTACCCCAGGTCTAGCAAGTCCGTGAGAGGAGCGGACTCACGATGGATGCGCCTACCAGGGACCCAAGATACACGGCGAGTTGCGATGCCACGTACACGCCCAGGTAGACGCGGTCACGTGGGGCGCGTCAGTGACGTCAGGCCCCTTGCCGGAGCTATATCATGGCTGGAGCGAGGCGGATGCGCACTGCAACCCACGATGTCTGCCTTCCCCGACTACTACAAGCTCCTCAGCGTCCCCAGGTCCGCAACGACGGAGGAGATTCGCACGGCGTACAAGAAGGAGTCTCTCAAGTGAGTGCCTGTTATGTGTCGCAGTTGGCGTGATATTCATCCCTGCAGCTACGCAGGACACATCCCGATAGACTTGTAAATGCGACCCCAGCGGAGAAGCAGGCGGCTACAGAGCGGTTCCAGGTACGTTATAATCACCTCTATGCTCTAGAGAAGTGTTATTGAATCATAAACAGGCCGTAGCGGACGCATACTACGTGCTGTCGGACGGTGCCCGACGAAAGGAGTACGACATCCTATACACTACTCGCGGTCCTTCAGAGCGTACGGAACAGCCGAACGCCTCTGCCAACTTCTTCTCCACATTCGCGAACATGTTTGGCGCAGGAGGTGCGGGTGCTCAGACCAATGCTGGGCCGACCCCAGGGGACAGGCCAGACGCAGAGCATGTGTTTGCAGACGTCTTCGAAGAGGTGGGTACACATCCTGCAGGCCGATTGTACCATATTAATATATGACGGGAACAGCTGCTTCGTCCCGAGGTCGACAGACATGTCCCATGGTGGACGTGGGTTGGTGCCATCTGCGGAGCCGGCTTGGGCTTTATCATCGCCAACATCCCCGGCCTTATGGCTGGCGCGTATGCGGGGAACCGCCTGGGTGCAATCAGGGACGCGAAGGGGAAGAGCGTCGCTGCGGTGTTCGGCCAGCTTGGAGGCAGTCAGAAAGCGGATGTACGTTGCATATCCATTTCCCCGTGCGTGCGATGACTGACAGCATCCTCCAATACAGATTCTGCGTGCGCTAGCTGCAAAGGTTCTGGGCGCAGCTGCGACCTCCTTCTGATCGTATTGTCTCATGAGACTTTTGACTGGTGCTTGTTGCTACGTGTATGTTCGTTCTGTACGCTAAGATTATGGCTGTAATACATGTATTGGATGGACCCTTGAGATATATATTAAGCGTGCGCCGGAGGTGGGGCCGGGAGGGCGGGGAAGCGTCGGGAGCTCGGCCCCGGGGCGGCCAGATCCAGGCGATCGGCGCGGCCAATTTGAAGACGGCGTCGGGACGTGCGTCCCTGGAACATCGTCTGCTCAGCCTTGGCTCAGCCCCATCGATGCAGCTCACGCCTTCTCCTCCTGTTCTCTTACGTCTGCCTCATACCTCTCCGACTGCATTCATTTAGCACACGATGGCGGACACGCGCAACTCGCGTGCGGACACGCCCCGGTCGCGTGCCCCGCAGAGGACTTCGCAAGGTACTTCTACAGGACTTCCCTACAAGCTTGTGCAGTACCCCACAGCTACTTGAGCTATGCTTACACGTTCTCGGAAACCAGCGACACGCAGGGCGAGCAGTGTTCCGGCGGTCGGGACCAAGAGACCAGAGTACATCCTCGGTACGCATCCCTGTTAGATCGACGTCTGACCAGCACTCACGCGAGCGTATGTGACGACTTCTGCAGACTGTGTCCTCATGACCCCTCGGAAACGAAGTGAGAAGAACGGCCCTCTTGCGCCAAGATGTCCCGCCGACAATGCTTAACTTCTCTTCGCAGAACGCACTACTTCGCACGAAGATCTTCCGGCCGGCCCAGCATCCCAGTCTCAGCCTCAAAGCTCGCGCCTAGGCGCGTTCGCGCAGTGCGTCCGTTGCTGTAAACTTTGTCCACTGATCGTCATCGTCTAAAGGGTGATATGGTAGCTTGCAGAAGAAACTCCCCGCCCGTACAACTCGGAGCCGGGCCCGGTCCACTGAGAAGTCGGACGCCCCCTACTACGCTCCCTCATCTTCACGCACAAGTCCAGTCCGTCGGAAGCGGGCGTCTTCGCCTAACCCTGCGGTCGAAAGGGTTACCCGGAGCAGGGCGGCATCAATGTCACGGAGTATGGGCGACCCTGTCGCGGGACCCTCGACTAGTACTGCCCCAAGACGGCGTACATCCTCGCGCGCATCAGCCAAACCGGCGCCTCCGTCCCGGGCGTCCGCTTCTTCGCGGCGGAATAAAGGGAAGGCAAGGGTCTCGCAGGTGGCGATCGACTTCGAGACGTCCTCGAATCCGGACATGGACGAAGACGAGTCGTCCGCGGGCGGCGCGCGCCGGGCGTCGAAGCGGCGCAGGGTCTCGCCGCAGCTGGCGCCCGACAGCCCAGAGTTCAGCCCGACGGGCACGGTGGTGGGCGCGGAGGCGGCGGACAACGGGGAGACGGCGGTCGAGGAGGACTTCCAGATGCTCGACATGCCGGACGATGCGTCTCTTCCATGGGTGCAAATCGATCCGCAGTCCAAGGAGTCCACGTACGTGCCCCCAGGCCTCAACGCGCTCATCGAAGGTCAGTCTCATAACTCCCCTCCTCCCTCAACATGTCGCGATTTGAATGCACCACCGAACGCTGACCACACACCACCCCGACAGACATGAAGCGCGCGCTCGTGCTGCAGATGTCCGCGCGCCAGAAAGCAGAGGCGCTGCACGCGGAGGAGCTGCAGCGGCGGCGCGAGCTCGAGTACGAGGCCGCGCGCCTCGCGGCCGCGAACCGCGCGCTCGAGGAGGAGCGCTCGGTGTGGACGGCGTCCGCGGCGGAGGCGCTCGCGTGCAACCTCGAGTCTGCGCTCGTCGCCGACATGTCGCGGCGGCGCGCACCACCGCATGCGTTTATCGGGATCGGGGAGGCGGAGGCGGAGGGGCAGAGGGACGCGGAGATGTCGGACTTGGTTGGGCGCGCCGGTCCACTGGGAGGTGGCCGCGGCGCTGTTCCGTTGACGATGGGGCCACAGTTGGAGGTGGAGGGCGTGGCGGGCACTCGGAATCGGGGTGGCCGTCCGGCCGAGCTGAGTTGGCTATCGGCGGCGCAGCCGTAGCCCTCGGCTACGCGGGAGACGGCAAGTGCTTCAGCTTCTGCGTCGAAGCCTGACGCGGTGCTGAACTGTGCTGTTCAACAGCTCCCGACAGATACCTAGGATTGTTCCGTCATCTGCCCGTCGGAGGTACCTGACAGACTGCGACACGGAAGGACGGACGCGAGCACACGAACACTGGCGGAGGGACGGATACCCCTGGCTGGAAGCTATCCAACAATGTGGGCGGGAAAGTACAGGACGGTGCGGGACATGCGAACGCGCGAGAGATGCATCAGATGTTCATTTTACATCGATATTCGACTCGTTCTAGTATTAATACAAGCGGGCTAGTGCGATGCCATTGTTTCTGGGTAGGGTGTGTTCGCGCGCGCCGGATCCGATCATAAGGCCGGCGCCGCGCTGAGAGTGTGTTCGACGTACGTACGTGGAGAATGCATGGGTGGGATACAGGTGATTAAGACGGTTTGCGTATGGAGAGTGTAAGACAAAAATAACAACCAAGAGGACCAAAACGAAAAGGACATCGGAAGCGGGGCGAAACTGGACGGAACATCGGGAGCGTTCGAGCGGGAACGGGGAATCCGCCGAGTCCGGACGGGAGGGTTGCGCGGGCACCGATGCCAATATCTGCCGGTGTACGGTTTACCAAGAGAGGCCACAAGATAGAGGATAGAGTTATGTTAGGTATACAGTGTCTGCGTGTTGTGGATATAGCACTTTTGATGATGAGAAGATGATGCGGGTCGTGATGAGTTTGCGAGGGCGGACTTGTTATGCAAGGGGAAGTCGTGAGTGCGCTCCTTCTGCGCGGATGGGGAGATGCCGGGGACGGGGGAAGATACAACGTTTGGGGGCCAGACTTGACGCAACTGCCAAGGTGTTGGTAGCGAGGTGCAGGCTCGCGCCTACGCACAATCGCCGCGCTCAGCTCCACAGCTCGCCAGCGTGCGTCTCCTCGAGGGTAGTGAGGCCCTCGCCTGCGCGCAGGGCCTCGTAGTCGCTGATGCCCACTGCGCCGTTGGCCATAGCGAGTGCCAGTGCGGCGATGGCCTTTTCGGAGCACGTGCTAGGGGGTGATCCCAGCGCGGGAGCAGTGAACTCGCTGGAGGTGATCGTGGCCGAGGTAGGCAATGCGGCTCCCATATCGGCGCTGCGCTCGCTGGTGTGCGCGAATAGCGGAAGCGAGACGAGCGAGGAGTTCGCGGACGTCGAGTACGTATGGGACAGCGCCGGAGACGAGAACGGGCCCGAGGCGGACGATGCGAGCTCCACATCCATGTCCGCGTGACCCTCGTCATCGGACGAATATGCGGAGGGGCCGGATGAGGGCGCGATGGGCGACGAGCTGCGGTCGCAGCTATCGAGGCCTGCGAACGGGGACGAGTACGCTTCTATCTCTGGAAGGTCAACGTCCATCGACAGCGACCGTTTCTTCTGCGCGCCGCTGTGCGCAGCGGGGAAGGATGACGTCTCGCCGACGACGAATATGTCGTCCTCGTCCTCCTCAGGCTGCTCGGAGACCGCCTCGGCTGCATGGGGTGTGCCATAATACGACGCGAGGCGCCGCCAGGACCGCCGTGGCTGGTGTGTGTCAGCCGCAGGACGCGCGGACCGGGACTCCCAATCGCGCATCTTGCGGACGAGGCCCTCGCCGCTTTCCACGACGCTGCGGTGGAGTTCACCGAGAGCATCTGCGCGCATGCGGCGTGCCTCGTCTGGCGATATGCGGCCGACCTCGCGGGGGGACGGCTCGCGCGAGAAGCGGCTGCGGCGGGCCTTCTTCTGCGGGAAGAACTGGAATGCAGCGGACGTGCTCGCGAGGGGCGCGGTCGAGCTCGAGGCGAACGTGAAGCTGGTGGTCGACTCGGCGGGAAAGACGGGGTCCGAGCCTATTCCGAACGGCTCATCGGACGACGCCGCCGCCTGCAGCGCACAAAATCCGATGAGTTTGCTGTGGCCAGATGAACAGGATGGTGACGCTAAACCTACGTTGGAATCTCTGCGGGCGCGCTTGCCTCTCCGCCACTGGTCTACGTCCCACTTCTCCGCGGGTTGGCCGTGCGCGAGATCCTTGTACGAAGGGCTTCGAATAGAGCTGGGGCGCGAGCGTTTGGCAGATATGCGCCACTTGACGTCGTCTGGTTGCCGGCGGGGGATGGGAGATGAAGCGGAGTGAGAGCGGCGGCGATGGGACAGTCTGTTCGGGGACTCCATTGAGTACAGCGGCGAGTAAATGCGAAAGTCGTGATCAAACGCGGACGTGGAGATGGTCGAGAAGGAAAAAGCAGAGTCGTCAGCGAATGGTGGGGGGAGGGATGAGAGCGAGCGAGCACGCCGGGAGCGATGCTCAGAGGACTGGAGTGGAGAGAACACGCTCCGCTCGCTAATATACATACAGTTTCGCCGGCAAGTGCCGGACTACCATATGCGGCTGACCACTCTGGTCTCCTTTGGGCGCCTAACTGCTCTGCGGCGACCGTCTCTCCATGTTGTCTACCGCTGCTTGTCAGCCATCGCCTCGTCTCCCGCCTGACTCTCAGCGCTCTCGTTTGCGTCAGCCCGCGCCTGGATAGAACGTGTCTCGCGCTCGAATAGCGGTCGGTCTGCGTTATCTAGACGGGGTCGCCCCCGGACGTCAGTCGCGTCTAGTGCGTCGAACCCAATACCACCACGTTTATTTCGTCGCCTCCGACGATGTCCATGTGTATCTCCGGCCACACTATCCGGAGAATGTCAGCGAGGGCCCAAGCAGACGGAGGCAGGCGCGAAGCGGGCGACCGTCTGGGGAAGAACTCCAGGACCCTCCTCGGTCCGGGGATCTTCGTCGTATTGACGTTGTGCATCTATCACGAAGGATGACATCCAAGCGTTCGTGCACTATCTGGAGCTCTTCTGCACTAGAGCGCTCGCGCACGAGAACGGGGGACATGGCCCGCAGAGGCACAAACGCCGGAGAGCTATCTCGGTGTGTCGCCTGCAACTGTCAACGCTTCAGCTGCCGTGTCTGCTACCCCCTCGTGCTAGTCCTCTCATGGTGCACTCGTTCCCTCGATGTCTGACAGCCCAAACACGACCTCAGAGCACCCCCGGCTATACTCGAGGAAATGCACCCGCCAATGCTAGCTCCGGAGTAGGGTGATAGACGAGGTACCGTCCTATGACGTGCCCCGCAATCGCGCTCTACCCCACCCCCGGACGCGACTGTGTTGCATTGGGCTGCCCGTATGACCGCTCTCCGCCTCTTCTCGTCGACGGAGCGCGGATCGACGTTGGACCGAGTATTACCCCGCGCTGTGTTCTTGCGGGGAGCGCGTCTCGTGTCGTGCACCGGGCCAACGTCGGCTCAGCTCCCTTTTCCTGGCCGTCGTACATATACCCCCGGGGCAGCATCGGTGCCCGCCCATCGAGTGCACAAGCATGAAAAGCGTAATACTCTCACTTTTACTGTTCGCAGCGGCGGCTTCCGCCACCGTCCTTTGGGACGGAAGGTTCAGCAACTACACGTAAGTCCGGCGAGTTTACAACAGCGGCGCGGGTTCTCACCGGGTGTCTCTTGTACTGCAGAACGGCGGCGGACTTTGACAAATGGAGCTGGAGCAGCCAAGTCGGACAATACCAGACGTACATCTACGTAAGAACGCTTCGAGCTCTAGCGTGACGTGATCCATGCTCACCAGTTCTTCTAGGGCAACCTGCATGTAAGCGCCGTGTGCATTGTGCAGGGAACAAGGTAGACTTGTACTGAGCCGCATGCTCAGGGCGAGACCGCTTCTTCGTGGCTCACGCTCGGCAGCCAGTTCAAGAATCCCGCGAGTACGTGACCTACTGGAATGCGCTGAAACAGGATTGTGCGCTCACATGGCTTGCAGCGACGGGCGAGAAGCAGGGGGTCAAAGTCAAGATTAACGCGCAGTCGACTTGGAACGGCGGTCCGATGCTCAGGACGGAGCTCCTCCCGCAGACGACGAATTCCCTGACGGGGCACCTCTTTTTCCATGTTTCTCTGCAGATTCCGACCGTGAACCCGCCCGGTATGAACTATGTGGCTGCTGCTGTCAAAAAGTATCGCTGATTATTGTGCGCTCCGTTGCAGATCCGGCGTATGAGCATCAGGTATGGATAATCGTTGCAAGAATTGTGGCTGAGAACTGACGCAACCCTCTTGCAGATTGTCTTTTGGGAAAGTCAGTCCCCTTTCGCCACAGCTCGGCGTTTGCTCCCCACTCTAACGAAATGTCAGGCCACTTCGCCGACATCAAGTACGGCCAGCTGAGCGGTGAGCGTCGATCATTCCTCTCTCTCGTGACCGGACGTCCATTCATGCGGTCGCACTGCGCAGGCCAAAACGGTGTTGCGGACACCCTCCAGGTCATCACCGGCGGCAAAAGCATCTGGTCCGTCCAGCAGCCCGTCAAGGGCACTTGGGTGCGTCTTCGCCACATGTGATATTCCACTACTGGGCCCGCGCTGAGCGCTCTGACCTTGTGGGCGTGTGCCTGCGTCTAGTACAACTTTATCCTGGAAACGGGCTCACCCGGCGGCTTGTGGGTGTCGACCGGAAGCGCACCGCTCACGAAGGTGTTCACGGGTTCGCTGGGTGGCAGCGGGGGCACGGACTGGCACATCGGTCAGGGCACATCTGCGTTCACTTGTTCAGTCAGAACGAGCTAGCTGACTGTGGCTGACGGGCCGGGGCAAATATATAGGTGCTCTGAGGCTGCCGATCAACGGGGCCGCCCAGCAGATCACGGAGACGGATTTGTACTACAGCGGGATTTACGTCGAGGACACCGGGCCTACCACGCAGCCGTGAGCCGGGTGAATACCGTTTCGTCACTTCGTGCGACTTGGACAGTGTGGCAAGGCACTCGCGACGGCGTTACGGAGGTGATGGACTGCGCAGAGATAGGCTAAGGCTAAGGCTACGATGTGTTGACAGCTGGTACTTTTTGTACGTGCGGCACCGGGCAATTGAACACCTCCAGCGCCGCTGACGCAACTGCTATTCATGTCCGCTGTGGATTCGCGTCCCAGCGTCGCGGGTAGAGCTGCGAAACGCACCCGGCCGAAGTACGTGTTCTGAGCATTCCCTTCATCTCGGCGATGTCGGTTTCGCGAACGCCATGGCCTGCTGCGAGAGCTGCGTTGCAGCGGCGATCGACGTTCCGGGAGGAAGAACTGATGAATGCCGCACCGCGTGGCGTGAGTTATATCTCGCGTGCGGTCTGCCCACCCAGGGCCATCGTGCAGATTAGCCTTGGGTGGGCTTGGAGACCGCTAGCCTCGCAGCCTGCCGCTGGGAAGCTGTCGCGCCTCGCGGGGCACATGTCCGCTCGCGAGCAGTGGCTGTTGCGGGGGAGGATCGCCCTGAAAGAAGCCGCCGGCATGTGAAGGACGCGGAAGCGACGGTGCTCGCGCTGTCTGGGTGACACACTGGCAATGCATGTGCTCGCCCATTCAGGTGATGCGTATGCCGTTCCTCTCTAGAGTCCGCGCGCACCGCGGGACCGCCGCGTTTTTATATTAATATGCCTGCTCGCGTCGCGTACGCGCGTCGTCCGCGAGCGACCCCACCCCCGCACGCGACTCCATGTCTCTCTTTTCCTCGTCGCTCTTTGCGCTCGTCTGCGCCCTGGCCGTATGGCCCTCTGCGGCTCTCGCCCAGACTGACTCTTGCAGCACCGGCTCGGGGTGCGTGTGCTCCGTAAATATATCACGTTTGATTTTGACCGACAGCCTGCGCGGTCCAGATCCAACGCGACAACGTGCTCGCCCGGGTACAACTGTGTCACCCAGAACAGCAGTAGGTGGTTCCAAAACTCTGATGTGCAGTGTGCTGAGCTACAGTGACTTCTAGCGTCGCTCTGTGTTTTGGACTCGCCTGTCTCGGTTCCCCTCAATGTGTCGGGCACCATCAGAGCTCCTGCCCAGTCTGCCATTGCAAACATTCCTGCCATTTGGGCAGCGGCCTATGCTAAGGTTCGTGCTGGTGCTCTAGAGCCTATGCGAGAATAGTGTTGACGGCTTGAATGTAGGCAAAACCCGTTGTCGCGACCCTGTCCAACGCGGACAAAGCCAGTCTCGGGACAGGTGTGAAATCCCACTTGATTCTGTAAAGCGCTGCGTCTTAACTCCATGTTCTGCAGGTCTGGGTCTGATTGGAGGTGCGACTATTTCGAGTCTGCAAGCGCATCAAGCGCGTGCTAAAAATGCGATCTCTCTCAGGTCCCTGCATCGGCTCCACCGCAAAAGTATCTGCGATCCCCGGATGGGCCGGGCTTTGCTTGCAAGGTAGGATAGGACCGTATGTTGGCCGTGTACTGTCGTTGAACACCGCATATAGACAGCCCCGTCGGAGTGCGCTTCGTGAGCGGAAACTCGGTCTTCCCTGCGTACGTAGCTAGAGTGCTCACACTATCTCTTATTTGTTTCTTACACTGACATTTCTGCACACAGCGAAATCAATGCGGCCGCCACGTACGTTGGCTACGATGTGGTCCTACCATTTCTAACATTACCACAGCTTCAACCGGACCCTCATCCGCGCCCGCGGTGCTGCCATGGGCGCCGAGTTCAGGGGGAAAGGTATTAACGTAGCCCTCGGACCTATGATGTGAGCAGCATCCACCGCTCTTGCAATCCTCCATCTCACCGTGCATCGTAGGAACCTGATGCGTGCCCCGGCCGCGGGTCGTAACTGGGAGGGGTGAGTGCCGAAAAAGGAACAACACAACATTCGAAGACTGACTATATCGAAATCTGCAGTGCGGGAGGTGATCCCTTCCTCACCGGAGAAGTTGCGTTCGAGATGATCGAGGGCATCCAGTCCCAGGGAGTGCAGGCGTGCGCTAAGCACTTGATCAACAAGTTCGGACTATCCCCGTCTCTGACTGGCAGCGAGGCTGACGCGTTACTCCAGCGAGCAGGAACATTTCCGCATGAGCAGCTCCTCGAATGTGGACGACAAGTAAGCGGGATTTTGGTATCGTCCGCGCATACATTGAGCTTACATGTCCCACAGGACTGTAAGCTGTGTGCCGATGCAGACTACATATTACTCGCTAATGTCTTTTCCAGACGCACGAGCTGTACATGCATCCGGTGGGCGCCCTCCGGGTACATTGTGAGTATCGTCGTGCTGACATTGTGATCAGTTCCTTCGCAGTGTCCAAGCGAATGTTGCGTCGGTGATGTGCAGTTACAGTGCGTCTCCATTCACCTCTCATGTATGCATAATTTCCTGACATTAGCGTCCATCAGACCAGGGTAAGAGAACGTGCTCCCTTCACTCGAGCAGGGAGATCTAAGTATTTTCAAGTCAACGGCACCTTCGCCTGCGAAAACGACAAGGTCCTCAACGGTCTCCTCAAGGGGGAGCTCGGCTACCAAGGCTGTACGTCTCGCACATCGGTCTCCTTTTTCGCATTCAACTGACCTGTCCTTCCAGACGTCATGTCTGGTAAGATCTGAGCAAACCACACCCCTTACGGCACTGGCTGACGGTTGTGGTGAAGATTGGTACGCGACGCACTCGACGGCCCCGTCTGCGAACGGCGGACTGGACGTGAGTATAGCACTAGGGGGTTTATTCACGTCTTATAGACTGACCTTTCTTTAGATGACCATGCCCGGCGACAAGTTCTTCGCTTCGTTCAGCAGGTACGTCCATTCATTGGGACCATCGTATATACTGGATGCTGATCAAATCATAGCTACTTCGGTGACAACCTCGTGAGCGCGGTCAAGAACGGCGACGTTACGCAAGCGCGTCTGGACGTGCGTGTTTCGCTGGTTTGGTCCCAAAGGCGTGATGCTGACATCAGGGACAGGACATGGCTACCCGCATTTTGGCTGCATGGTAGGTAGCTTCGTAAAAATAGGCTGTGTCAATAAGCTAACAATCCCGCCAGGTACATGATGGGCCAAGACTCAGGCTACCCCGCGGTCAACTTCAACTCCTGGATCTCCTTCCTCGGCTCCAACGTCAACGTTCAGGGCGACCACGCCAGGTCAGCCGCATTGCTCTAGAAGTGTGTTACATCCCGGATGCTTATACCACGCTTTTAGCCTCATTCGCACGATCGGGGCTCAGTCGGCCGTCCTGCTCAAGAACCAGGGCAGCGTCTTGCCGCTCAGCGCCCCCAAGTCGCTCGCTATCGTCGGCACCGGTGCGCGGTCCGCGATCTTGGGCCCGAACGAGTGAGTCGCCTTGGAATGAAGATGTCACGCATGGTGCTCAGATTTTCGCGAATAGGTGTTCCGACCACAGCTGCAACGACGGTGTGCTTGCCGTCGGCTGGGGCAGTGGGTGAGTCCCTTGCCGCAAATATTTGTTTCCTCTACTTTTCTAACATGCTTTCTAGCACCGCGAGTTTCCCGTACCTCACGGCGGTTAGCCCATATATCCAATGAAGGACGATGTCCAGTACTAATTTTCTTGTAGCCCCTCGATGCTATCCAAGCGAAGGCGAAGGCAGACGGCACCTCGGTCTCCACCTGGACCTTCAGCGACGACGTGAACCTCTCCGCGAATGCGGCGAAGGGCAAGCAGGCCGCGCTCGTCTTCATCACCGCTGACAGTGGGTTAGTGCTTCCGTGTGGTCACATCGTTCTGCGAATGCGTGCTGACTTTTCGCTTGCGTGAAAGTGAGGCGCAGTACACGGTAGAGGGCAATGCTGGCGACCGCAACGATCTGCAGGCGTGGCACAATGGCGTACGTTCATAGGCGTTTCCTTTGGACATGGCGAGTGCTGATTTGCTCGCGTGCGGTAGGATGCGATCGTGGAGAAGGTCGCGAGCGTCAACAACAACACCATCGTCGTCGTGAACAGCGTCGGCCCGATCATCATGGACGCCTGGATCACGAACCCGAACGGTCAGTAAATTTTCTTCCTGTTTCTGCCCGCAACGTCCTGACCCGCTTGTATGCAGTGACCGCCGTGGTAAGCATAATGTTGGCGTAATCCATTTCTACGCTGAACCTCTCCTGTAGATCTGGGCCGGCCTTCCTGGCCAGGAAGTCGGTGAGTCCAACGAATATATGGTCCCCAAGATCGCTCACTAACTTTCGCGCAGGCAATGCGATCGTCGACGTCCTGTACGGCGCCGTGAACCCCGCGTACGTCTCCCCACGAGCTTACCAAACCCCGCCAAACTGACCCCACGTCCCCAGCGGCCGCCTGCCCTTCACCATCGCGAAGGCCGAGCCCGACTACTCCGCGCGCGTCACCTACACCGGCTCCGGCACCGTGCAGATCCCCTACTCCGAGGGCCTCTTCATCGACTACCGCCACTTCGACCAGGCCAACATCGCCCCCCGCTTCGAGTTTGGCTTCGGGCTGTCGTACACCACCTTCTCGTACGCGGCGCTCAAGGTCAGCGGCTCGACCGCTGGGGGCACCCGCCAGGCAGTTGGGCCGGGCTCTGCCCTCGACCCTTGGTGAGTCTTACAGACGTCGCCACCCCATATTGCATTTCATGACGGATTAAACGCAGGCTGCACGACCCCGTCGTCACCGTCACCTTCACGGTCACCAACACCGGCTCGCGCGCGGGCACCGAGGTTCGTCTGGTCCCCAAAACCTCACGAAAACTTTCTAGTGCCGATGCTCACATCCTGTGTAGGTCCCGCAGTTGTACACGTCCCCGCCCGCCTCTGCGAACCAGGCGCCGTTCAACCTCAAGGGCTTCGACTCGGTGTACCTCAACCCGGGCGAGACGAAGACGGTCACGTTCCAGCTGTCCCGCTACGATTTCTCCGTCTGGAACGTCGTCGCGCAGCGCTGGGACATCGCGACGGGCGTCACGGGCCTCTCCGTGGGCTCGAGCAGCAGGAACCTCAAGCTGAAGGGATCCATCACCAACTAATCGACTTACTGCTTCTTGTACATATACCCCACACGTGCACTTCTCCTGCAGCACTCTTTGCTTTGAACAGAGAAAGAATACATTCGTTTGTGGATCGGATCGAAAACATGAGAAAGCGTGAGCAGCCCGGATAGAACAGAAACGTCGGTCGAGAACATTTAACAGAGCCAGTCCGCAGTCCGTCAGTAACTACAGTCCATAGATCGCGGTCAGCATCCACACGCCCAACCTCCCCCTCTCCCCTCCATTTGTGAGTCTGACTCAAGCGACCTCCTTGTTGCGCCCGCCCGTAAGCTGCCGCACGAGATACATGCCACGGCTCTCGCCACCCTCGCTCTTCGTGCGCGCCGCGAACCCAATCGCGCTCTTCGGCCGCGGGTAGCGCGACATGCCCGGACGCGGCCCGTCAAACATCTTCGTCGGGCTCGACGTCAGCTGGCGCGTGGGGCTGAGCCCTCCCCCAGTGAGCTGCCGCATGAGCGCGGGGTCCGAGCTCCCGCCGAGCCCTGTGAATTGCCGCGCAAGCGTCGTGGTGCCCGTGAACTGCGGCGCGACGCCGCCGAACGCGTTCTTGCTGCCCGTGTAGCTTGGGACGAGCGGCGTGCTCCGCGTCGGAGACGGCGAACCACGATGAGTCGCCGGCATAAGCAACTGCACATTCAGGCGCGTGTCAGAAATCGGTTACACTATAAGGCACAAAATGAGACGACATACCAAGCACTCGCGGCACCACACTCCGCCGTCCCTGTCCGTCTTCGCCGCGCTGTCGAGCTTCTTCCCGCACCCAGGCTTGCCGTCCTCCTTCCTGCGGCCCTTCGCCTCCCGCCCGCCACACATCAAACACGTCGCATGCCAGCGCGAGCCCTGCGGCCCGGGCACGACGCCCCGCTCCATCGGCGAGACCGCCTTGTGGCAGCCCGGGCACGCGGACGAGGTCCCGAAACGCGGCTGCGGGAAGGTGAACGACGCCTGTGAGGCCGGCGCGGTCTTCGGCGGCGGCTCGTAGCGGCTCGAGCTCGCGGGGTGGTGGTACGTTGCGGTGAACGTCTTCGGAGTGGGCTGGGTAGCCGGCGCTGACCGGGGCATCGTTGCAGTGTAGGTGCGAGTGATGGTCCTCTCAGGCGGCGCACACTGTAGCACATGTCAATATATGCGCCTCAAAGCCTCTAAATTGGCAGATTTACTCACCTGAACATGGCAAGCCCCTTTCGGGCTGCGCACGAACACCGCACGTCCGCCCTCGCTGTCCTGGAAGAGCTTGTCGCACACCGTGCAGCGGAAGCACGACGCGTGATAGGTCTTCGGCGGCGCTCCACTGCTGGACGGCTGTTCGGGCACGGTCACGAATTTCCCGCCGTCCTTGCGGCTGAACAGCGGCAGGTTGCAGCGCGCACACCGGGCATCCGCAGACAGTGGGGTCGGGATCGTGATGTCGTGTGGCAGCGTGCGCGACTTGGGCGTTGGGGTGACAGCGTCGGCCTTCCCGTTGCTCCCCGTGTGCTGCACGGCGATGCCCTTCTCTGCCTCCGCGCGGCCGCGTCGAGAGGGCGGGCTAATCGAAGGAGGAGTGGATGGGCCGCTCGACTGAGTGGCCGCGTCGGAGAAGTCACCAGCGAGGTCAGGGGTGGGCGGGACAGATGAGCTGTAGTCTGTGCCCAGCGACGTCCGAGAAGCGCTGGTGCGCAACCCCAGTCCAAGTCCAAGTCCGATGCGCTCAGACTGGGGTGATGTCAGTCCGCGCGCGGGGCGAGGGATGCGGGACAACGACATGTCGCTGAGGCTGGAAGATATGGAGCTCATGGACGTGTCGGGACCGAAATCGATGAGGTCTCCTGTGGGCACACTAGGGAAGGCACCCAGGAGGGACTCCACCTCTGCATCACCGGTACGATCTGGTTTGATAGTGAACGCCGTGTTGCCAGTGGTGTCTCTCCGCAAGACATCCGTATTGCCAGTTGTATCACGGCGGATGTAATTCGTACCACCAGTGTTGTCGCGTCGGACGTAGCTCCCGCCGCCCGTATTGTCCCGTCGAACGTAGGCCTCTCCACCTGTATTGTCGCGGCGTACGTACGCCGTGCCGCCCGTGTCATCACGACGAGCCCCACCAGTGTTGTCGCGGCGCACAATGCGGAGGGGCGCTATCGACCCTGCGGTCGTCTGCGGTTCGAGCGAACCGTCTTCACCCACGAACGCGGAGGGAGTCCCACTCGAGCGGGGATGTGAACGAGAGCGGCGCGCAGTTCGTGTGGGCGTGGTCGTGGTGGAGGTCGAAGAAGCAGCAGCCTGGCCAGGTGCTGACGGAGGACCCGGCGATGCCTGCCTGAGGAAGCGCTGCTTCATCTCCTCAATGGCATCCGCAGTAGGAGGCTTCGAGGAAACCGGGCTCCCGTAACGCGGGCTTCCCGACCCGGTCAGTCTGGCACTGATCGGTGAGCCCTCGCCTCCGTCAGGATCCGGGGACCTCAAGCGACTATAAGACCGTCGCGAAAGGGGGCTCCCGTTCCTCGTAGGGGAGGTATCCGAGCTTTGGTACCTTGACAGTGCGTCGCGGGCTGAAGGGGAGCCAACACTGGATGAGGAGTTCGCTCGTGCCCGCGCGGCAAGGCGCTCGGCAGTCGGGCTGGCATCTCCCGCGAACATGGTAGTGTATCGCTTGCTGAGTGGGGTATGCGTGCTAGGTGGTGAAGTAGGAGTGTGCATCGTAGGATTGGAAGGACTGTGAACAAAACGTGCGCCTCGACTCTCCGCAACTGGGGTGTTTTCGCGGCTTCGGATGCCAAGTCGCATCTCGAGTTCATCCAGGGCAGGGCTGCCCTCACGCTCCTTGTTAGTACGCCTGATCCCACCCAGGTTACTGGTTTGCTCCTCCGAGTCCTTGCGACGGCGGGGTGTGTTGCCCGAAGGGCGCTTCAGGCAACTCTCAAAGCAGTCCGCGCAGCTCGGCCTGCCAAGCAGGTCGACCATGGGGTGATCACCAATGTTCTTGAAGCAGCCCTCACAGCAGAAGCAGCGCTTGTGCCAGACCTTGCCGCTCGTCTCGACAAAGCCGCCTTCGCTCTTCAGGATGAGCACGGCTTTACCGCAGGCAGGACAGTCGCCTTTGGATCCTCCGTTCTCGGTGAAACAGGGTCGGCATAGAAATCGTGTGCCAGAGCCAACGTCTTCGAAAGGTAGTCCGGGGCGGATCGACGAGGGATCGGGGTATATAGTGGCATCCGGTGGGAAAGGCGAGGAGCAGAGAGCACAGATGAAGGTAGACAGAGACTCCTTGGGTTGTAGTACAGATCCATAGACTTTGGCGAGACGAGATCCGCTGTTCAGGTTAGGCAGAATGCCCTCTTCCGGCTTAACGGTCGAGGCGAGATCATCTTCGTGGGAGGCCGACGTAGAGTGTTTGAGAGGAGAAGGGGGTCGCACAACGGAGGTAGAAGAAGCGATGTGTGCAGAGACTCTGCGGTCGAGGGATACGACGGCGGGTTTCTGGGATTCGGGGCGCGGAAACTTTCTGGTTGAAGGTCCTGATGCAGGACTGCTTTGGAATCCCTGGCCGGTGTTCATTCTCTGAACGGGTGTAGGACCGGTCTTCTCGCGGGTGACATAGGTCTTGGACCATGGGTCCTGGGTCTGCTTTCCATCGTCCTGGTTCCATTTGACGACAGGTGCTGCAACAGGGTTCAAACTACCGGTCAGATGTGATGAACATGCATAAAACTTACCGACTGGAGTGCCACCGCATTTGCAGCGGGGGCCTACGACGATGTCACCGCATCTCCTGCAGAATCCCATCGAGTGATGTACAGAGTATACAGAGCAGAAACGACCGCGTTAGAGTGATGGAGGCGTAAGCAGAGGTCGTAAGAGGGCCAGGGGTGCGCGTGTGGCAGGCGTGGCGGACCGAGAGGGATGAGATGGTTACGTTCAAGAACCGAACGCGGCAGCAGATGCCAACCCCTCCAATCGGGCAAATCCCAACTGCAACACGGTCACGTGCGCGACGCGTCCAAAGCAGCTCCGCTCCATTCCAGGAACCGTCGTACGCATCCACAACGGACCCACAACACCCCACTAGTAGTACTCTTTAGTAAATAAACCACAGTATGCACAGGTTTATTAAGTATTGGGCCCTCTTCTTCAATTTTGAACGAGACATACTCCGCCCTGACCCCAGCAGAACGTGAATTCCAGTTTCTAGGCCATCGAGGTTCTAGCAGGTAACGTTGATAAAACTCGCAGCTCCAGGCACGACTCTCTCGCGGCGCCTTTTTTGAGCTCTCCTCCGACTACATGAACGCGTTTCAGCCTAGCGTATTATCAGAAAGCTGACTGCTTTACTGAAAGGAAGAGCACTTATACGAATAGACTGCACTGGCAGCTGCAAATTTCGCGGAGGATACTTATACATAGATTCATCATTTTTCTCGTCCTTCTCTTTGACACCCTCGACAATTCGTAGAGTGTTGGATGGGGTTTTTTTGACGGACGATGGACGCCTTACGCTTAACTCATGTCCATGTACGAAGTTCCCGAGATGCCGGCCGCTTTTTTGGTTGTAAAGCTGTATTCTGCTCTTCGTTTTTACACTCCGGAAAACCGAGCTCCTTGCGCTACGTCTGGCGGTCAATTCGACGCGATTCTCACTTCTTGCTCCGAGTGGCGCAGCGCGGGTTCCTGGGATGTCGTCGCCGGCACGCGTGAGGTGAAAGAAAACGGAACCCTGAATGTATTATTCCCTCCATAAATAGGTAATATATAATAATGGTACTTGGTGCGGTGCTACAGCAGTATGCAACAACAAACGAGCGGGGGCGGGTGGCTGGCGGTTAGTCAATGTGTGCCCGCGGTATATCCAGAGAAGGGGTGCATAGTGAAAGGCTACGAGAAGCGTCTTGGCCGCGCGTAGGGTGACTCAGTTGTGTTCGGTACTCGGGTTTCATCATGGTTGGGTCGTCGCAGAGGGAGAGAGGGCGGGCGGACTAGGAGGAGAGGAGCGAGTTGAAGGACATGACCTCGTCGTAGAGGAGTTGTTTCAACTCGTCCTTGTTCAGCTCTTTGTCTGTGTGCGGGAGCGATCGGTCAGCGTCCTGCTGCGGGTTTCAACCAAAGGGGTAAGGGGAGAAGAAACGCACAGTCAAACTCGAAGTAGTCGGGGTCGAGCGAGGGCGCGGCGGGCTCGTCTTCGGGATCGTGCTGCGCAAAACGGGGCGGGTGTCAGCTCAGCCAAGGGGCTCAGACAGGGGCGCGGGACTTACGTATGCGGAGAGGTACGGGTGGTCGAGCGCCTGGGAGACAGTCAGCCTCTTCTTCGGGTCGAATGTCTGTGTAGGGGGCACAGTTAGCGTTCAGTTTCAATAAAGCTCATGGACAAAGCATGTGTATATGCGGTGAACGACGGGTAGGGTGGGGATGTGTTGGGACGTGCCGCACACACAGGCGGTGTACGACATGGGCGATGGCAGCGCGGAGCCGGTGCTAGTGCTGCCATCTCCCATCACGTCGTCGCGCGGGCGAAGATGCTGCTGCATCACGGCGGCGGCAGGCACTATCAAACCAAGCGCGAGGCCCCGCTCAATGCGCGATCCTTTCCCTCGATGAAGTGCGATGGCAGAGCAGCTCGCCGGACTTCTAGGGGCAGAGAAGCCTGTCGGCGGGTGCGCTCTGCCCATCGCTCATCACACCCGTCATGTATTCCGCATCCCGCATCTCGCATCCACACAGCCAAGAGAACGAGAGAACATCGCGCGCGGGAGCGAGAGAGAGAAGGAACACTCACGAGTGTCTTCTGCAGGAAGTCGATGGCTTCGGGGGACGCCTTCGGGAAGAGCGCGGTGAACGGGCGGCGCTTGCGGATGGGCAGCGCGCGGATGTAGTCGCGCGAGCGCCGCGAGGTGATCCCGTAGAACTCCTCGAGCGTCGGCGTGCCGATCACGTCCAGGATCAGGTCGAGCTGGTGCCCGTAGTCGCGCCCGGGGAACAGCGGCCGCCCGTTCAGCAGCTCCGCGAGGATACACCCGACTGCCCAGATGTCGATCGCCTGCATGTCGTGGTGAGTGTATGCTCGGATACCAGGGAAAATGTGGAGAGCGCACCTTAGTGTACATCTTGAAGGAGAGCATGATCTCCGGCGCGCGGTACCAGCGCGTCGCAACATACTCAGTCATGACGCCGGCCTCCTTGCCGGCCGCGCTCGTCGAGCGCGTGCTGCGCGCGAGCCCAAAGTCGCACACTTTGAGGTCGCAGTTTGCGTTCAGAAGCAAGTTCGCGGGCTTCAGGTCGCGGTGAACGATGTCCGCGCTGTGCATCGTCTTCAGCGCGCGCAACGTCTGGTACACGAAGTACTGCGAATGGCCGCGCGATCAGTCAAACGGCGGCAGTGTGCGTTTCAGCAAGCGCACCTGGCAGTGATCATCTGTCAGCTGCTGCGTGCGGATGACGCGGTGCAGGTCTGTCTGCATGAGCTCCTGGATGACTGCAGGCAAAGGGAGCGGGATCCGGGTCAGCGGAGCCCGGGGCGGGAAGCGGGAAGGCGGCACGCACAGTAGATCTCCTTGAAGTCATCGAGAGACGGCGGTTTCACGATGTCGAGGATAGAGATAATCTGGGAACGGGTGGCCAAGGCGACGGCGTTAGCACGATGTTTCCCGCGCGCACACGTTGTAGGGGGACGGGCGAGACGGGCATAGACGTGGACGGACGAGACGGGCGGGAGATAGACGTACGTTTTCATTGACACACGCCTCGGAGAAGAACTTGAGGAGCTTGAGCTCGCGCAGCGTGCGGAGGCAGAAGAGGGTGTGCTCGAAGGGGAGCACCTTCTTGATCGCGACCTCCCTGTTCGTGGGTTTGTGGAGGGCGGCGACGACCGTGCCGTATGCGCCTTCACCGAGGCCGTGGAGGATCTTGTAATCGTCGCCTGTGGGAGTGACAGGCGTCAGTCGCTTGCGTGATAGACGTGTGCATGCGAGGCAGGCGACAGACAGCAGGCTACGTACCGATGTGGAACGGGGGGAGGGGCTTCTGGGCTCTGCGGGTCATGATGATGGTGGTGGTAGGAACGTGAGCTGGTCAACGGCTGCAAGACACAAAAAGTAGAGTATAAGGGGAACAAGGAGGGAAAGTCAGGGAAACGATTAAAGCAGCAACAGGAAAGAAGAAGGAGTAGAGAGACAGGGTCGACGAGGCTGGCGCATATGTAGGCAATGGGGGCGGGGTTTGTCGCCGGCTGTATAGTGGTAGACGACCTGTTTGTGATGCAGATCAGCCTGCGCGACATGATGGATTGCAACGATGCAATGATGGGAGTAGCAAATCCGTTTATGCTGGCCGCACAAGTGGTGTACAAGGTACTCGAGCAGATGCATTCACTGCACATTGACGTGCTTATCTACTGAGCTATGGTCGCGTACAACTGCTCCAAATGCACAAGCAGGCAGAGAAATTGTGGGCGGAGATCAGTTAGCGCGACTGCATAGCGTGGTGGACGAGCGTAGCGTCCAGCAGAGCCTCCGCCCTCGAACTCGCGATCGAGATTCGAAACACATCCATCTTACACGTGACACAAGAAGGGGCGTCTCTTCTGATTGGTTCCTGATTGGGCGCTCCTGAGCACGCGGACGATGCAGATCACTCGGAGCGCCCGATCACCGCCGGGCCGGGCGGGAGCGGGGCGAGGAATGGCGATGCAGATCTGAAGCGCCCCCTTCATAGACGCTCGATCGAGGGCGGGGCGGGAAAGCTGTGAGGCCGGCGTCCTCGGCCACGCCCCGCACTGCTCCTCGTCGCGTCCAATCCTCTTCTCCTCGTCCCTGCATCGTCCTCGGCTCAAGCTGCGCTCGTCTGTGCGCAAGACCTCCTTTAAACAGCGCTCGAGCTGCCAAATTTTGAGCAAATTTGCATCGCCCCGCCCGGTCTCATGTCGATCTCCCATCTTTTCCGATCAAATAACGCGAAAGTGCCTCGGCGCTGTCGGTTGCTTCGGTGAGCCCGGTAACCATGTCCTTATCGAACACGGCGTGTGCAGAGCCTGTCGGTCTGTCACTCACCTCCGTCGCGTTAACACGACTTTCCAGGATGGCGTGAGAGCAATGCGAGCATGTTTCTCGCGCGCATAATTCCGTGATGGAGCAGCAGCGTGTCCTGCACTCGGTTCTATCGCGGCGGACAACCCTCGCGCATTACGAGAGGGGGCAACAGCCGGACAAGAAACATGGGCCATGGGGACAGTGCGTTGTTTTTGGGCAGCCAATGGGGAGCGCGGAAGGGTGCCCCTGGCATCCGAAGCTCTGATCGAGAGGTGTCTATTGTGCTCAGACTGCCTGCTCGGGTGGACGCGACGTCTACCGTCCGCTCGGTGCCTGTACCTCCGCCCACTCATAACCCCTTCCGCCAACAGCGCCGGCGTTTCAGTCCTCGTCCACTGCCTCCTCCTTCCCCTACTTAACCTCTTCCACGGCGGCTGAGCTCGTCGTCCCCTCCCTTCATTTCCTTCTTTCTTCCTACCGTGCCCAGTTGCAGCCATGTTCTTCTCTTCTGCAGTCCGCCTTGCCTTCGGCCTCGCTCTCGCTTCCTCCGTCTCCGCGACTGTCTACGACATCCAGGTCGGCGATGCCAACGGTGACACCATTTACACGCCCGAGGCCATTGTATGCACCCTCTAATTTATGTACCGACGTGCGATATGCTCACAAGTATTCCTACTGCAGTTTGCCAACGTCGGTGACCAGGTCGTCTTCCACTTCCACCAAAAGAACCACACCGCGACGCAGTCTTCGTTCGCCGCCCCGTGCTCTCCTCTGGAGGGAGGTCTCAACTCTGGATTGTTAGTATCTTATATGACCAACCATTGACGTCTCTAATCGATACACTCCTACAGCATGCCCGTCGCTGCTAATGTCACCGACAACTTCCCCACCTGGACTGTGACTGTGAAGGACGTATGTATCTCATATACCCTTTCGCCCAACCCTCGTTGCTCACATCTCTTCTTCCATAGACCAAGCCCCTTTGGTTCTTCTGCGAGCAGGCTGCCAACACCGCCGCCAGCCACTGTGGCAAGGGCATGGTTTTCGCCGTCAACTGCGGCCCCGACGGCTCGGCGAACTCGTTCGACTCCTTCAAGAAGTCTGCGCTTGCGATCGGTGCTCAGCTCGTTGCCGAGGCATCTGCTGCCGCTGCCGCTTCGTCCACGGACAGCAGCAGCGGTGGTTACGGGTACGGCGGCGCGACCTCCACCGCCGAGGCCGTCAGCTACACGACCGCCGACTACGGCACTGCAACCATCGCCGCCGCGCCCTCGCCCGTGCTCACCACGGACACGATCACCGTCGAGACCTCGTCCTGGGTCACCGTGTACTCGTCGTACCCCGGCTCGCCCGAGCCCACCCCGTCCTCGCTCTCCGGCAGCGTGATCAAGGTTGTCGTCGGCGGCTCGGACGGTGAACTCACCTTCAGCCCCAACAACGTCCAGGCCTCGCCGCGTGACGTCATCCAGTTCGAGTTGTGAGTACCCGCCTTGAGCGTTCCCATGCAAATTATTTTTTGCTCGGAACGGCGCGCTAACTGCATTTTCCCCATGACAGCCACCAGAAGAACCACACCGCGACGCAGTCGTCGTTCGCCGCGCCTTGCCTCCGCCTCAAGGACACCACGGGTGCCGTTGTTGGCCTCGACTCCGGCTTGTACGTGACACTTCGCCTTTTATTCGTATATTTGCACACGCTGACCACGGCCCGCTCCGCTCTAACAGCATGCCCGTCGACGCGAACGCGACCGACTTCCCCGTCTGGAACGTGACCGTGAACGACACTGCGCCCATCTGGTTCTACTGCCGCCAGCACAAGCCCGACGGCTCCTCGCACTGCGGCGCGGGCATGGTTTTCGCCGTGAACGCCGTCGAGAACTCCGCGCGCAACTTCAGCGCGTTCCAGGCGCTCGCGCAGACGCTCAACGGCACTGCTTCGAACTCTTCGACGACGTCCACCACGAACGGCACTGCCGGTGCTACCGGCAACAACAACGGCGGTGCTGCCAGCCGCGCGACGAACGCCGCGCTCTCCCTCGGCGCGCTCGCTGCGGCCGCCGCGCTCCTGCTCTGAGCGCATCCGGGCTGTGTTGTTTGAGGCTATGATACCCACGGGACTAGATGGTTGGATAGACGGGTGGGCGATGGGATGTGCATGGAAGCCTCCTAGAGACGATGTGTGCTCCGTGCGGGCGCCGCACAGGCCGGACGCTCTCCTTCCCCCCGGGGTCGTGCTGCCACGCAGTGCGCACCCCTTCCACGACGCACGTAACTTCTGCTATAATGCCCTCGGCCTGCTTTCACGTTTGCTCTTTTTTTTCTATTTCTTTCACGACACCCGGACCTTGCTATGGACTCGCCGAGCGGCTGCTGTTTTCCCTTACGTGTACTTACTGCCCTACTCTGACTGGTCGCTGTAGCTATTTTGTGCGCGCGCACGCGCGCGTTGTTGGGTCGCGCGTGTCGCTGCTGCCGTCCTGCCTTTGGGTGTTCCATTCGTGTACTTATGTCTTGCGGGTGTTTCTGCTTAGCGTAGGGACGAATGGTGATATTTTCGAAATCTCGAGATGGCCACCACTAGTGACGCGTGCGTACGGTAGCAAGTCTGCCGGTGGACCGGGATCCGCAGAGTACATTCATTCATTTGAGCTTGTGTCAGATGGAGCGTGCGGCTTCAGCATTTTTCGGGCTTCCCTTTGTACATGCGGGCGGATGCCAAGGCAACCAACAGCGTCAGGATACGACATGCCAGGTGCCGCATGCATCGTGCACAACGCGTTCCCAGAACACGGACGAACGCCGAGGCGATACGGCGACAGTTGTGTCACGGGTGGCAGTTGGGTGGCAGCGATATTCGCAGATGCGGATACGGATGCGGCGCGGGAGGGGACATCGCAAATGACGGATCTGGATCCTGATACAGTATGTACTATGAACACAACACGACACGACACGGCACGCCTGGAGCGGCATGATCAAACAAGCACGGCGTATATTGCACATATCCGCGCGCCACAACGCTACAAAGCGCAGGGCGCAGCGGCACCCCGGTTCGCCCGGGACAGGCGACACACAAACGACACGCACAGCGCCCTGGGCACTGGGCACTGGGCACTGGGCACTGGCGAGAGTCGAACGGCAAGGGCAGACTATGACTCGCCGCCGAGGCTCTCGCGCGCCTTCTTCTCCTTCTTGAGGCGTTTGCGCTCGCGGCGCGCCTCCTCGTCCTCCTCGTCGCCGCCCTTGGCCGCCTTCTCCGCGGCGGCCTTCTTCTCCTTCTTGAGACGCTTGCGCTCCGCCTTCGCGGCCTCGTCATCCTCCCCACCGTCCGCGTCGACGGTCATCGAGACGTCGCCGTCTGCGTCAGCGACCTCAGACTTGCGCTTGCGCTTCTTCTCCGCCTTCTCCTTGGCCGGGCTCGCAGGCTCAGACGCGGGTGCGGCAGGGGCAGGGGCAGGGGCAGCCGCCGAGGGGCCAGCAGTGGGCTGCTGTAATTACGAATTAGTCTAAATGGCGTGCAAGGGGTTGTCCTGGAAGCGTACCTCGTCGCGAGTGTAGTCGACGTAGTCGCGGCTCCACTCAGCAGGGGTAGCCTCGGTCTTCTCGCCAAACTTGCCCAGCTTGCCGTCCTTGATCATCTTCTTCTTTTCCATGGCCTTCGGGCCAAGTCCCCACCTGCGCGGGTAGGTGTCACGCTCCATGATGCAGCGCTTGACCTTGGCGACGACGCCGTGGTCGCAAGTCGCGAGCTCGACGGTGGACATCTGCGCAATAGCAAGGGCGATAGCCTCACCTGTAACAGACCGTTAGCTAATAAAAAGCGTCCATATACGAGTATTTACGTACCCTTAGTAGTCATAAGGACGACCTCCTCGTTTAATGAGATGTCGGCCTCGTAGCGGAGGAGACCGGGGATCATCAACTTCGCACCGTAGCAAACGGCGTTAACAGCGCTGTCCTTTACGACTATGCGCTTGTAACCGATGAGCAGAGACTCCAATGGCCTGATCACGCGGCGCAGGTAGGTCTCTGCATAAAGTGTTAGCACGGCCGCCGTAACATCGTGTCTGAAAACATACCATCGCGCGTGTTGTCGTACACCCATTGCGCGTCAAGAACATCGTGCATGGTCACCATGTCGTCGTTCTCGCTTAGCGCACCACTGCGTACTCTCCGGAGTTCCTGCATGTGACCGCCGACACCAAGAATAAGACCCAAGTGCACACAAAGCGTCCGAATGTATGTGCCAGCCTCGCAAGATACCCAGAATACACCCAAGTTGCGCTTCTCATCGAACTCAAGCAGCTTAGACTCGTAGATGGTGCGGACACGGAGTTGACGCTTCACGGCGGAGATGAGAGGGGGGCGCTGGAAGAGGGCACCGGTGAGGGTCGAAATGGCGCGAGGGAGGGCGGTAGGAGTGGACAGAGGCGAGTGCAGGCGGAGGACAGCAACATACTCCTTTCCTGTGGTACTGTCATCGGCATGGTTCTTCGCAAAACGTCAACTGGGGCACGCACCTGCGCCCTGCTGCGACTTGACAAGTCTTGTCGCGCGGTCAATGCAGACGATCAGACAGCCCGTAACCTTGGGGTCAAGAGTACCACTGTGACCCGTCTTTTCTACCCGTAGGATTCTCCGGAGCCACGCGACGACTTCGTGAGACGAGGGGTTTGACGGCTTGTCCAGGTTAATAACACCAGACCTGTTCCGTGCATGTGAATATGGTTGTGCAGCATTTCAAGCATGCTTCTGCTCACTTGACATAGGTCGCGATGTCCCGCTTCAAGGGGCTGCAGCCAGCGGGAATGGGGGTGAAGTGTGCCGAGCGGACCAGCAGCTTGTCGTAGTTTTTGAGCAGCAGAGGCCACTGCGAAGTGTCCAGTTTTGGCTGGGCATTTTCAGGCTTGATGGCGTATTCGCCGCTGAGCTGCGCGGTCGCAACCTGGCCGCGAGAGAGGGTACCGCTGGAAGCCATGGCCAGGGGAAGTTTTTGGGCGACGAGGACGAGTGCACCAACGACGACGTCTCGATCTTCTCCAGCTTCCAACTTTTGCGCTCCCACGCTTGGCGCTAAGGTTAGGGCCTGCTTGTTCTTTTCTCCGCCGCTTGAGCGGCCCTTGGGCGGCCCGGAGCTGGGCTCGGTCGCTGCCGGTGCACCCGCATGCGTGGGAACACGATCGTCAAAACTGTACAGTTGCTTTTCTGGACGCGAGTGTGCTCTGCTCACCGTAGGAAACGTCCCCAACGCCTCAAGCCACATCGTCTCGCTGCCCGTCAAGATGGTTAGTTAGCCCCCAGTACTGCTTTGCTGAGTTATCTTCTCAGTAGGCTAATCTGGGTTTTCCTCTCCTCTCTCTCCGTAATGTTAGGCCCCCACTGGAAAGACCGCTGCTGCTAAGCACAAGTTCACGATCGACTACTCCCGTCCCGCCAGCGATGGTGTTTTCGACGGCGCGGCCTTTGAGAAGTTCCTCCACGACCGTATCAAGGTCGATGGCAAGACGGGCCAGCTCGGTGAGAACGTCAAGATCCACCGCGATGGTATGTCCACACAGTTTACCGCTCCCCCGCTTGACACTCATATTTTTACTTTCTTCAGGCGACACCAAGATCACCGTGACCTCGAGCATCCCCCTCTCGAAGCGGTATCTCAAGTACCTTACGAAAAAGTTCCTCAAGAAGAACACTCTGCGTGACTGGATCCGGTATGTCATTCTGCGTTAATTTGCTCCGTTCCGCGACTTACCTACCTTTGTGTCCAGCGTCGTTGCTTCGTCGAAGGATGTCTACCAGCTCCGCTTCTACAACATCCAGGCTGCGGAAGAGGAGGAGGAGGAGTAAGCACCTCTCTCCATCACGATGTCGTCCCGCTCGTATGTTGTAGGCTAGTCATATACATATGTCGCGCATGCTCTGCTATTGCTTTCGAATGCACATGGGTCTTCTCGCACAATCGCACCAGTCAACAGGCTCTAAGTTCGTCGAAGACAAGTACGCAATTAGTATAGCAGCTACAGATATGGGTAAAGATACATCTTCTATCATCTATTATTGATAACCAGGGTGACAGTGTCCTGCGTCTGCGGTGGTCCTTCTGGCTTCAGCTTCCCCAGAATCATCATCGCTATCTCGTCCCAACGCAGCTGCGACTCGGTCAGCGGCCGCGTCCTGAACTGTGTCGCCAGGATCGAGCCCAAGTTGTTGCGCAAAAGCTTGAGTGCGATGCTGGCCTTGGGCTGGATGCGGAACCGGACCTTGCGGTCGATGGATGCGGTATCTGCCATAAGCTGCAGAGGATACAGCGGGTCAGACACTGCCGAGGGAATAATATCAGCGTACGTACCTTGAACTCAGCATCACCGCACAGGAGCAACAGCGCCATGTCTTCGACAGGTCCTGTTTCCCATGCATACAACTTCTTGGAGTGCCTGAAGGTTTCTCGTCAACGACCAGTCCGCCTTACATATATGCTCCAGGTACTCACATTATCGTGAAGTAGCACAAGTGGTTCACCCCGAAGTCCCCAAGACGCCGCTTGAAGTTGACGGAAGAAGGGTGGAACGAGGCGGGCTGGTTGTTGCCGATGGTGCGCATCTCGTTCTTGAGCGGGTCGACCGTGAGGATCTTCGGATACAATCCCGCGGCGAGCGCAGCGTTGACCATCGCGGCGTTGCCTGAGTTGACGTCTAGATCGCTGGGGACGACGACGAATCGCGTCTTGTTGCGGCCATACCGCGCTCTGTAGAACTGTGAGCAGACCATACATATGCGCGCGGCTCGAACGTAAAATACCTGCTCAGATCTCGGACGAACGCCCGGTCGACGTGAATGAAGGACGAGTCTACGAGGTACCCAAGGAATTGCTGCCGTAGCTCTTCGATCTGTTGCAGGTTCTGCGCAAGCATGGATGAGTACTTCACGTTGTTGTTGGGGGGGGGGGGTAGAGGTGAGGCGTACCTGGTGGCTGAGGTAATTTGACTTGCAGAACTTGCGTGCAATGCCATTCCCGCTTGCCCGACGCCAACTTGCAAAAGCGTTGTGAAGAGTCAAGAAGTCGGAGTTCTCTGCACAGGTTCAGTCAGTTTTAAGCCGCGTCGTTTCTGTTGTGGGGATACGTACCTGTGCGGAACGATAGCTTAGCCCTCTCAGCCTCCTGTTCGAGCCCCAAGGGGGTCAAGAAGGGCGACTTGGAGTTGAGAGTAGCGGCGATAGTGAGCGCCGGGTCAAGACAGCGGAACAGTGTCGCTATGAGCAGGAACTTTCCGAGATGCACGTCGGTGGGCAGCTGGCTTAACAGTCTACCCATGGGCGTAATCTCCTCGTTCGGCGTGAGGGCGCGAACCTTTCGTGAAAATTATGAGCATCTGCGGCATACACCAAGGAAGCGACCGACGTACCTCGACCAAAGCGGAGACAGCTCGCTGAACGTTGATGCCCAAAGGTGGATCAAGCGCACGGGAGAGGACATCCTCGATAGATGTGCCCAAGTTCACCTTCATGATCTTGATGCGCAAGGCCAGGTCACTCAAGCTGAGACGCATGATCTCCGGGTCCGGGTGGGCAGCCATCTAGGAATGCAATCAGACTCGTGCACTGGTGTCTCGCACCTATATTGGGCCTACCTTGGTGTCATGGCGCGCCTTGGTGAAGAGATGGAAACATAAACCTGATTGAACACGTCCAGCACGCCCGCGCCTCTGTGCTGCGTTGCTCCGGGCGATGTACGTCTCGATGAGGCGACTGATTTGTCGTTTCTCATCGAAGCGCATTTCGCGGTGCTTGCCCGTATCAATGACGCAGGTGATGTCCGGGATGGTGATACCTGTCTCAGCGATGTTGGTAGCTGACGGAGAATGGTTGTTAGCATGGAGACAACTACATGATCCATCGTGAAAGACCCTACCAATAACAATCTTCCTGACTCCGGGAGGTGGTATGTCGAACACAGCTCCCTGCTGTTCACTTGAGATGGTCGAATGCAACGGGTAGATTCTGAAGCGGTCCTCCGAACCAAACGAACGATGCTCGGTAAGGACGTCGTTCAGTCGCCGGATCTCGCCCATGCCAGGCATGAAGACTAGTACTGCCGAGGAGTACGATTCGTACGAACGGTCTTCGAAGCAGATCTTCTCCAGTAGACGGACTATAAGGTCATAAGGAATCAAACGTTCGTCCAGGAGGTTGACGGTAGAGATCGTCTCCGGAGAGAAGCGCTTCTCCAGCGTGACGTTCTCTTGCTGAGCGACGTCGTCGTCATCGTCATCCCCTGCCGCGGTTTCTTCCGTCCACTCCAGTTTCGCCTTGTTACGGTAGAACTTGTCTTTCCCTACGTGCAAGTTAGATGGAGCGGTGCTGACATTTGTAACGACATGCTTACCTCTACGGGCATATGGTGAGCCCTCGGTGACTTTCCATTTCGTGAACTCGACGGCATCTTCAAGAAAACGCACGTCGACGGGGAACGTGCGCCCAGGTACTGAGAGAATTGGGCATCCTCCGAAGTAAGCAGAGATCTTCTCGGCGTCAAGAGTAGCAGACATGAGGACGATCCTGTCATGCAATGTTAACAGCGTTACGGCGGAGAGGCATTGAGGGTACGAACTTTAGGTCAGGACGTTGCACCAGTAAGGACTTCAAGACGATCAGCAGGAAGTCCGACTCGATAGTCCGCTCGTGAACCTCGTCGATGATGATGTGCTAGCAAGATATATGAGTTTACTCATCATAAGCATATGCCCCGCCAAATCTCACCGTAATCTCATCGAAGGCCGTTCCTTGGCCTCCCTGTCCTGAACCACCCTCGAGCATGCGCAGGGCAATACCATTCGTAACATATGCGAGGCGAGTACGGCGGGTGATATTGCTCTCTAGTCGGATAGCATAACCAACCAGGGAGCTGCCAGTCCCAACAGCTCCAGCAGGCTCGCCAAGCTCACGCGAGACACGCTGCGCTAACGAGATAGCAGAAATCCGTCGAGGCTCAGTGCAGTAAATCTTGCAGTGACGTCCCTTCAGGAGTTGATCCTCCAGAATGAACGCGGGAACCTGCGTGGATTTACCACTGTAGCGACGCTTTAACATCATGAGTGAAATTCGAGCGCAGCACATACCATCCTGTTTCTCCACTGAGCACCAGAATTTGGGACATTTCCAGCAACGAAAGCAAGTCCTGCCTGTAGTGAGCCATGGGGAGTGTGTTCCGTTGATGCTAGACAACCCCCGTGAGCATTTGTCCGGAGGGCGGTGTGCATGAGAGGCGCACCAGCATGTCCTGGTAAGCAGGGCTTGCTTGTCGGGCCTGGAAGTCCGCAATAATCTGCTCCGAGGGGATGTCGTTACCGTGATCAACGTAGCGGCTGGTACTGAAGTCCTTTGTCTCTGTCGGCTGGCGGGACTGCTTGCCGTTTGACTGAGAGGGGTCCCATGAATACAGTACGTGGCCAAAAGTAGGACGATGTCTACCTTCTCCGCACGGGACAGCTTGGGAGATAGAATTTCGCGCAGCCGCGCCCATACAGCGCGGTTAGCGGTATCGTCGTCCACACGGCGTTTCTGCTCCAGCTCGTCCCATAGATCCCTGAAGCCTGGCGGAAGTAAACGGAAGGAAGTCTGGCTTCCCGTAGCCGTCCCGCCTGCGGAGAAGCCCTCAGAGCTGGGGAACGTCAGCGCGTGGAGCGCTACGGTGGAGATGTAGTGTTCGGCCTGGATAGCGTCATGACAAGCAACATCCTCCATAGACCAGAACTGGGTCCGGCCGCCGTTCCACCGTATTTCTACGGAGAACCTCTTGACGCGACTGGGGCCTGAGATGCAGTTGTAGGAGATCACAGCGTAGCGATCGGTCTTGCGGACGTTCTCCGAGAGGAGGACCTTGGGCGTGCGCCCGGACCAGTGCTTGGGGAGAGCTACGTCGCGGACTTGAATGACGGTACCGTTCTCCGTCGTCTCTGTTTCGGGCATCTGTTCCAAGAGCTCGAACATGCCCCCAGGGGAATCTTCGTTGTCCTCGAAGACGTCTGCTGTGGACGTGGATGCAACACTCTCCGCGCGAGACGGTGGCTCTTTCACACGAGGAGCTGGTGGAGGCGGTGGAGGTTTCGGAGGAGGTGCTGCGGCTGTGCCGCGGAGCTTCGACTGCAGAGCCGTGGCTTCCGCCTTGCTACGTTCGGTTGCGAACATCGATTCTGCTTCTTTGTGGTCGAAGAAGTAGTCTTGCTGGACCTCTTTCAAGCGGCGTTGGAGTTCCAGTAGAAACGCAGCGTCCCCCTTCTCATCAGCACGTCTATGAGTAGTCAAATCCATAATTCGCAGCTTGAGCCGGACGAATTCATCGTTCGGGTCCTCTACCGGAGACCAGCGCACGCTGTCTGAGAGGCCCTTGGCTGAGGACGGGGTTGAGGTACCATCAGAAGGAACTGGGCTATCCTGAGATGATGTTTCCGAGGGTTTCTGTCCAGGAACGAATACCGGCGCACTGGCATCAAGGAACGACTTGACACTCGGGCTGGGAGGAGCCGAAGACCCTGTCCGAAAATGAGAGGAACGCGCTGTCTTGGGAGTCCTGGGGGTCATTGGTGTTCGCGGCTCAACCAATTCTGCAAATGCATGTGTAAGGTCGTATGTCGTCCCCATTTGAAGCCCACTGACCTTGTTGTATACCCAGCTCTTCTTCATCGCAGTGTAAATGCAGCTACATCAAAAATCAAAAACGCGTCCCCTCAAGTGTTTGACATTCTCATACCCATTCGACAGCTTCATCTAGATCGACACCGGGGATGGCCCGCAGACATTCATCGACGCGAGGCTCTGGAAAGCCCAGTCGTCTGAGAACGCCGTATGTTATAGCGAGTCGCACGAGGGCTTTCTCCTCAGGCTCGTCCACAGACTTGGACGCTATTCGAGCGCGTCAATTGGATTCCACCGACGTCATTAGGAGGCCACATACGCTCCGAGCCTTCGTATTCCAATGCTAGTTCTAGAACGCGTTCAACAAAAGAGGGATCCAGATCTAGACGTAGCAATGTCTCGGAGAACCGTCGGTCCTGTTCGATAGCCTACAACAGACATGAGGTTCTTTCCAACGCGCCGACAGACAAGAATGTCCGACCTTGACAGTCCTGACGATCTCCTTCTCTACCTTGTCTTGAAACTTCTCGATCAAGCTCTGCAGCGCCTGGTCCTCTTCACTCAAGACGGGAGCGTCGCCAGCCTTCGGATTTTGACCGGCGGTATCAGCTGACGGGTCGGTGGAGGGATCGGGGACGTCGCTAGGGGGAGCGACCTCCGGTTCCTTCGGCACCTCGACAACCTTCTTGGGTACCGAGGTAGTCGCAAAGCCTCGCGCGATGGGCTTCAGCTGCGTTTTCTTCTTCTTGGGCGCCATCCCGGCGAACTATGAACAGCGGCGAGAGTCGCCTGCGAGCTTCCTGAGCACCTTCCGCAGTACGAGGACGCGAGCAAGAGAATGCGACGGCCAATGGTTGAGTACCCTAGCAGTTGTTAGAAAGCAAAGAGCTGAGTGTGACGCCCAGGTGTGTGGTTTCGGTGTAGACTCTAGATATTTAGACAAGCAGAGAAGAGCTGTACGCAAGCGAGCAGGTCGTACAGATAAATAGGGGATGTTGAGAGCCGTGCAGAAACATGTATGGTGCGAGTGGCGGGGTGGTGAGTTGCAGTCACGGTGAGCCAAGCGACGGTCGGCGGCTCCGGGTCGGAAACCGTCCACCACATCCGATTGCGGATCTCAGTATGTTCCCGCTGACGTAACTCTCGCTTTTCGACATTGCTGCCCCCGGGTGTTTGCCCACACACGACTGAGAACCAACAACAAGATAAATATCGGCAAAGAACGGACGCATGCGCTCATGCGATATACAAGAATACAAGTCATAAGATGGCATAAAGTACGAGTACACAATGGCGGGAACGTGATTCTAGATCGCAATACAGTATAACGAGCGAGAGCGGAGCAGGCTTAGAGCAACAGACATACACTACCTGTAAGTGAACATGAGATACGACGGAATGGTGAGAGAGTTCTGAGTTCTGGTGATGGCACGATCATGAGCCGTTGTCCCCTGCCGCGACGTTGGCCTTTCCGCGGCCCCGACCTCTTGGCCTTCCTCCTCGTCCCGCCCCACCGCCTCGTGACCCGCGTCCTCGTCCCCTCCTCCCGCGAGGTGCGGGTGTGGCGGGGACACTTTCGTCCTCGTTGTCCTCTTGGCCAGCGCCCTTGCCTCCTTGGCCTGCGGAGGACTGGCCGAAGAACTCGTCTCCTTCCTCGTTCCATAGATCTTGGACGGGAGCATCCGCCCCGGCGGGCTTCTTCCCGGCCGCCTTTCCAGACGTGCCGCCGCTAGCTTCAAGGCTCGCCAATTGGTCCTCATTGAGAAGCAACTGCACGATCTCGCTTGGCTTCGTGACGTCGGTGAACGTCTTGTTACCGACAACAATGTCTTGCACCTGAGAGAGGCATCAGTATCAGGTCATTGAGCGAGACAAACTGAGCTTACATCTTTCTTGACTCTTGCCAGCTGGACGATCCGCTCGTCGATCGTGCCCTTTGTGATCAGCCGGTAGACAGTGACCTGGCGGGTCTGACCGAGACGATGGGCACGATCCATAGCTTGCGCGTCGTTGGACGGGTTCCAGTCGTGGTCGTAAAAGATGACGGTGTCCGCAGCGGTCAGGTTGATACCCAAACCACCCGCACGCGTACTCAGGATGAAGATGAAGATATCCGGCCTTTTCCACCGCGTAAATACCGCATCAAAACTCAACAGAAGGCGGATGCTCACCTTGTCTGCCATTCCATGACCATGTCGCGACGATCCTCCAGTTTCGACGAACCATCGAGGCGAAGGTACTTGTACTGACGGTAGATCAGATACTCCTCCATGAGGTCCATCATCCGCGTCATCTGGAAGTAGATGAGACAGCGATGGTCGCCGGTCTTCAGCTGCTGCAGCAGAGCGTCCAGGCGCGCAAGCTTGCCGGAGTCGTAAATCAACCTCTTCGCTTCCGGCACCTGCATGGGCGCCGGAGGCAGTTGGTTGATTGGGGAGATGCCCACGATACCTGCGGGAGGGACGTCGCCGACCTCCTCCTGGAATGCCGCGATCTCGGACTCAGAGTCCCACATCCGCTGGGGCAGACCGAAGAGCGCCAGTGACTCTTTGGGCGCCTCGACAACTTGTATCTGACGCTCCACGAATGTCCTGTCGGCGCTGTACACCGAGATCGGAGGGGCGAGGGCATGAGGAATAAACCACCGTAGCTCTGCACGAGAGAGACACGAGGACGCCCATGTGACTGTTGAAATTTCACGCAGGCTGGGCAATCCCTCGGCGATCTCGAGGTTCGCAAGACGGGCCAGCGGAGAGAACGTGAAAGGATGTGAAGCAGAGTGTGCAACAAAGAGCGCGTCCCTGAGTGGGTGTTAGAGTGGCGTACGATAGAGCGAATTATGCGACGTACTCCTTGTATGGCTCAAACTCGTTTCGCCGTTGGTCTTGCTGCAAAGCCCGGAGTTGTCGAGCAAGAGTGGATGATGTGTGCGTTGCACTGGCTTCCGCCGGGGACATGTCGATGAACCTGAGGAAGGCAAATGCGGAATGGTCTACCAAGACATCAACGAGTTGTTCAGGTCAACGATTGCCAACCAAAACTCACTGTCATCCTGCAACGAACGATGAACCATGTCGGTTGACCAAATGTTCATCATCCTCGCGAGGGGTCCATCACCAGTACGGTTCAAGGAGTTCTCGTGCGGCACATCCAAGAGACCGCCGTCTTCGTAGAATAGCTTGGGTATCGTGTACTCGATAGGGTTGCGGGTCGAGTACGGAAGCTGGACGAAGTCGCCCTCGCGGTTGAGCGGACCGGAGCGGCCGAAATCAGAGAAGGAGAAGGGCGCGACTACGTCTGCACGCTCGAACAGCTCCGGGTGGTTGCAAACCTTTCGGAACTGCATGACGAGGTTCATCAGCGAGCGGGCGGAGTCTGCGTCGCCTAGGTTCGCCGCCTTCTCCAGCAGGTCTTGTACGGAGACGTTGGCCAACAGCCCCTTGTACAGCGATCGTTGCCGAGCACTGAGATCGACGTAGATGTCCTCTTCGATCTGAGCAGAGGATTTTAGCTACCCCCCGCATGCTACTTGGCATGGGACGTACCTTCTCGCTGAGCTCGTTCTGCACATGACGCTTCACCCGACGCAACATGAAGGGCTTCAGGATCATATGCAAACGGCGGAGCTGGTGCTCGTTCAGCTTGCTGCCCTTGTTCTCTGCCGCGTTCTCGATATCCTTCGAGAACCACTCGTTGAACTCGTCGTGGGAGTCGAACAAACTAGGCATGATGAAGTGCAGCAATGCCCAAAGTTCTGTTGTTCGTGTTATAGTCAGTTGATGACCCGGTCGGTATATTGCAATACACACCCTGCATCGAGTTCTGGATAGGGGTACCGGTGAGCAACAGACGGTTGCGGCACTGGAAGCCGAGCAGCGTCTTCCAGCGTGCACTCGACGAGTTCTTGATGTTCTGCGCCTCATCCAGGATCATGTATTGCCACTTCACACGCTGGAAATACTGCTGGTCTTGTATGATCTGTGTTTCACGTTTGTCTTCCCATCCTCAATCGGTCCCAAACATCTGCACTCACCAGCTGGTAGCTTGTGATGAGAACATGGAACGGGGCGTCCTCGTCGTAGCTGATCTCCTTCTTGCTCCAGAACTTCCGCAGCGTTGCACGGTCCTTCGGGTTACCCCAGTAAGGCAGTGCCTTCAACTTCGGCACAAAGCGAGTAAGCTCTTGCTGCCAGTTGTGCAGTGTCGACGCGGGAGACACAACAAGGAACGGCCCCCAGATATCGTGCGTCTCGGCAAGGTAGGCAAGCAGCGAAATTGATTGGACCGTCTGTAGATGCTTTAGCGTCACGGCACGGTAAGCAGTGGGGGGCGAGGCTGACCTTGCCGAGACCCATCTCGTCGGCGAGAATCCCGTTGATGCCCTGCTCGTAGAGGGTAGCGAGCCAGTTGAGACCCTTGATCTGGTACTCCTTTAGAGTTGCCATGAGCATCTTTGGTTGAGCGATGGTCAGCTCGCCCGTCAGCGACGTTGGGTTCTGGAAGTTGAGCTCGTCCGAATCGACTAGAGCGTTAAAATTCAACAGCCTGTCATCATATCCCGGATAGGAGTTGAGACGTACGATCGACCAAAGGCGTGCCGGTACTCGACCCTTCCACAGTCTCTTCAGCATGAATATGCGCCTGGCGTTTGGCAAGCTTGAGCGCTTCGTTGGTCTTCCGCTCCAAAGATGCTTGAGTGTCGAACTCTTGAGCCTTCTTCTTCGCCATGGCAATAGCAGCTTGAGCGTTGTGACGAGCATGCCGCTGCATGTTCGACTCATCATCTACATGTTACTGTGAGCAAACACTTCTAAGTGAGGTATTGATTAGCTTTACTAACCGTCGTCGAAGTCGATATCCTGCAGCGCGTCATTCTCGTTCTCCGCGGAAGCAGCACCAGCCGGGGCCTGAGCAGCGGCGCCGTCTCCTTCCAACTCGGCAGCTGTCAGGCGTGTCAGAAACCTCCCTGGACAATGAACACACGAGAGACGTACTCTTGAGCTTGTTCCCGACGAAATGGCTGTACAGCTCCGTCTGGCTGATCAGGAACTCCAGCTTTCTGGCCTGCCGTGCCGCCTCGCGCTTCTCTTCCTCGACTTTGGCGCGGTCGACCGCCTCCTTCTGCTCACGCCGCCGCACTTCGCGCTCCTCCTTCTCGTTCTTCTTCCAGAACACGAGCATCTCACGCATGAGCCTCTTAGCCTTGGCCTGCACGTCCTTCGTCGCCTTAGCCGTCTTGAGGAAAGGACGGCGAGCCTGGATAGACGACAGTGTAGCAAGACGGCCCAGTTGCTGTTTCTTGGTCTGGTATCCTGCGACGTGATACTTGTAGACCTACCACCGCCATCGTTAGCAACTCACAGTAGCGTCGCTCTCCACGTATAACTCATACCTTTGCAACGTCCCGTCTGGCGATGTTCATCCAGACTTTGCGTTGAGCCTCCTCTAGAGTCTTCAGCCGCTTCACCATAGCCGAGTCGTCGATCTTCCGTGCTTTCCTGAGCGGCGGTATGACCTCGTCAAGCTCATACATAGTGGAGGACATATTAGTAGGCGCAGGAGACGCGGGCCGCGAGCCAGCGGGGGTGGCATCGCCGGACACCGACGCGGCAGCGGAGTCCACCCCAAGCAGCTCCTGCGTCGCGGGCGGAAGGGCGTCCAGCTTCTTGCGAGGGCCGCCACGTTTGCGACCTTTTGGTGTCGCAGATACACTGTCGGTACTTTGCTCCCGCTTGCCTCTGCCTTTCCCCTTCGCGCCCGCAAGCAACTTGTTTGCCGGGGATGCCACGGACAGTGGCTCGTCCAGCAGCGACCGGTCGTCTCCGTCGCCCTTCTCGATCCGCCGCTTCTTGGCCGGAGGGCGCATGGCGCTGATCGGAATATCTACATCGCTGTCGCTGTCCGACGCGACACCTGCAGGAGGTCGTTTGGCGACCTCCTTGCCCTTTCCTTTCCGCCGAATGCTGATTGAGGGCTCGTCCAGGTCACGACCGTTTTCATCCTGTCCGACGAACGTGATTCCATCGGAATGGAAGTCGGGCTGTCCGAGGTCGTACCCGTCGGAGATAGACGGCGACGGTACGCGCATCTTGAGCTTGAGCAAATACTCTTCGTCCACTTTGGGCTGTGGCAGAGGTGGCGGCGGGGGAGGAGGTATACGTGCAAGTCTGTCCCTATAGTGGTGGGACATTCTGTACGCGGTAATCGAGTCGCGTTCCTAGGTGAGAGATAGCCTGAGGTCGTAGCATATATGACAATGAATTATCCACTCACGATGATCCACTGGGAAAACCAGACGTCGACCTGCTTTTGCCTCTTGTGGGTTTCCATAGCATAATTCCCTAGTTCGTCCCACCACAGCTCCTGACATTCCTCTAGGTCCGACGAAGGCTTCGGGTCTTCCTCTGCAGACTCCGGGGGCTCCTCTACGGGGGTATCTTCCACTATTTCTGAGGTAGGGGTCTGGTTGCGCTGTTGTGGACGCGACCGTAATCCTGGCCGGCGCGACTGCTGCGAACAAACAGTTGATTAGGACAGCACCCAGTAGGCAACACGGAGGTCACTTACGCGTTTCTGCCCAGGAGGCCGGTAGTCCTCGTCATCGTCGGGCAATTTCCTCTTCCTCAGAATCCTCCCATTGATCTCCACCGACCCCTCCTTCTGCCTCAACCCGAGCGGTGTTGCATTGGACGTGCGCGGAGATGGCGTTGCGCTTTCGTCCTGCTCAGCATAGTACGAACTGCTGGGACCAGAAGGAACCTCGTCGCCCTCGAGCCTATCGCCATTGTGATGCTCCCACCCTGCGGGGCTATGGTATCCGGCGGTATGAGGCTGGTAGTACTCGCGTGAGCTCGGTGGCTGTTCCACCTCGCGCGCGGTAGACCGTGCACGGCCCTCGCGGGGCACTTGCAGGCCTGGAGATAGCGGGGCGGGGGCGTGCGCAGCCTGCGGTGCGACGAGCGCAGGTCCACCGTTCGTAGCAGATGGGTGGGGTGGTATTCCGGGCGAGTGGGGTGGCGGGTCGTCGTTGAGGATATGCCGGAGGGACATTGTTGTGGGGGGGAGGAGGGCGACGTGGTGCGTGCAAGGGGAGTTCGTAATAAATAGGTTTGCTTCGGCGCACTGCTGGACAGCGAACGAAGCGCCCAGAGATGCCAGTGCCACACGAGAAACAACAAGCTCAGCCAAGAAGCTCTCCCGGGGCGGCGCCTATGTCGGGCGTCGTATACGTGCGGTGGCGGTCTGCGGTCGGTGTCGAGGTCGGTGTGCCGCGGTTGTGTGGGCTGCGAGTGCGGATGGGAAGACGCGGTGGGGAGGAATGATGCAGCTCTGGGCCGGGCCCGAAAAGCTACGGCTTAGCCGCAATTTGCCCAGCGAGCACGTCTCATAGGATTTCGTCCCGCTACAAATATGTCCATTGCCTCTTTGGGCTTCCCCACGCCGCCTCTTCTCTCCCTCACCGTGTCACACCCCTGTCACACAATATCGTCCCACACACCCGCCCACCAAAAATACACCGGACTATCGGGCTATACTGTACGCAAGTTGGGTAGACGGTGAGAAGGCGCAGAGTCCGTGCTATGTAGTTTATCCCTCCCGTCATCCCACGCGATCGGCATCACGTAGAATCGTCATTGTCACATCGTACACGTCCTCATTATAAGCAACGGTGACATGACAAATGGTCCCGGGCTCACGCCTCGTCGGGGTGCAACATCAGCTCCGGGCGGACTTTGTCGTCGAACTCCTCCGGCGTCAAGAAGCCCAGCGACACCGTGGCCTCCTTCAGGGTCGTGCCCTCCTTGTGCGCCTTCTTTGCGCACTTGGCAACGTCTGCGGCATACAATTAGATACGGAGACCTCGTGTGTGAGCGGCGTCTAGCACGTACTGTCGTAACCAAGATGGCTATTGAGGATGGTTGCCAACATGAGCGACTCGTGGAGCAGGGTGTGGATGCGCTTCTCGTTGGCCTGAATACCAACAACGCAGTTCTTCGTGAACGATCGCGACGCTGTACAAGACATGAGCAATCGAAACAATTAAAGAACAGCATCCGGCTTACCGTCCGCGAGCAAGCGAATGCTCTGGAGCACGTTCTTGATAATAACGGGCTTGAAGACGTTCAGCTGCGCGGGCGTTAACGTACTGTTCCGTCGCTAATTAGCAAACAATCGCACGAACCTCGAACTGCCCGTTAGAACCCGCGATGCTGACAACGGTCTGGTTGCCAATGACCTGCGCGCAGACCATGGTCATGGCCTCACACTGGGTGGGGTTGACCTTGCCAGGCATGATACTGCTGCCAGGCTCGTTCTCGGGGAGCTGCAGCTCGCCCAAGCCGCACCGGGGGCCAGAACCGAGGTACCGAATATCGTTGGCGATCTTCATGAGAGAGCACGCCACGGTGTTCAGCGCTCCGTGAGCCTCAACGAGAGCATCGTGCGACGCAAGCGCCTCGAACTGCGTGGTCACGTCAGACAAGACTGACTATGAATTATGGAGGAGGACTTGCCTTGTTCGGAGCGGTCTTAAATTCGATCCCGGTCAGCTTAGAGATCTCGGCAGCTACCTTGACGTCGAAGCCCTTCTTCGTGTTAAGACCCTGTATCGCGTGTCAGTGCTTCCGGACGCCGAGCTCTCACGAGGGTACTCACAGTGCCGACGGCAGTACCACCCTGGGCAAGGAGACTGAGACGCGGCAGAGTGTCCTTGATACGGTCGATGCCGTTGGTCAACTGCTGGACATAGCCGCTGAACTCCTGGCCGAGAGTCAAGGGGGTCGCATCCTGAAGGAAAAGTGTCAGAAATCGTCTAACCTGCTATCGCCAATGTTTTACCTGCAGATGGGTGCGGCCAATCTTGATGATGTGTTCAAACTCCTTCGCCTTTGCGTCGAGGGCATCGCGCAGCTCAGTGATGGCAGGAAGGAGTGACCGGTGGATCTCAGTCACAGCAGCGACGTGCATCGCAGTGGGGAACCTTCCTGTAACGTCAGCTTGCATAGTGAATGTATGCGCTGAAAACGACGAACGTGTCGTTGCTGCTCTGGCTCATGTTGACATGGTCGTTCGGGTGAACGGGCTTCTTCGAGCCGCGTTCACCGCCGAGGATCTCGATGGCACGGTTCGAGATGACCTATTCCACTATTAATGTCCGATACATAGCATATGCACATGATATGCACGCACCTCGTTGGCGTTCATGTTGCTCTGGGTACCACTGCCGGTTTGGTAGACAACCAGCGGGAACTCCCCGATCAGCTTGCCAGAGATGACCTGTTCTTGCGGTTGAGGACCTCCTCTTGCGTATTGTGCCCGCTCGAACGCACCTCATCAGCGGCCTTCCCAATCGCCTCGCCGACCTTCGGATCCATACCATACCCGACGTTCACAATCGAGGCGGCCTTCTTCAGCACACCGAAAGCCTTGATGAGGGGCTCGGGCAAGCGCTCGGCGGCACCACCGATGTCGAAGTTCTGCAGCGAGCTATGTAGCAAAGTATATAGCGGTCAGATCTGTGCCTTGATGAGATTAAAGGAGTAAACGCACCGCTGCGTCTGCGCTCCCCAGTAGCGTTCTGCAGGCACTTGGAGCTCACCGAAGGTGTCGCGCTCGATACGGTACTTTCCCTCCTATGCGCCGCGCCTTCCGATTGAGTTTCGCCTTGCACTCGAAAAGAAGAAATCCACTGACCATGGTGACAGCTGAAGAGGAGAACAGACGAGATGGCGCGCGCGAAGACTCGAGCTGGAGGAACGGCGAACGCGGGGCGGGCCCAGGCATGCAATCACATGAGTACCAGTGACGCTGTATTCATGCCTTCACGGCATCCCCTTCGAAACTCACCGTGGCACGAGCGGCGAGGCGGATTCCGGCCATATTTTGAGTATACCAAGAAGTGGCGAAGTAGGGTAGAGGTGTGGGGTAGCAGCTCACAGAGCTCAGCAGCGCGTATAGGACGGTGGCGAATTATATGAAGCTGCAACGTTGGCGGAAAGTGCACGACTGCCGCCGTCCGCCGCGTAGTCCCGATCCTTCGCCCGATTTCTTCCGTCACCGCGCCGTACCTGAGCCAGTCCTGAGCCTCGCGCTCGCGGCCGCTTCATGTCCTTCGCTCCCGTCGCGCTGTCGGACGAGCAGGAGTTCGGCTAGCGTTCGGATGTAAATTGCGTTTGGTTCTGCCGTCCCCGACGACCATGGCGGTTGCGAAGGTGCAGCTGAGTATCACAAGAGGAGAAATGGCACTTTCACGTGATACGGTCGGTGTCTATCATACCCCAGATATCCCCTAATATGAGCGTACCATGGGGAAGCAGTGTCGGTCTTAACCTTTGCTCGCATCTCTACCTCCGCCTCTACCTCCCCTCCCGCGAAAGACCTGACACCATGGCCAGCATCGCGTCTCAGCTCGTCCTCCATCCGGTGACGTCGCAGTCGCTTCGTGTGCTGAACACCTCCGTCGGAAGGGACAAGGTATGACCGCATTTCGTGTCTCATCCTCCCTACCTCCGAAAGGCCGAACGTACCGACGTCCCCGCTTTCTGTGCAGCTCTACCGTGGTCTGCAATACCTCGCGCGTTTCCTCGCTTGGTTGCTTCTGTCCCGCGGATACAAGATCCAAGCCGCACGGTGGGATGCCTTGAAGTCGCACCTTGCTCTCGGGCGCAAGCGTGAGTTCTCAGTCGTACGATGGCAGAAGAGAACGCTCAAAACCATTTGGTATCCGTGAATAGTCTTGCGTCTGGGCAAATTCATGGAGAGCGCCCAGGCCGTCCTCCGCGCCATTGCCGCACCTGGCGAGACAGGAGAGCGTGTCACTTTGATCGGCAGGCAGGTTGGGTACTTCGCCTACCTCCTCTTGGACAATGTTGCTTGGGTATGTGACACCACTTTGACTTCTGTGATATGCGCTGAATTGTGTGGTGGAATACAGGCAAACAACATCAAGTTCTACAACCTGCAGCCATCGACGGCTCAGAAGCTGAACAAGCGTGTGATGCAATTCTGGTTCACCGGAATCGTATTCAGCATCGCCAACGGCCTTCTCAAGGTGAGTGTAGAGCGTTATTCTGTGGAGAAAAGTGTCTGATCGCGAGAAACAGGCTGGCAGACTTGCTAACGAGGTCAAGAAGTTGCAAAGCCAGACTTGGACAGAAAAGAGCGCGGAGGCCGAGCGGGACCTGAAGCTCCACAACCTCCAGCTTACGCGGGAGAGCGTTCGCTACCAGTTCGTCATTGACATCCTAGACGTCTGGATCCCGGCGACGGCGATCGGCTTCGTCAACCTGAACGATGGCGTCCTTGGTGTCTTCGGGTGCGTGAAATTTACCACAAAGACCTCCTATTCGTCCAGCTCACCACGATTGCAGTATCATCACGTCCGTTATGGCCCTGCGTCAGCAGTGGTTCGCCGCGGCCGGGAAGAAGTAGGGGTTGTTGCGCTGTTCCTAATATAATCCTGGATGTACTACCTCTATTTCTCCGCACATATTCCATCGTCGTAATGCCTGCCTTGATGAGCGAAGAGTGCACCCTGGCGTAGTCGATGGTTTGCGACTGATGTCTTGCTCTGTTCGGTATCCTTCACCGCCTCACGGATCCATGACAGGATGTACAGGACGTAGCTTGGTGACTGTGGTACAAGTCTGTGTGACGTGCGCGTGAAGTGCACCGGGTGGAATATTGGCCAACATTCGAGGTACGCCGCCAGTGCGCTTCAAGATGGGTTCTTGTTCTCCTCCTGTTCATTCCGCAGACGGAGGTACTCCATCCTGACTATCGCCATTGCTTCTGGCCCTGTGCTGTGGCAATGTGAGGTAAGACTCCTCCCGTGGATGAGATCACGCACTATTGCAGCATGCATTCTTGTACAGCCTTATACTTCGATCTGCACTCCCATGCAACAGAGAACGTGCGCCCTTCTGCGCAGTCGGCAAATTCTGGGTAGCAAACGCGTGAGTTCATATAGTGTTCATACCCGGACGTGTATACTAAAACCTCACCTTTGACGACGGGGTCGCACGCCTTCAACGCGAACGCTTTCGTCTTTTTCAAGAGGGTCTCCTCCTCCCGGCGTGAGAGGGCGTTCATGGTGAGCCAGACGACGCGCAGCTACACGCGACTCGGAAGGAACAGACGGGGAGGCGTTGTGGCCGACGGCCCACCGCGCCGGCGTCTTGGGCGCGATCGGGCGCGCACTTTTCCCTTTACAGGCATGCCGGCGGCTAAGGATTAGCAAGGTGGCCCGACTTCGGAGCGGGACGTCTCTCTGCAGCGGACCACCCTCGCGTTATTTAACCCCTCCCAACCACAAGTCCTCGGGCACTCGCGTCGTCTGGCTCGCTATGTCTTTGCCTACCACGCAATTCAAGATAGCTGCGCGCGCTGTGCGCACGCATGTGCGGTGTCTGGCCACGCCGTCTTCGTCCAAGGGCCGCTTTAGTCAGACGCTCGAGGACGGCCCTTCGTTCGACGACTTCGTTGCGGACAGAGTTCCGGAGAGGGTCGTATTGGGGAACACCACTGCGTGAGTACAGCTCAATTGTTCCAGCAAAATGAATGAATGCTAAGAGCACCGGGCGCAGACCTCGGCTTCCGTCATACTTGAAGACAACCATTCCCAAAGGCGCCTCCTTCTCCAAAATTAAGAAGGACATTCGTGGTCTGGGTCTTCATACCGTCTGCGAGGAAGCACGATGCCCAAACATCGGCGACTGCTGGGGCGGCAAGGAGGGCGCTACTGAAGCGGAAGGCAAGAAGGGTGCTACTGCCACCATTATGGTATGGCGTTACGGATTCATCTGCCCCTATAGTTGCTGATGTTCCGGATAGCTCATGGGAGACACCTGCACTCGTGGATGCAGATTCTGCTCGGTGAAGACCAACAGGAAGCCAGAGCCGCTTGATGTACATGAGCCAGAGAACACTGCTGAAGCTATCAGCCGCTGGGGCCTGGGTTACATTGTCCTGACCAGCGTGGACCGCGATGGTGAGTATGACGTATGCATAGACTCTATTTTGTCTGACAACTCTCCTAGACCTTGCTGACGGTGGGTGTCACCACTTTGCCGAGACTATCATGAAGATCAAGCAGAAGTGCGTGTTCGGTCATGAGATATCTACCATGTAACTGACGGCTTCTTCTAGGGCTCCGCAAATACTGGTAGAGGCCCTGACTGGCGACTTCTGGGGCAACTTAGACCACGTCTCAGTCGTGGCGAAGTCAGGCCTGGACGTCTACGCTCACAACATCGAGACTGTCGAAGCCCTCACGCCATTTGTCCGTGACCGTCGCGCGACGTTCCGACAGAGTCTGGCCGTCCTTGCGCACGCAAAGAAGGAGGGCGTTCGGGTGACCAAGACAAGCATGATGCTCGGTGTCGGCGAAAACGAGGACCAGATCATGCATGCCCTACGAGGTCAGGCTCAACTTTCGGGCGCTGTATCTGTATGAGCGCTACTAACGTTCCACCCCCGATCGCAGAGCTACGTAACATTGACGTGGACGTGGTGACGTTCGGCCAATACATGCGGCCCACAAAGCGGCACATGAAGGTGGACCGTTATGTCGAGCCGGCCGAGTTCGATCGCTGGAAGCAAGTAGCGGAAGACATGGGCTTCCTGTATGTTGCCAGTGGACCGCTCGTCCGTAGCAGCTACAAGGTGAGTCATTGTCTATGGTGGCTTTCCACATGCTCACCGCTTTCGATATAGGCTGGTGAGTTCTACATAGAGAACGTCTTGAAGGGCAAAGGCGCGCAACGGCGAGCCAACAACACTCTTGCCGCCGAACAGATGCTTGGGGCCGAGGCGAAAGCTCAGTCATGACAGCATGGGGTGCCTCTGATAGAATGTCTCTGACATACATATCCGCTTATTGCTCCCACCTCTACTCTATTCGTGTATCGATACTCTGAACCCCTATCATAATGCAATGCCTCCCATAGGACGTGGGGTCGCGAAAATGAGCGTCTATGAAATTCATGAAACGGGCCGCATGTGCCGTAAATGGCACTCTCCCCGGCCCGGGGCTGGTCTGGGTAGGAGTCTGGTGAAAGGGGCCATCGGCAATGGCCGGCGGGGCTGAACTCTGCTCGAAAACCTGAACCTTAATTTTCTGTTCAGTACACGCACCCGCCAAACCGTCGCCAGCTTCGCCCTCGGCCTCCCCACCAGCAAAAATGGTGAGCAACCATGCACGAACGATTCGCCACGCAATGAAACTGATGGCTTTAACAGGACTCCTCAAAAGCCCCCGTCAAGCTCGCTACCGTCATTAAGGTCCATTTAGCCGTTTTCTCTGAAGCTTCGAGCGAGTCCTGACCATAGATATTGCAACATCGCGCATTCGACAGGTCCTTGGGCGCACTGGCTCCCGTGGTGGTGTCACGCAGGTCCGCGTCGAGTTCATGGACGACCCCACCCGGTCCATCATCCGTAACGTGAAGGGCCCCGTCCGCGAGAAGGACATCTTGGCTCTCCTGGAGAGTGAGCGTGAGGCTCGGTACGTGCTCCTACTTGCCAGGAAATGGACCAGCCCTGATAATCGTGCTTCGCTACAGCCGCCTGCGGTAGATCGCTCTCGTGTTCTCATTTGTTGTCGCACTATTTTTTCTCCTCTCGCCACACGACGCCTCCTCTGTATGACCATGCCAATGCTATGAGCATGAGATGCCACCGGGACTAAGCTATGTCCGATCTTGAAGTCTTCTGAGTACCGCCAGGACGTCTCTTCCATCGCAGATGGGCGGCCATGGCATGAAAACTGTAGAGCCAAATGTGCGTCTGGGACCGGTCGGCCGCCGTTTATGGACTTCTCCCTCCCTCCGAGATTACGACGCCAGCGCTCGCGAGCACGAGGATGTCGATATGATCCATCTAACGCGCGGAGTTGTCCTGCTGTCGGACTCTGCAGCAGGACGATCTGCTGTGTACGGCGACGTATGGCGCTGGTGATCGATTACACGAAATCTCCCTGCATGCACCCGAAACAGGAGACAGGTTCTCGGAGGTGACTACGCCCGGCCAGTATTGCTCAGTCAGCTATAAGGCTGTAGGCCAATCCGCGGTAGATTCCAACTTTCCCCATACCCACCGTGTCCCGGAACGCCTGAGTGCCCAGTATGACCCGTGGCGCGTACCTCACCTTTATCACCACGGAAGGGTACCTCCCGGGGTTGTTGGTGCTCCACAAGACCCTGCAGGATGTAGGATCGAAGTACCCGCTCGTGGTGATGGCCACGCGCTCCCTGCCGCAAGATGTGCATGACGTCCTAACGCGAAAGGGCATCGCGATCTCGGTGGTCGACTCGCTAACCCCAAACAACAGCAACATCGCGGAGCATGACAGCAGATTTGCCGAGACGTGGACGAAGCTTCGGTACGTAATAGCTGTGTGTCCCGAGTGCGCTAGCACGGCGTTCTGACTTGGAGCTAGGATGTTCGAGCTCATCGACTATGAAGTCCGTTAAGGCCGTTTATATATATACCGGTGCTAAGAGCTGATGGTATGCGATAGCGTGTGGTCGCGTTGGACGCCGACATGGTCGTAAAGCGCAACATGGACGAGCTCATGGAGATCGACCTCCCCGAGGGCTATATCGCCGCTTGTCACGTCTGCGCCTGCAACCCGCGCAAATTGAAGCACTACCCCAGGGAATGGTGAGGCGCCCATTCGTCCGACTTGCGCTCATGTACATGCACTCATATTGATGCAGGATACCGGAGAACTGCGCCTACTCTGCGGTCTCGCACCCGGGTGGTTTGGAGACCCCTACGCAGATAACAGACACTAGCCCTGGCCCGTATAAGCAACTCAATAGCGGACTCGTCGTGCTCAGCCCCTCGCGAGACACGTTCAACCGCCTCCAAGACTTCCTCAGGGAGTCGCCACTCGTACCGGACTTCAAGTTCCCCGACCAGGACCTCCTCACGGAGGTGTTCAAGGGGCGCTGGAAACCGCTGCCGTGGTGCTACAACGGCCTCAAGACGCTGCGCGTCATCCACTCCGACCTGTGGCGTGACGAGGAGGTCCGCTGCGTGCACTACATCCTGAGCGACAAGCCGTGGCGGGAACGACCTAAGGAGGGGGATCCGTACAAGTTGTTGAACCAGTGGTGGTGGGATGCGCTCGAGCAGGTGCGCGCGGAGATGGAAACGGCGGATCCGGAGGGGTGGAAACTGGTTGAGAAGAATATCGCCCACGCTTGATTCAGTACTGTTGTTGTGATAGATGTTTGTGGATGTTTAGTGTAATTCGAAGTCGCTATCGGCATCTTGTACATCGACACTCACCTTGCTCCACATCTGAGTGCTGGCCAGACGCCAACTCTAGCCACGAGACCTCGTACACCAACGCGGATGGCGAACATAAGATAGATGGATACATCGGGTTCACGTACCAGTACACTCCAGCATACAACAAGATCAGACAACTGCATTCGCATCGTCAAACTCATGCTCTCCAAGCAACGTGCACTTCATCCGTCCGGAACCTATGGTGAATCAGTATAAGATGCATCTGCGCTTAGAAGACGCAGCACTCACCGCTGTGTGCATGTGCTTTTTGATAGCGGCGTTTCGTGGCCCATCCGGAAGCTCAGCAGCCCGGCCTGGGCTATCATGATGCCATTGTCAATGCAGAATCTGAATGGGGAAAGGCTTGAGAATGAGCAGATAAGCCACGCATATTGATAGATGCTGCTGCGTACCGCTCGTCTGTGGCGAAGACGTTCCCGCCACGCTCCCTCGCCATGACGCCCATCATCTCCTGCAGTCGCTCGTTGCCTGCGGGGCGCAGTGAGAAAGCGGTGCCTAGTAGGTCCCCGCAGCGCACACAGCGACAGGGAACCGAGACTGGGGGCGCACTCACATCCTACACCGCCAACGATGAGCACCTCCTTGCTGCCGATGTGCGCCATCGCGCGCTCGGTGATCTCGACGAGCATCGCAAACACGGTCTCCTGCAGCGAGAAGCACAGATCCTGTGGCGTGATGATGTCCTCGCCGTCTTCCGCAGACGGCCCACCAGGCCGGAATCGCTTGTCGTAAGTGTATGCCTCGGTGGAAGTTAAGATGCCAGACAGGCTGATGTCCATCCCCTTCGTGGTGTAAGGCAGAGGGAGCAGTCGCTTACCCCTGCGCCACGATCAGCTGCTCGCACGGTTACGAGAATACAGCAAACTCACTTCTTCGCTTCCTGCTCGATGTTGTACCCGGGGCTGGGGGCGTTGCTGAGGTTGATGACGCGCGCGAAGCGGTCGAGGCAGTTCCCGACGGCGATATCGAGGGTCTCCCCGAAGATGCGATAGCACTGCTGCGAGTATGCGATCACTTGCGTGTTTCCGCCCGAAACGTAGAGTACGACCGGGTTTTGTGCGCCGGTAACCTGCCGACCCATCTCGATATCTAGTAGCAGGCATATGAGCCAGAACCCCAGCATGGGTGGCGAATTTACGCACGGCCTACGCAGTGATTTACGCCAACCAGGGGCTTGTTGTACAGTAGCGACAGCGTACGCGCAACGAGTGCCACAGATACCAACGGTGCTCCCATGCCGGGACCTGGATATATAGTCAACAGATGCGGCCAGGGAAAGTATGATGTGCGAACCTTTGGTGTAACAGATACAGTCGATGTCATGCAAGGACACTCCCGCCTTGCTGAGAGCATCGTTGATGACCGTCAGCGCCCATTCACGATGGTGTTGCGCAGTATCGCGGGGTAGAAAGCCTTCTCCAGCGGGCGTGATATAGGTGTGCCTGACGTTGGAGAGAACAAGGGTCGAGCCGTCCGTTGAGTGCTTGATGATCCCTGCGCCGAATTTATTGGCCGATCCCTCGAGTCCGAGAGCAATATACGGCCTCTCTGTACTGCGTTGTGAGCAAGCCACTCTTTCGCATCAAAGCTAACATATTACCTGGCGCCTTCAAAGGGGAACGTTTCTTTACTCGGCCAGGCATGGTGTGTTCGGGGTGAGGGTCCTGCCAGGAATTGTGGCTGGGTCAAGCTGGAGCGCGTCGCGGGCAGATCTCGATGCTCGATCACTCAATCTAATCGGGTCACGTGGGCAGAATTTGAGGCAGAGTCATTCTGACCGCGTCTGTGTCCCACAAAACTAGAGAGGTGCTCCATCCCTGCACTCACAACACCACCGTCACCTCCCACTACACCATGGCCAAGCAATCCCTCTGGCTCCGCTGCGAGAAGAAGCAGTTTGAGCGTCGCACAGCGATCACACCCACCACCGCCAAGAAGCTCATCGATGCCGGCTTCGACATCTCCGTCGAGCGCGACAGCCAGCGGATATTCAACGACGCGGAATACGAGGCGTGAGTGCTGCAAAATATACTGCGTCGGAAGTCTCGCTTATACCCAGCTGTAGTCTGGGGTGCAAGCTCGTAGAGCACAACTCATGGCCGAGTGCCCCCACGGACATCCCGATCATTGGCCTGAAGGAACTCCCCGAGTCCGATGAGCCCCTTCCCCACACGCACATCCAATTCGCGCACTGCTACAAGCAACAAGGCGGCTGGTCGAAGGTCCTGTCCCGCTTCCACCGCGGTGGAGGAACGCTCTACGACCTCGAGTTCTTGACCGACGCGCAGGGCCGCCGGGTAGCCGCCTTTGGATACCACGCAGGCTTCGCGGGATCGGCTGCGGGTGCTCTCGCACTCGCCGCTGAGCGGAGTGGGAACACGCTCGGCCAACTCGAGCCCTTCGAGAACGAGAGCGCGATGGTCGAGGGAGTTAAGAAGGTGCTCGGGGGCAGCGGCAAGGGGTTGAAGGTTCTCGTGATCGGCGCACTCGGTCGATGTGGTAGCGGTGCAGTCGACCTCTTCCGCAAGATCGGCGTGGAGGAGTAAGTGGTTTTCGCACGAACTGTCGATGGCGAAGCTGACGTCTCTACAGGGATGACATCGTCAAGTGGGACATGGCCGAGACGGCCAAGGGCGGACCGTTCCAGGAGATCCTGGATGTGGACATCTTCGTCAACTGCATCTACCTCAGCTCGCAGATCCCACCGTTCCTGACCAAGGAGCAGGTCGCCGGTGCTGGCAAGGACAGGCGACTGCGGGTAGTTGTCGATGTCAGCTGTGACACGACCAACCCCTACAACCCTCTCCCGGTCTACGATATCAACACCACCTTCTCGCATCCTACCGTCCCCGTGGTACTTCCGCAGACGGCCTCCGCAGCAACCAGGTGAGTTGACATATGACGTTAATGACATTCCATTGGGGAATTACGTAGCTAATACACACCTTCATAGCGACCTGCCTTCGCTTTCTGTGGTATCCATTGATCACCTGCCTACGCTGCTTCCGCGGGAGGCGTCAGAACAGTTCAGCGCGGCCCTGTTGCCGTCGCTGCTCGAGCTTCCCGACCGCAAGACAGCGCGGGTATGGGTGGAGGCCGAGAACCTCTTCCGTCAGAAGCTGGCGGAGGCGGTCAAGGCGGAGGGATTGTGAGCGCGCGCGCGGCTCCGAGGGGAGGCCGAGGACACAAAAATAAGCAGCTTTGTACGATGTACAAGGCGGGCCCGGGTGATTGTATAGAATGTTGTATGTAGATTACACAAGGGAATTCACGGTTGCAAAGCCGCAGGCGATCTGGCCTTGGCGTTGTCAGCGTCGGATCCGGAGGAGGGAATGCTCCCGCGCGGGGCCCTGGAGACGGCGCGATCGCGCCTGTGTTTTCCCCAAGTGGGCTGGATGTTTACGCCACGTATCGATTACACATGCCGTGCTAAGTCCGTGGCGTTCGCAGAACACAGTTACACAGGCAGAGCAGCAATACATCAGGCTAGGATCAGAGCACGATTGAGGTGGGATCGCGGACCTGTGCGCAGGAAGTCCGAGACTGTGATGTGGGCGCGCAGGAGTACTGCGCATCCAAACGCCAGCCTAGCGGTCGCCGGTCGCCATCAGAGCTGAGAAAACAGACACGTCAACGAGGAGAGTCTGAGCTGGCTGCGGAGAGGAGAGGGCGATGGCCGCCACCGCAGTCCTTGGGCTGTAAGCGAGACGACTGAGAGGAGGGGGTCGCGCCGCGCCGCGACCAAGAGGGCCTTGAGGGCTGGATGCGAGGCTCGGTGCGGTTGCCATGCAGGAGAGGGAGAGGGACGGGCGGGCGGGGTGAGACCGGTCGAGGCGGGAGATGGGGAGATGATGCGTTCGAGGACGCTGTGCCGGCGAGTTGCAGCGGGCAGATGGGCTGGGCGTCTGCGGCAGGGACATCACTCGAGCACATCGGCTCGCCTCCTCCTCAGTTGTTCTCCTCCTGCCTTTTCATCCCCAGCCGTCTCTGTATCTTTCCCTCTTTCTTCCATCTTCTCGGGTTCCTGTGGTGCCAGCTTTCCTTGGGCTTTCTTTCCTTTCTTCTACCCTACCTCGACTTCACCCGGTGCTCATTCTGCACAAGTGTTCACTGGTGCTGGTCGCCCCGCGTCCCGTCCTAATTTCTCAACGCAAGCACTTCCTGTCCCCCCTCCCTCTCCGTCGCGTCACCATGCATCTCGCACTCTCCCCCGTCCCTGAGATTGCCATCTCGCTCGCGTCCCCCGAAGAGCCTTGCGAGGAGCCGTTCTCGCCTTTCTCCCAGTGTTCCTTCCTCAGCGACGATCAAGACAGCTTCCGTCCTATGCTGCTCTCCCCGCCGCCTCCGACGGTCATCACTCCGAAGCAACTGTCTCCCCTGAGGCCCAAGGATGCGCCTGTCACAGGAAAGGGCCTTGAGAGAGAAAGGTTTGAAGCCATGCTCCAAGCCACTCGGGACAGGAATGCGGCGCTGGGAAGTAAGAAGACCACTGATCTCCGCAAGGAGATTGCGCTCAAGGTTCACCGGAACAAGCAGGGTATGTACCATCCTCTTGCAGAAATCCCGCTCGCTCGTGTGCTCACCGCGTGCTACTACCGTAGTCGAACGGCGTGCGCTGTTCTTGTCCAAAGTGCAAGCGCCACCTTCGCCTTCTGCCACCTTCACCCCCGTCACGCCCCCCGAGTCTCCTGCGGTCTTCCACTACAGCCTCCCTTCGCCTGGCCTCGAGTCGCCGTTGGAAGTGTTCGAGGCGCTCCAGCTCGGCCGACCTGTCACTCCTTCCTGCCAGCCTTGGGTTGAGCAGGTGGACTTCCGCCTTCCTGGGGATGTGCACCCCAAGGCGCCCCTCCGGTCTGCTCCCGTCCACCTCTCAATTAAAAGGAAAGCTCTCCCCTCGCTCGATCAGATCACGGCTCGCCTGAGCTCGAACGGCCATGTTGCAGCGCATGAGGCACCCTCGCGTCCCTCCATGCGCCTCCCCTCGTTCTTGCGCACACCCGCGCGTGTAGAGCAGCCTACGATCCGCATCACGCCCGAGCCGAAGGCCCGACCTACGCTGCCCAGCGCGGTCGGTCGTCTGCGCTTCCCGACTCGTGCCGCCCCCGAGGCGGCGCCTGCAGTGAAGATCGCCCAGCCCACGCCCTGCCTCCCGCCTGTCTCCCCGCGCTCGCCCCTGGCTCCGAAGCTGCAGGTCACGACCACGGTCGTGCCTCGTACCACTTCGGCGTCGCCGATCGAGCTCACGGAGTCTAACTTGCTGGCCTTCACGGCCTCGCGCGAACGCACCGCGAACAACATGCTCAGCCGGCTGCGTCGCCGCACGCTCCCCCCTCAGATCGCGGTTCCCGCCCCGGGCGCAATCGACCGCGAGGACGACGCGGAGCGCAAGGCCCGCAGGCACAGCGCGCCGCCCGAGCTGCCCCAGCGCGCGCGCATCGACTTCGCACACCCGGTCCTGGCGATGCCAGGCGCGTTCTGAGGCGTGTGCGACGGATATCCCCATACCCGTCCCCGTCCCTGTCTCCGGTCCGGTCTGTGTCTCTGGCCCCCCACCCTAACGTAAATGGTCTCGTCCCCGTGGACGGTTGGCAACGGATACTGCTTGTATTCTTATTTCTCTCGGAACGCCTTGTGTCTCCCTAACTCCCCCTACTCCCCCGCGACGCACCCCTTCTGCCCATTTTAGCCCTAGCCCTGGCCTTTTTAGACCGCTTTGTTTTCTTCCCCACTTCTTGTTTTTCGTTCCTGCCGTGCTGGTTCGGGAATCCGCTTTCGGGGGTGTTGTACGATGACGACGCTGGCGTACTCCGGGGCGGCGTGGGGAGCTCGCGGCCGGCCCCGGGCGGCCCACCCGCCCCCCCTGGCCCCCCGCGCACCAACTTGAAGCGAGTTGAACAACCGCGGCCCAGCTGCAGCGAGCCCAGCGACGCGCACATGCACCTGCACACCACCGCATCGCCAGCGGCCCCCGCACGCAGCCGCGCACCAATTCCATCAAACCCTGTCACACCGCCGTCTCGGAGCTGGTCTTCGCTGGCACTCCTCATCCGTGCCCATTGGCCCAACACCGCCCACACTCCTTGCCACCATCGTAGCTACCGCGCCCCCGTTCAATGTATCTGCACCCTCCCATTGACACTATCACCGCAGTCTGCCCGGGAAGGCGACGGTGGCCGGGCTGTGCCCGCGCCTCGCGCCTCGCGCTCCGACCCCCTTACCTACACACACAACCCAATAAAACGCTTTGGAACGAACTGTTGCGTGCGGCGGCGCAGTGCGTGACGTGTGTGATCTGCACTCTGACGTGCTTGATTGTGAGAAGGTGGCGGTTGTTGCGCGAACAACGAAGCTGCACGTAAGGAGCAATTGAGCAACGGAAAGTCGATACATTCGGTTCTAGCTGATTTTTCGACAGGTTGACGAGGGGATACACGGTGCGGGCATATTAGGGGAGCATGTAAACATTACCTACGCTACTGATATAGTGGGTAAATGGAGACGACGTATGTTGGCAGCAGACAGACGGTACTAGTGGGACAAGGACACGGCGGGGGACGGGAGACAGCAGGCGGCGGCGGGAGGCGCATCGGTTGGCACAGAAGGGACAGGAAGGTGATATCATCAGCAGCATCGGCGAAGAGAACAGTCGCACCGCTCGACGGGTGCCATAGGCCCTATATGGACTAGCCAGTAAGCACACAGGAATTAAGCACCACGCGGCCGGGCGCACGACGTACCAAGCAAGAAAGTCGAAAGCGCATACCGGGTCGCGGAGTCTGGTCAACGCCAGGACTGCACGTGCTGCAGCCGCCCGGTTCCTGCGTCCCCCTGCCCACCGCTGCTGCTGCCTTGCTGCATCTCTGGTTCCGGTGTAGGCTCTTTGCCGCGGAGCCGAGCGAGGACTCGGAGGCGACGGTCTGTGGGCGGGACACATAAATATCATGTTAGCGGGGCCGGAGCCCTAGGCGGGAGCGAGTAGCAAGAGGGACGCACTATACTCGAGGCGGACGTGGTCGTCTCCCTCTTTATCTGAGTCGTCCAACGGATCGGCGGTATTGATGACATGCCACGCCTCTGCATTGCGGCCCAGTTAGCAAGTCGTCACCGGCGTCTGGAAAATATACTTACGGTTCAGCATGGTGCGCTCCTGGGTAGGATCCTCCCCAGTGGTATCGCCTGCAAAGACAGCCAGTATTAGAGCCCATATATCGCGTTCGACAAGACGTACGACATACCTCTGAATGGCTCAAGCTGCGGGAGCGGCCGAGAGGTCGACGCGTAGGACGCCTGAGCGAGCGGCCGACTCTCGTGTGAGTGCGACGAACCCCTGCTGCCTGGGCCCTCGGACGCCGCGTACCGGGCCTGCCGGAGCACGGCCATCTCCTGGGCTGCACGTCGTAGTTAGCGACCCGCTCACTCCAGCGGATAAAATTTATTCCGTGTCCAGCGCGCCAGAACTCACCAGAGTACGACGTGGACGGCGCAGGCGGCGGCGGGGGAAGCGGATTCTTCTTGCGGCGCTTCTCCATCTCCATCTCGTCGACGAGCTCGCGCAGGAACTTGCTGCGCAGCGCGGACATGCGCTTGCCCCACTCGAGCTCGTCGGCGGGGTCGATGTTCTCCTGCGCCTGCTCCTCGCGCGAGAGCGGGCGCATGCGCGGGACGCGGCCGGGGTTCGCGCGCGAGTACTCGTCGTCGAAGGGGTTCAGGCCGTCGGGGCCGGAGAGGTAGTGGTACATGATCCACAAGAACACGCGCGCCCGCGACTGGGATGACAGATTGATGGGCAAAAACAGGTCGAGGAATTCCACCGGCGGATCGAAGTGCTTTTGCGCCACGGTCTAAATTTGTTGCGTGCGGTCAGCTTCCGCGGCGCGTCGGAGGGGTGCTAGCGTACCATCGCGTGATTGGAGTTCGAGAGCACAAAGATGAGGTTCACGACGCTCGTCGGCGGGATGTGCCCGGCGCGCTGTCGCATACGGTTAGCCAAGTTTTTTTTCTTTGTGCCTGTGGTCAATGCGCGACTCACTGCCTTGTCGAGAATTTCCGCCGGTGATGACGGAGGGGGCGTCTTGAATTCAAAAGGCAAAAGCGCCGCCTTCAGGCAGTTCTTGATCCGAGGAGCGTCTTGAAGGTTCCCATCGGTCTTCTGCAAGGAGGGAACCGGGTGGTAGCTCCGAAGAGCAGTTTTCATCTCTGGAAAGACTGCTGGCGGTGAGCGACGGCGGAAAACGGCGTGCGGAATATGTCTGGCGCGGGCGGTACTCACACGCCATGGTGGTATTGATGCGCCCGACGTTGGTCAAGAGGGCAATTTTCGCGAACTCGATTGCGAAGGCGGGGGTCTCGACCATCTTGTCTTTGAGGACCTTGGAGCACTTGGGGGAGTTGTAGAGCGCATTGACGTAGAGGTCGCAAAAGTTGACGACGGGACGGTTGGGAGCGAGGTGGTCGACGAAGGCCTTTGTGGTGTCGGTGAAGATGAAGTAGAGCAGGTCGTACTGGAGGTCCTCTCTGTTCAGCGGTTCTGCGTCTGTGCGCTTGATGGGGAGAGTTTTTCGGCCGAGGTACTGTGGGCTGACGGAGGCTGAATGGGAGAGGGACGGGAGGCGGGAGAAAAGCGCTTACGGCGTGTTGACCTGTTGGATGTTCCATCCCTGGATGTTGGCGGCGTAACGGTCTGCTGAGGAGGATGACGCCATGAAGAGGGGGAAGAGCAGGTGCACGAGGCAATTACGGAAGTACTGACCCTCTCAGCACGAGGCGTCAAAGCGATTTGCGGAGGAGGATGTGCCTTTTATCGCTCGACGGACGAGAGGGGGCTTCTCGGATCGCGCAGGGGATCTGGCGCGTAAACAAGAGGATGAGAAGGGCGGTATTCCGATACTCATCAGCCCTTGGACGATCGATGCGGCCGCGACAAGTCCAAGAATGGCGCGGGAAGCCGGGGAGGAGAAAGCGACCGAGCGAGAGTCGACCGGGACGGAAGGGGAAGGAGGGGACGCGCCGGGCGACGAGAATGCAGCACGCTGGCCGGAATGAAGACAAGGCACGGAGAGGGTTCTGCGCAGCTAGCACTGGCACATGAGCGCACGCCGGCCCATAATGAACTTCGCGGTCGTGGCAGAGCGGGCGCGCGGCGGGTGTCCAGCGCGCGGTGGCTGATGCGCGATTACATATCGCAGATGCCGCAGATGCCCTCCAGATCCCAGATCGTCCCACGCACCGTCCACACCCTCCCTCCCCGCCATGTTCGCGGATGCAAATCCGCCCCGCCCTGCTCCTAGCCGTCCCCATCAGGCTGCTAATTCGAATTCGGCGCCGAGTACAATGTCCCCGGCATCTTCCATCCCTCCGCTTTCGGCGACCACCCGAGTACTCGTAGTCCGTCAGCCTCCCTTGTATTCCTGCGTCCTCCCTCTTTTGTCTCCGCCGCGCCCGCGAGCATGTGCTGCACCCATACAACGCACCCAGCCGCACCCCGGTTCTCCCACCGCGCCCCCACAATAAACACCGACCGGCTGGCGCGTCCAGCGAACCCCCTCCTCGACAGCTCTTCTCGCCGCGTCTGTGATCGCCCGATAACCCTCCTTGCATCGCGGGAGACATTTCAGGCGATAGCTGCCCACCGTCTTCCCTTCTCATCGATCGCGCAGAGCAACTAAAAGCTCCTTGTGTCATATGTCGCCCCGTCCCTGCCCCCTCTCTTCGCACAAATGTTCTTCCCGTCCCCCCGCCCTACGGTCCAGAGCCGCCTCCACGTACAAAACATGTAAGCCGCGCTGGTATGTCGCGCGCACCCCTCCACGGATATGAACGCTGATGAGGAGCGTGGGGCTCGTCGTGCTCTCCACAAGGATGTTCTGTCCCAACCGTACTCCCCCACCGCCCTTCTCCTCATTTCCACCCGTTCTATGAGATCTTCTGACCGCGCTAGCGCGCAGCAGCTGATTCCTCCTCCCTCGCAGCTAATTTCCATCCGATCCGTCAGAGACATACTCGCGTGCGGTTGCAAGAAGACGGGCTCGTTCCGGCTCCCTTTCCCTGGCCGGCGGTGGACTTCAATGGTGTGCTCGCACGTCTTTGCAAATAGAACAACGGCCCTTCCCACCCCGTATGTTTCGCACCGGCCCTGCCTGCTCTACCGCCGGATAGACTTCAGAGGCTCAGGCTCAGGCTCAGGCTCCGCTGTGTTGTACAAGTGCTACTTGGCGGCGCGCATCATCACTCGGCTCGGTGCCGGTCCCTGCAACCATCAGCGAAAACAAGAGCCTCGTGGCACGCTGGCTACTGCCCCTCCAGTAGCTCGTTGCGGTCTGCCCGCGCTCATGATCTTCGGGCCCAGGGTCGTGGCACTGAATGAGCGGTGCGCGGCGCGTTCAGGAGGTTCTAGCGTCGACGCGTACGGCCGGAATTGCCGGTGGGCACAAGGCTTGGCTGGATGAACTCGCGCCCTCGTCCTGGCTGGTCCGAAAGGGGTGTGCGGTCGCCCGAGTTCCCGCATGTGGGTGGGCTGAGGCGTTCGTTCATTCTAAGTTACACGGGCGCCTGCGTTCCTTCCTACTCCGACCCGATCGGGCGTCTAGCGCCGCTTCCCAATACAATCACAGGGCCACGTGCCGGGTGTGCTTTTCAGGAACGGGAGACCGCGTCGCGGGCTGCGACCGTCCAGTCACCACCTCGTCCGCCCTGCAGTCCCTTCCGGGTCCGACTCACCCACGCAACACCCACAATGTCCGACATTAACGACTTCAACCTCGACCCTGCTTCCCGCGTGCGTACCGCCGCGCCCGCCGTCCGGGGAAATAGCCGTTGACCGTCACGCCGCAGAAGGAGCTCGAAGCGTTCATCGAGACGCAGCAGGCGCAGGGCCGCGTCCAAACCCAGGTGCACATGCTCACCGAGATGTGCTGGGACAAGTGCGTCTTCTCGCCGCTCCCCTAGCCTCGCTCCTCACCGTGCGCGTTCTCGCTCTGCCCCGGCCTCCATATCCGCGCCGTCTAGATGCGTCGGTTCGATCTCGTCGGGCTTCTCCCGCAGCGAGCAGAGCTGCCTCGCGAACTGCGTCGACCGCTTCCTGGACACGAGCATGTACCTCGTGAAGAAGGTCGAGGACCGTCGAGAGGCCGCGCAGGGCCAGTGATCTTCGCCGCCGTCCCCCGTCGACCCCCGGACGTTCTCCCGGACCCCCCGACGTGCCCTGCCGCCCCGTAGTTGCACACGACCCGCGCCTGTAACGCCCCCGAAGTACTCTATTACCGCGCCCCGCTCATAATTGACATACAATCGCCACAAGCGATGGGATACATTGTCCAAGATTTTACATCCAAGCGTCCGCATAACGAGAGCGATCGTGCCGTGTCGTAATGTTCGTAAGTCTGCTCAGCGCACCTTCGACCACGCCCACCCGGCGACTGCAGGGACGAAGAAGCAGAACGCGTCCAGAACCTCGTACCCGTGCTTCAGCCGCAGGGGCACCGTGATCTCGACGGGCTTTCCCGACGCGGACGGGGCGTCCAGCGAGCCGGTGTCGAGGAACCGCCCCATGAGTCGATCCTTCTCGCGCCATAGATCCCGCAACCATAACTCGAATGCCTCGCGCTCGGCCTCGGGGATGTCTACCTCCACCGCAGACGTGCCCGCGCCGCCGCTCGGCAGCGCATTAGGGTTGCTTGCGGACACGTCCCCGATGGGGACTTCGCGGTTCACGTCGAACTTGCGGATGTGCAGGTGCACCGCAGGCGGGGGCACGCCGTCGCAGAACAGCGAGCGTAGCGTGTAGTAGTCCTGTCCGTAGCGAAGCGGGGGGATACCTACACTGGGGCGTGAGTGACCTCATTGCGGACGTCATCTTAACCGGGGGACTTGCCTGGGTAGGCCATCGTGATGTCCAGCAGCTGCAGGCTCTGTATGCGCGGCGCGAGCGATCGCAGGGAATAGTGCAGCCCAGTCGAGCGGGGAAGCAGCGTGTGCGTCATATCGGGCTATAAGCGGCGAATTGTGAGCGTGTTCGAATCCCCGTACTGCGCAGGTGGCGACATACGATGCCCAGCTTGTCTGCGTACTTCTTGCTGATGGGCCGTGTGTCTTTGCTAACGAGCGTGCCCTCCGGGTAGAGGATGAAGGTCAGCGGGGAGTCCTCTTTTTCCGCGCGGTGCGCGAGCCAGGACAAGCTCTGGGTGAGCTGCAGCCGGTCGGACGCCCACGACCGCGCAAGAAAGATGAAATTAAAGAATTGCATTCCCTGCGCCCACAAGCGGCTACATATTAGACACGGCGGCAGCGGAGGGAAAATGTGGCGCACCCAGCCGAGCACAGGGACCCATTTGAGGCTCTTCTTGAGCACGATGAACACGTCCTTGTGCGTGCCCATGTAGTACGTAAGCGCCCAGGCGTAGATCCAGTCCGCGTAGACCTTGTGCGCGAACCCATTAGAGCCTCGTCTCCCGGAAAGGGGCTAATCGTACACACCTGGTGGTTTGCTATGAGCACCGTCTTCTGCGGTAGGTTCAGCCCGACTATCGTCCCATGCTGGTCCCGCTGTACAAGGGTCTCGATCTCCTCCGGGGTGAACCTGCCCTTCCCCTCCGTCTCGAAGGACAGCACGAGCTTGGTCGGTGCGAACCACTGGGACATGAGCACTACGCCGCATACCCACCTCTCAGTACGCATGGTCGCTTCCGAATCCAGACCGAGCGTACGCACCGAGCAGCGCGCCGAACGCGCCCTTGGTGTATCTGATCCCCTCATAATACAGCTTGCGCGCCACACGGACGGGTACGAGCCTTAGCGGGAGCAGGATAGCGAACTGCGAGCCATTGATCATTGCCCCTGCGAACATGAACACAAGGAGGGCGATAGCGGCGTGCGCCGTCTGCGCCCAGGTGCGGGGCGGACGCGCGGCGATGGGGAGCGCGTACGGCGCGGCGGGGGCTGCGGCGGTCATGCGGCGCGCGGTTGCTCTGTGCGCTGGTGCTGGTCTGTGGAGGTGTCGAATACGGCGATAGACTCCTCTGGACGTCGCAGCAAGGGGGCGGTGGGCGGTGGCGAATCTGCGGAGGTCTATTCCAGCCTGAGACGGGCGTGCGGGCGCTGCCGCCGCGGGGGCGGCGGCTATGCGCGCGCACGCATACGCACGCACTTGCAGCGCGGCGGTGCTCCGTGTTTGGTCGCCTTCCTCGTCATGCTGCCCACGCAGCTGCCCGGTCCCTCGGTCCTTGCGCGCAGAATATCACCTGTCCCGCACCGTTATCCCGAGGGTCGCTCAGGGGCGAGCGGTGCAGTTGTGTAGGGTGCAGGTTGTGTGTGTCAGGCGCAGTACGTCAATAATTGCGTCAACACTCGTGCAGAGGGCCGGAGCTTGAGTCTCGTCAAGTTGCGAACTGGCGTAGCGGGAGAAAGCAGAAAACGATGATCATAGCGTGGTGTCAAGCATGCTCGCGCAGGGTCGCGGGGTTGGGGCGACCGGAGAGCGCGTCGGCGCGCAAGGCGGCCCCGTGCCGGGGCTCTGATCGCTTCAGAGGGTGGCCAAGGCGAACTTGGCCGGATCGCGCGACGAATCTAATGCATGCGATATACAATCCGTTCATCTGGTAGGTACTTCGGACGTTCGCTGAGTCTCCCCGCAAATACAAATGAGATCAGAATAGCGGCATACTGCCCGGTTGGTCGATCTACGCTAACAAGTGAACGGCCGCCCCACCAGGCCGTCTCTATACGCGTCCGCGATCAACTGGGGGAAATTTTACGAATAGGGAGGGCGCGTCAGCGGAGGATCCTGGTTGAGAAGACTAGGAGGTGCACCTTGATGGACACATAGGTTCCGGCAACGCACATGAACGCTCCTGCTAGAACGGTCGCGGCCGCGAGCGAAGTGCCGATCCACCTCCTCCTGAGCGCGTCCAGCCCGCCCTTGAGGTAGAATGTGTCATACAGCCAGAAGAACCCGGCGATGCCGTATGTATACCACGATGCGAAGAGCGACGCCGTGATGCCCGTCATGTCTGAGAAGATCGGCACGGCCGTTGCGAAAATGAAAGCGATGGCCACTGCGGCGAAGCACAGCAGCACCCAGATCGCCCATCCCAGAATGGTGTGCGAGTAGACATGTCGGGAGTGCCGGAAAAATCGGAAGAAGACGAGCTTTGCCGCGGCATGAGTGTATAGAGCCCCGGAGCTAGTAGATCGGGCATAAGCTTCCGTTGTGCAAGGGAAATTAAGGAAGGAAAAATACATAAGGAAATTGACCATCCCAATTGCGAAAGTGATTTTTGACCAGACCGGTGGCAGTGACAGTAGTGCAGGGGAAGCTACTGTGCTTCCCAGGTACACATAGATAACCACGCTAAAAACAGCGTAGAAGACGGTGGAAAATCCTTGCAGCACCCAAGCGGCCTGGGGTGCGGGGGTTAGCTAACTGTACGTTCGGGGTGCCGCAACTAACCTTCATTGCATCTTCCGGCTTACGCATCTCGGAGATGAGAATGAAAAACCTGCGAATGGTGAGCTGGATGCTATGCTATACCAGAAGTAGAGACGACATACATGAAATGCCCTAGACAACGTGTGAGTTAGTTCGTCATGATATCGCGATACATTTGTCCTGACCTGCATACGCGAACACCTGTCGCTGCAATTAGGTTAACTGGGCGGTACGAGACCACAGTCGGGACGTACCGGCCCAGTGATAGCAAGAAAAGCTTGATAGAAGGTGGTAGGAACGGTCGCAACGATTACACGGCCGGGCACCGGGTTCGCTCCTGCGCCGACCATGGCAAGAATACCGCACAGGGTGATAAACAGCGCGCTCAACAGACCAAGCCAGTTCAGGCCCCCCAGCGTTCTAGGGACGCTAAGCAGGAAGGTCGCAACAGAGAAAATGGCGAGCAACACCATCGCACACAGGCCGTTGTTGGATAGCGTAGAGAGCGCTAGCTGGCCAGAAAGAATTTCTGACCCCTAGTGCCAAACAAAATTCAGCGCCTCCCCAGGATGTTGTAGAGGGCTTGGTACATACAACGGCAAATATGGCGAATATTACAGTGCCGGCGGATAGTATCTCTCGGCCTATGGGCCCGAAAATGATGAAACCCGCGTCCCCTCAAGCAGACGTATCAGTATAGCTTGCGAAGCCGTTGTACGCGGAACTATGACACACCCATGTTGTGAACCTCCGGGTGGTTTAACTTGAAGTCGATCAGCAGCTTCGCTGTGTACAACGCAAATACGCCAAGGAATATCGTGAGCACGAGCGAGGGCACGATGCCTGTACATTGACATGTGCATGAGAAACCCGTACACCCAAATGAAGCGGTGATAGTGCGCACCAACCACGGCCATGGCATTGGGAAGTGTGAGCATGCCATTGCTGACAATCTCTGCGATCATGAAGGCGGCCACAAACTAGTGCAACCTCATGTCGGGAAGTCTGCGCGGAGATGAGTACGTGTCACCACATACCGGCCAGCTGAGGGTCTTGTATCGGATGTCGTGATCGTCTTCGTCGCCGAAGACATCTTCGGCCGCGCCCTTGTCCGTCTCTTGCACATGAACAGATATCGGTCCGCTCTCGGTGGTAGTCTCTGTCTTGCTATCCACGACAGTAGCAGCTGATGAGGGCCCCGACATGACGGCTCGGCAAAGAAGAGATATGGGTAGCGGCTGGAATTCACAGCGGGCTCTACCCACGGCCCTCATAACCTAGTCTACATCAATGGGAAATGCGGAGTTGGAGCACAATCTAAGCGATTTCACCAACGGAACCACGGCACTCACATGTAAAGGGTACTCATGGGCGATAAGCTTGGCAGCGCATTTTCGCCGAGATACAGACTAGCCTAGCTGCATAATTCGTGCGCCTGCATGACTCGGATGCAACGCGCTCGTCGTCGCATGTCGTTTTCAAATGTTCTGACCAGTGTGTCGTGCGGATGCCGTCGAAGACCGACTGAGAGCGCGCAAGAGCGCGTCTCATCTCAGGACGCGTAGCTCGCGGGAACGCGATCGGCGGCGTCTCCTGGCGTCTCGCGTGTCTCGCTAGCGTCTCGCTGCGTCTCGTGATAACGTCACAGTAGTCACAGCGACGCCCACAGGCGCCCACGCGCCACGGGATGCCCGGCTCGACCTGCAGCAGGTGAGTCTCACATCCGTACGGCATGGCAGCCTGTCTGCGGCCGCTAACGCACCTTGCCTTCGGACCACTAACATCGCGTCCATTGCGCAGCTCTCATGGACACTACTCAGGCTCGCAGTGGTGCTGCTCCGGTTCTTGTTGACGACCTCATTCCAATCATACTCGAGAGCGACGACCACTGGTGGCCTAGGGATTTCCAACGCCTTGCCCTCATCTCACCCGCATGGGTCTCGCCCGTCCGGAAACGGCTCTACGCAAACCCCTCATTGCGCTCATATCGCGCGTGCCATCTCCTCGCGCGGACGTTCACGGAGAACCCGGAGCTGCTCTCGTACGTGCGCCGGCTCGACCTTCACCCTACCACCAGCGATGAGGGTGCGCTGGACGAGCGGGACACGCAGAGCCTGCGATGTATTTTGGGACTCAAGGGCCTGCGGTCTGTAACCTTGGGAGGAGACCTGGCTGTCGCCGCCCACCGGTTCCTCAACGTCATGGTCGACACGCGCGCCGTAATGGAGCTTCACATTGACGGGTGCTTGCTCACACAGGGCCGATCCGGCTCACTCGCACCCGTAGTCCCCTCGCTGGAGTGGGACGACAGCATTGCGTTCCGATTTCCCAACCTCCGCCGCCTCACGCTCCGCAACGTCCTGCTGACCGTTATACCCTCCATGATGGACCGGCCGTCCGGCCTCACCCACCTGACACTCGACAGCGTGGATATCGACGTCGGATTCCTGCCTGACATCTGCCAAGGCTCCTGGGAAACGCTGCGCGAACTCAGGATCATCCGGGGGACCGCGGTCGAGATGGAAGACGACGTGCGCGCGATGCTCGAGCTGTGCGAGAACCTCGAATTGCTGCACTGCGAGGGATCCGACATGCTTCACGCGCCGTCGGTGTTCGACGATGAAGAGCCTCTTCCGTCCCTCAACTTGCGAAAACTGTGCCTCTCCAGCTTCGACGCCAATCCCGAGACGCTGCGGGCCATTGCGCAGGCGTGTCCGAAGTTGGAGGACCTCGCGATCCTAGGGCGCATCCTTCGCGTTTCTCCCGATGACTGGACGTCGTTCATTTCCTCTGGAGGACTTCCTTCCCTCCGACGTCTGATTTCCCCCTCCGGAACCAACCGCCCGCCTTTTAAATGGTGGTCGTCCGATGAACGGGAGAAATTAAGGCGCACTTGTGAAGCCAGGGGGATAGCGTTGGCCAGTTTGGCTCACAAGAACGATCCCCTGGCTGACTGGTGAATTGGTGCGCCCATCATTCTTTGAATGCGCGAGTGTGTGCTGAATTTGTCCGTGTCCGGGATTGACAGAAGTCCCGCCCACGTTTGAGCTTTATGAGATCCATGATCATTTAACGTCCGATACCACCCGGAGCCTTATAACCCTTGCTTTGCGCACACGCCTGTTGTACGATATTTCTCCCAGGATCCCTACCGCTTGTTTCGCGGTGTGTACTAGTATCAACATTTCTTGGACCCTTGTCGCATACTCCCCGAGTGCTCGTATATATACTCTCCTTCGCTGTGCTGCAACTATAATCTTGACGTCCTTCATCTTGTTGTTGTTCGTAAACGTTGGCCATTGCGGTGTTGGCATCCACAAGTCATAGGGCGGAGATGGTCAGATTCAATTTAAATTATCTTACGGGCCCTGCTCCTCGGGCCTGGGATCTTGGACTTCCGTCTCCCGCTACAGGAGTTATCAGGCTTCATTAGAGATATACCGAAGCGTGAAGTTCTACCTGGCTCGTCGACGCTATATGCCCTCGTTCCAATCCCGGTCAACGTGTTGGACGTCGGTAAGATGTCGCACACGGGCGCTTCTTCGTATACTCTCCAGCGGGCTCGTAGATATTGATACATACTCTCCCTCGCCATGCAGTAACGCCCCGCATGCTCTTCATCATGAAGCCATAATGCAACAATGATTTTGTGCCTGGATAGGAATGGAAAATCAGGGCGAACGGAGCTCGAGTCGAACCGCCCGCCGACGGGCCCGTTGGCGCCGGGCGCTCAATCGTTTGTTTTGGGCGCGCGGGGTCCGCAGACTCTTGTCTTATCCCGCCAGATACCCCGCCCCCCGTCGTCGCCGTCGCCGACAGCGACGCAGGTCTGCGACTGTCCGAGTTCCCGACCACGTCCTTCTGACCCGCACGGCTTCCTTTCTGTGTCCCCCATCGCTCCTTCCCCGCCACGTTCGCTTCCAAAGTTTTCTATAGCACCACGCAACGTCAAATGTCGACCCGCATCCTCAGTCACGATCCGCCGTCCGCCAACGGCATTGGCCCGTCCCAGCCTGTTCGGAAACCGCAGAAGAAAACATCATTCCTGTCTCTCCGTCGCGAGCAACGCTCGCCCACGTCCCCCGAGCCGTCGGCCGGCGCAGGACGCTCCCACGCAGACAAGTCGACGTCGCCCTCCGCATTCCATGCCTTCCAGGACGTGTCGCGCCCGATAATATCCCGCCCCACCGAGCTAGGCTCGCGCAGCCACAACCGCCGCCCATCCAAGACAGCCAGTCTGAAGCACGACGCCAGCTACCCGAAGAGTGTCCGCGAGCGCGATCGGGAACGGGAGCGGGAGGCCAGGCAGCCGCCGCAGATAGAGAGCAGGGTGCGGGAGCAGGAGATTGACCTTGGGTTCGTCGAATTCCCCAGCTTTGACGAGCGGCCGATTCGTTCCCGTGAGGGTGAGAGCACGAAGGCCCGCTCGCGCGCGCGGTCGGGGCCTTCCAGCAAGCGAGACTTCCCCCCTGGCAACATCTACAGCTACCCCATCCGCGACTCCAACTCCTCCTCGCTCAGCCACTTCACCGACGCGCCGCAGACGCCTGTCGACGATTCGTTCTTCCGCGACCCGATATTCGGCTCTCAGGTCGTCGTCGCCGCGCCCATTGCGGGTGTGGAGACGATGGATGCGCTCGTAGACGGTATGAACCACTACGGCGGCGACGACCACTACATGGGCATGGGCGGGATGGGGCGTCCCAAGTTTTCTGCCAAGTCTGGATTCCATCCGCTGTATCAGCCCCCGCTGCCTACCCCTCCCCCTGGGATCACTCTGGGAGGTGCGAAGCCCCGGAAAGCTCCTACAAAGAATCGCGACTCCGATGCAGACGAAGAAGAAGACATGACACGGACACGTTCTCCGCCACCAAGACCGCGGAAGAGCCCACGTCCCCCACCGTCTCGTTCAGACACTATCCGTCCTGACACAGCAGATGCCGTTCGTCCCGACACAGCAGACACCATTCGCAGCGTATCTTCCCCGCGTCCGTCTATGAGTCCCTCAACAGAGAGTTTCAGGGTTGTTGCGCCTTCCATTTCCGAGATCATCCGCGCCCATGCGCCTCCCGAACAGCAAGTCCGGTCCCGGAAGAGCTCCTACGCGACCAGTTACGGCCACGGGTCGCAATACACACACAGCAAGCAGCCAGAACCGGCACCTGTGGTGGTTCCTCCAACCGCAGAGGAGGATGGCGACCTCATTTCTAGATCATCTGTTGACACGCTGGCAGAGGAGATCCAGCGCACCATCCACACCCAAAACCGCACGTCGATTGCTCCTCGCACGGTACACAAGGCGCGGTCGTTCCAACAGTACTCGCATGCGCTTCCCGAAAGCACTCGCTCTGTAACATCCCCTCGCCCCGACACCCGCCGCGAATCCTCTCTTTTCTCCTATTCTACGACCATCTCCGACCAGCCTGCCCTCCCGCCCCTTGATATGATGGGCCTCACGAAGGTTCCCGTCAACTCTCCCTCACAGACCATTGCACAGTATCTGCGCTCCACTCGCTTGACCACTCTCCTCCACCTTACTCGGTCCCCGCACGCCTCGCGTGGAAACCCGCTCACTGTGAGTTTGTCTGATCTTGGAAGCCCGACTGGCTTCCCGCTCGTTGTGTTTCTTGGCCTGGGATGTGTACGGCACATCATGGGTCTGTACGATGAAATGGCGGAATGCTTGGGCATAAGACTTATTACGATTGACCGGTGAGACGCTTCAGATCTTCTATCACCGGAGTCAATCGCTGACGATCATGACGACAGGTGGGGATTGGGCCGCACCGATGTTCCCAAGAATAGGTCCGCAAAGGGGATTCCCGAGTGGGCGGGTGTGGTGGAAGAAGTACTGGACCAGCTGGGCATCGACCAGTGCGGTATCATGGCCCATTCCGCGGGCGCACCGTACGCGATGGCTTTCGCCAACAGGTTCCCGGAGCGTGTACGAGGCGAACTTTGTCTGCTGGCACCTTGGGTTGCTGGTGGCGAAGGTGGTAAGTCTTTTCTTATCAATATATAGCGAGCAGATGTTGATGCCATATCACAGGTGGTTACAAGTGGCTGAAGTACGTCCCGAACGGCTTGCTGAAGACCGCGCAAGCGGCCGAGTGGAAAGTGCAGGCCTGGATGCTGGGCAAACCGCCTACCATCGCCTTCGAGGGTATTGGCTTTGAGGTCAAGATGGCACCGTCAACGCCGTCGGCGAACTCGTCCACCTCTTGCCTGAACTCGCCTCGCTCTCCCCCAAACTCGGCGTCTACGATCACTCCTGGTCTCGCCGCCCTTCAGGAGCAGGAGCCTCGCCCAAGCACTTCCTCGGCCGCCTTCAGCGAGTATGACGACTTGCGCGACTTCGACGGGTTCTTCGAGAGCCGCAGCACTATCGGGCGAGCAAGTACCAGTTCGCAGAGGAAGCGGGTCGACAGCGAGTGCAAATCCGAGTCGATTTCCAACTCCCCCGCCACCACCACCAGAAAGCCCTCCAGAGGCTTCCTCGGTCGCTTCAAGTCAGGGTCGGGTAACCCACCAACTCCTAGCCCGACCCCGGACAAGCAGAGCAACGGGACCGGGAAGAAGCTCAAGGCGCTCCGCTCGATGGGCTCGCTGAAGGGCCGTTCACGGCCCAACACTGCCAACAAGATGTCAGACCCGCCTGTCCCTACGCCACCTTGGATTCCTCCACCTGCTGCTACTGGAAACGAGGTCGGCTTGGGTCTAGATCAGCTCGACTGGATCAACTCGACTCTGCAGAGCTCACGGTCACCCTCCCCGTCTTTGAAGCAGCACAAGGAGCTCCCTCAGCTGGACTTGTCTCGAAACGCTCGTTCTCCCACTCCTTCATCACGACCAGGCGGTCGACGCTCGATATCGTTCACCGCCCTCAGCCCTACCTCGCCTCCTATTATCCAGTCGCCACAGAGCGCAAGCTCGAAGGCAGGCAACTCTGCGCAGAGCTTCCAGGCCGCGCTCGGCAACGCGCTCATCGCTGCGTCGCACTCCGAGTCCTCAAAGGGCACGCACGGCGACCTTTTGCAGATCCTGAACCACGACCGACAACCTTGGGGCTTCTCGTATGCCACATATCCGCACAGCGTTCGTGTATGGTACGGCGACCGGGACGAGAAAATCGCGGAGAACGCGGTGCGGTGGATGGAGAGCACCATGGGCCCCGACAAGTGCCAGGTGAAGGTCATCAAGGGTGCCGACCACTCGCTCATGTTCAAGAGCTCGGTCGTGATCGAAGTCTTGGAGCAGATGGCCGAGTACTGGCGTGATTGTGAGTCCCCCCACTCCCCACTCTAGTTTCTGCAGTATGCTGTGCTGACAGAACACGCAGGGGATTGATCTATCTTATTCTTTGCTTGCCCCTCCCCGATGTTCTCTTCGTGATTGTTGGATTATATACCATCTCCCGCCGATACCTTCCACTTCCCCCGCTGTCTAATCGTCTCCCCTCCCGTCCTTCGTTGTATCCCATACCATTGCACGCCCCTTCTACCCGTACATTATGCGTCACCGCATCCCAGGACTAATGGCCGCCCCGCTCGCGTTTACCGTCGCCGTCGCTTCGTAATTCTGTAGGATCGGGGGAGAGGCACACACACACCCATTCAGCACGCTTCGTTGTACCATTTTCGTTCGCATCTTCTCTTCTTCTTTCTTTCATATCGCTCCGTCCCGCCGAGCCGCCCACCCCCCGCACCGTCACTGGCCACTAGCCGCAGCATCTAGCACACTTTGGAAAAATTCAACGCGTTGTTTGTGTGTCGGAACGATCGATACAGCAGGTGTGAGCGCGAGAGCGGGGTCCAAGAAAGAATACGGTAAGTAAGTAATAAGAGATACAACGACTGCCGAGCAGGGACAGGGAGCTAGCTAGCATGGTCCGTGCCATCAAGAAGGGGGTGTGGAGGTAGAGTTTCGCGGCACTCGACTGAGCCATGGTGAATTCCGAGGACTGCCGTATTGGCCGTTGATGAACGTTCCCCTCAAGGGACTCTTCGGCGGAATGGGAGGCGCTGCGGACGCGTTAGCACTCTGCTGTGTTCTCCGTCTCGAAGAGCATGCACTTACGTGGGGGACGGGGCTGCGGTTGCGCGAGGACCTCGTCGACTTCATAGGCTTCCTCGAACGCCGCTGCGCCCACGATCGGCTCATCGAGCGGGATGTCCGCCGAGACCGTGTCCGCGAACGGGTTCTGCGGCCTCATCGGGGCGAACGCGACGGGCACTGGGGCGGAGACCATCGTTGGGGGCGTCGCCGTCGTCTCCCGCATCAGCCCCGCCTGGCCCTCCTTATCCCCCCCAGGAGGCCCGCCGCGGTTCCGGACGAGCACGTAGAGGACCGCGCCGAGGAGCGCGAGCACGATGAGCGAGACGACGACCGCGATCGCGATGATGACCGGCTTGGAGATCCCCGTGCTCGCCCCGCTGGTGTTGGAGTTGGGGGCGGGGCTGGCCATCATCATGCCGGTCGGATTGGCGGGTGAGCCGGAGAAGACGGCGGAGATCGAGGGCGAGGGCGTGCTGTCTCCTGTGGGGTTGCTGTCGCCTGTGGACTGTGTGGCGCCGGCACCGGTGGCCGTGCCGCCGCCCGCAGTGGTCTGAGTGGCTCCGTTTGACGGGTTACCGCCTGGGGTGGACTGGGGCGACCCGTTCGGTGGGTTGCTACTAGTGACGGTGCTTGTCCCAGTGGTACCCGTACCGGAAGGATCAGTTGGTGCGGAGGTGCTGGTACCAGGCTGACCGGGTTGGGAAGTAGCGGTCGTCTGCGTACCAGTGGGATTGACACCAGTCGACTGCGTGCTGGCGGTGGTTCCAGAGACGCCACTTGTGGTGGTTGCGGGAGTAGTCCCTGTTTGCGTAGCAGTGCCACTGTTGGTGGTACCCGTGGTCGTAACTCCCGCACTCGTTGAACCAGATGGCGGCGGATTGGCGGTGATAGTCGCCCCGGGGAGCCCCGCACTGGTTGCTGTCGCGGTCGCGGTCGTCGCAGTCGTAGTCGCGGTGGTGCCGGTCCCAGTCGCAATCGGACCTGCGCTCGCTCGTCAGTACGCCCATCTTTGGGGCTTGCTCTCTGGTAGACACACCATTCACTGGGGGTGCCGTAGTAGTCGAAGAGTCCGTACCAGTGCTCGCCGATTCAGTGGCAGTTACAGTCAAGGTTGGTAGATTCGGCACGACGATCACGACGGTAGACGTCGCCGTCGCGTTCCCACTCGCTTATTGGTTAAAAACGTCAGCATTATGTCTTCTGAGCTCCTGAAATTTGACGCACCTTGACCTTGGGGGTCAGTGGTGATGATCAACGAGTCGAAAGTGGCCTGGCTGGAATTATTAAACGCAGGATCCTCCAAATTGAAGACACGAAGAACATGGTCAATGGTTGGGTCGAGGTCTGTGAAAGAAAAGAGCGTGTCCTGTGGAGTAGCAGAACTTCAGCGGACCGAAAGCGTACGGTCGACATGTTCTGTGCTTACTGCGGGTTGTGTCCCGTTCTCCGTTGAGTCATGAGCGTCGACGATGACGGCAGTCGAGTTTACACCGACGAGATCTGCCTTCACGACGTCCACGGCACAGTCAACGCAGGCCAAGAACAGTGCTCCCCCGGCGACCTTGTAGCCTCGGTAGAAGATCTGTGTTGTTTGCGCTGTTGGAAATGCCGGCGGCAGACGCCCATGTACGTTAGCAGGCGCATGGCGAAAGAAGGCATGAGTGGTCCGTACGCGGCAGCGTGATCAGCACCTCTTCATTCAGCCCGTCCGTAAACGCGAATTGGCTGCCATCTCCCGCGAACGTCGCCGCGCGCCATCCCGGGGTGAAGGAGACGAGCGGGCTGTCGAGGCGGAGGGTCGCGTTTACTGGGGCGCCAGCGACCCGGCGGGGCGCATGAAGAGCAGCTATAGACAAGATTAACAGGAGAACATGATTTACAGTAGCCGTGAAGGAAAGCATGGGGAAGAAAAGCCGAAGGGAATGACCAGCATCCCGCGCGGGGGTCAGTGGGATGAAGAACAAAGGGGGGCGGACGAAGGAGCGTCGTGCGCGCCGGGCCTGCACGCGGGGAAGGTTGTTCGCGTCGTCGTCATCATCGTCGCAGCTCGGGCTGAGCTCCTGTGCTCGGGTACCTCCAAGCGGCAGGAATAGGTACAGGCTCACTTGCACGATGTGCACTGCTTATCTGCGCGGAATGGTAACGGAGGCCAATGGGGGACATTGCTCGTTGATCATCACCGTGCATCATAGGCCTTGGAGTCCCCGACAGACGTCTGCATCAGGGCAATGCCCACCCGTTCCTGTTGTCCGTATGCTCGCTTGCCCTGTTTTCCCCTGCGCATGTGTGCGCTTTCCCTTGCTCCACCCGCTAGAACCGTCCGTCCATAACCATTTGCCTTCCTCTCTCATATTAATACACCCTGGGCGCGGCCGAGGCGCAGTTAGGCTCGTCAGTGGCGCAAGCCTCAGCTTGCGTATCGATGGACTTAAAACGTCGACCACCTGTGGGGACACACTGGAAATACGCTACACCTGGGAAGTGGTATGGATGAAGCCACCGATACAACGTGAGTGTCATGCAAGAATACAATGCACGAAGGGTAGACATTTAGACTTCTCAAAGGAAAACGGCTCCTCCCGGTGCTGATTGGAACAGCCATTGGCCAGTCGCCTTGGCACTACTCCGCAAACGGGAACGTCAAATCTGCTTCCGCCTTTGGGCCCTTCCAGGTGTCCTCCTGTTCCAGGGGTTTAATGCCACGCGACTCCCGAATGTGAACAACGCAATCGAACTGCTTCGCCACGCTGCACTTGCAGTAGTGCGATGGTGCCTCGGTGAGCCGTCTATAAATGACTCCGATAAATCGTTGGTAACGCCGACGGTCCAGGAACCTGCGGGCGCGGGTGAGTTGCGGTCGCTCCGACGACGGTAATGGAGAGATACTCGGAAAGGTCGTCAGACACCCGGACCTTCTTCGTCCTGCCCTTCTCGTCCGCGATGATCTTGTGGGTGACGATGAAGGCGTCCGAGTCGAGCCATTGGTCAAAGACCGACTCGATGGATCCCTGAAGAGGCGGGTTCATCCTCTGCAAATACGGAGGCTCATCCCAGTTGTGGGAAGCGGTGACTGAGGGCATCATCATGAGGACGCATGCACATGTAATACACCGTGTGCAACACACCTGTTCCTCTGTTGGTCAGAAATCCGATGTTGAACACATTGTGGTCGCCGAAAATCTCGCGACAGCGCTGGCCGATGTTGATCTCGCCTGTCCACCAGAAGAGAATGGGCATGGAACGCGAGTCAATCACCGGAACTGCACCTACCTCGCCGCCGCCCCATGTCGGTGGCCCGCGCGTCCCCGACGTGGGAGTTGTGCGCCCAAACTACGATCTTAGCCGGACCCAGACCGCCATCCGAAGACGCAAAGAATTGAGAGATGCCCGCGACAACCCGCGCGAAGTGATCATCGCTATGGGCCCGGGCCAAAGGGTTCAGCAGGCATCCTTCTTTGACCTAGAATGGACGCCGTCTTACCGTAAGTTCCAGCTGATGACATCTTCGGTCATCATGGTCCGATAGTACTCTTCTGCATCCTTCACGACCAGCGCGTTCATTTCAGCGATGAACTGCTCTTCGAACGGGTGCCCATGGGGGTTCTTGCCCAACTGCTGCTCAAGGATCTTCTGGCGGCTGCGGAGTAGGTGTACGAGGTTGTCGATGACTTCCCGGTGACAGTCCTGGTGCGCGTTCAGAGCGTGTCGGATGCGTGCGCGAAAAGCGGGGTGCCAACCCTTTTTAGGCCGAACTGTGTTTCGTACGCATACCGCATTGTATCCTCGCCGAAGCGTTCGAAGCAGTTGTATCTAGAAGGCGTGAGCCGGCACCGCAGCGACGGGAGTGGAATTACAAATTGACCGACCTCTTCCGAGCGGCCGTCGCGCCCTCTGGGTCAACCTTGTCCAAATACGCTAGGACCTGCTGAGCTGACCGATGGAGCGAGTAGAGGTCCATGCCATGGAACGACACTGTTCGGGAGGGGTCCTGGGTCGCCTCCAGCACCCGCTCGTTGTGCTGTTTCAGATATTCGACGAACGTCGGCATCGTTTCGTTCTTCCACATCCATTTGGGGAACCTGCGGACCGCTCTATGTCAGAAACGTACGGCATTTGTATTCTGTCGAGCCAACGGCGGACCTCTCAAACTCCGCCAGCGCGTCCCGAGCGTTTTTAATTTTGCTGTCGCCGAGCGCTCCGCCATGAATGTAACTGCGAGGATAAGCGGGGCTCAGCATCTCGGCATGAAATTCAGACGGGAGACTCTTCACATCACCTGTTAATTCTGAGCGCATCCGGCCAGTCGGCCTCAACAGCGACAGCTGTGAAGCCTTTCTCTCCGATCAGCCGTTTAGTTAGATTGGCACGATGGGCGTAGAACTCGTAAGTCCCATGCGAACCGTCCCCGATCAAGACGACCTGGGCGTCGCCTGCGTGTGCGTGGCATGGGAACTGCGGGTCAGAACGGTGGGTGCAAGCACCGAAGAGCACGTACCGATAGCGTCGATGATAGGGTCATATGAGGACGAGGCCCAGGAAAGACGGTGTGCGTGGGCTGCGAAGAGCTCCTTCTCTCTGATCGATTCCGTTACCATTCTGCGCGCGGCGGACTGGAACGGTCTCCGCGCATTTAACGCGAATCTCAGCGGCGTGCTAGTGAGAAGCTATGTCGAGAATGCAGAGGCGTATGTGCCGATGCCTGCGACATTTATGCTCAAGCTTGCGGTGGGCTGGGTGGAGCCCGGTGCGGCGGATGACGTTCATTAGCGGTCACTCGACCTCGGCGGGCGTCCGCGCGCATATAGTCGAGCGAAGGCGGCCGCGAATCAGACGGGTACGGAGGGCAGAAATTAGAATGCGGGGGCGGAGGTTCGAGGCGGGTGGGGAGGTGATGGGAGGCCGGAGCGTGATTTCGAGGGCGCACCCCGTACGGATTAGGTAATCGGCGGGGATCGCCCGTAGCTTCACGCTACGAGATCCAATCGGGGCCCTGCCGTAAATGTGGCGGAAACAACGTTTGGTGGACAAAGTCCCAGTCCAGCGTCCTCCGCAACTCTCACCCCTCCTCCTCCCTCCCCTCCCCCGCCATGCCGCCCTCGGGGTATGTCCGCTCGCTCGCTGCGCAGAGAGCCGTGCTCACCCTGCGCCCCTTCACAGATCGCAGTCCCACCACAGGAAGACGCTCGCCGTCAAACGCGTGGACGGCGAGCCACTCACCCGCGTCGACCTCCAATATGACATGCTCTACCATATCTTCGCGGACAAGCACGCAGTCTTCTCCGACCCGTACACCACAATACGCGGCGATCCCGCCGGTACAAGGGTCACCTTCCGCGACCTCTACGTGAACGCCCTCATCCACTCCCCTCGCTGCTCCAAGGCGTCTCGAGACAAAATCAGAGAGTCACCCGAATTTGGCAACGAGTTCGCCATGATCTCCCTTCTCTCGAACGTCGGCAGAATTAACACTACCATGGCCTGTGAGTGATACACTTGTATTGCCCACCCCCACCTATCGATGCTCCTTTCCTACACGATGACTCAGTCCGTTCGGAGCGGGGGAGCTCGTCTCATATATGCGCGCCCCTGATGGCGTGCACAGCGAGCTAATTAGTCCCCTCTATGTCCAGTTTTTCCCGAGATGAAGACCGCTCTCAGGACATACCATCCCGTGCCTGCTCTACAACGCACGAACGGCAACCTCCAGGACGCGCCTCGAATCAAGAACATATTGAAGACGTGCTTTCTGCAAGAGGAGGCCCAAGGTACGGTATCCACACCAGCAGATGTCCTCGCGCGATCTGTACGTATTGTCTGTCGTCCCATGTCCCCCCACTGATCGCAGTTGACGTGCGATTCCATATTACAGCGGACCGGAACCGTCCCGCCCACCAGCATTGTCAATCTCATCTTCATCTTCGCCAACCACGCGACGGTAGGCCCGCTGTCAAGGCTGCTCGCGTAAAACACGTATCTAATGACAGCTCCTTCCGTGCACTGTCGTAGGCCATTGCACGGACCCATTTCGAGCCCAGAGCGACCGCGGACTTCCTAGACCTGTTCACACCCGTGCACATATCCTCGGAGTCTAGAGCTCGGGCGTTCCTATGGCTCTGTTATCACTACCACGAAGCGCCCTCCGACAACCCATACGCCGACGGGCACGCTGGCGGCAATGACGAGCGCGCCCCGCTGCTCATAAATTTGACGCCACATGCCGCTGCATACGAGAACGTTGACACTCCAGAGGAAAACCAACGTGGCTTGGACATGACTGACATCCGGCGGCGTTTTCTCGAGACGAAGGCTAGAGGCGAAGACTTCGGCACTCATCAAGAACCGGAATATCCGCCCCATCAGCGCTTCATCGTCGGGGGACGCGGCAAAGGCAAGGGTAGGGCACCCGCAGAGACCCTCAAAACGAGGGAGACTTCTCCCGCGGACAGTCAATATTCTGTTCCGTACTCGCTTAACGTCAGAGAAGAAGACATGCTAGAAGGTGCGCGCCCTTTCGAGACACAACATCCCCGTCGCTCAAATAGGCATCAGGTCCTGGGCGACCGCCAGCTCGCCGCCTCTCGTCCCCTGCTCTGGAGTACGTGCCTGGGCATCGGGCGCCGACGCCCCCATATCGACAGCGTCCGTACCGCCTAAACTCCTCTGAGATGGATATCCTCCCCCGTGTTGCTGCGGATCCGTACCCTCGTCGGCCGCCGAGCCCAGGAATCGACGCCTTGCAGCACAGTAACGGCAAGCCTACACGTATCCACTCACGGAAGCCGCGTGAACACTCTTCTCGGCACACGCCCTTCCAAGTCCAAGAACCATTACACCGGTCTTCTGGGCTTCCTTTATACGGACGGCCGACGTATTCCATCCCGAGGTATGACCCAGCGCCCCCCGAGGTTCCCCGTCGGACCATGCTTCAACGTACGTGCAACCATTCCTCCGTCTCAGTGCCTCATCCCTGAACAACAGCGCTCCACAGAGGCTTGGCACGTATCGATGAACACGGACCCGTTGCTCGATTCGGACGACGAGGCGTATGCGGATGAGAACACCAGGCTAGACTACGGTCAGTGCATCTCGGCTCCCGTGCTTTACGCTAACTCACCGTCGCTTCTCCTTCTCACAGTCCTGCGGCTGCGTATAATCAGCCGTCTTCGCGGCAAGGACCCCACGCCGCCGCGGGAACTGGGGCCATACAGCGTTAATCCGCCCAATCCGCCGTTCGTTGCTTACGGAGCGCGATGAGTGCCCTCGCGTCTGGAGGCGTCGATGGCGCGCTGCGTCCCACGTCCTGCCACACCTCGGCTTCGCCTCCTTCTCCCGCCTGCATCTGCCCTTCGCCCTTCCCACTACACGTTACTCGGACGCCCTCGCATGCTACAAACCCCCCATTCTATGGTATGTATCCTTCTGTTTGTACGCTAGTAGAATTGTTTCATCTGTACATACCACCGCCTGCCCTATTTATCCCCTTCGCTCCCCCGTGTATCACCCAATGTCTATTACTTCGCGTTCGAATTCTCCCATGCCCTTTTCCCGCACCCTCCTTCCCCCCTGCATCATATGTGTTCAGCACCCTATATTTATCCTTGCGACCGTGTCCCTGCTTTTCATTCGCCGTGCACGTATTTGGGATGCATGTAAAACAATTATGTCACCAGCCAGCCCAATTATCGAATACATGGGAAGGAAAGGTCGCGAGGCGACTTGATGACGCTGTGTGTATGTACAGGAGGATGTGTTGACGCAGGCGCGGGATGTATCCGAACGACACGAAGAGGGGGACAAAGACGGGACATGAACGACAGACAACGAGAGGAAGAGAAGAGGCATCTATCCCGTGAGCATAATGTTACAACGCCGAAACAAACAAAAGGGCCGCCTGCGCGCGGGCGGGCACATACGTATGGTGGGTGGGGGTCCGGTGGCGAAATGAAGATGCGCGGTATATACGGTGCAGAGAAAGTACAGCTATGAAGACGACGCGCCGCAGTTCGCTGAGTCCGTTCCCGAATCCGAATCTACGCGTCCTCGCCCCCGCGCACGCACGCAGGCTGCGCGGGCGGCGGCCTACTCCGCGAGCCACTTCTCGCACTTCTTCACGTACTTGTCGAGCAGGAGCGCCATGTCGCGGATAACGAACGTGAGCACGACCTTCGCAAAGAACTCGGACGCGTGGCGCAGCTTCAGGTCTAGCGAGTTGCGGATATCAGGCGGGAACGCGGCATATAGTGGCGCGAGCGACTGCGGCGCCGCTGCCTTCGCGTGCTCGTCCAGGATCTGTGCGGCCTGGAACAGCTTCGACAGGCCCTGCACGTACAGCGCGGGCGAGTCCAGGCTGGAGAAGAGGGGAGGAAGGCCGGTTAGCACCGGGCGGGTCGCACGCGCGGAGAAACGGATGCGAGCATGACGTACTTTTTCCCGTTCGTGATTTTGTCGAACTGCCGGGTCAGTCGCCCTCCCCAAGACGTAACCTAAAAACACAAGGCGCGATCAGGATACGGCGTATATAAGAGCGCGAAAACGCGACCGCCACTTACGCCGCTGCTTTTCTTGGTCATGAACCCCTCGCCGACGCCGAGCTTCTTCCCAAACTGACCCACGACGCCATCGCACACGCCGGAGAAGTCCTCGAGCTTCGCCGCCCACTGCTCGCCCTCCTTGCGAGAAATGCTGCCGATGCCGAGCGCGAGCCCGCTGCTCACGTTGCCCGCCCCAAAGTACTCCGCGCTCCAGTGCTGCAGCTCCTCGAGCGCAGAGCAGAGCACCTCGACGACGCGGATCTTCTCGGGCACGTTCGTGAGCTTCGCGCCGCCCTGCGACCACACCTCCTGCGGGACGTGTAGTCGGCGCGTGATATACCCGCCTGTCTTGGACGTCATCGTCTGGCGCAGGAGGAACATCATGTGGTACGGTTTGCGGAGTGGATCTGGGGGCGCGGAGGACGGGAGGGGGGATAATGGCGCCATGGGTATATTTGCGTAGGGTATCGGAGGAGGGGGCACCAACGGAGGCGACGTCAGTCCCGACAGGTGCAGTGTCGGTGACAGTATCGACGTGTCTAGCGTGATTTGTGGTGGCGAAGAAGGGTTCAGACGAGAGGGTATCGAGACTTTCCGTGGCGCAGGGGAACCCCCCTGCAAGGAGGGATATGAGTACGCGGTCACGATGGACGGCCGTCTCCCAGGCTGGGATGACGCCCTGTTCCGTCCGAGGCCCAGGTTACTGACCGTGCTTGCAGGTATTGCAGATGCTACCCTGCCCATATTTGGCGCAGAGGCTGCGGACAGAGTCGAATCCGTCGGAGACGGCGCATCTCCGCCCGAACCAGGAGGACCGGGAGCCTTGCCGCGTCGCTGGGAGATGGTACCCAACGCCGGAGACGTGTTTATGAGGGCGGGCTTGCTCGTTGGCGTGACCTCCGAGCGTACAGACATCGTAGATCCTCCCCGCGGCCTCGGAGTCGTAAAGTGACCCGGACTGCCAGGCGGCGGTGACGAAGGATGGTCGCCGAGCCCGTTCCTGGGTATCGCGGGAGCCTCGATAGACGGTGACGGTAGGGGCGGTAGCGGTGGTGATACGCCATTCGGGTGCATATTTACGCGGGACCTGGGCCTGAGGCCATCTTCCGCATGACTGCTCTGCCCTGCAGAGACACCATTGACAGTCTCTTCTCTCAGAGGTACGAGGCGGCCGTTGGAGCCAGTTCGTCTGTGGCTGATGGAGTTACCTCGCGCGCGGCCGACTTCTGATCTTGTCGCGGTTGGCGTGAGGTCTGGATAGTCAAGACGGGTGGGTGAGGGTGCAGGGGGCGGGAGGGTGGTGGGAGGCGGCGCAGGGGGTGGGAGGGTTGATGAGGCGCGGGGACGCGAACGAATGGAGGTACGGGAATTGGGGCCGATATCTGTCGGAGGGATTGGTGGGAGCGATGGCGCAGACGCGGCCGCATAGGGATGCACAGGAGAGGCTGTTCCAGGATTTGAGTATGTCGAACGCGCCGCCGAGTAGTGTGAGAGGCTGTTATGACTGCTGTTGCGGCTCAGCGCCCCGGAGTCTTCGTCGTCGGCCCTAACAGTTTCCGTAGAGTGACGCTGATCGCTATCGCGTGTTCTGGATGGCGAGCGTTCTGATGTTGGTGTGGTTGACCTCGGGGAGGAAGGACGCGTCGAATCGCTCGAGACAGATGCGGAAGAGGAAGCATAGACAGAGGATGGGGAGTGGGGAGGGAGGGGAATTTCGTATACGACGCTAAGGATATTCATCCTGTCCGCATACGTATCATGCTGCGCGCGCAAAGGTCGAGCGGGACGCTTAGTTCAGGCCCGGGCACGAACCAACACACCACTCACAATTGACTTCAACCGTCGTACTTCCTCCTCCTGCGCGACTACGCTTCTCCGCCTCCCATTCCGTCGTCTTGTTTCTGTGCTGTCCTCCCCGCGCATCACCCGCTCCATAACCTCGCTCAGCAGCGCGACGCTCCGGGCGTACGCCATCACCGCACCGTACGGGTCGTCGTTCGTCGAGTCCAATCTGACAGCCTCTCGCGCAAGCTCCAAGGCTCGCGTTAACGCCCGTCGCGAGGATGGTCGCTGTCCAGGCGGCCTTTGATCGACATTTGGCGTGAGCAGCAGCCTGTCGTTCGCTGTCTCCTGTTGCGTGGGGGGCGGCGGCTGCGGAGGTGGGGGGCGGAGCATCGATCGTGGCGGGGAGTCGGCGAGGTTGTCGGAGGAGGCCCCGCTCAGGGTGGGCGACGGATAGCCGGTGGTCGATGCAGATGCGTAGCGTGCTTGAGAGAAAGCAGTGACTGCAGCCAGACTGGCCGAGGGGGTGGGGCGGGCGTATGTCGAGTTCATGCTGGGAACATCTGGGCCTGATCCTGATGCATCTGGCATCCCATCATAGGTTTCGTAGCGTGATAGGCCTGCAACAGGAAGACTGGGGATAGGCTGAGCAGGCGGCGGGCCGGGCGGAGGAGGAGGGGTGTGCCCCGCAGTTGAGCGACGGCGCGACGCGAACGAGGAGGAGGAAGGGGTAGCTACCGGGGAAGTTGCAGAGCCATTAAGCGCCGTGGTGTTCCAGTCGCGACCGCGGTGGACGACTGGGACCGGGCGTGTATCGTACTCGAGCTCCATCGTACACGGCGGGGGCGGGGGCAGGGAGAGCGTACACCAGCCTGCGCGGGCGGGCGGGTCGTGTGTCTGTCCCGAGCAGAGCGTGCGTCACAAGCTGAACCGGGCGAGTCGCTTGTTGCAGCAAACAAAGGACCGGTTTTGGCTAGCACGGGGCCGCCGTGTTATTGTTCAGGTACAGGCCCAGGGGACGCGGGGGACCAGGAGCGGAGACAGCAGCAGCGAAGAGGGATGGACGAGTTGTTGAGTTCGGTATTCCAGTTGGTTGTGCGGTTGGTTCCCGAGCGCGGGACAGGCTAAATCGGTTATGAGCGGGGCGCGCCACAACGCAATATGCGCGCGAGATAGCAGGGTTATGAAAGATCGATCGGCGAGGACCCGCTCGGCATGGGCGGGCGTCGGGGAGGATGCGGAGGGCGAGGAGGGAGGGGCGGAGGTCGAGGAGGAAGGCAAGCTGGATTGGGCAGGATGGCAGCTCAGACTGGCGGCAACGCTCGAGGCACAGCCGGCGTCGCTCACAACTTTGCTCAGACGTCCGCGGCACGGTCGTCGCCAACTTCCAACTCTGTCCAGCCGCGATGTTCGACTTCGGACGCGTTCGTGTTCTCACAACAATTTCCCCCATGATCCTGCGACCCTCGGCTCGAGCCTTATCCGTTTATCCCCACAGCTAGACCAACCCAGACACCCGCCTTCTCTCTCCCCGCTCCTCCATCCGAGCCACGTTGTATCCGTCCAACCACCCACGGACATAATTCTGATACGCCGGCGGCGGCTTCGGACGTCCTGTAAATCCCAACTGCAGCATCATAGATTGAATCCCACCACCCTCGATAGACCGTGAGATGCCTGCATCCGTCTGATCATCAGTACCTTTCTGCGAGCTTTTTCCATCCATCAGGAGGACTTTCTATTGCTCACGAGCCCCGAGGCCACCAGAACACGCGCGCTGCGCAAAGCGAACAGAATGAATTATCATGCGATCCAAACGAGCGGAAGGACGTGGAGCGACCCGTGTGGGTGTACAGAACACTCGGGCAAAAGAGCGGAGCAGCGGGGAAGCAGCGGAGGACATCAGCTAAACACGAGTATCGGGGGTGCTAGTAGTCGAAACATCTGTAGTATATCATCCGAAATAAGCCACAACGGGTGGGCAAACAGAGAGAGAGGGGGTCCAAACGAACAGGGTATACCAATCGCGAAACCATTTTCGATGACACCACCACAATGTGATGGCGCGAATCACTCGCGGAACTCCGACTGCGAGCCTTGTGCAGCGAGCCGGCTCTCGAGATTCCTGAGAGCGCGTGTAATCAGCATCTATCGCACCACGCGCTCGAGACGTCATCTCAGTATAACTCACCTGAGCGACTCTTCTTTCGCCAAAAGCTCCTGCCTCTTCTCGTTGATCTCGCGCTGGACCCGAAGCTCGATCTCGCGCAGCTGTGCGACTCGCCATCAGCATGGAACGCCACAAAGCAGCTGCAAGATAACGTACCTTCTCTTCCTCCCGACGAAGCTGCTCCTCCTTGAGGCGCACGCTCTGGCTGGCCAGCTCCTCCGGTAGGATCGAGGAGTCCCTGCTATCAGGGTAAGCTTAGGTTGCTGTATCAGTATTCGAGATACATACTGAGTATCGGAGTGGACAGTCCTGGAGAGCTTCTCCGTACGGTACGTCTCGTACAGCACGTCGTGAGTAAGGGCCTTCAGGTCAGCCAAGTGGGTGCTATGATTATCGGTTTAGCCCCCAGCACGTTAAGAGCAATGCTAGAGGACGCACTTCAGGAGAGCACCACGGAGACGGCTGAAATCGCAGTGCTTCGGGTTGTCGACCTCAGCAACACCCCAGGGGTAGATCCTGGCGCGGACGGGCTGGCCGTCAATCTCAATCTCCTCCTCAGAACCAATGATAGAGAAGGGCATCATCGCGCGGAGCTCGCTGTTGTCCTGAATGGTATCCTCGTCGTCTTCCTCCACGTCGTAAGGGAAGTTGTAAACGGGGATATCATAGTACTCGATGTCCTCCATGATCTGCCAATTTTCATGAATACACATTTCGAGTTGAATTTGATGCCAAGCACGTACCCGCTTCTTAAAGCCACGCAGCTCACTCGGCGTCAGCGAATCGGCCTTGCCAATGACGGGGATCACGTTGACACGAGGCGAGAGGCGACGCATGAGCTCGATGTCGATCTCCCTCAGCCTGTATTGAAAATTAGCTTTGAGCAATCACGCGTCGGTTTTGGTGTACATACGCATGACCGGTAGGAGAGATGAAGTAGAGCAGAGCGTGCACCCGGTTGTCACGGAAGCGCGGGTTACGCTTGATACGGGACTCCTCGGCAAGAATATCGTCGTACTGACGCTCGAGGTAGCCCACGATCTCCTGGAAACTACTCAGGACAATGCGCGTGAGCGACGGAGGGTCTCAATTTGGGATGCACGTGCGACATACGCGAATTCGTTGTCGATGTTGTCACCGAATCCGGGGGTGTCAACAATGGTGAGGGCGATACGGACGCCGTCCTCCTCCAGCTCTACGCGTAATGGTGAATATGGGGGAGGGTCGCCAGACTGAATGACACGTACCGACGTTGGCGGGCTTGATCCTGATGCCCTCCTCGACGTGAGCAGTCTCAGGGCTGTCGGAAACCTTGTGCGTCAACACCTCGGACTCGCAAAGGGTGTTCACGAAGGTGGTGCGACCGGTACCAGAGGCACCTGTAACATCACAGAGTTGTCAGTATATGTGTAGAACGCGATATTGCAACGCGTAAACGCGGGCAGAACGCAGCCGTGCGCGCGCGTTGGCAGCTGAAGCGGGCATTTGTAGACGAAGAGGCTTACCGACGACCATGACGGTGAACTGGACACCCTTCTTGACCTTGTTGCCCCTGCGTCTGCCGGCGAAAGACATGGTGATGTGAGGATGGGGGGAGAGAGAGAGGTAGACGACCCGGGCGACCGCGTTTTCGTCGTAGAGGGGAAGTTTGGGCGGTCGCACTCTCCCTGCCTGTGTTGAAACTCCGCCCGCGGAGGGCGCCTATCCACGAATGTTCCCTGCGTGGGCTTAGCGCCGGCTAGAGACCACCTCTGCTTCGCTCTCCTGGCGCATGGTCGCGCTCTTCCCCCGCCCGTCTCCATGCACCTCTCTCGCATGCTGCCCTAGAAGATCGCTTTCTCTGTATTTTTCGAGGCACTTTGCCTCATCGCATCCGCAGAGAGCCCTCGGTGCTGAAGCTGCGGCATCCTTGAAGAAGCCAAAAGTAACCAGGAAGAAGTATGATGAACTCCCAGCTTCACGCGTCCTAGGAAATGGAAACATCGCGTCCCCCTTGCCAGAATGGCATGGAGGTCTTAGAGCGTCCATGCTTGCGTACGAGCATACACACTCCACGCGTGCGCCTTCTTTCGCACGTCAATATATCTTTCCCTCTAACATATCCTTCGACTGTGCACTTATGGATTGATAGTTCCCGAGCCTCTCGTCTCAGCTTCTTCTGAGCCGCCAGACGTCGCCTCCGAAAGTGCGAGCATGCCAGTGGACATGGGCTTAGGCCTCACCAAGGCAGGGAAACCGCGAAAGAGACGTGCAAAGTCCGCGTCGCCATCCGAGCGTACTGATGCGGGGATCACCTCTGAGTCTATGACGGGCTGCCCCGAGATAGCCACAATTCCTGTTGAGAGGAAGGCGCGCAAACGTAAAAGTACCGTACCCTTTGCGAAAGGTAAACTCAATACAGTTGCGTCAGAGAACGGCTCTCTGACCGTAGCGTGTTTTTTGAATATAGAGGTTGAGCCTCCAACCACCCCGCTGGCTATTGAAGTGTTGGATAATCTTGCAAGATACCCGCACTGTATATTACTGACCAGAGTAGGACAGTTCTACGAGGTATGTTCACCACCATGCACCGCCTAGCTAGGCTGAACATATTTCAAACAGTCTTATTTCGACCAAGCGGCCGAAGTGTCCCGCCTATTGAACATCAAGCTAACTAAGAAGACATGGAGTGGTCAACGCATCCACATGTGCGGCTTCCCCCTAATGCACCTTAACAAGTACCTGAAGATGCTAGTGCAAGAGCATAGCCGCTTTGTGGCTATGTGCGAGGAGTTTCCTCGATATCCTGCCCTTGGAGCCAAAGGAGGTTTCGACCGCCGGGTCGTTCGTATAGTCACTCCGGGAACTCTGATCGACGAGCCTTTTTTGAACCCGTACGAGAACAACTACCTGCTTTCTGTGGTCCCTTCCTCCACGGACCTCTCTCCCCGAGAGTGGCCGTCAAGTCTCCCCGTTGGGCTCGCGTGGATCGATGTTTCGACCGGCGAATTCTACACCAAGAGCATCACCCTGGCTGGCTTGCGAGACGAGCTGGTACGTGTCAGTCCTAAGGAGGTCATCCTTGACGAGCGGTTCTCCAAGGACGACGCCAACCCGATTCGGAGAGCAGTCTCCGAGGAGGACTGCTTCGTGTCGTTCTCCGCACCACCTAAGACTCCCATTCCACCCGCCGACTCGACTGTTACCATCCAAGCGAGCCCGGACGATGTCACCGCAGACGTCGAACCTTTGGATGGACTGCTACCCGTGCCCCTTGCGGGCGAGGAGACGAGAGCGGTCGAACTGTTGACGGCCTTCATGTACGCGAACCTTATGGACCATATGCCATCGCTCAGCTCTCCCGCACGGGAAGTTTCCTGCGGAAGGATGCAGATCGACACCCACACCGTGAAGGCTCTAGAGTTACGCGAGGGCATGCGCGAGGGTGGGACCACCGGCAGTCTCCTCAGTGTCATCAAGCGGACAGTAACGACCAGCGGCACCCGCCTTCTGACGCGATGGCTATGTGAGTACCCCCGCACAAATGATCTCTGTGCCATAAATCTGAACACGCGCAGGTTCACCCAGCACATCTGTGACGGAGATCAACGCTCGCCAGTCTCTAGTTGCGTTCTTCCACGCCAGACCCTTCCTTCGGCAGGACCTCGTGCAAGTCCTGCGTGACGCCGAAGATGCGACACGCATCGTGCAGAAATTTCTGCTCGGACGGGGAAGCTTCTCGGACCTTTCTGCTCTTTGTACCACTGTCGAGACGTGGTCGTCGATCAAGGAGAGGATCCTCACGGAGCAGAAGATGGAGCGGGCGGAAGACCATCCTCTAGCCGACGCCCAGTGGGCGAGTGTCGACGCCCTCATGAATAGGATGAGCGACCTGAGCGATCTGGCCGCCAGAATCAGTATGGCGCTCGCGCAGCGTGAGGATGCGATTCGCATAGGCGACGAAATGGGGGAGGGGTTTCCCTCGTCGGAGTCGTCGCCCGCTCAATTGCGTGACCCAAGGAACCCACTAGGGATCATCGACTGGACCATCAAGCCTGAGTATGCACATCTACCCCTTCGGACTAATATATCACTAACTTCTGGCAGGTACTCGCAGCAACTCATGAGATTGCACGACACATTGCAGTCGCTCCTTTCCGACCGAGATAAACTCGAGCAGCGATTACAAATTGAATATAGTAAGTGCTTCTTCCCCCGTGCTTGGCTTGGTTGGTTTATTGACAGAGTATGATATTCAAAAGACGTCCCGTCGTTGAGTCTTCGCGCCTCGCCCGGCCAGGGCATGCACGTCCACGTAGCGCGGAAGAGGGAAGCTGCCAAATTGAGAGACGCCAAAGACTTCGTGCCTCTATCAGAGAGCGGCTCCACATGCACCCTCTTCAATCGGGTATGTATGGCACTATTGTTCCTACTGTGCTACTCGTCTAACAGTACATTTTGTCCGTAGGAATGGTCGCGATTAGCCGGTCAGATCAGCGAGACTACGCTCGCTATCAGTACTGCTGAGAAAGAGGCGTTCGAGCAGTTGCGTACCGAGGTACGCTGTGACCTGCTTATGAATTGATCTATAGTAAATCGGGACCGCAGGTAGTCGCCCGCTCCAGCGACGTTAGACGCAACGCTCGCATTATTGACGAGCTCGATGTTACATTATCTTTCGCGGACCTCGCGGTGGAGATGCGGTTTGTCCGACCCATCGTGACGGACGGGTAAGCATGGCGGCTCGTCGTCGTACGGCGCTGACCTCATCCCGCTCTGTAGAACTTCGTACCACATCGTCAACGGCCGTCACCCCACGGTGGAACTCGGCCTCCTCACCTCAGGACGGGGCTTCACCCCAAACACAGTCACCTTCACACCCGACTCTCCGCTCCATGTTATCACCGGGCCAAATATGGCGGGGAAGTCGACGTTACTCCGGCAGACCGCGCTCATCGCCATCCTCGCGCAGACCGGGTCGTTCGTGCCCGCTGACTACGCCGAGATTGGGGTAGTCGACAGGGTGTTCTCGCGCGTGGGGGCGAAGGACGACCTGTTCCGCGACCGGAGCACGTTCATGGTCGAGATGCTCGAAGCCGGTGACATCCTCCGACGGGCCACGCCGCGCAGCCTGGTGCGTTACTTCGTTGACACTGTCTGAACGCGTCTGCTAATCACCGGATACCGTAGGTCATCATGGACGAAGTAGGTCGAGGTACCACGGTCGAGGACGGCCTGGCGATCGCCTTCGCCACCGTCCACCACTTGCTCTCCGTGAACGGCTGCCGCGCCATGTTCGCCACCCACTTCCACGAGCTCGCCGACATGCTCGGGCACGATCCCGCCACGCACCGCGGCGAAGGGCCATTCTCCAAGATCGCCTTCTACTGCACCGACGTCGACGAGATCGAGGTAAACCCCTCTTTTCCCACTGCGTATGCCGTTGCGTGGCTGACGACGTCTGACGTGCAGAATGGCGACTTCGCCTACTCCCATCGACTCAGCCCTGGGGTGAACCGCGACAGCCATGGGCTCAAGGTGGCGCAGCTGGCGGGGATGCCGGAGCCTGCGGTGAGCGTGGCGCGCTCTGCCCTTGCGTGGCTGAAGGAACGCTCGGCTCAGCGCGTCGGGCGCGGTGTGGAGCTCCACGCCCTGGGACAGTCGCTTGCGGTCGATAGCCCGTGAGCATAGTGCGGCTTGTCACTAGTGTATATAGCTAAGAAGGTCACTCCGATTTCTCATACACTTGTGCTCTTGTTACCACTGTTGAGATGGCCGAACCATTTATGTGCCGCTGAGTACCTGGATGACGCACAAAGCGTCCTGCGATGTGAAAAGAAAACCAATATAATCCTACACTACCTATATACGACCACATATCCCACATCTACTGCCCCGCGATCTGCGCGCGAATATGGTTCAGCGCCGAGCCCGCACGCAGCCACTTGAGCTGGTCCTCGCTCATCGTGTGTCTTGTGGGGATCTCGAACGCCGCGCCCCCGTCGCGGGGCGTTACGCGCAGGCGGATCGCGTGCTCGGACGTGTCGCGGCCCTCGAGGAGGTCTGCGAGCCCGAGCGTCTCGACGACGTCCCCGGAGCCGATCCGCGCGTAGTCTGCCTTGTCGGCGAACCATACGGGGAGTACGCCCTGTTTCTGGAGGAGGCACGAATGCGATGTTAGTCCCGCTATTAGACGAGGTAGATTGAAGGAGAGGGACGCACTTTGAGGTTGGTCTCGTGGATACGAGCGAAGGAGCGCGCGACGATCATCGCGCAGCCGTAGAAGCGGGGCTGCAGGGCAGCGTGCTCACGCGCGCTACCTTCGCCATAGTTGTCGTCGACGACGAGAGCCCAGGGCTGGTTCCGCGCCTTGAAGCGCTTCGCTACTGCGGGGATGGTGTCCGTCTCTGATTCTGCGGGGGAGTGCTCGTGGTCGAACGCGACGTTGACATCGCCACCCTCATCGTTGACAGCCTGTCGTGAACGAGATTAGTACGAGGGTTGGAACGGTTTCGTGGTTTGAGACTAACAGTGATCACTAAGAACGCGATGTCTGTCAGCACGATCCTCAACAAGCGCAAGAAGACCACGTACGAAGGTTCTCCGAAATGTTCGTCAAGTGACCCTTGTACTTCAACCACGGTCCCTACGCTCCTTGTTAGCCTACTACTTCAGCTAAACTGACAAACTCAACACTCACAGCAGCCGAAATATGGTCCGTCGTGCACTTGCCCCTCACCCGCATCAGCGCCTTCAACGGCGGCAGCTCCAACCCCCGCTCATTCCCCGAGCCCGGCCCAAACGGACTCCCGAACGGCGCCAGCAGCTCCAGCCGCTGCGAGTCCGGCCGTATCACCACCTCCGTCTCCGGCTGCGGCTCGGGCGTCGGCGCGGGGTAGTACCCCGTCTCCCCGGGGGTGAAGCCCGCGGCAGGCAGGTCCTGCCCGCGCGGGGGCGCGAAGCGGAAGGATCCCCCGGAGGGGAGCGGGAGCGAGTCGGTCATGGGGTTGAAGGAGAGCTTGCCGGAGAAGGCCATGGCGGTGACGACGGTGGGCGAGGCGAGGAAGTTCATGGTGAGCTTGTTGCCGTCGTTGCGGGATTTGAAGTTGCGGTTGAAGGAGGTGAGGATCGCTGGGTGGGGTTAGGACGAGGTGCGATGAGTGCGCGGGGAGAGGGCTCACCGTTCTCCTCGCCCTTCTTGTCCTCGCGCTTCCACTGCAAGGTGTGAGTGAGACTGTCGATAGCACTGGTTGACTCGCCCTACCTGTCCAATGCAAGGCCCGCACGCGTTTGCCAATACCGTCGCGCCGATGTCCTGGAGTTGGCTCGTGATCTGGTCGCGCTCGATGGTCGCGCGGATCTGCTCGGAGCCAGGTGTGCACAGGAACGGAACCTTGGCCTTCAAACCGGCCTCCTTCGCTTGCCTAGCAAGGTCCGCGACACTGGTCTGCGCGTCCTCATCAGCAGTGTTCTTGAACGGCAGAACAGGGCAATCGAAAGCCTACCATGTCCTCGTAAGAGCTGTTCGTACATGAGCCGATGAGTGCCGCAGTGAGGTCGTCCTTCCATCCATTCTCCTGAATGAAGGAGCCGAACTTCGAGAGCGGGGTGGCCAAGTCGGGGGTGAACGGTCCGTTGATCGTAGGCTCGAGGTCCGAAAGGTTCTATTGCAGCACACTTGATCAGCACATTGTCGTGAAAGGGGCCGCATAGGGCGCACGTACAACTTCGATGACGTCGTCATACTGTGCGTCCTTGTCTGCCGCAAGATAGCCGTTCTGTGCCGCCTTGTCCGCAGCCGCCGCGACGGGCGCGCGGCCGGTGGCTTGTAGGTACGCGCGCATGCCGGGGGTGTAGGGGAACGTGGATGTCGTCGCGCCGACCTCGGCGCCCATGTTTGCGATAGTGGCTAAGCCTGCATATATGCACGTCAGATCACGTTCAAAGAGGGAGGGTATATAAGGATATGGATGCTTACCGGTACATGACTGGTTGAAGACACCAGGGCCGAAGTATTCTAGGATAGCGCCGGTACCGCCCTAGCAAAGGAGCATATTTCAGCAACGTCCGAGTATTGCAAGATAGATATAAACTTACCCGGACAGTCAGCTTGCCAGCAAGGTGCAAGATCAAGTCCTTCGGTGTAGCCCAGCCGTTCAGCTGCCCAGTCAAATGAACACCTTTGAAGGCCGGCGTTAAGCTTTTCATACGTGCAAAACAAGGCTCAGGATTTACGCACCGATGATTTTGGGTGCCTTCAGCTCCCAAGGGGTACCCGTGAGGGCGTCCACAGCGTCCGCACCACCAACACCAATAGCAAGCATACCAAGGCCGCCAGCATTGGGTGTATGCGAGTCTATTGAAGCGTTCAGATGGCTGCTCAGTTGTCTTAGTTTCCTACGTACCTGTACCAAGCCTAGCGCAAAGGTTTAGACCAATAGTGGGGAGAGCGTACAAGGGAAACTTACATGAGCATTCCGGGCGCAGCGTAATTCTCAAGGACGATCTGGTGAATGATTCCAGATCCAGGCTTCCAGAACTCGATACCGTACTTGCGAGCGGCACTCTCGAGGAAGTCGAAGACCTCTTGGTTGGTCACGATTGACCTCTGACGAGCAAGGATGATGAGACGGCGACACAAGTGTGCCCAGAAAGGTCCATACCTCCAAATCCTTGTCCGCACCCTCCGAAGCTTGAATGAGATGGTCACAGTGGATACTGGCGGGTACAGCACATCGTGACATCCCCGCACTCATGAACTGCAGCCTTGGAAAGGACACTCTGTTAAGACACACGTAAAGCAACATAGACATGCTCGCTCACAATGCCATCTGAGCGGAGGCATCTTGCATGGCCACTCTCTCCGGCATAAGCTGGAGGTACGTCTCCCCCCGCTTGATACCACCACTAGCGAGCGTTCGCTCGGGGTCGTGGACATGACTGTAGAGAATCTTCTCCGCAAGAGTTAATGGTCGGTTGTCCAGTATCCGGCTGACAGTGGCGAGGTTTTTGAGGAGCCTGGGGTATGGAGGGGTGATGGAAAAGCAGTCCTTCTGAGGAAGAGAGGTAGCCTCGGTCGCAAGAGACCGGCGAGGAGCAGAGAGATGACGGGGCTGCCAGGCCAGTCCCCTGCGCGGGATAGCATGGGGTCGCATGGTGCGGACAAGGGCAGACCAGCAGTCCTGTGTTCCGGTGAGAGGTCAGAAAGCAAGTGCGGACGGAGACTGCATACGCTGCAAGGCGCAACACCAGGCCGACCCGGTCCGAGTCACTCGGAAAAAGAAAATCAGGGTCGGCTATATTCCCCACTTTCGTCACATTCGCGTCTTCTGTGACGCCACGCGTCTTCCAATCGCACGCCCCCGATTCCCTCGCCACGCGACGCGCTCAAGACGCGGTCACGCCATCAATAACCGAGATGTCCGCCACAGCCGCTCTCTGCCGCTCCCCACATGTTGGTCAGCTCCTCATAGCACCCTGCAGCCAGGACAGCTGGCTGGCAGCGCCCTGCACGTTGGACATGTCAGACTCCCTATTGCCAGTCGAACAGTTGTGAGCACCTTCGCTACGCTCGCCTTTGACATTTCTGCTCACTTTCCGTCGCAGCGTACCCACAGCGAGTCAACACACCGACATAGCACATGTCGGTGGAAATGGCCCATCCCTAGCGAGTTCTGTGCCCGAGAAATGGACGTCCTCTCTCAACGTCGATGTCGTCCTCCTTATCATGTCCTTCTGCGACAAACATACCCTCACGCGTGTCATGGGCACCTGCCCCACCCTCCGCCGCGAGGGCGCGAAACTTCTCCTCGACGGACACGTCTCTATACGCGATCTTCGCGCTCTCGTCTCCTTCATATTCTTCATAAAGGTTCACAAACCAGCAATCCTCTACCATCTTGGCTCTTTGAACCTTGCCGTCGGCACCATCCATCCGAACCTCGCGCTTATTCTCGTACGGATCCTGGCGCACTCTCGTAATCTCCAATCCCTGTCCTTGTCCCACACGAGAGATCTATTCGCATCTCACCTCGTCGTCCGGGATCTGATATGTCAACTACGATCCCTGCGCCATCTTACCCTACACCGCTGTGGCAAGTTCTTTGGTAACAAGCTAATACTCAAAGCTCCTCTAATCTCTCTGACGATCTCCTACATCACGCCCGAGCCGTTCTTCGACACCCTCAGCGATCAGGACGGCCCCATGTACCATCCAATGCTACTCTGTGCGTCCGTCTCCCCCGTACTCGAGTCGCTCGACATCCAGTACTCCCGCCAGTACGGCGCCGTCATATGGAAATCTCCCTACACCTTCTCCAAGATGCGGACGCTCGTCATCCACGACAACATGCCCTACACGGCGCCGTACACCACATCCTTCCCGAACCTCACGCACCTCACCATCTCGACGACGCACCAGCAGCGCGGAACCGACCTCGACTCCGGCGCCGAGGCGATCGAGGACCACCGCACCCTCAACGAGACCGCACAGTCTGTCTGCGGCACCTGGTCTCGCCTCGAGCACCTTACGGGCGACGTCGCCGGGCTCTACCTGCTTGCTCCGTCCTGCTCCGTCGGAAATCTTACAGTCGCGCCGATTAGCGAAACGCTTCACCTTGAGTACCTGTTCGCGGTGCTGATGGATACGGAACCGGAGGCCCTCGATCTGACGATGACTATCGCGCTCTTGGAGCACGCGTGGCCGGATTTCGCGACCGACTTAACAAAGGCTGGAACCACGTTGTTCACTTCGCTCACGCTGGCCGTTTCGGTCGGTCCACTGGGTGCGGATGAGGATGAGGACTTCGACATCGAGGATATCATGGTCAGTCATCCGCTGCTACCGCTCTCTTCATGAAACATAATCTGATCATTCGTTCGACAGGACACATTCATCAACGCGATGAGGGACTACAAGCTTCATTCTCTAAAGCTCACTTTATATCCCCTGCCTCCGCCGGGCTCAGGCCCCGACTATACACCCGCGTCGCTCTCAACGCTCGTCCCCACAGACCCCACCACTTTCGCCGTTCCACCGCTGAACCCTACCGAGACCTCGCTTTCCGTCTTCGGTATCTTGGCATTCGTGGAGAAGCTCGAAGAAGCTTTTCCCAGCCTGAAGTCCGCCGAAATTCGCATCGTCAGGCCAGGTTCGTGGAAGGAAGACTTCGTGCTGCTCAGCAAAGGCGATGATGGCGAAGCCATACTCGTTGACAGTACCTGCCGCTAGGAGATTCCCGCTCGGGCCGCACCTACTTATCGGTGGTATCGGTTGGATTCGGACGCTTGGAACGAGCCCGCCAGCAGGCTCTGGGTTCGAGATTTCTTATATGCTACTAATCATCTAATCCTCGCCGCTTTGGATACGCTACTATGCTAACCTCACCCGCTGTGCTTACGATCTCTCTTGTGATATATCACTCGAACTCGAGCAGCTGCTTCCTCGAGATATCTCACTCAACATAGGATCAGTCAGATATACGCAAACAGATACTGGTTTAAGGTTCGTCTGATGCAATGCGCGCGCGCGGACGGGCGCGGACTCGGAGAACTCAGACTCGAACAGGCGCTCATTCATTCAACCCTTGTCCACATCCTATGATACTGATCTATTTGAATTCATTCACAGACACATCTGACGTACAAGCGTCCTGAGCGAGATGTAATAATGGAGATAGCGGCGGTTTGACTCCCCAGCCACCCAGAACTGCGAGATGCGCAGAGCGGATGGCGTCAAAGCAGTTTGTTTACGGTTCAAGTTATTGGTGGGGAAGATCTCAGCCACTATCTACATTACGAACCTCATCCCCCAACCATGCAACCTTCAGGCAGTCAAGTTGGCGACAATGATACTCGAAGGCTGAGCTCGAATAACTGCCCTGTGCGACCACGCTGGTACCGGTTGAACCTAGACGCGCGCTCTGGTACTTCTCTGACCGAAGATGACAGACCACTTCTAGTATCACCGGATACGCGGATGGACATCGTCGACGTCTTCGGCAGTTTGATTTCTACGTATCTGTGGCGAGGCGGTGGAGAGAATGATGAAATTCGAAGTACGTCGTTGTGATGTCTCTGTGCAAGCCACTAACTCACAGAGGCTGCCATTAGATCGATAGGCCCTTCGTGAAAACTTCTCGATGTTCTTCCCTGCCCAGCCCTCAGACGTGGCCGCATTCTGCGCGTATCTGAGGACGCTCGGAAGCAACTCTGAGTGATGTTTTTCGCGCGCGCATCTTCGTAGACACGATGGAATCATGTCGAGCTGTGCCACGGCGGCGTTCTGATTATGGCACACGAGCTTCGTACGGTGATATTGTGGTATGCGCGCGGTGGTGGAATCTACGGCTGCCGAATTGCGAGACGCCCCCGCACCCCGGCAGATCAACACGCCACACGAGGATACAGATGGACCTGGGGGTGAAGACGACGAAGTTCTCTCACGCAGCGCACCTCGGTTGCACCATGGGCGCTGCTCTCCTCGAACAAGACGCTAGCTTTGCTATATAACCTAGACTCCGGTGCTGATGCCGCCCCTAGTGCTTCTGTGTCTCTCCGTGGCCTGACCTCTATTTCCTAGCGGTAACCCTCTTGACCTAACCATGTCTACTGAGAGCCACCTCACTGTTAGCGGCTCACTAGGCCCCTTATTGATAGGTACATCCTCCATACTATACGCTTGTGACAAGCGAACCTTACTGACATTGGTCATAGGATTAATCCTGGCCTCCTGGTAAGCCTCCCGACTCGCCCGGGGACCTGCGCGCACTCATGGCCATCACAAGTCTGTACGGCGTAACGAGCGTTCAAACATACATCTACTTCATACGCGGCTCACTAGGCGACAAGAAATATCTGAAGTCCCTCGTAAGCAGTATCTCACCGCCCTCGTAATATGGATGGAAGCTAAATGTATATCAGGTCTTCTTCTTATGGTACGATTACATCTCGCATGTATCAATGCTATCCTTGCTCACATATTGTGAACGGTCCTCTTAGGGTGCTCAACACGCTGCGCATTGTCGTATTGTCGAGTGGGGCATACACATATATGGTCACAGACTTCATGGACCCGCTCGCACTCTCGAAACCTACCTGGTACGTCTTCACAACTTGTATTGAAAGTACGCCTCATTTTTAAACGATTTTCTTTTGGTAGGGCTTTCCTGGTAAGCGACGACAGACCCCTAGAGTCGGAACATATAATCTGACTGCCAGTCCCTGATGTTGTAGCCGACTTCGGCGGTTATAATGGTATGCAGCATATCGATTCCGTGGTTTCATAGTTGATCATACTCGCATTCAGGCCATCAGCAATGGAGCTGTTAGAATGTGAGAACCTCGGAGTTCTCGCAACCAGAACGTATGTTTACTTACTCCACGCTTGTTACAGAGTCTTCTGCTATAGAATCTGGCGCTGTGAGTGATGCGTTTCACTGCGCGGTCTCCGCTGCCATATACTTACTGTTATAACAGTCAGCGGCCACAATTTCTGGCTGGCACTGCTGATTGTAAGTACATGGAGGATTTACTATTGCTTGACGAGCTGTCCTGATTTATATACTTACGTCTGTCCTAGGCCTTGCCTGTTCTCACGACAACAGGTATGCATACCAAGTTTGAATGTTGCGAGAGTTCAAGTCTGATATATCGCGTACTTCCCCGATAGGAACTACCCTCGGTGAGTTTCTACTTCCTTCTGCCTATGAGTTCGCACCACCTGATTTAATTCAACTCGAAGCATATTCCGTCGTTGCGTAAGTTTTGATTGCACGTCTATGAAAGCCGTTTGCTCATCATATACGAAGTCACCGCTTGCCGAGCTGGACCAGCCTTGCTGAATACGCTGTCAGTATAGTCACTACACGGTGCACCCAGCTGAACGGATCTGACCGCACGGCCGCTTGGTAGTGGCTACTCTCCTGGGCGTTTGCATGCAGCATCACCGCGGACATTCTTATATGTGCTTCGGTATGCGTCTTGCTCGCGAGGCGCAGAACGGGCTACGCAGCGTAAGTTAATTCGCGTTCGAGCCGCTTGCCTTAGTTGATTGGCCCTCCATAGGACCGATACAATTGTTCGAAAGCTGATAATGTACGCGGTCAGCACTGGACTTCTGAGCTCGTAAGTTCGGCCAATACCATGCATCTGTGGTACAATGGCGTTTATCTGCGGTGACACACAGAATATGTGCCTTGCTTTGCCTCATAACTGTGAGCGTTCCGCTCATACTTATACCCATGGCTGATCATCCTGACCCATCTCGCACTTAGTATTTGACGATGCCTGATAACTTGGATTTCATGGCACTTTACATTGTCTATCCGGAATGTAGGTGGTACTGCAATATATCAGGAGTCGGTCTTGTCAGGCCCAGCTGATGTTACATTTGCAGTGGTCTTGAATTCTCTCCTGGCAACACTCAACGGACGCACCTCCCTTCAGAAGAACGTTCAGTCCTCGAGTACGGCTCAACACGGCACGTTGGGCTCTTCGCAAATACGCCGATGCGTGCATCCCAAGGGCCAGGTACGTGCTACACCGCGTACGACGCACTGATAGAAATTTATTCAAAACGTACCCTTCGCGCAGCTTCGCGCGCCCCAGGCGAACGACATCAACATTGTCGAACTAGGCGTACTGAACAGTTCTACTACAATGCAAGGGAGCGACATCTGCGTAGTAGAGCAAGTAAGTCGCGAGACATGCTCACCATGCGAGATATATATTTTGACGAGTAACCGTATTTATGCAGGGAGATGAAGCCCACAAAAAGACTGAATCGTTACATTCATGGGCTTCATAAATTCAACGATAGTAGTATACTGGCTATTCTCATATGTAAACACTCGCCGTCTCGCTTCGTATGTAATATGATCAACTCCTACGGGATTACTGCGTTTGATCAACTCACGCTCGTTGCTCGTGCGCGACACGGACCGTACTTGCGATTCAAGTGACTCGTGAGATTCGTTCTTCGTTCAAGCAGCTGCTCGAAAACCTGGATTGCTCCCGGAAACCCAACATTGTAGGACCCGGGCCGCGTCGTGCAGCCTCAGGAGGCCGTGATTACCTTGGCCAAGTTCAACGGAGGATGCGAATAACTTTGGAATAAGGTTAGTTTGATGGCACCGCAGTGACCGCACAGCGTGCGGAACCCAGGATAGGCGCTGGCACATTCGTTAACTCAATCCTTAACCATGATCTATCTTTGATTCATCTCGAGACGCTACTAGCGTGCGATCGTCGGCGACGAGATGGAGTGAAGACAGAAGTTGTAGGAGTCCGGAGCCGCGCAGAACTGCGAGGTACGCGGGGCACTTCAAGAACACAAAAACCAGACCCTCGCTCATCCGAAGTCTGCAGGTTCGACCGTCGCGCTACAGACGCGACGTACATATAGCGAACTTTCAGTACGTTTTGTTATCATACGCCTCACAGCGGTGCTCATCAATCAAGAGCCTCGAACAGTCCACGAAGACTCAAATATTTTTTCGCGGCTGTGGGAACGGGATGGGTCAAACCTTGAGCTTGACCTGCGCAATTTGGTCTATGACCGAATGCTTCTATCGCCGCCTGTGTTCGGCTGTGCGGTTGGGAATTGTCTTCAATGACTGATTCGAGGAGAACGAGGGATGCGTGAACCGGCTCGGCGACATCGGAGTTCTTTTAGTATGGTGGTATGCCCACAGTGTACAACACTCACATATGTCATCGAAGCCACTCACTACTTCTCAGATGGAGAACTGTATCATGTGCTCGCTGATGTGGCGCGAAGGACGTGATAGAAGTCACAGGCATGTCGAGTTAACTGAGCGGAACACGTCCGTACTGGAATTCTGGCACTGACCGCAGAGTCACGGGCCCCCCTCGGGGCTCAGTGAATGTACAGACATCACGCGAGGAAGCAGATGTGGAGTAACGAAGACGATGAATTGTTGTTATGCAGCGCGCCAGGTTGCGCCACAGATGCTGCTCTCGAAGAGGATACTGGCCCTGCTATATAACATGCCAGGCCTAGGTGCTGACGCTGTCTTCAGTGCCTTGGTGTCTCTCCGTGCTCGACATTCATCTTTCTGCGGACGTAGCTTTCACCTTGACCATGGCCGTTGAATTCCTCCCCACTATCAGCGCTTCCTTAGGGCCTCTTTTGATAGGTACGCAGCCTGTATACGGTGGCAATAAGCGAACATCTCTGACACGCACCATAGGAGTGATCATGGCCTCCTGGTGAGCCTCCCGGGGAGCCCAGAGACCTACGTGCACTCATGGTATTACCAGTATGTACGGCGTAACGACAGTCCAGACATACATTTATTTTGAACGCAACTCGGCCGCCGACAAGACATCCATGAAGTACCTCGTAAGCTGCATCCCCCGTCCTCGTACTACTGTGGTCAGCAGCTGATTGCGCTATAGGTTTTCTCATTATGGTATGATATATCTTGCGTGTATCAGCTTTGACCGCGTTGCGACGTTACGAACTGACATGTGACATCCCGGCAGGATGCTTAATACACTGCGCATGGCCATAGTCTCAAATGCAGCATACACGTACATGGTCACGGACTTCATGAATCCGGTCGCCATCTGTAAACCCACGTGGTGCGCTTTTTAAGCCTTCCTTAGAGAGTCCGCCCGCCTCTGACTCAACTCTATGTTGGTAGGGCTATATTCGTAAGCAAAATCATCCCATCGAGTCTACCAGTGGCGACGCAAATCTGACTCCCAGAATTCTGGCTTTATAGCCCTCTGCGGTGGTAACGGTGGTATGTACTATGTCTTTGATGCGATTTCATGGCCTCACTCCAGATCGTATCCGCATTCAGGGTGCTAGCAACGCAGTGGTCAGATGGTCAGAACCTTTACATTCACGGAATCTGCGAATATATGCTTAGTCGATTTGGTTTACTACAGCGTCTTTTGCTACAGAGTCTGGCGCTGTGAGTACCGCATGGCGGCCTTTCAGTCCACCACGTGCTGACTGACATTATAGTGAGCGGCAACAACTTTTGGCTAGCATTGCCGATCGTAAGTATATGGAACTTTTTTGCTTGAGGGCCCCACTGACTGGATTTGTATGCACATCGATTCTAGACCTTGACCATCTTCGCATCGCTAGGTATGTGCATTGGTACTCGAATTCCTTTACACCTCTAATCGGTTGAGTACTTCGCAACAGGGACTAATCTTGGTGGGTTTCGATTCGGCAGCATCTTACCGTTGAACTTACACCGCCTAACCCATCTCGAACTCCGAACTTACAGCCTATTCGGTTATAGCGTAGGCTTTCCATGAACACATCTGGTTAAGCATTCACTCATCATACATCTAATCACCACATACCAAATTAGTACAGCCTATTTGAATACGAGGTAAGTACATACCGGGCGCCCGGATTTGAAAGCATCTCACCGCTTGACCATACTGTAGTGGTTACTCTCCTGGGCCTTTGCATGCAGCATGGCGGCGGACATCCTGATCTGCGCTTCGTTATGCATCTTACTCGCAAGACGCCGAACGGGCTTTGCAACGTGAATTGCCTCGCTTCCGGACCATTTGCAGAGACTGACTCGCCTTCCACAGGTCCGACACCATTGTACGGAAGCTGACGATCTATGCAGTCAATACTGGACTTCTAAGCACGTAAGTCGACCGTTTCACCCATATTCGCGACATCATGGAGTTCACAATGGACAGAATATGCGCCTTGCTTTGCCTTACCACCGTGAGTACCACTTCCACACATTCACGCCTAGTCATCCTCTAACGTCTTGCTCGTAGTACTTGACGATGCCAGACAACTTCATCTTCATGGCACTGTACATCATCTACCCAGAACGTGAGGATCCGAGCTCCTATACTGTACCATTTCGATCAATTCGACATGTCACGGGTCACAGAGGCCCCTGTCGGTCGAAAATTCCGGTCGTGTCACAGGTCACCAAGTCTGCCGTCGGTGGGGTCAAACGGGCGCCAATTTTCCGGCGCGCTGACGCGCGCCCAAATCGGTCGAAAGTGGCGGTCGGTCACACCGTCCGCCCGGCGCCGTCGAACCTGTCGATTAGTCGAACCATGTCACCGGTCACAGGCCCCGTTGAATTGATCGAAATGGTACAGTACTACCAGGAGCCCGTGGCTCGTACTATGAAACCGCTGACACTAAATTTACAGTCATCTTGAATGCCCTCTTGGCAACTTTCAATGGACGCACCTCTCTCAAAAAGAATACGGCGTCAGCCATCGTGGCGCAACAAGAGTCTGCACAGAAATGCCGAGGAACGCATGCCATGGGCCAGGTGCGTACTACAGTGATCGCCTATAGAATGGTCAAGGAGATTTACTCCCGGTGTCGTACGCTTCGTGCATCCAGGTGAAGGACATCAATGTCGTCGAACTGGGTGCTCTTACTAGCTCGACTTCGCAGGGGAGTGACATTTGCGTGGTGGAGCAGGTGGGTTGCAAGATAGTCCGGTCGTACAAGAGCAGAGTTTCACCTGACTGCGTCTGTTCAGGTTAATGAAGCCCACAAAGTCCCTCAACTCCATGCATGGGCCACTTGACTTGTGATAGGTGGTACGCTGGGGCTATCCCCCGAGTCATTGAGCATGATACGGCCCGGGCTGAAAATAAGAGGCCCCCAAAGATTCGGCCACTATGACCAAGTGTATATTCGCCATTTCTTCTTTCCGCGTACTATGTATTCTACCAGCACTGGACTCCTATTTAAACAACTTGTACTCGCCACTCCCTGAAGCCCTCAGCTTTACGGACTTACCTCCTTCGAGCTTGTTTACGCACTAAGTTCATTTTCGTGCGACGAACTGGTCACAGCACCTCAAACGAGTGGTTCAACTACGGCCGCTACAATGTAGCTATTCTTTTTTGCGCTGAAACTCATTTCATCCTCTTGTTGGTCGGCACTGGCAAGTTCCTGAGTAAGTTGCGCCCCGGTGCAACCCCGGGCCCGATGCGCACTGGTGCGCATGGAGGGCGCCTCTTCTTGCTCAGATGCATCGGGTCCACGTGGATATGCCGGACGTGACGCGCTTGGCCTGCCGCGTTCTCGTCCGAGCTTTCGTTGCAGCGTCTGGTCTTGCGAGGTCTTCACCATCATGTCTCTCCCTCAGCTCGCGAACAGGATCATAGGTAGGAGCTAGGCCCGAGGCGGAAGCGTTCCTCGCTCAACTGTATCTGGTTTCCTAGTGCCGGTCGCTATTGCGGCCGCGGTTGTGCAAGCCAGCATCTACGATGTTCCCGGAGGTTACAGGGCAGTTATGTTCGACCGTTTCTCTGGTGTGAGGAACACGGTGCGTAGCCTACACTACTCGGGAGGCTCCTTTCTCATTGCTCTACACCTACTAGGCGTCGCTTGAGGGCACGCACTTCCTGGTTCCTTGGCTGCAGAAGGCCATTCTCTACGACTGCCGCATCAAGCCAAGGGTTAGTTAAACACATATCTCACTCCGCATTAACTGAAGAAGCTGCGCAGAACATCTCGACCACGACTGGTTCCAAGGATTTGCAAATGATTTCAATTACCCTTCGTGTCCTCTCACGGCCGGACCTCCAGCACCTCCCCAACATCTACAAGACTCTCGGCCAGGACTACGACGAGCGTGTTCTCCCCTCCATCGGCAATGAAGTTTTGAAGAGCATTGTCGCGCAGTTCGATGCTGCAGAACTGATCACCCAGCGTGAAGTGGTATGCGACTGTCGCGTGCGTATTTTTGTTCGCGGACGCTCATCGGGACTTCTAGGTCTCAGCGCGAATCCGCGAAGACCTCCTTCAGCGCGCGGGAGAGTTCAACATTGTGCTCGAAGATGTTTCCATCACCCATCTTACGTTCGGGAAGGTGCGTTAGTCGCCACAACGATCGTAATTTGGAGTCTGACAAGCGCACGTTCTGTAGGAATTCACCCAGGTAAATGCGTCGCGGTGAGTTTTGTGGGCCTCACTGACCTCTGTGTGCAGGCTGTCGAGGCGAAGCAAATTGCTCAGCAGGGTGGGTGCTCAGCCTGTTTCAAGTTTGATCGGTGTACTCACGGACTGCTGCTACAGATGCCGAGCGCGCAAAATTCATCGTCGAGAAGGTGCGCTATGTTGAAACCGGGGTGTGAACTTTCGCTGACGAGGTGCATCAGGCCGAGCAAGAGCGTCAGGCAGCCGTCATCCGCGCGGAAGGCGAGGCCGAGGCTGCGGCAACGATTTCGCGGGCACTGGAGAAGGCTGGCGACGGGTTCATTGCGTTCAGGAAGATCGAGGCGAGCAAGGCGATTGTGCAGTCGCTGACCTCGAATCCGAACGTGACGTACATTCCGAGCGGGGGAGGAAATGTTCTGCTGAATGTACCTACTGCGCCGGTGTTCCCTCGGAAGTAGTCCGGATGTAGTACCGGCAGCTTATGGGATGTGGTCTCTTTCTTCATTTGGTGCATGCTGCGTGATGGCGGGCCTCTTTCTGCATTTTTGGGTGCGCGCTGGGCTCAAATTGGAGGGAGAAGGTGCGAGAGAGCGCGGGCGGAGAAGGGGCAGCTGATTGCGGGGAGAGTCGGAGATAGCCGAGGGGTGGGAGGCGGGCGGCTAGACGAGCGTGCATCTTTGCAACGGTCCTCTCTCTCCTGACTTGTGATCAAGCTCTGTCTGTCCGTTTCTTCTCTCTTCCTCTCTCCGTTTCTCTCTCTCCTCTCTCTCTCTGCTCCTCTCTCTCCAGTCTCTCTCGTCTGTCTGTCACGGACTAGTCTCCTTCCTCCCGCTCCCTGTGTCAATTTTCGCTCTGTATATATCAGCGCGCATTCTCTCGACTCACATCCCGTACTCATCCGTACTCATCTCAGGCCTAACGATTTCCCGTTCTCTCTGCTACAATGAACTCCATGGGTGGCATGTCGTCGGCTGAGGCCCCGGTACGTCGTCTGTTTTCTTCGCATTTGCCGGCGCTGACCTAGCCTGCCGTTGCCGAAATTCGGTCTTCGCACATCCACACGTCATTCAGAGACGCGCTCATCTTTACGTCGGGAACCTCAGTCCCCGAGTGACCGAATACATGCTCACGGAGATCTTCGCTGTGGCTGGACCTGTCCAGCACGTCAAGATCATCCCGGACCGCAACTACCAGCATGGCGGTCTCAACTACGGCTTCGTCGAGTACATGGACATGCGCGCGGCGGAGACGGCCCTGCAGACGCTCAACGGCCGCAAGATCTTCGACACTGAAATCCGTGTCAACTGGGCCTACCAGGGCCAGCAGAACAAAGAGGACACCAGCAACCACTACCACGTCTTCGTCGGCGACCTCAGCCCCGAGGTCAACGACGAGGTCCTGGGCAAGGCGTTCAGCGCCTTCGGCACCCTGTCCGACGCCCGCGTGATGTGGGACATGAACTCTGGCAAGTCCCGCGGCTACGGCTTCCTCGCCTTCCGGGACAAGACCGACGCGGAGCAGGCCATCGCGACCATGAACGGCGAGTGGCTCGGCTCCCGCGCCATCCGCGTCAACTGGGCGAACCAGAAGACCCAGGGCAGCCCCGGCGGACCTGGTGGCCCTGGGGGACCCGGAGGCCCCGGGGGGCCTGGTGGGCCTGGCGGCCCTCCCCGCTCGAACAGCATGGGCGGCGGGGGCGCGCCCGCGCCGATGAACTTCACGGGCGGCCCGCTCTCGTACGAGGGCGTCGTGACGCAGACGCCGGCGTACAACACGACCGTCTACGTCGGGAACCTCGTCCCGTACGCGACGCAGGCGGACCTCATCCCGCTCTTCCAGTCCATCGGCTACCTCTCCGAGATCCGCATGCAGTCCGACCGCGGCTTCGCGTTCGTCAAGCTCGACACGCACGAGCACGCCGCCATGGCCATCGTGCAGCTCCAGGGCCAGCTCGTCCACGGCCGGCCGATCAAGTGCTCCTGGGGCAAGGACCGCGCGGACGGCGCCCCCATCAGCCCGGGCTCCATGAGCCCCGCCCCCGTCGCTGCGCCGTACAACGTGGTGAGTCGCTTTTTTGCCCGAGTCGTCGGAGAGCGGTGCGTGTATGCTGACTGTTTAGGTCCCGCAGCCTATGTATGGCATGCCCCAGCCCAACTCGTACGGCCAGTACGGTTATGCCGGGTACGCGGGCTCCCCTGGGGGCGCTGCGCCTGGAATGGGCAGCCCCGTCATGCCGAATGCCGCCATGATCGGTGGCCAGGCGCCCGTGGATCCCCAGGTTGCGTCGCAGGCAGCGCAGGCCCAGTGGGCTGGCGCTGACCCTAGTTCTTATTACTCGAATTATTGGGGTGGTGAGCCTATCTCCTTCTGGTCCTTGTTATATGCGCCGTCCGCTCATGCGTCTTCGCACAGGCTATTATGGCCAGCAACCCGGAGGCTTGCCCGACGGTCAGGGCCAGGCTTAACGCTTTTTACCGAACGAACTCTCGATCCCGGCTGTAGCATCATCAACCTCTGTTTCGTTAAAGTGTGCTATTACGACTCTGCGGGTTCTGTTCACCGTACTAATCAAGCGCGTAGACCATTCCATCCTCACCATTGCTCATCATGGGTCTCCTCAAGCCAAGCGTCTCGACCAGGGTCCCGCCCAATCATAAGAATTGCTCAGAAGCTGGTGTCTGTAGTGTCAGCTTGTGCCCCTCTTTCCTTCCCTCTAGTTTGTGAACGTGTGCAGTAGGCCTTTGTGCTTTTTCTCTATCTATCATTTCTTCCAATCACAAGTGATCTCCGCTCATTCATGTGTTGTTGGCGAGTGTTTGCTACAGAAGAGACGTGTGCCGATGTCTATTCTCCCAGTGACAACAAGCGAAACACGGACACGCCAAAATTTCGTATCATATCCATCATCTCAACCCTCTACCATTCCAGGTGCGCACTTGAGGCTAAGAATCTCCATTAGTATGTGCTCATCAATACTCTTTCAAGCGTCAGACACTTACCCGGCTCAAGAAGTTGCGCATCAAAGAGTGTCGGTGCTGCTAATATCGCTGCTGCCCGCGTTTGGCCTAGGTCCAGGCCCTCCTGGCACGGGCACGTTGGACGTGTAGTCCGGGCTCGTCGGGACGCGCGGCATGCCCGGCTCCTTGGGCTCGGCAGGTGCGCGATGGCCGGTGTTACCCCCAGCAGTGTCAACCGGTGTGTTAGACAGACCAGCCGGGTCTACTGGATCGGCAGCCGGGGGGCTCGGAAGCGCGGCAGTGGATGGTATATCCGCGGGGGGCGGCGGCGGAGCGGGCGTCCCACCCGGGGAGGACAATCCTTCCAGGGCGCCAGTAATAGGGTCTTCGGCGCGCGGGAAGGCGAAGCGTTGGGGAAACTTGAGGTCGGTGGTCCTCGAGTGGCCCATCACGTCGTTGCCGAGACGGGGAGACTGGGGGGCGGGGGCGGCCGAGACGAGGGAGGGGCCGACGGCGGCGAAGAGGGAGAAGGCGATGATGGGGCTGCGCATGGTGGCGAGGTAGCGTGTGGGGGAACGAGTATTAGCTGGGTGAGTAGAGTACGTTGAGGTTGCCGGACAAGGTGCGTCTGTTCGAGTTCGCGCCTTTTTGTATGCGGGCTGTGGATGGTTCAAATCCAGCGGGGGCTTCTGAAGCTCAGCACCTGCCGCATACGGGTTTCTTGTTACCGCTTTGGGTCTCGTTCTTCGGCCCCGCCACGACGGTGGACGAGGTCGGGTTGGCGTCGTGTTTGGAATTATTCGCGTGGTACGTCGATCTGCGGCTCCTCTTCGCTTCGTTATGTTTAACCTTGGTGCAGCGTCAAAGTCAGCCCTACCACTACCCGCTGGTCTGACAAACATGTCAGCCACTTGCCAGCCCCAGGCTAGCATGCCATGTCATCTGCAGCCCCTCGCCATGCTACCCTGAACTCACCTGTTATTCTCCCACTACATCCATCCTCGTCCTAGCCCATCATGAGAAGCCCTGCTTTGGCGTTCTCGCTCTTCGCGGTTGCGGCCACCGTCTCCGCTCAATCCAACATCACCCAGCGGTCGACCCTCGAACAGCCCGAAGTGCATGTGAATGTGGGGTCATACCAGATGCAGACCCCAAAGGAGTTCCTCTCTGGTGTCTACCCACGCGCGGGAGACCGAGGCGACGAACGTCATGAGGCCACTAGAGGGAGACGCCCCGAGCCGCCCCACGTCAACGCTAACCATGGAGTCCCGATGGGCTCATCTTCTGGTGAGCGAGCATAGTCCATTACCAGCCCGATCGTTAACTAACAGCTTACAGGCAACGGCATAGATGGTGGCGTCTCGGACACAGCTCCCGCTATTGGCGCCAATGCTGGAGACGGGTCCAGCGGCAGTAGTTCGAGTTCTAGCGACTCGGGCCCTGCTTCTGGGTCTGACATCTTCAACATCGGGAACAACCTACAGAACGCATTCGGAGGTATGTCGCCCCCCTTCTGGATGCCTCACACACGTCCTAACCTCCTCCGTAGCCAAACCAGTCTCGCAGGGCCCTGACAGTGCCCAAGACGCCCTGTCCGCGCAGCAAGCCGACGCAGGGTACAAGCCCACCGCTGGATACACGTACAACTATCAGCGCATGAAGCGGATGTCCCGCGTTGAGCCCGCGGCCAACGTGAGCAGACGCGACGTCATCGACTCTCTCACTGGCAACGAAAACGACGGCCAGAGCAGCTCGGACGATAATTCCAGTGCGTGCTCCTGGTGTGTGGGACTGGTACTGCATGCTGACGTGCCCCTCTAGACCATGACGGTGCTGATGGGACGAGCCAGCGCGGCAGCGAAACCAACGGTGGGCACGCGGGCGAGGTCGGGTCCTCTGAGGGTGGCCATGTGTACAACGAACCCTCCTCCTCAGAGTGACAGTGACATACTTCGACCGCCTCCTCGTATTTATTGCGCACACACAATCTATTGGTCATTGGTACTATACATCAGGGGAGCCGCATATAATCGCATTCGCACCATGAACGTCGCGGATTTGGACACTCAGTTGGTGATGGAGCCCTTGAGTCGCAGGTCCCTGCTGCTCGCGCCGACGGAGATGCCGGTTGCGCCCTTGGCGATCTGCCAGCTCTGCGACGGGACATCCCACACGGAGAAGTCGAGGCGCGAGAGCGTGAGCGAGACCGTCGTGGACTGCCCGGGCGCAAGGAAGATGCTGTCGAACCCGTGCAGGTTCAGCGGTGCGGACTGTGCTGACGCCGGGGGCGACGTGTACAGTTGCGGGATCTGCAGGGACCGCGGTGGTCAGAACCGCTCAGATTTCAATGTAGATACAGGACACGACTTACCTCCGTGCCTGCGACGGTGCCGTTGTTGGTGACGGTGAAGGTGACGGTGACCACGGGGTCGTGCAGCCTGCGAAGCGGCGGGTTAGTTGTTCCCCAGGGTGAAAACAAGACAATGGTGTGCTCACCAGGGGTCGAGGGCTGCGCCGGGTCCGATGGGCTGACGAGTTCCGCCGGCCGTGGAGCCGCTGATCTTCAAGTTCGAGTAGTCGAACGTCGTGTACGAGAGCCCGAAGCCGAACTCGAAGCGCGGCGCGATGTTAGCCTGTGCAGACAACCATGAGCTCCTGTGGGGTTGGGAAGACTGAATGGGACGCACGGCGTCGAAGTGGCGGTAGTCGATGAAGAGACCCTCGTTGTACGGGATCTGCACGATGCCGGAGCCGGTGTAGGTGATCTGCGCGGAGTAGTCGGTGATGGCCTTGCCGATCGTGAACGGGAGGCGGCCGCTGTTGCCCCCGAAGTCAGAGTGGAACGCAGCTTCGTAAGGAAAAAACCGCACCTGGGGTTGTACGCGCCGTACAGGACGTCGACGAGGGCGTTGCCCGCCTCCTGTCCCGGGAGACCGCTCCAGACCTGTGGGATTGCGTGTTAGATCGCTGAAGACCAGGGTGGCCGCGGAGGGATGGTCTTACCAAGGCGGTGACTGCATGGACCGGTCAATAAATGGGTCGCGTACCATGAAGAGCCGTCGCACTCACCATTGGGGTGGTTGATCCACTGTTCCACAACGATTGGGCCGACGCTGTTGACGACCACGACGGTGTTCTTGTTGACGCTCGCAACCTGCTTGACGAGCGCGTCCTGCAAGAGGTGTATGTGAGTACGAGTAGTGGCCCTGGCAGAGGCGGGGAATACGCACTCCGTTGTGCCAGGCGCTGAGGTCGTTGCGATCGCCCGCCGCATTCTCAACGGTGATGTAGCCCTCGCTGTAAGTTATATGTGAGACAATCCCCCTCATCCAGCGCTGGCCGTGCAAGCTTACCCGCTGTCGGCCGTGATGAAGACGAACGCAACGTCCTTGCCGCTGGCAGCGTTCGCGGCACCGGTCAGGTCCGTGTCAGTAAGCGAAGACGTAACTGTCGTGCCGTCACTCTTCGCGCGAGCGGTGATGGCGTCAATGGGCTGGTGGATGCTCTGTTAGTTTGGTGTGTTTCGCGGGGACGTCGTATACTTACCGCGACGAGGTACGGGTAGTCATCCGTGCTATGGATAGAAGTCAGCTTAACTGTTTCGCAACGCGCCGTTATGTGCTCACCCGCTGCCCCAGCCCATGCCGAGGACGCCGTCGTCACCAGAGCGGTCAGAGTACCCGTTAGGGCCCTTGGAGGAGTTCGTCGCACCATTTCCGACCACCGCGATTGTCTTCGGCGCCTTCAGAGGAAGGACGTTGCCAGTGTTCTTGAGGAGGATTGTGGACGCTGCGCCGATGGTGCGAATCAAGCTGAGCGAAAAAGGCCTCAGCGGGAGGAGCTGCAAGAACGTCAGGGAAAGGGTGCACGCACTTTTTGTGGTCGGCCTGCACGTCGATGTGGGAACCCTGGCCGGTGTTCCAGGAGTTGAAGTTGACGGCGGGGAAGCCGGAGTCTTGGCCAAGGAGGTACCTACAATGTCGTATCATCAATTTCTGATAGTTGAGGTTGGCCAGTGGTTAGGACTGACCATGCGGCAAGAATACGCGTCGCCATGTCCTTTACGTTCGTGAGATGACGACCTCGAAAATCAAAACAACTACGACTTACGTCGATGCGGGATTGGGGAACCTGGCCGCTCTGCACGGCGCTGACAAGGTTCTGTCCGAAGTACCTAGAGGCCTATCAGCTTGTTTGGTAAAGCGCAGATCGAGGCCACCTACGTTTGTCCGGAGCCAAGAGCGGTGTCTCCGGGCATGGTCATCTACGGTTAATACCTTAGTTCCGAAATATTCTAATAGTTGTAGACCGGATGCTTACGTCGAGACCGGCGTTCACAGCCGGGGCACCAGAGTGGGTGGCCCACCAGTCTAATGATGTACTCAGCACGAATTGGGAGTCTTAGAATAGGTGGCTGCATACCCGACATAACGTCTGCAAAAGGAAATGCAATCAGACACATATTTTCTGCAATGGTCGCGAACACCTACATCCTTGGAAACCGAACTCTCCCTTCAAAAGGCCGTTGAGGGTCTTGTCGTTTTCGCAAGAGTACGTCCCGTTGACTATGAGAAGGTATGAGATACAAGAGGCATAACGTCTGGACTTGAGCATTTACTCTGGTCTAGAGGTCAAGTCCGTTTAGCATGGCAGAAGAAGCCTTATAAGCAGCGCATGCTTACTGTAGCTGCACATGACCGACGCAACGTTGGCCTGAACGCTACGAAGGAACTACGCGGCAGTGAGGACGTGTCACCAAGACAGCATTGTGACAACTCCACCCACAGGGTACGAGTAGAGTTCATGCTCCTGCGATCGACAAGTCAGAGAGATATTTCAATGAGAGTAATGTACAAGCGCACCGTCCTGTCGTCAACGTTGGAGGAGCTGCTGTCGCGGAAGTGTTCTTGCTCGCTGTAGCGCCGTTAGCGTGCCGTCCCCTATAGGACAAGATGAGTGAACGACCTACTTATTGATGTAGTGCTTGGCGCACGCCTGGACTCCGACGGACTGAATGCCGGTGATAGTCTCGAACGCAAGTTCTCCCGACAGGAAGGGGTCGCCTCCTCCTCTGTAACGATCGCGTCAAGCTTGGCTACGCGAGCGGCCGGGGAATCTGTCTCACCCTTCCCAGTTGCGTCCCGCGGCAGGTGCGCGCATAAGGTTCCTATGCCAGGTTCAGTTACCGCACGACCATCTTGAATTGACGCACTCACATCATAGGCCCGAGGGCGACGTGAACACCCTTACCCTTGAACTCGGAGCCCATTGCAGCGCCGCGCTCTCTCATCAAGGTGCGGTTGAATCTATAAGGCAGCCGTAAGCTAATACTCTCCTATTGCGTCAATAAGATAGCTTACGTAGCCGCCACATTGATTTCCCTGTGCAGAATGTCAGAAGCGAAATGGTAGATGAGGCGAGTCAGACTCACGGAGGGAAAGCAGACACTTTGTCGGCATAGCGCACACCAACCGGGCTGTCTGAAGATAAAGACCCTGAATTTGGTGATACGCTTGTGCGCGCAGATCACCAACCTTGCAGGCACAGCCCGGTAAATCCAGGGATAGACGCAACGGCGGGCGTGTTACCGACGCAGGCACCTTCGGGAAACTCCTGTTAGAGCGTGACGTGCAGATCAAACCACAGCATGCACACCCTTCTGCCATTGAACACCTGTTCCCAAGTTCACTTTGTCCGTCAGCGAGAGCTTCGCGACAGTGGCCTTCGCCTGATGATGGAGTCAACACCTTGTACTCCCGCCGATCACAATCACCATACCTTGCTGTATGCCGCCGTCCATTCGGGCGAAATGTTCGCCACGCTGGTCTGAGCAGGTGCCGATCCGGTTGGAGATGGAGAGCTACCCGTAGGGCTCGTCGGAGGCACGGAGGTGGCAGGCGCAGAGGTGGCTGGTGGGGTAGAATTGGCGACACCCGGAAGACATTGCGAATAGTCTGTGGAGCATGCGGTGAGACATTCACCCGTAACCAACGACACTCGTCAACGCACAGTCATTTTGCTTGGTACAGACGGATCCCGTCGCGCAGGTTGTGCCACCGGTCCTGTACGAGAGCAGCTTCAGTGGGCTGCCAGCGACCGCAAAGTGAGCATACTTGCCATCCTATCCCGCCGCACTGCTGGTATACGGACTGCTGTGCGAACGCAGAGCAAGTCAACAGCAGCAACCAAACCGTCGTAAGCCTGAAAGCCATCGTGTTGCGCTCGGGTCGGTCAGTTAAGGCACCCCAAACGGACCCAGGCTTTTATAGCATTACCCCCCTACGGCCGACATCATCGTCGCCTAAAGCCCTGGCTGAATCTTGGACACCGGGGACAGTGAGCTGCACGTCTGAGGCAGGCCGGAGAAGATGCGGATAATTGGCGGACATCCTTCACAACGATCCGGGCACTGTTCGCGCTCAGCCAAGGCGCGCCGCGCTGCGACGGAAGCGCGTCCGTTCAATTGTCGGGACTCACGAGTGCGTCTTGCGAGCGAAGACAGGTCTCCCTGCCCTGGCGCATGCGCGCCTCACAGTCACGCGGGGCGGCACGCAACACGGCACACCTCCGCCCTGACGCTGCCTCCCGACGGAATGCGAAACAATCCTGCTATTACTGTAAGTTACGATAGTCCGGTGAGATAGATATGTCACCACAGCGGCTCAACGTCTGTCCATCCCCGTTGGCGCTGCTCCCAGTACCCGCCGGTGTACACCCACTCGTCCCCGACCTGCTTGAACCAGCGCGGGCTGCACTCTTGTCCTCTTGTCCGTCGGTCACGCTGCATGTCCTCCACGCGCTGCTTCTCCCTCTCTGCGCCATCGAGGTCGCCATTCTCGAGCGCCCGCACGTCCGGCCTGTATCGGGAGTCCGTGGGCGGAAGCTTGCCCTCCAGGTCCGGCGTGATCTCGTTCAGCGTGACGCCGAACGCGGTGAAGCCGTAGTACTGCCCCGCGTTCTTCGCGAAGGGCGTGATCCGCCAGAGCACGTGGAGGTGCGACGAGTCGAGCTTGCGTGCCACCTGCTCGTCCCACTTGCCCTCGAGATTAGCCACCTGCTCGCCGGAAGGGGAGTTCACGACGCCCGAGACGACGTTTGTGGGGCCCCAGTAGCCTCCTTCTTTGAAGTCGAGCGTGCATGAGTTTCCGCTGCTCGTATTCTTGATCATCATTTTGCCGATGTGCTCGAGGTACTTGGTGCCCATCATGAGATTTCGGATGAATGACGAGGGTCGAGTCCTGCGAGGTCAATCAGTCAAGCATACACATGCTGTCACGTATCTAGTCACATACCACTGGTAGTGCTCCTCCCCGAGTTTCAGGTGTATCGTCCCTTGTGGTATAATTTCCATGCTCTTGCCTATCATGGATGCTCGGTCAATCTCCGGGTACACAGTCGACGGGAAAGGAATTACCCCAGAACTTGGTTTTCCCGCTGGACGTAGCATAAAGCTCCCAACCCTCTCCCTCGGCATGCCACGCCATAATGACGGGATTGTGGCAGACTTTCTCCGCGATAAAGTGCATCCTCACTTCTTCGAAAGTCTCCGCGAGCATGGGGTTGCTGACGGCGCAACGTTATTGACCTGTAGAGTGATACCATATTTAGGGCGCTTACAATCCTTTCCGTCCCGTTCTATGTTTGGTATTTGCGTAGGTCGAGACAGCGAAGGCGGCGACATAGCATATCCGCTCAACTGGATCTTGGCTTTGTACCGCTTGTGCAAGAAGATCGTAGTACTCGAGCTCTTCCGCCGCTTTCTGGAGCATCGTGAGAGGTTCGTTGAATGTCACAGGTAACGCGACCTTAGACAAATCCTGGATTGCACGTCAGCGGCGCCAGGACGGCGTCTGTTCGAATTTACCCACCTTTCCGACGTTCTTCTTCAGAACCGCGAAGAGGCTGCCTTCGTCGCCCACTGGACCGGAGGGCAAACTAGTCCTGCGATGGATAACCGTAGGTTCCTCCGTGAAGCTCTTCTCGGCGGACACCTCGGACTCGCTGTCGGTGTCCATACCCGTGCTCGAACCCGCTTCCGTTGCTTCCGTGCTTGCCTCCGTGTGATCCGTAAGCCGGGAGTCCGTGTTAAAGAAGTTGTTATCTTGGCTGTCGACAGGCGGAGTAACGTCCAACGTATATTCCTCCGGGCCGTCGTATTCGGGCGCGTCAAACCACACACTGCTGCCGCTATGTGTGCTGAACGCGGACATGCGCTTGCCACCCGGCCCCACTGTCGTTGGCGTGTGCACTTCGTCGTCCTCTTCCGCGGTACTTGGCAGGGGCGACCCTACTATGGTGGTATCGATTGACGGGTATGAGTGGAACGTCTTCCCGAGCGCGGAATGCTGATTCTTGAGCTGCTCCAAAGCGGTCGCCATGCGCTTCAGCAGCTCTGACGACGAGGGCGACTCCGCCGAGCCGGCCTCCGGCACGCCGAGATGCGATGACTCGTGGTGATGCCCTGCGGCGGCAAGGCACGCGTTAGAGCCAGCCCTGAGCGCGGCGGACGCGTTACACACCCTTCCTGAACAGCCCGAGGACGCCGTGCTCCTTGCCGCCTTCGGACTTCGAGCGCGTACTGACTCGCTTCCGCTTTCGCTCTTCCTCTTCGAAAGTGGATAACGCGCCGTCTAGCTCTGCAATCGTCTACGCTGTTGGTCAGCCAATTTTCTCTGCGAAGCGCGGTATACGTACGTTGCCCATCTCTTCCACGAGCATCGCAACTCTCCCGATCTGGAAATTTCCGCGAGTGGAGGAGCGCGCGAGGGACGAACGTCTTGACTTGGGCATCTCTTGCGCGAGTATCTTGCTGTATGTGTTTCAGCCACACCGTGCATCACCGAGCCATACCACTGCTATGCAACGAGAAACGCAACGGCGAAATAAAGTAACAGCAGTGTACGCGTAAACCCCAATGTCGCCGTCTCAAGAGACACAGTTTATGTCCGCCGCCCATCTCGCGTTCATGACAGACTAGGTGGGGAAGCCACTGCGCGCTATAGCCTGAAATACCTTGCGATAGGCTTACAGACAGCCTGGCCGTTCGTCACAGTCAAGGCTTTCGCATGGCTATGGCGGGTGGACCACCACACCGTTTGTCTGCCGTGGTTTCGCTTCCCGTCGCACAACAGCCATAATCAAACATAAGGACTGACCGGAAAGCCGTCATCCAGACGTCAAAGTCATCTTCGCTGAGACACTTGATATGGAAGGTCGCGTTGTGCGAATCCACATGGATATCCCTGCGTCCACGCGAATTGGAGATCGCGGCTTGTGTTAGTTGCACCTGGTCTCTAGGCGGGTGTCCAGGTTCCAGAGAATAGGAAAGTAGACCGGTGTTATATAACACGAAATACCGGCGAGCGAAGCCTGCGCAGTGTAGATGATGATCAGGACACTCCGCGTGCCGGAGATGTTTCGCTCCGCACCTTGCATCCGTTTGCGCCGTTTCTTCAGTGCCCATCCCTCCAGCAAGACGGTCCCTGCAGCAGATGAAGGGGTAACGGGTCGGCCTGGCGCGGTAGACGCAAGTGAGGCATTGACGGCAAGATGAACCGTGTTCGAGTGTTGCTGCATTGTGTATAACGAGCAAAATCGAGTAACGAGCGAATATAGGTGGGATCTAGAGCATCGAGGGAGCGAAAGGGTTGCAGATTAAGTACTTAGGTGGGTTGGGTGCACAGCGAGCGGAGGAGAGGGCTGTCCGGCCTGGACTCCGTCGCAGCAGCCACCGCTATGCGCATGCATTTGGCGGAGCGCTCGGCCCCGCCATGACCTCACTTCCCCCGCTCGCCCCGAGCTCCGAGCTCGCGCAACTACAGGGGCTACATTTGCCCAACCACCCAACTCGGGAGGTGACACGGTCTCCAGCACTTGCTATTCCAACACCAATATTCATAGCTCAGTATACGGATGTACAAGTGCGAAAACGGAACAGCGACGAAAAGAATCGGTAAATTATCGTAAATCGAGGCCTATCGTGAAGTGCGCGGGCGCGCTCAAGAGAGTGCGCTGTAGGGCTCGAGAAGGGGTAACCGGAGGTCCTGGGGTGTCATGAGCGCAGAGAAAGCGTCTACGGGCGTGTTCAGCAGTTGCAGCCCATGCTCTGCGAGCTCTCCGAGTCAATCCGGATCGGGTCCGGGTAGTCCACATAGCTGATTCTAGACGTCAGCGAGCTGCCAGTTGAGTTATGCACGGGAGATGGCACTTACAGCTGGTCATCCTGTTCTTGCTGGAGCGCGTTCTTCGCCACCGTCTGGAACGCCTGCTCGACGTTGATGGCCTCCTTCGCGGAGGTCTCGAAGTAAGGGATGTTGCCCTTGGACTGGCACCAGGTCATCGCACGCTTCTGGGTGACCTATAGTCACGGGAACAGGGTGAGAACTACCGCGTATAACGGGATAGGGTTATGGTGGGGGCGTACCTGACGCTTGCTCTCCTCCATATCAATCTTGTTCCCGAGCACAACGAACGGGAAGTTCTCCGGGTCGTGTGGGCTGGCCTGGATAAGGAACTCGTCGCGCCAGCTGTCGAGGGTCTCGAAGGACTTGGCGCTGTTGACGTCGTACACGAGTACGCAGCAATCCGCCCCACGGTAGAAAGCCACCCCCAACGACTGGAAACGTTCTTGACCTGCGGTGTCCCACAGCTACACACCGCCTTAGGTGGTGGAACGGTAAAGGGAGGACATATTAACTTACCTGCATGGTCACAAGTCGGTCGTCCACCATAACCTCCTTCGTCAAGCTGCGGGCGGTGCTACTCAGAGGGGTTCGCCAAGGGATTCACAGCGGGAACGTACAAGTCTGCGCCAATGGTCGCCTTGTACTGGTTGCTGAACCGCTTGTTCACATACTGGTTCATGAGAGAGGTCTTGCCAACCCTATCGCCAACCACGCCCACAATGACCCGCTCAGCTCCCGCACCCCCAAGCAATCAGACGGACGACATACCCGCTATCACCCAGAATGATAACCTGTGCAACGCGTCAGCCTCCAAACAGTATCCTGATATAAGTATACGACATACCTTGAGAAGAACGCGACCCATGATGAAGGATGTACAGGGAGGACGGTGGGCAGGTAGAAGTTTACTAGAAGGAAGATATGCGGACTCGTAGCCACGAGCGTCGACGACGCCGGCGCTTCCTCCCCTGCAATCTCAGATCCCTTATTCGAGCTCCGTCTAGGCGCCCACTCTCGCTGCTTCCTGCCACGATCCCTCCATCCGGCCCTGTGCCCTCCTCCCCTCCATCCCCCTCCTCGCCATCATGGCTGAGCCAACCTGGCAGGAAACACTACGCCTGCGGCTCGTCGAGCGCAACGCTCGCGAGTCATCGTACGCGCCGGTGATCGAACAATGTACGTGCTTACCGCCGTGCGCCGCGCCCAGACATGCCGGCCTCATACTCGCCCCTTGGACGCAATCTCAATGTGAACGCTGAAAAGATCGCAGATTGGCGCAACAGACGAAGCTGCTGAAGGAGCGCAATGCGTCTCTACTACGCGCGATGGGCTCCGCCCGGCCAAATCCTAGCAGTTCCACCGTGTTCGTTCCTGGCACGGGCGAAGAGTATGTGATGTCCATTATCAGCGCAACTTGCAGTGTTCCTGACTGCGTGGACTTAGCAACCCCGTACGCGCCGCGTATATCGCCTCCCTGGAGTCACAGATATCGTCATTGCGAGACGAGCTTGCGACGGTGTACAAGACGCAAGGTCAGAACGCGCAGCGGTTGCTCGCAATGAACGAGACCCTCCGCGAGAAGGAAGAGATGTCGCGCGTAGACTCGGAGAGCCTGAGGAAGTCACGCGACGAGATTGCTATACTCCGCAAAAAGGTCGAGCAACACAGCGAGCTGATGTCAGAGAAGGATAGGACGGCCCAGGTGAGTCATCATTTACGCGTTTCCGTAGGGATAATGCTCATATCGCATACTCCAGATCCTCCATGACGAGATCAACACGCTCCAACTGGAACTCAGCCAAATCGAGGAACGCAATCAGACGCTCACGAAGGATAACGCAAAGTTGTTGCAGCGGTGGTTGGACGCGAAGCAGGCGGAGGTGAATAGGATGAACGAGGCGAACGATTTCTACGAGGACTTGCAGACGCGGCGACAGGCAGCTCTGAACAAGCAAGCGGGGGCGAATGGAGACGATACGGGGGACGCTGCCTCGACGACCACCAACGGGTCGGGAAACGGGGAGGACAGGAGGGAGACGGGAGCAACGACGACGACGGATGGGACGCCATCTCTGGCGGAGACGGACGTGAATCTGACACCGAATGGCTAATGGTGGACGACTGAGACGTGTGTTTCCCTCTTACTACCTCACAATTATCTTCCCCGCCCCCTTCTTACACTCTTCTTTGGGATACCCAGCATTCTAGATATCCTACGCTTTGCCTACGGTTTCTCCAGACGTAATCATCCTAGCGTCCCTCCCTATCTGCGGCTCGAGGCTGCTAATTGCGCTGCCGTTCTGAAGGATGTACTCTTTGTTGTGCGTTATATATTCGCTTTCTGGACTACTACCTGCTCTATCTTACAGCTCCTTGTCGTACGTGCTTACTGGTCTATCCAGTGTGTTTCTTTCGACCATAATTCACGAGGGGAACGCGTTGTGCTCGGTTCGGCTGACTCGGCGAGACAACTTCGGCGCTTAATTTGTGCCGAGAAGCCGAACGCACTATTCGCTCAGAATGGGTTCAAGTCAAACGAAAGAGGAAGGTGACTTGGTTGAGGTTGGAATGTCAGCCTCCGTATTCCAACATAAGATCGGTTACTCCGCGGGTAGGCTGCTCATTCGACAGCTTCTCCTCTCTCCACCATCAAGACTTTCTCGTCTCCGTTCCTCCCCTCTCGACTTTGTACCGCCTCTTGTTCTGTATCTCTGACCTCTACAACCTATTCTCACCTCACAACCTATTCCCCAACATGCGTACCCCCAGCCTCGTCTGCGCCCTCTTCGCCACCGTCACTGTCGTCAGCGGCGCTCCCTTCCCCGCCTCAGGCAGCTATAGCTCGGACGTCTTCACCGTCTCCAAGCCGAACTCACCGTCCCAACCCGGTCAAGACCCCACCGTCGGGCATGCTCATCCCCGTATTGGCATCAAGGAGATCCGCGATGCTCTCCCGGACCATCAGCCTCAGGCATGGACGGGCCGCACGTACGTGTAATCTATATCATGTTATACGACACTCTCTTATCGTTAGCAGTATCGCCCCGAGGGCTCTCGATGCGCATACCATTGGCGGGAACGCGTACTCGGGCACGACGCACGACGTCGGCGGCGGCTCCGTAACAAAGTAAGAACACTTCCTACATTATGTTGAGATAGAGACTGACGTCTTCGTAAATAGCGATGTCAAGAGCTTCGAGGTCATCAAGCGGACAGACGATGACGGCACTCTCGGCGGCAACGCGTACACTGGGAGCAGCGGAGACGTCAACGGTGGCGACGTCGTGAACCAGGGGAGCAACTTCGGCATGCCCACGATAATGAACATGAACTCAAACAACGCTGGCAACGGCGGAGGCTCCCAGTCGGGTTGCGCCTCAGGAGGCCATGGGAACGACGGTCGCGGTGCAGGCGGAAACGCCTACTCCGGATCGTCGGGCAATGCGATCGGCGGCAGCGTCTATAACTCGGGTGCCGTGATGAACATGGATTCCAGTACGTGCAATGATGTTTGCCATTTGATATATGAAGCTGACATTCGCTTGCAGACAACGGCGGTAACGCCGGTCAATCGGGGAGTGGGTGCGCTACTGGAGGCGATGTATCCGACACACCTCAGTAGAATTGAAGCGCGTGGATTGACATCCCGCCTCTCCTATACCGTATACCCTAATCCTGCATACCATGATGGAGTATAGACCATCCATTTCCGCTCCGCGATGCAGTTCTGCCACCCATCGAATCACTTACTGATCACGGTAATGTCATCCCCTCTCTTCGTGACCCGCACGAAGCGCCTCTTGCGCCCAGGCTCAGAGTACCATACGCGGACCTCCACTCTCGCGAGGACAGAGGCTATATTGATAGCTCGCCTCCCAAAATCAACGAGATCGACATCCTCGTCGGTAGGGGACTCTTGAGTAGTACCCTGTCCAACTTGCGGCATTCTTTGTTGTGGGCCGCGGAAGTCGAGGTCCAGAAGGTTGAGAGCAGGGAGACGGGGAAGAGCCTCGAGCAAGGGCACCTGTGATAGAGCTGTTTGATCAGCTATAGTTGGATATGGCTATGATGATGAAGGCATACCGATAGTTCCTGAAAGTCGAAGGTTTCCCATCGATGAAGATCTAAGGACAGGTCTAGCGTTTCCAGCTCGGAGCACCCTTCGAGCGTCAATAAGGCAGCGGTACTGTCCCTAAAGTCATGGAGAGGCCCCGTCATGCGCAGGCTGAGGTATTTGGGCTTTGCCTCGGCTAGAATCGTACTGAGCATGGTCACATGATAGCTCTTGACGTCCTCATCGATGGTGATGTTAGGGATGCGGCAGGTGAGTCCCAGGATATACAGGGGGACGACGTTCCCTGAGTAATCCTCGAGGTGCGTCCAAGTGCCGTGTGCGCCCTGGTCGTCCAGGTTGCGCTGACGCAGCTCCTGCCACTCGGGGTTGATATCCTCGTCGTCGTCCTCATCTTCCGCGACCCATGCCTCATGGTGCGTGGTGCTGGAGAGCACCGTGAGGTTCGGGCACGACGCAATCCAGGGCCGCAGGACCGGCCAATCGTCCTGGAGCGTCAGACAGCGCAGGTTGGGGTACACCGGCAGCTGCGGGTACGTGAAGCCGGTGTGCGGCGACGCGAAGCGGCAGTCGAGGTCCCGCAGAGACGCGGCAAATTTCTGGCAGAGGAAGAGCGGGTGGTATTGCGGCAGCTCGTCGGGCTCGAGCATCTCGTCGAACGGCGCGTCGCCGTGCGGGTCGTACTCGAACCGGAGCTCCTCGAGCGGGGACTGCAGCATGAGCATCATGTCGCGCGACAGCTCCTCCGCGCCGGAGAGCACGAGCGTGCGGAGGGTGGTGAGGCTCGCGATGGCCGTGGCGATGGCGGGGTCGTGCGACTGCAGGATGGGCTCGGCCTCGGCCAGTGTGAGCGTGTCGAGATGGGTCGTTCTGCCTAGGATCTCGACGAGTTGGCGGGCGATCGGCCGCGGCAACTTCTCGTCGATGCGTAGCTCGAGGTCGCGGAGGTGGCGTATGCGGGAGAAGCTGTCTGCCCGCAGGAAGTGACAGAGGGACTCGAGAGCGTATGCGTCGTTGATGTTCACAGTGCCATTAAGGAGCAGTCTCGCTCCAGAGCGACTGAGGGAAGAGCACGTCCGCATCATACGGGAAATAGTGGGTTTTTTGCAGAACGTCATGACCACGAGTAGTATGTCGTGATTCAGTCTGGGCTGGGTTGCGGCAAAGATGCTCATCCCGGAGCGTCGTGCCTGCGTAATGGGTTATCAGTCAAAATCACAAGCTGTATAGATATCGATGCCTACGATTTACGTTCTTTCTGCGGGAAAATGCTGGAGTAGTAATGTAGGCCGAGAGGTTTGAAGATGCGACAGAGGGTAGGGCCCTAGCTACTTATTGACTCGATGAATCAGTATAAGTTATACTTTCCAAGGACGCCAAGTTACTCACCTATGTCTTTCTGCGAGTAGAGTCGTTTAAAGAGGGAAACGCTGTAGCAAGTTGGACATCTTCCGCTACTACTTATCTACGGGAGCAATGCGCCCAAGCTCGTCCTCAGAACAACATACGGCAGCGGTTGTCATGTCGGCGTAGCAGCACAACGGTATGTTCTCCTTTGACATGAGCGGCATGGAGGGTCAATTGTAAAGTGGACATGGCGGTGCCCAGAAGCCTGCACTATGAAGATGTTCGAAGGTGAGAGGCTGACAGACCCGTTCACCTCATCATCGAAGACATTCAACTCGGAGGCAGTATGCAAACCATTGAATCGTAACAAGGAGTATCTGATGTTCGAGCCAAACCTACCGCATGGATACAGTTCGATTCCCATCGTCGCACAAAAGGGACCCTACTGGGTGAGAAGGTGGTCGAGGGCGCGAACCTAAAAAGCTATTGTCTTGAAGGACGGGCGGCACTTTGAACGTTTGCGCTGTAGATAAGCTGCAATTGGTACAAGGCGATGTAAAGACTCACATCATGATCACGAACTTCTTGCAAGGACCGGGGCTTGAGCGTCGAAGTTTGGAGGAACAGCCAGCGTTGTGGCAATTCAATGACTGGCGCTCGTGTCGACTTGTACTTTCTCCGCGGCATCCGCGCGTCAGAACAGACGAACTTTACGTTGATGCACAACTATCACGGTGCATATTCGCTCGACTTCATCATGCATCGCTGCGAAGTGCTAACTGGACGAGTTGAGTCAGTATTTAGTCGTAGCGCGCCGAACCATCGCAAATTGACTGACCACATATTTACGGCGATTGAAAGGTCTTCTAGGTTTCTATGAGGATATCCCCCTTCTTGTCGCCCTCACCTGGCGCCATCCGCGCCGAATGACTCCCAAACTGCATCGCCCTCTTCTTCCTCGAACTGGCTTCCACTAGCCCAACCTTCCGTGCCGCGAGCCGTAAAAGCAACTTCTCCCCCAAGCCAGACTCCAGACGCGGGTCCATCTTCAAGTGAACCGGCAGCTGAGCGAGGAAATTGACGACCGACAAAGACAGAAACGGATGTCTTGTTTCTTTCCCCCAGGAAGAGATGACACGGTCATCCCTACCCAGATTCCGCGTGGGTATGCGGTCGATCTCGAGCTGAAGCTATAGGGAGCTTAGTCGAAGCATCGGGTAGGATTGCCGTTGACCACACGTACCTCGTCGATGACTGCCTGCCATCCTGCCGCCTTGAATGCGGTGCGGTGGCGGCCGTATCCGCCCAGAAGCTCGTCAGAGCCTAAGCCATTCAGCAACACTCTCGCAGGGCTTGTGTACGGCGTAGAATCCGCGCCCGGATGTGCGCGAATCTGACCCTCAGCGCGTGCGGCGAAGTACAGCGCGATGGCGAGGCTCTGCGTGTTCAATAAGACAACACGCAACTGATATTACCCGGCCAGACGACGTACCATGTCCATTACCGTTCTGGAGGGGAACATGAGAGCCTCTACTATTGGCCTAGCGTTTAGCGAGTCCTCGAACGGCACGTTGACCTCCAGAAAGTTCCACGTGCGGTTAGGGCATAACCGCCTCAGCTCTTCGAGTTCTTGCAAGCCGGTGAGTCGGTCGGGTACGTCGAAAGAGACCTTCACCGTGGAGTAGTCGAGTGGCTCGCGCAGCTTCTGCTTCTTTTCTCGTTTCGGGAGGCCGCCGATGTTGCCATCCACTTTCACTGCGATCTTGCGTGGGTTCTCAAAGGCGACGTTGAGGAGGTCTATGGGCTCTTCTGGAGCGACGTGCCTAAGCGGCGGGTAAGTGAAAGATCTTCTTGATTCCGCGGATAAGATTCTTACCTATCGGCTAAGTATGCCAGCATGGTGGAGTCGATGCCTCCGCTAAAGAAGACAGCCACTCGTGCCTCGCCTGAGGCAAGTCTGCGGAGAGCAGCTTAATGTAAATCGCTAAAGGGGAAGAACATCGACCTGCTTTCTTCTGGGTATGTCTCGGACCTGGAGCATGACACTCCGGTCTAGCTCGGCGATCAAACTGTCTACTGGAGCCTCCAGGTGGGGCGGAATATCATCTAGGCTTTGAACCTTCGGCGGATCATCTGGGAGCGTCCTGTTTACAGAATGTGGTTGTGCCTGTACGCTCGGCGAGCCGTAGTTCAGAATGGAAAGCCGCAAAGACTGGACGGGTGAATTACGCACGAAGGGCAACGTGTCATTCTCAGAGGAGCGAGATAATCGAGCGATACATGATCCGATTCCTAACATCTGAGCAGGAGAAGGGTCAATTAGTTAGTCCGTGTGTAGATGGAATTGCTTACGCCATCTGAGTTGAGAGTGTCGAGGTCTATTGAGTATATATACTCCGTTGATATCTCTTCGAACGAGTATCCCGGATGCATGCCAACGGAAACAGAAGATAGCAGGAAATATGGGCGGGTCTCGTCCGGATAATGCACCAAGAGCGAACGTCTTCCTAGTGGATCTCGGGCGAAATATAGCCTGTTTGAACGTTTCTATCCCAGTGTAAGGTGGCGCTTCGTGCAAACTTGCGAAACGTTGTATTCCCTACATGGTAGTAGAGGAAGGCGTATCTGTGGTCTGGTTGAGTATCTCAGTGTGTCGGGAATGTTTTTCTCGACTCACGGTCCCTCTATACGGCCGAAAACACTGACAACATCTTGTTCGTCTTTAGCGTCTTTCAGTGCTTCAAACAACTTTGAACCGTCGTTTTCCTCGGCTTGTACCTACATATATTTAATGCTCATCGTGATATTCGCGTGTTGCGTCTGCGAGATTTCTGTACCTCAAGCCCCTCAAAAACCTGACAGGATTAGATACAACGGTGAGTCGCATACGCATTACCCCTGAACGATACGTACCTCGCCGTTCCAGCAAAGTATGTTCCCCTCTTCGTTGGTATGAGGTTGCTTGATGAAAACATCGCCTCTCAAGCGTAGCTCCGACGCACAAAAGGTGAGCTTCGCGTGGAGCATATCAAGATAGGTCGTATGCTGAGCATCGGGTCCTGTTCGAGCTGTCAACGATGGTCACCGCTCACTTGAGAACGTGATTACCTCTTGAACAGATCACTTCTTGTAGTTTCGGGAAGAGCCCTCGCAGAGTTTCGAGCGTTTCATAGTCCGCGTTCGCCGCACAGAGCGAGAAAAGAATCCCACACATAGCACTAAAAACACTGTCGGTTACGGTCGGATCTGGCTGCTGCAAAGCGGTCAAGAGCAAGATGGGGTCAAAGCCGACGCAGGAGGTGCGTCGACTCCGATCACTATGGGCGCCTATTTGAGCAGATCGACGCGGCGCGATCTGGCGCGATCGAGATCTGAATTTTACGGAGTGAGCGGGCGTCTATACCGTTCCGTTACACCACACCCATCCACCCTTCTTGACTGCTCACATTCTTGGACTCTGCTACTTCACTGGAGCTGGAGATGCAACGCACACGATATAATGCCAAGGCGCGGTCCGCGCACAAGAAGAAGGCAAAACACCGCACGGACAAGCAGGAGACTGTCCAGGACCGCCCGGACCCCAATGCCACAATCGTAGTTCCTAAGACCGAGGAGGAGAAGGAGCAGGAGCGGAAGCTGAAGATGCGAGAAGAGGTGCGTGAAGTTCTCTTACCAGCTTAGTTTGGTCCAGCGACTGACTACACCACCAGATGCTCGCGGAGCTCGACTCGAAGGCGAATAGTAAGAAAAAGAAGAGACTAGACAAATACATCGTTCGTAGCCCACACCTCTCAGCAGCACCCCTATACTCAGCGTTTGTATAGGAGAAAAAGCTGAAGCAAGAAGAGCGGGTTGACCTCTTTGAAAAGCTATCGTACGTCCTGCCGAAATGCGCATAGCAGCAAGTAGCTGAATTGATGCCCAAGGAAGAGTCAGGCTCAGGCCTCGGCTGCACTCCACTTGCAGTCATCCGCGACTCTTGGCACGGGGAAGCCTTCCACTCATCTACGCCGGCTGGAGAAGGAGGAGGACCTTGACGTCAGACGCGCTTTGGACGGTCGCGCGGGCAAGGGGAAACGGCGTCGCAACGATGCTCCACCGTCTGAAGCCGGCGACCGTGAAGAGAGCGACGAAGATGCATACATGGATATTGACCGCTCTACAAGGTATACGCGCGAACACGATAACGTCCAGGAGGGCATGTCGCGCTCAAGACCAGTGGTGATTGTGGACTCTGGGTTCTCCACGGCAGTGCAGTCCTCCGGATTCGAAGACCCATTACCTTCAACATCCGTCATTGGAAGTGCGCTTCGCCACAATTCCGATGGTACTACAGCAGCCCCGAAGATTTCGAAGAGGAAGCCAAAACATTCCAAGGTAGAGTCAACTGTTTGGTGGAATGTCTTCTAGTGAAGTTAAACATGAACTCTGCAAGGCGGCATTTACGTCGTGGAAAGACACGGGCTCCAACAAACGGAATCGGAAACCGGCGGAGGACTCGGACGCATCTTTCGACAGCTCGGATTCGGCCTACGATAGCGTCGAAGAGGCCGACGAACAGTCTGGCGCAGACGACGCTTCAGACAACCCTGAAAACTCTGACGCGGAGGAGGCAGAAGAGCCATTGGAAGAACCACCGCAAGCACCTTCAGCGGAAGAGTCCGGAGGCACAAAACGAAAACGGCTTGGGTTCAAGGATTGGGCCATGAAGCAACTCAGCGTAGCCAAGGGATACATCGCCCCACCTCCAGATGATTCTGCGACAACAGATCCTACACTTGCGCATGTGGAGACCGCCCCACCGCCGAAGAAGCGGAAAACGGAGCACTCAGACGGGCCAAGAGAGATGCGAGGTCCGCTGGGAGAGGATTTGCAGCTACCACACACTTCGCTCGCACAGCATATGCAAGAGTCTGCCAAGAAGACCGCCGACGGTTCTCAGTCTAGGAAGCGCAAGGTTGTATCCGTGTCGCGCCCATCTGAGGTGGAGGAAGCTAGGCTTCTCCTCCCAATCGTCGCGGAAGAACAGCCTATCATGGAGGCCATACTCTTGAATAGTGTTGTTATCATCTGCGGTGAGACGGGTAGCGGTAAGACAACACAGGTACCCCAGTTCCTCTTCGAAGCTGGATTTGGTTCTGCCGGTAGTGGTCAGTGATCCTCCTCCTCGAACAATGACCTGGATACTCAATTTCGAACCAGACAACCCTGGCATGATCGGTGTCACACAGCCGCGGCGTGTTGCCGCAATGTCCATGGCGTCTCGCGTTGCGCATGAACTGTCCTTAGCCTCCACTCGTGTCTCGTACCAGATACGGTACGACGCGACCGTTTCGCCGTCGACCTCGATCAAGTTCATGACCGACGGTGTGCTCTTGCGAGAGCTGGCCACCGACTTCTTGCTGAAGAAGTACTCGGTCATCATTATCGACGAGGCGCACGAGCGGAGCATGAATACCGATATCCTCATCGGCGTTCTGAGCCGAGTCGTCAAGTTGCGGGAGGAGATGTGGAAGGAAGGGAAGGACGACATGAAGGTGCGTTGGCTCCCTCTTAGCCGTCTCACTATCTAGCTCACAGCTCATATCTTACAGCCTTTGCGCTTGATTATCATGTCTGCTACCTTACGCGTCGCCGACTTTGCGGAGAACACGGCGCTGTTTCCCTCGCCACCACCGATCATCAACGTCCCTGCTCGCCAGCATCCAGTGACCGTCCACTTCAGCCGGCGGACGTCGTCCGACTACGTTACAGAGGCGGTCAAGAAAGCCAGCAAGATCCATGCGCGACTGCCCCCTGGCGGTATACTCATTTTCCTCACGGGCCAAAATGAGATCACCGGGGTGTGCAAGAAGCTCGAGACAATGTACGGAAAGAAGGCCATAGAGGAACACCGGAAGTCGAAGATATCCCTGCAAACACGTCTCAGCAACCTGGCAAAGAAGCTCGGCGAGGACAAGCCACCAGCGCATGCCGTTGCACCCGCACATGGTATGTCCTGTGATTCCTGTGGACAGTCCTGTCTATTGACATCATTGGCGTAGCCGACGTGGAAGCGGAGGACATCGAATTGGGCGACGCGCGACGAGACGACGAGGCTCTGGCGTTCGACGTAGATGGTGACATCGACGCGGAGGCTCTTGACTCGGACGACGAGGAAGCGGAGAACGAGGAGCTGGGCATCAAAGCGGAAGACACTGATGGTAAGGGCCTCATTGGCGCTTCAAGTGCAGTATACTTAGTCCTCGACAGTTCCCATGCATATCGTTCCACTGTATGCGTTGCTCTCCAGCGAGAAGCAAATGGAGGTCTTCAAAGAGCCACCTCCCGGCACTCGGCTAGTGGTTGTGGCGACAAACGTCGCAGAAACGTCACTCACCATTCCTGGTATCCGCTATGTGGTAGACTGCGGTCGCGCAAAGGAGGTGAGTTGACTATTGCCATCCATGAACGAGGCGGTCGCTGACACCTGATCCAGCGGCGATATGATGTCGCCAACGGTATCCAAGCTTTCCAAGTAAGCTGGGTATCCAAAGCCTCCGCCGCCCAACGCGCAGGCCGTGCCGGCCGCACAGGCCCGGGGCACTGCTACCGCCTCTACTCCTCCGCGCTCTTCGAGAACTACTTCGACCCGTTCTCGCAGCCCGAGATCCTGCGCATGCCCATCGAGGGCGTCGTGCTCCAGATGAAGAGCATGCACATCGACTCCGTCGCGAACTTCCCCTTCCCCACGCCCCCAGACCGCACGAGCCTCCGCAAGGCGGAGAAGGTGCTCACGCACCTCGGCGCGCTCGCCCCCGCCCCGGGTGGGGCCCCGCTCGGCGGGCCCGTCACGGAGATCGGGCGCACGATGGCGCTCTTCCCGCTCTCGCCGCGCTTCTCGCGCATGCTCGTGAGCGGGAGGCAGCACGGGTGCCTGCCGTACGTGATCGCGATCGTCGCCGCGCTCTCGGTGGGCGACCCGTTCCTGCGCGAGGAGGCGCTGGAGGGCGAGGAGGACGAGGAGAACGAGGAGCTGGCGCACCTGACGGGCGAGGCGGCGCGCGCGAAGGAGATGCGGAGGGTCCGTCGGAAGGCGTTCTTCCAGTCGCAGCAGCTGCACTCGGCGCTCGGAAACTCGTCGAGCGACGTCCTGCGCATACTCTCCGTCGTAGGCGCGTACGAGTACGCCGGGGGCGGCCACAAGTTCTGCGAGGAGCACTTCGTCCGTCCAAAGGTATGTTCGTAGCCATCAGACATGCATTAACTGAGCACTGACCTTCCCATCCACCCGCCAGGCGATGGAAGAGATCCACAAGCTGCGCGCACAGATCAGCAGCATCGTGCAGACGAACTTCCCCGACGTCCAGACCGGCTTCGAGGCGAACCTCCGCCCACCCAACGCGCTCCAGGTAACCCCTCCCTCCCCACTCACACACATCACACACTAACCACCCCACCCCCCTCCCCGCAGCTCAAAGTCCTCCGGCAGCTCATCGCCGCGGGCTTCATTGACCAGATCGCCGTGCGCAAAGACATCGCCGCGAAGGGCGCCGCCTCAGCGGGCACGGGGGCACAGTACACGACCGCGCGTGGGGTCGCCTACGCGGCGCTGGGCATCGACGAGGACGTGTTCCTGCACCCGTCGTCCGTGCTCGCGGGCGGGGCGCCGCCCGAGTACGTCGTGTTCCTCGAGGTCGTGCGCACGTCGCGCGTGTTCGTCAAGGGCCTCACGGTCGCGAACGGGGCGTGGCTCGCCGCGCTCGGCAGGGCGCTCTGCACGTACTCGAAGCCGGTGAAGAACAAGGACGGCGTGGCGATGGTCATCCCGCACTTTGGGCCCCAGGGGTGGGAGCTGCCGCCGATCAGGGAAGACCAGAAGTGAGGCACCGGGCGGTGCCAGCCCGACGCAGCGGCTGTGGCCAGCGACGATCCTACGAACCACCTGCGCGCATACCGTTCTGGCCTAGCTCGTTACCACATTGGAGGAGAAGCGGTCAGGGCTGCATTCGTCCGTCCACGCTGGCTTGCATCTGTCTACATATGTATGCCACACGTATATGTTGTTGTGTACACGGATTGTTTGATTTCATTCTACACGATACATGCTATCGTACCACCCCCGAAGATTGTCTTCCCCATTCCGTGTTCCAGATGCTAGATGACGGTGCGACGATGCCCGGCTGCTCTGGTGCGTCTATGAGCGAATCCGACAAGACCATTGCACGGTCGTACGCATCGACGACGCTTAGGCCGAGTATGAGGATGCCGAGACGTTGCCGCCACGACCGGTCCAGTTGACGTCTTGGGTGTTCAGGTGAGTCACGGCTAGCGTGAATTGGTAAAGATAGCAACTTACGGATGTCCTCGCCGAGCTTGAGCTTGGCGCTCTCCTTGCCGGGGACGACACGGAAAGTGTGGGCACCGAAGTAGTCACGCTAGAGAGCGCATCAGCTGCAGGCCTCATGTGAGTGAGCTGGTTGCACTGACCTGAGCCTGGAGCAGGTTCGCGGGGACGACCTCGCTGCGGTAGCCGTCGAAGAACGCGAGCGCGGTGCTGAACGCGGGCGTGGGGATACCCCAGAGGACGGCCTGCGCGTTGATGCGGCGCCAGCCGGGCTGCGCCTTGTGGACGGCCTTGTTGAAGAAGTCGTCGAAGAGCAGCGACTCGAGCTTCTGGTCCTTCTGGTACGCCTTGGTGATGTCGCCGAGGAAGACGGACTTGATGATGCAACCGCCACGCCACATCTGCGCGATGCCGGCGTAGTTGAGGTTCCAGTCGAGCTGCAAGGCGTGGTCAGATTCTGCGCAAATTACATAAGTCGTTGGATGCTCACCTCCTTCGCGGTCTCACGCATGAGCATGAAGCCCTGGGTGTAAGAGATGATCTTGGAGGCGTAGAGAGCCTGCTCGAGGTCGTCGATGAACTGCTTCTTGTCGCCCTTGAAGGGCTCCTTTTGGGGGCCGGCAATAATCTTGGAGGCGCGCACACGCTCCTCCTTCAGGCCGGACAAGCAGCGGGCGAAGACAGCCTCGCCGATGAGGGTGACTAGCGACAAAATAAGCTTTTCAGGCAGCTCAGATATTTCGAATTCACCTACCGGGCATGCCGGCGTCAAGCGCAGCAATAGCAGTCCACTTTCCGGTACCCTTCTGGCCAGCCTTGTCGAGAATCTTGGTGACCAAAGGAACACCGTCGTCATCGTTGAACTTGAGGATGTTCGCGGTGATCTCAATCAGGAAGGAGTCGAGGACACCCTTGTTCCAGGTGGTGAAGATGTCCGCGACCTCGCCCTCCGTCAGACCCAAGCCACGCTTGAGGATGTCGTATGCCTCCGAGATCAGCTGCATGTCACCGTACTCGATACCTTGTGCACATCTCTAATCAATTTCGCGTGCCGGGGCATCAACGTGAGAACGCTCTCACCATTGTGGACCATCTTCACGTAGTGGCCGGCACCGGTCTCGCCCACCCAGTCGCAGCAGGGCTCACCCTCGACCTGCGCGGCCGTGGCCTGGAAGATCTCCTTGATGGCGGGCCATGCAGCGGGAGAACCACCGGGCATGAGTGAGGGGCCGTAGCGGGCACCCTCCTCACCGCCAGAAACACCGGAGCCGACGAAGAGGAGGCCCTTCGCCTCGAGCTCCTTGGTGCGGCGGATGGAGTCGGGGTAGTGGGAGTTACCACCATCGATGATGATGTCACCGGGCTCGAGGAAGGGCGTGAGCTGGTCGATGAACTGGTCGACGGCGGGGCCGGCCTTGACGAGGAGGATGATCTTGCGGGGGCGCTTGAGCTTGGCGCAGAGCTCCTCGACGGAGTGCGCGCCGACGATCTTGGTCCCTGAGATGAAGGAGATTGAGCGGCTAGGATCTCGGCTAGATGTCGCTTGTGTGCGCACCCTTGGCCTCGTTAGCAAGGAAAGCATCGACCTTGCTCGTCGTGCGGTTGTACGCGACGACGGTGAAGCCCTTGTCGTTCATGTTGAGGATGAGGTTTTGGCCCTGGGAGGCTTACAGTTAGTCGAATGCCTGCGCAAACGAGACGATGGATGATTACCATGACGGCCAGACCGATGAGGCCAATATCACCGCTGCAAGGCATGTCAATCACTGTGAACGGTGCAAGGGGCTAGATGGACGGTGCATACACGGGCGCTGCCATTGCGTTGGATTAGATTCGGGAGGGGAGGGTGTGGTGGTGGTTGCGGACGAAGAGGATAGCGATCGCAAACGGTTGGGGAGAGGAGATGTCGATGAGATATGTAAGCCCGACTGTGCTCAGCGCTGACGTCTTTGTCACACCGCCGGTCCGGAGAGCATGACCGTGCGAGAAGCCTATCACCGACGCAGGCTGCCTCTCCGACCGGCATCCCACACACAAACACGGCCCTGCCCTATCGTTTCCTGCCTATTCTGTCGCTTTCTTCTCTTCTCCCCTCTCACGCACGCCGCGCACCCTACGCGCATATAACCATGTATACTGCCGTCCGAACCGCTCCGATGCCGTTGCAGAATGAGGGCGCCGACCGCCATCGATAACGGGTTGCGACGCGTCCGGCGCGTCGCGGCGGCGGGGTAACACGGTGCAGTCACACCTCAATCTACTGTGACGCCCCGCGTCTGTGACAGAACATCCCGCAAATTCCCCTTCGGGCACTTCCTACCTTGCAGTGCATCCCCGCTGCTCGCAAACCTTCGCAAGTGGTCCTCGACCACACTTCTGAGCCTCTCTGCCCAACGCCCGAGCTGCGCCGACGATGTAGAAGGCAGCACAGCTTGTCGAGCGTTTATGTCAATTCGAGCCCGGCGGCGCGTAACCCGACAGTCCGGACCGTGTGACGCCGGCAACCAGAATAGGAAGGAGGTGGCACACGAGAACGTTCAGACGCTGATAGACAGGGTTACGGTCTGGTCGATTGCAGAAGGAACGATCCCTCAGCCGTACGTGAATACAAGAGGTTTTATACGTAGCGGGGAGGAGAGAGAGAGAGAAGGAAGTTTTAGTGCCAAGGCGAAGCCAAGGCGGGATGAGAGAGCGTTCTGTAAGCAGAACGCGGGTAGACCGAGAAAGGCAGGAGTAACTAGTACGGTAAGTCCAGCGCCGGAGTGCTCGGCCGCGCCTGGGCGTTACATCCGCCCTCCCAGTGCAACCAGGTCTCGCGACCAGGTTCACTGCTTGGTGGGGTCTTCGTCGGAGGGGTAGTCGATGAGCTCCTCGTCACCACCTCCGAAAGTCTTCTTCGGCTGGTTCGCACCCGATCCACTGGCCGCGGCGTTCTCAGCGCGCGGCGCAGCCAGAGCGGCAGGAACGGTGGGCGAGGGG